CGGGTCTGGATGTTACGCTTCCAAGGTGCACGATGTAGAGATTAGCGGCCGTTGCTATTCACCTCACTGTATGCGTACACTCAAAAAGGTGGATCTTGAGGGCTTGAACGAAAAGGCCGCAGACGACTGGCACGTCTTCTATAAACTGACAAAGGAAGACATGGAAACCCGCCCAAAGAAGGAGGTGGAGCGCCAAAACATTCTGCACGAAATTGTCAACGGTGAGGAGCTTTACATCAGGCAGCTGAATATCTTCCGCACGCTATACAGAGACGATTTGCGAACCAGGCAACCACCCGTTATCCACCCTGACAAGCGTGATAAGTTTTTGACCGCAGTCTTTGGAAAGCTCGATACAGTTGTTCACATCAACAAGGACCATCTTTTGGCGCAGCTCAAGTACCGCCAACAGGAGCAAGGACCGTGGATCGTCGGCTTCAGCGATATCTTCCGGGAGTGGATCCGAAAAGCTAAAAATGACTACATTGAGTATGCTACTGGTTATCCTCGCGCCGCGTATATGATACGCAAGGAGGCCAGCAGAAACCTCTTGTTCAAGAAATTCTTGGAAGACAAACAGAAAGACAAGGCCTCCTTGAAGCAAGACTGGACCCATTTCCTCATCGCTCCGCTGCAGCGTCTCCAGCGATATATCCTCCTTCTTGAAACAGTAGAGCGAAAGATGGTAGGGGAAAGCGAAGAGCTAACTAACCTTAAGCGAGCCATTGAAGAGATTCGTGTGGTCACCCTAGAGTGTGATGCCAAGGTTGCTGAGACTACCAAGAGAGTGGAAATGATGGATCTCGACCGAATGCTCATATTACGACCAGGCTTCCAGTCTGTGCTTAACCTTGACCACCTTGGCAGAACTCTTGAAATACAGGGCGATTTGCAAAGACTGAGCACGAGCGGTATGAAATGGGTGGACACACATGCCCTGCTGTTTGATCACTATTTGATTTTGTCAAAGGTGGTCATCTCTAGAGACGGCAGAGGGGAGAAGAAATACGATGTTTCCAAAGAGGTAAGCCTTTTTATATCTTGTCATTTCATGTCCAAGCAACGAACGCTAGCTAACCTTGACAGCCAATTCCGATGCCTCTTTTGTTCCTGGAAAGTAACAATGACGAGCCCGTCATCAAACAAAAGGGTATTACGGCTCCATTGGCCAGGACAGCAGCTGTTGGACCTGCCGCGGTGCCCATGAATCAGCTCAACAAAGTGCCAACAAACAATACCATCCGACCAGGCCTTGAGCATGCTGCGACCGGCTCGACCACCGGCTCATCGACGATGCTCACGCCAGCAGCAGGACCCAACGAAGGCGAAACCAACATCCTTTATCCCTTCAAGATCAAGCATTTGGGCCATGAAGTGTACACGCTCTATGCATCAAGTGCTCGAGACCGAGCAGACTGGTGCACCAAGATTGTCGAGGCCAAGACAAAGCATGCGAAGGCGCTGCACTCTCAGAACGCAGAACCGTTCAGGCTTCGTGTACTTGCCGATGCTTCATTTAACTACGACGTCGCCTCTCCTCACGCAAGATCTGCCGGGGTTCCTGTCAAGGGCACGCCGCTCGACAGAGCAATTCAGGAGTTGGAAGGCGTCCTTGGCTCTGGGCAAGGCGTGGCTCCCGTGTGTCGTGCCCAGGTGAATTGCGCCACGGCTTTCTCAGCGTTCGGCAAGGCCGTCATCGCTATCGGAACAGACTACGGCATCTACATCGCAGACCCTTCAAACCCTCGAGGATGGACTCGGGTAAGTAGATTAATTACTCTTGGTCTCAACTATTATCATTTTACTAATGTATTATAATATCTAGACGGTTCAAATCGCCAGAGTTACGCAAATCGCCGTTCTGGAAGAGTTCAACGTGTGCGTTGTAATTGCAGACAAGTCATTAATATCTTATCCTTTGGATGTGGTAGCCCCTGTCTCAGAATACGCTGCGCCTGTCAATGACAACCCCCGAAAGGCTCCTCAAAGGCTGGCCAAGGATGTGACCTACTTTGCGACTGCAAGGATGAAGGATCGAACGCTGCTGTTCCACAAACGAAAAGAAGGCTTACACACCATGTTCAAGGTCCTTGAGCCCATCTTGCAGAAATCTTCGGAAAAGAAGTCGCGATTGTTTGGAAGGGGCAAGAGTGCTTCGGGAAGCACGGAGTCCTTCCGTGACTTTGACGAATTCTTTTTCCCGACAGAGTGTTTCTCTCTAAGTCTTTTCCAGACTTACATCGCCGTGTCTACATCCAAAGGCATTGAGATGTTGACGCTTGACAAGAAGCAGCCAATCTCCATTCCCGATCTCAAGGCCGCAGCAATTTCCAATATTGCCAACCGCATCCGAGAGCAGCATCCTCTGGGCATGTTTCGACTTAACGAGAACGAATTCATCCTCACGTATGAGGATTGTGCCGTGTACGTCGACAAACACGGCGAAGTGAGTCGAACCCTCATCATGGAGTATACGGGCAAGCAGAAGAAGGCCAAGGGTGCGACCATGTACGGACAGTATCTCATTTTGTACAATGAGGACTACGTCGAGGTCCGTAACGCTGACAACGGACGGCTACGGCAAATCATTGCGGGACGCGATGTGCGGCTGATTGACTTTGGCGTGAGGGGTCCAACGGGAGACAACGCGGCACAGGCTTCGCAGGTATATAACCAAAACGGTGGCCTGTCAACGGCGGGCGACGTTTCTAAGGGAACTGTCAAAATTGCCATGTCTCATCCGGAGCTGTCGGGCAGACAGGTCATCTTGGAGATGCTTCTCAACGATGGCCATGCTGAGTAACAGCAGTGACGCAGAATTCTCTTGCTGGCACTCGCGCCGATATATGAGAGGGAGAGAAAGAGCTTTATGGATGAGACAATGTTGTTATCAATAGTGTCTTTGGAGCTCTGTTTTTATTTCCTGTTTGAACAGGCTGGATTTTTTTTTATGCTTCTTCTTTCTATTTCATCTTTCTGTTATTTCTATCTGTATCTCGGGGCAGTGGTTTTCGTATCACCAGCTCCTTTTTTTCTCATATATCCCCTCCTTTTGTTTGTCCTTTTATTTTATTTTTCTTGGCACGGCGCTTGGGAGAAGATGGATGCAACTGTTAAAGAAATAAAGCTCACGAGGGAATAATGCAAAAAAAAAAAAAAAAAAGCCTCTAAATGAATTTCATCATTTTCTCTTGATGACTTTAATCTGAGATGTCTAGGTAGTTTATGTCTGCTAGATACTAGATGAACGTGCTTTATACCACTTTTGACGTTTTTTTGGAATATCAATGGTTTTTTCTTTTTGGAGAAGATGGTTCAAGTGTTTCTTACATAGGAGTCACCAGGTTCGCAGTCAGTCCAGTAAATAGAGAGGTTATTGTCGGATAGAAAAACATAAAATTGCTTAAAGTGCCCTACGTGAGCAATCTAACCCCTTTCTCTCTTCTGATCCTTGCGGAATTCATGGTCCCCTCACTCGATACCGATGATGTCAATCGGCTTTAACATGCAATAAAAAAATAATAAAAAATAAAACCCCTCTTATAGGCAAAGCAAGTACTGTACAAGCAAATCCCAACCCATGGCAAATTTTGCGCAATTAACGAGGCCCCCTCGCATCTGCTTTCCCTCTTTGTTTTAGCCATGTCTCGGCATGGCCGCGTCTATCAAGATGGAGAGAATTTCATGATATGACGGATATGACGGTTAATATCAGGTCCTTGTTTATGGATATTTTGTTCAAAGCTTTTTTCCTGTTTTTGTGTGTTTTAAAGAAGCACCTTGAACTTTTTAAGCCTTGACCTTGGCCTCGACAACGTCCTTGACGGTCTCCTTCTTGTTCATCTCGTGCATGGTGATGCGGCTAATTTGAGTGATTCCGACGAGGGCGAGGAAGAAGTTGACAGCGGCGAGCCTAAGAGTGATGGGTTTCCATGTCAGTGGCTTTTCCCACCTCATATTTTTTTTTCTTGTCTGGATTATTTAACTTACAGCATGTTCTTGGGCTTAATGACAAAGCACCAGCGCGTCCAGATCAAACCGGTGCACATGAGAGAGAAGTTTTGCGCAAAGGACAGCTTCTCAGCAGGACGAGCAAAGTCGGAAATACCCGCCAGGACAAGAGCCCACTGTTGGAAAGAGTTGGAGTCAGCCAGTTGTTCAGTAATAACCCCCCCATCTAAGAAACCCAGAGCGTATATATATGTAGATAGAGGGAAAGTCGGAAAATCCTCACCTTCATGACAGGCGCCCAAAAGTGCACCGTCTTGATGCCAACCTCGCTCTCCCACGCCCTCTTGAACCAGCTCGCAGTCTCCTGCTGCTCCCCGGACGCCGTGCTCTGCCATCGCTTGCCCTGCTGGCGGAACTGCTGGCGGAAGAACTGCTGGTTCTGGCTGGTGAAGAAGGGCGAAGATCCGGCGGCGCGTTGGCGGAGGATGGGCCGGGCGGCGCGCAGAATGTTGCTCGTAGGGGCCATGGTCTGTGATATAAATGTTTGTAATTAGCATTCTGAAAACTAGGCATCTTTATATCGCGACGGCTTTTTGGAAAGCTGCCCTTTTCCTTGTCCTTTTCGCGCGATTCGTAATCGATACAACGACAGAAAACACAAAGTAGTATAATTCATGGGAGAAGAGACAGGGAACAGCTCACGAAACTCACTGGAAAAAAAGAAATATTCTGGGCAGTGGAAACCAGTTCTTCGTACTCGTTTACTGCAATTGTCTAAACAAAAAGGAAAGTTGGAGATTGGGAGAGCTCCCGAATAACTGCGCGGGCGGAACGGTTTCCCTTTAGCACCGGGATTCAGCCGACACCGGACTTTACTTTATGCACCCGAAGTTTGCATAAGCGCATAGTTGCAGTAAGCAGGGAATTTTATGCATGTGCATAATTCCCAAAAAGCCCCACCCATAACAACGACAAATGAGCTATCTCGATACTACACTTACGCAGTTGAAAGGCGCAAGTTTCCAGACATTTCCCATTCCAAAAGCTCCCCCCCCCATTGAGCCTCCCTCCTGCTCTTCTCTCTCGCCCAATCAAAATGTCCGCCAAATTCGCCTTCGCAAAGTCCCTCAAGGAGGTTCGCTTCCTCTTCTGCCAGACCTCCGAGAAGAGCGCAGCTGTTCGGTACGTTCGAAAAGCCCTTCTGATATCGCTTTTAGCTCTTGCCTTGTCCACCCGTGGAGTCGCAACAAAGGTTCCAGATGTGCACCTTTCCATATATTCGCTATACCTGTTATACCTACCTTCATGGGTAGCTATGCGCAGCTACCGTTTACCAATCGCCCGTCTCGTCGAGCTTCAGAACCCGAACAGCGAGCGCATTTCCAATCTTTCCCCACGACGGAGAGAAATTGGCACATGCATACACATACACGTAAATTCAGATATAAATTGAGCTAACAGAGAGGCACTCATGTAGATCTTTCCTCACCACCCAATACCCAGCCATCAAAAAGGCCAACCCCAACACCCCGATCCTCCTCCGCGAAGCCGCCGGCACTCTCCCCAAAGTCTACGCTCGATTCGGTACGTTTCTCGACCCTACCTTCAATCCAAACTCTAAGAGCGGAAGAAAAAGAAGTAGAAGAACAGATGGAGATGTGATTGATTATATGCTAACTGATACATCGGTTCCAGAGTTTGGCAATGAAAAGTCACAGTCTCTCGAAGGCCTGACAGACAAGCAGATCGAAGATACCGTCTCAGGACTGGTTAGCAAAGCATAAATTGGAAAGAAAGAATTGTATATACACAAAAAGAAATAAAAGAGGAGATTGTGTCGGACAAGGGCTTCTGGCCTGCATCCGTGTGAAGAAGAAGACGAGATATCAATATGGCCTAATGACATGGACGCTATAGTGTACAAATTCAAATGCATAGATGAAATACTACACTACCACTTCAATGGCTAGCTTGTGCCTATCTGCCTGCAATGCAACGTTGCTCCAGCCATGCAAAAGTCCTAATGACAGCGCGTAGTGCCTGGTAACTGCTCATCGACAGGAATAATCAATGATAGAAAATCTGGTTCTGGCGTATCTAAATACTCGAACATATCCCCTGAATTTCCATATCCTGACGGAAGCCGTCTAACCTAACCTAATTATTACACATTATCGCAATGCAGAATGAATATAAGAATACAATAACAGCTGGTCCAACACACATATTTCTTTCTCAAACAAAGACCGTTACTGGAGTGTAGCAGATCTAATACGCGATGCAGGCAACGAAGGCCAGTCCTCTTTATCAAGGGCAGCTTTCTTGCCAGGCGATGTAGCCTTCGAAGTGACTGGCTCTTTGCTCTCGCCTTCATTTCGATGCTTGTCTTTAGACCAGCTACGCTGAATCTCGGCAGGGTTATTCTCCTGCTGCCTTGACGAAGTCTCGAAACCACCACCCGCCTTTGAGCTGTCAATGCGTCGAACAAGCTTTTCTTTCGGCTGTTGAGATTTGGTAGGCGAGTTTTGCGCAGCCATTGCCCTTTGCATAATCTTGAACTTGGACGGTGATTGGTTCTCTCTGGGTAACTCTTCTTCCCCCCTCATTCGGAGTGAGCCTGCTTTGTAAAGATTTGGTGCCTTGACAGTATCCACTGCTGCAACACTGGCTTTTTGAGGAGATTCAAAAGCCATTGCAAGAGGGTTAAGTCGACTTTTCTTGGAAGAGTCTGCTTCCGTTATATGCGTTACTGAGTCCGGTCTAATCGAGTCATCGGTGCTCCTCATGGACATCTGGCCACTTACAGCATACTTAGGCTGTGGCGGTTCAAATCTGCTGGTCGAGGAAGCTTCGAATGTCTTTGAAGTGATTGCAGGATATTTGTTCTTCCGCTTTTTGGGAACCTTCAATGAGCCGCCCGCGCTGCTTCTAAACTCCTGTCGACCCCGAGGTAGAGTATCATATGAATACTGACTTCTAACATTTATCGTAGCCTGTTCTATAGGGCCCTTGAAAAGCTCTGTTGCGCGCTCCTCAGGCTTTTCCACAAAATGCACAGGACGAGAGGCAGATTCGGACATTGCAGGAGCCGACGTAAGCGTATGGGAGTCTGCTCGAGGCTCTTCCTTCTGTACAAAGGGCGTCTCCGAGACAGATGGCGATATATCTCGGCTACTGCCTTCATTCTGCAAGACAGTCAATGGCGTCAAGGTTGGACGTTTCTTGGATTTCTTGGATTTGTTCCACTTTGATTTTGGCTTGATCTGGCTATTTACCGTGTCGCTCGTTTTGTTTTCATCCGCGGGTGCCTGCGAATTCGAAGCAGTAGCATCAGTCTCCTCTGATTCAGTCTGACGTGGGCCAGCAATTTTCGTTTTTGAAGATTGCGTCTCTTCCTTGGTCGTCATATTGGTGGAAACTCTGCTTTCTGGTGATACCATAGGCAGTTGAGCTGATTTGGGGTCAGAGTCCAGTGATTCATCTTTGGTAAGATGTTGAGTTTCATCTTTGGCCAACTCTTCGGCTTTTGCTGACTGCTCTGCTTTGACCTTGTCCGACCCTAGCAAATTAATCGACTTGAGCTGATCCCGCTTCCTGATATGCAGTGTAGCAGTGTCTGCCTTTTCTGTTGTATTGTTCGACGGTTCATTCAGGATTGGTAGACTTAGTTGCTGGCTAGACGCAACAGTTGTTCCTAATTTTTTGGACTTTCGTGGATCCAGTGGCATAGGAATCCTATTCCAGGCCTGTTTTCGCTCTTTTATCTCCTTCTCAGTGTAGCTGGAGATTTGAGCACTGCCGTTTGTGCTAGATTCAACGTGCTTCTCGGGAGATGCCACTGTGGTTATCGGCGGTCTCTCAGTATCTGGTATGGGATTTTGCGTCTTCTTCAGGTCACTTGATGTTGTAGTTTCATTATCACCTTCTTTGTGTACCCGTGCGGCATTCTCAATTTCCTCAATCAAACTCGAAGTTTGGTGCTGACGGTCCTCCACTACAACTGGAGAAGGTGATTTGACTTTCCTATTGTTGTTCTTGGATATAGGACTGCCCGTTCCTGTAGTTGGGGAACTATCGTTACAAAAAGTTGCTTTGGGTGTATCACTTGAAGAACAGGTTGAGTTGATAGGAGTATTTGGTAGTGCAATGTCGACTATCTTTGGCGAAGAACATTTGCTACTGTCGCGATCTGAAGTTGTAATGTCGCAGCTAATGCTCTTTTCAATCACGGTTTCTTCAGGAAGCGACTCTGAACATGGAATACTCTCTTTTTCAGGATTTCCCACTTTTGGATAGTCCATCGCTTGAAGAGGGAACGAAGTTGGATCGGCAGCATGTTCTCTCGGTTCCTCAAAAGCGAAATGTTCGCGATTGGCCACAGCCATTTCAGTCGGAGTTGGCAATTTGACAGGCTTTTCATCCCACTTGGGCTCAACAACTGGTGATATGCTCTGCTTTTCCATGCGCTGACTCGATAAGCCTGCTTTGGGTAACGTTGAAGTACTCGTAGGGCGGGAAGGAATTTCATGCTGATCTGGTTCTGATGTGGAGGTACGGCTTGAGGCCAACGAACAACGAGGAGGCACCTGAACATGGGCGTGATTTTCACTTGGAGCGAATGATTCGTGTCGTGGCGGCTGCTGGTGCGTAATTGGCAGAGGTGGAAGCTTTCTCGGTTGTTGTTGCGGATGGCGCGGCTTCGTCCACTTTGATCGATGGACTGATTGAATGGTGATTCTGACCTCTTTCTCTGGAAAGATACCCCCACCAAAAGCAAGAGCTTGTGGGACCGAGGATTCACTCTCAAATCTACCAGGCGTTAGTGTGAACAAAATCGGTGATGAATAGTAAACTTACCTCACGATGAACGCATCTCTCTTCATTGATGCTGCTGGAAATGCCTCTTCCACCTTGCCAAACCTAGTGCTTAATACAAATTTGAGAAATGAGAGTACATCCATTATCGAAGAAAAAGCTGCAGAGCTCGCTCTCACCCAAACACTTCTGTTGCGTTCGTTACACTGGTCACAGGTGCAGTGGCAATACTCCATGCTTGAGCCAGCAGGATTGCGACACCAAGAGCTTTGCTGGGCCTTGTCCTGTGGAGGGCCTCGTCGCCGAGATTTGTTTGAATAGCTTTCTTGAAAGGCGGCATTGTGTTCAACTTGAGGCTGCTGGCTAGAAGCATATACATGAGTCCTTTGGCTCTGAGACCCTCGACGGTGTCCTATTCTATTGGTGTTGTTGTTGTCGTTGTTGTAAGGACGGTTATTGCTTGGGTATCCGTTGTGCGCTGAAGACACTGAAGAGCCATATGAATGTTCCTGTCTCGGTTGCTGAGTTGGATGAATACTTTCATCAGGGCCATTGGCAGGGGTATTGCATGGCATGGTAGATGGAATCGCGTGGGGGTGCATCCCTGCAGGGAACTGATGAGACGGCATAGCCTGAGGAGTTCCAGAAAACTCTCTGTATGGCATATTGTGAGGACCCGGTCTATTTTGTGCGGAATGGAATTGGTGGCTTTGATACGGGAACCCATGAGGCATTGCATGATGCTGCATGCCTCCTTTCTCTGGCTGCATATAGAAAGCTGCAGGTTCTGCTAGTTGCTGAGTGGAGGGAGTGAAGCCCTGTTTGAAAGAGTCGCTAGATGAGTTATCACTGGGCTTTCTTAATTCTGGAGACACCCTACGAGCTCTTTGGGTAGGCGGTAGTTGCTTCGGAGCTGTAGAATTAACCAGAGGTGCAACCACATTAGGGGTTTGATGTTGATCAAATCGCGTGGTATCGTGCATTGGGAAAGGGCCTTCAACTTCTGGCTGGAATCTGCCTCCGCGTCTCTGAGTCGATCCTGAGTACTAATCAGGTCGCTCAAAAGCCTGAGGCTGCTGCTGCTGCTGCTGCTGATGATGATGTTGTTGATGCTGCTGGGCTTTCATCGATGCCAATTGTATTCTCACATCGTCTGATCGACTGATATGAGTAGCATCTTGCTCTGCTCGCTTTTTGTCCGCAATCTCTTTCATAGGATTGCCCAGATTGGCGTCCGGTCCCCCTTTCTTGATACACAGTGAAGTATCAGATAGCTCTTGCTCGGTGATTGACAAAGCTGCCGACTCAGAGCTTCGTCTAACATCAGCGCTGGTAGAATGTTCATTATCCGCCGCTAGCTGTGACCTTCTGCGCCCAAGCTCCAGGCCGTCGCTAGAGATCATGGGAGATGACGTCTCTGGCATCGATGAGGTTCTGCGAGTGTCATTTTGGCTTTGTATTTCGTCGTTTTTCTTCTGATAGGCTTTGTTGATAGGTCCCTGCGGCACTTTTGGTGCATTGCTACCGTTGACGATGACTACGCCAGATTTGGAAAATGTTGCTGGAGACGAAACAACATTTGGGGGGTTGTACAAAGCTTGGACATTGTCGGCAGATTTCTGAACAGACTCTGGAGGCGAGAAACAGTTTGGCGGGAGATAGTAGTGTTTCCCATTCTGTTCAAAGCAGGGAGCTGGTGGATTGTCTGACATACGGTGAGGTTCAGATACAGGAGGCGGTGGCAGTCCACTACCGTCAAAAACTGGCTGTCCAGCTAGAGATAAATTAGATCCCAGGGCCTCACGAGAGCTAAATGATTTGGAAACTTACTAAGCCAGTTCTCAACGCTGTTCGTACGGAATGCTGTTACCAGATCAGCAGGCTCTTCAGCTTTCTCTGCTTCCATGTTAGAAAGAAGATAGGCACGACGACTTTTTAGTGCGCTCGCAATGAGTGGCACAACGTCATCTTGCAGCGAACCCAACGATTCATGGTCCTTATCATTGAGAATGCGATAGATGGAGCCTTGAGACTCTTTCCACTGCGTCAGTTTCTTGCGATTCTCCTTCAGCTTCAGCCACTCATCCGCCCAATGGCCGATATGAGCGGCTACTTCGCGCTTCACGTCAATCGAAATGAGCTTATTTTCATCCCAAATGGTATTGATGACATTCCAGAGGTTTAGACAGCCGTTATGATAGAGGTCATAGGCATCGAAGTAAGTCCACAAGTCATCCCAGCAGTAGGGCTGCTGCATATTCTTCAGCCCATCCCAATGGAGCTTGCGAAGTGAGTTGCAAATCGCTTGGATTTCGTCTTTGGTCCACAAGTGAATTCGACGCTGGGGTTGAATCTGATCCAAGTTCCGGAATGGTCGACTTCCGTTCGATGTTGAGATGATGGCTGCCGCTTTTGGAGGAATGTTGGCGTAGAAGCCGATAGGAAGATTGTCCTCCAAATATGTCTGGGCCACTCCTTGCGAGTGCACGCCATGGATCATTTTGTAGGTGACAGGAAGCCCATATGGATAGTATTTAGCATATGCTTCACGATCTCCATGGGGGAAATCTTCGGCGTAAACACGAGGGAAATCAGCCGCAGGAAGAACCGGATGCGGTGCCGGTAGTGGGTTCATTCGCATGGCCTCAGTCATGATGAAGTTCTTGACGATTGTCAGTAAGAGTGATATTGAGATTCAACAAAGCCCCAGAAGAAATTAAAATAAACAAGGACAGGGAGTGAAAGATGGCAAAGTGAATCGTTGAAACGAACGGACGCGAGCATCAATAATTGCTGGCACGCAGAGAAAGCGCTCATAGCACCAAAAACGAAATCCAAAAAAAGACGTGACGAGCGATGGAGATGAAGATGGAGAAGCAGAAAAGGAAAATAAAGGGTCAGGAAAATGATGATAAATGGACGTACCTGATTGCGAGCTCTTCTTTCTGATGAGGAAGGTGCAACGAGCCTGGGTAGCTGTGAATTCGCTTAGATTCGAGACGAAGGCGAGTTTCTGCAACGCAGAGATTGATGAGAAATTGTTCGCGGCTATAAAAGAGGCGGGATGCCAGCCTTGAATAGAATATAGAACAGTAGGGATCCGTTTTTGCGTATCCAACAACTTTGCTGTTGTGCAATGAAAAGCTTTGAAGTTACTGTGCGTTGCCGGTGAGAGAAGAAGAGAGAAGAGGAGAGAAGAGATGGAAGAAGAGGGTGGGTTTAAATTGGGTGAACCAAATTTTCATCCGATGTAGAAGAACTGCTGGGAAAAATTGTTATGGCGAGGTGAATGAAGACTGACAAATCTGCAGCGTGAATCTTACAACTGGAAGACAGCTGGCAACGGTGGAGCTCTAGAAGGTAAACGCTCTCAAGACGCTGTTTGTAACGAGCTGTTTGTAGTAAACTGTAGCTATGGCGCTGCTATAGAAGCCGTAAACCGGTGGTGTCCTCTGCAAACAAACTTTGCGATCCGTTTGCCTTTAGTAGCTCTGATCGCAGAGAGTGAAGCCGTTCGATAGCATCAAGGCAGATACACGGAAAGCGGAGACATCAACATATATCAAATAACAATCCTATTTTTTTTTTCTCACTACCGTCTATAATGCCCAGATAGTTTTGTTCCAAGGAGTGGGGTATATATGAAGATGCAGCTTATGAAGCTTTTTTTTTTTATACATGATGATTTGCTTGCGATGCTCATTTCTGAGCGTTTAGTAGCTTCAAGATCTCGGACTCGTTGTCCCCTGCAATCGCCTTGCCGTTGCTCCAGTCAACCGTCTATCAAAGGATTAGCCACTGCGCTCCATGAGTTATTTCCCCTTGACAATACTTACCAGCGGCCGTAGCAAGTTCTCCTTGTTCTCCTTGAACTTCCTCAGCGCATCCTTGTCGTCTCTTGCGCCCTTGACGACCTGAGCGGCGCCGTTCTGGCCAACGTACTGCAAGATTGTCTCCACCTGATCGAGGGTTGGGGCGTCCTCGGTGATGTTGAGCTCAAATGGGTCGCGGCGAGCACTGGCATCGTCGACGGCACTCGTCTGGGCGCTCGTGGATGCCTGCTTCAGCAGGTTGGACACTCGCACAGAGGCTGGAGAGCTCGCCTTGTGGAAGAGCGTGATTATGTCGAGGGTCTTGCGCTATACGGCGGGCTGCGTTAGCTGCAATTGGCACGATTGCCAGTGACAAAAGCTGCTGAATTGACCTACAAATCCGAACATGTTGGGCAGAGGTGTTGTGTAAGATAATTGCTGGTTGTTGGGCAATGAACAGCAATTCGGTGTGCAGAGCAATAGACGCAGAAGTGAAGAATGACGTTATTTGCGTTCAGAGGACTTGTTGCGCGCAAATAAGCTGCCCACAGCGTGGCCCGTGCGGCTCTTAGCAGCATCTCTTGGCATGCAGCCACTAAGGCATCTGCTACAAGGACCTACCAATTGAGGTAAACACCAGGGGAATAGCGATTTAAATATTAGACATTGGTCTATAAGTTCGTCATGATGCATATTTGTCTCTCTTATTTTCCATTTGGCAATGTCTCTAGCTATGTAAACTCTATCAATGTGTCGATTCAATCCAAGATCCATAATCTCTCATCCTTGTGCCAAAACGCCGCCAATATTTGCAATCATAGTAACCATACAGCTTCAACCAGATAGTATATCCCTTTATCAGAGCTCTTTCAATGTCTCGAAACATGATCTTCTGCCCATCTTTTGCCGTTGGAGTAAATAAATCGTGTGAAATCTTAGGCCTGCTTTTTGAACTTCTTCTGGATTTCTTCTTCTGAAAATTTGCGTGTCAGGCTCCTCAAAAACTTGATTCGTCCCTCCATCGTGAGATCTGCTTGGGCTCCAAGCGGAACCATGCATTTAGCCAGGGTTTCATAATCTTTTACAATCAGTCGGTAAGTAATCATCAAGAAGTCAATGTTGTGAAATAGAATTGCTCCTTCTTTGCCATAGGTTCTCCGCTGCTCCAAGAAAGAGATTGGGTGATCGCGCCAATGTCTGAGCGGGTTAAGGTGGTGCGAGGTATGATAACCATCATTGAAGCAGAATCGGTTGCTCTGCAAAGAAAGACATGTCAATTCCCACATTTTCAAATCGCCAGCTTGAATACGAAGAGAGTTTACTCACTGCAACATCCACCAAGGTGATGCTTGATCGGTAATCAGAGTCTGGCTCGTCGGGGTCGACAAAAGCATGCTGGCCCCAGTTGCCCGCCATCAATCCCAGTCTCATCAGTAGGAACGGGATGATGTACACAAAAAAGGTGGCTTGTTTGTTGACAAAGGTTGCCATGGAATAATAGAAGAAGTAGGTGCCGAATTCCCAGCCTGCTGCTCGCAGAGCCAATCCCCAGCGGCGCTTTTGCATAAAGTACGTGGGAAGATCCAACCAGACGAGGAAAAAGAAACGCGACACGTAGTGAAGGAAATGGAAGATGTCGTCTCGTTGGTAGCGGATCGTGGAGGACAGGTCATCTGGCCCGTTGCCTTCGATGTGGTGGTGTTTGACGTGGTGGTAAAAGTATGAGTTCCACGTATGTCCCATCAAGGGATCCGTAATGTACGGAAATAGCTTGTCAAACAAGGCGTACTGCTTGGACAGGATTCCACGCTGGTGAATGTGCTGGTGCATCATGAGCGTGTAGGTGCCAACATAGTAGACCTGCATAACAGCATGGACGATTCCATGGATGAGGTTAAAGTTTCGGAATAAAATGATGGCGCTCGGGACTGATGTGGTAAAATACAGCACCAGATGCACAATCATCACCACGTCCGTCTCATGCCGGGCTGTTTTCCGTGCCCAGCGAACGAATGGCTGCAGGACAAGATTGTTGACAGACTTGGGAAGGCGGTTAGGGAGGTCGTCAATGGACACAAATATGGTTGGCTCAAAGTGAGCATCGCTGGGGTCTCTCAGGGACTTGAGGAGAGCAATGTCCCTGACGGCCTCAATTGAGTCCTTTTCGTCCTGCGGTTCAGCCCGGGACTCTGCTAAGACATGGTGCCAGTCATTGTCAGCTTTGGATTGTTCCGCGCGAGCCTCCCGTCTCTTAGTGATGTCGTTCTCCAAATTTTTCAGCACAACGTGATCTGCACGTGTGAGACCGCCGTCATAAAACAGTTCGCACTCCATGGTGAGATTATCGCGAAGAGCATTTACAGACAGCTCATGAAGCTTTTCAAAACGGCGCACCGAGTCTAGTATTAACCATGGCAGAAAAAATCCCCCCTAAATTATGGCTCAACCGCTTTGTTCGGACATGCCTGCCAGCGCATCCACCAGCGAGATTGCATGGGTCTCCGCATTTTGCTTCCTCCACGCCTTCGCCGTGTCAGTGAATTGGAGCTCTAAGACCTAGTCCAACCTACACAAGCCACTTCACGTTCGTTTGGCGTGAACTTACACCCAAATAGTTTCAATCATCTATGCTCTTTGCGGCGCCATTTCACTTTCCGCGCCTGATAGCTTGGCAGACGGCAATGGCTCTTGCTAAATCATGTCGCCAAAGCTTTGCCCGGCTTGCTTCGCCCAGCTCCGGCGTCTCCACTGATTTTCTGCCGGGGGTCAGCTCCAGAGGAAGGCTACTTTGGCCTGATGCAAAACAAAGGGGACCATTGTTCGGCAGATTTGGTCGACTTGGTCCCCTAATAGTGGATCTCAGCTTGGGCAATGTTGCGGTGAATCTGGGCCAAGAATGGAGTGCCGACGTGCTAGAAAGGCGACACGGAATATGGCATGGTTTGATAACTGGTGTTACGTCGGCTGGGCGGCTGGACGGCTGCGCCCTTGTGACGCGGACATGTTATATTTTAAAACTGTAAGTTTCACTCCTTCAAAGGGTATCAGTCATATCGTCGTTTTATGCTTCCCAGGTATCGATTTGTATCCCCTGTTTGCGCTCTACGCCAGATCGTGAGATTGTGATGAGTCGCCCATCTCACGATCGTCCGAAACTCCCTGGCCCAAGGGAAGAAATTCTTGGCCCGCGTCCTGTTTCGGGGCTGAGCTGCATCTGCCACTGCCCGTTCTAGGAATCGTTGCAGATTAAATCGCCTGATGCTCGAACCAATAGAAGAATTCTCGGCGCTCATTCGTTCAGTAGCGCATCTCAAAAGGGGGCAAGACAAAAGCCGTCGGTCACTAGCCCCGGAATAGAATAATACAACCAGAGATGCTATGGTCTTAGATCTAGGACGTGATAGGCCTATTATCAGCCTGTTCCAGTCTGAAATACAGAAGATGCAGAGAGGGAAAAGATCCAATAGCTGAAAGGCATGCATAGAAATTAGAACCAAGAGGTAGTGCAGCATATTTGTACATGGCTTGCAGTTGTAACAGGCATTGGCTATAGATAGGCATCTTTTTACCACAACACCTTGATCTATTAGAGGGCTGCTTATTTTGGCAATCTGATCGTCCAGATCAAGAAAACCATCAATGTTGTGCGACTCGGGAAGAGCGCGCTGCGTTTCCGACAAATGTGGTCATCTTTTGCCAGATTGGCCGTCCACCTTTTATGAGGTCTGGAGGGTAGGGTTAACATAGATGAACTGCTATGCTCTCTCATAGGTTTTATTGATGAGGCGTGCAAGTAATGGCTGGTCTTCATTCTGGGTCATGTAAATTGTTTTCACGATCGGATTCCCCAAGGCTAGGTTAGCAGCATTCAAGGAAGAGATCGTCTACCATTTTCAAGACCAATGAGGATTTCCTATTGGGCCCTGGGACTGCATACGTTAACTCCACGCAAATTAAATAGAGGAAACGGCTAGTAGCTAAAACGTATAAATAACAATAAAATCGGGCGATGGTGCAGCATATATAGCTTGCCTCGCACACATCCTGTCTCTGTGCAGGGTAATAGCCAGAATCGACTGAAGGCCTGATACCCTAAAATGCAGTATGGGGAAAGACGGTGGTGTTCAAGTGACAGGTAGAAATTATTCTCTGTATGAGAGACTTTACTGCATTGTCTATACAAGTAATTGCCTTTAGATAACTTGGAAACTGCAGAAGATATGGGTGGGTGGATGGGTGGGTGCGTTTGCCACCAAGGCTCTCTGCGCATCAGTCGCAGCTTGTTGAGATTGTCCTTGACACCAGTTTTACATCAACGCTCTGATCAATTGAGCTTTTTTAGATGGCCATTCCAGCGCGCTATATCTATGACGTTCCATCCCACATAATAGTGTTTCTCATGTCAATCGCCGCGATTCAGCTATCATGACGTATGATGAGATCAGCAGTGGAGACTTATAGCAGTAAAGCTATCGATATTGTTCATGATGGTGAGTATTTAAAGAATCAAGCGTCGAAGCTTTTCATTTCAAAATAGAGACATTAACATTATTCCTATATCATAAACACGCATTTCTTCAAAATAAACATACAATCAGCAATCATGTCAGGACACTCCAACGTTGGCACATCTGGCGTTTACGAGGCTGGTGACCAGCGAAACGTCAAGAACTCCGAGATGCAGCACGCTGAGCGATTCAACGAGGGACAGGAGGGATCACATATCGGACTTGATTCAAGTACGAATCTTCAAATATTGCTACTACATGGCCGCCTATGCTGACTTCTTCCTCAGAAGACCAACGCTCCATCGCCAACAGGCTAGCGGCGGAAGAGGTACGCTGCTGAATTCTGTCATTTCTACGTACACACACGACTAACATTGTCGCAGCAAAAGTCAGAGCCTGGCGATGACAGAGAAACAGCCGCCTTGAAAGAGGACCCGACACTTCCTGTAAGTACTCATCTATAGCTTCAATGACGACAAGCTGACAGTATGAAGGCCAAAATGCACGGCAACGAGCCATCACGAGGGGCCAAGGTCGACGCTGAAATTGCAGCGGAAGAGGAAGAGTACTTACAACGGAAAGGCAAGGCTTAAACGAGCTAAATTGGTTTGCAATTTGAACGATTCAGAGCTTAGTCGGAGATGAGAATGCACCTTTGTTATTATTAGGCCATGAATCATGTATATTTATCCGCCCGTGGGTAGCCAGCAAGGCTGCTCAAAAAATTTCTGTCACTGGTATAGACATTTGAAAAGCATCTATGCTATACTCGTATAAAAAGCATTGTATTAATAGGAAAAGAAATTATCCAACCTTCCTGTTCTGTTATTCCGCATTCTGAGGCTACTCCAACTGCTCCTGCACCTCCTGCTACCTTTCAGGGTACACATTGATAATGAAACAGTTTTATACATATACAGACTGCTTTGTTGAGCCATAGCTGGAGTGCTGAATCATGGAATTGAAATGCTGAATGGATGTTTCCTATTGATATCACTAGAACGGGCACATTGCAAGTGGATGAGACAAGTAAAAGTTCGAATGAAGAATGTTTATTTAAATTGAATGCTAACATATCCTAGACCTGTAGTGATCTCTGTTAGCGAAAAGTTCAGGCCAAAACAAAGAACAATAAGTAAACAAAGACGCTAGTTCTCAGGATATGTAAGAAAGAGTTTATCATTTAGACATTTGGTATAGCATCTCCGGCGAGAGAGCCACCGCATGTGATCAACCGCAAATTACCTCATCATCGTACTGGCGCAATGCACAAAGAAAGAGAGAAAGAGACGATTATCCTTACCTCACCTCAAAGACTCAGGAGTCGTAGGATTGTAACGAATCCTTGTGAAGAATCTTTTGCTTTTCAGCAGAAATACCATCGAGTAGTAGGTATTCTGGACAAAGAGGCTCAAAATTTTTAGCTCGGGCGCAGAGAAGAAGAAGAAAAGGTGGCGGTCCTAGCGCACAACTTGGACTAGCGCGTCTTTGTCAGCTCGGCAAAATAGAAACTCCGGAAGAATTAAAGCTTGTGCGGGCAGAAAATTATTTGCCCTAGGGCTCAAAAGCCGTCGAAAGTCGAAAGCGTTCTCCAGTAAACGCTGCTGCCCCAGAACAATCCCCCGAGCGGCAGATTATCGTCGACATCTGGTATGATACACGCGTGTTCCTCCACTTCATTCTTATCCCGAATGAATTGCGACTTCTTCGAACCAACATTATCCGACTAACACGCCGTCGAAACAGATTCAGTCACAATGGGCGAAGCACTGATTGAGGGTTCAAACTGGCGCCTCGTCGAGGTCGGCCGCATCGTGCTGATTAACGGCGAGCACCCCTACAGCGGCCGCCTGGCCGCTATCGTCGAGATCATCGATCACAAGCGAGTACGTTGACGTATTCCCCGAAGACTTGCGACTTTTTCACCAGGGCAGAAAGCTAATCCGATGACATCCAGGTTCTCGTCGAGGGCCCCTCTTCAGACCCCAAGCTCAAGGTTCCCCGACAAGCCCTGCACCTCACCAAGGCTCTCCTCTCTCAGTTCGTCATCGAGAACCTGCCCCGAGGCGCCCGACAGACCGCCCTCACCAAGGCCTGGGAGAAGGCTGAGATCGACGCCAAGTGGAAGGGCAGCAACTGGGCCAAGAAGCGCGAACAGATTGAGCGAAGAAAGGCTCTGACCGACTTCGACCGCTTCAAGGTCCTCCGCCTCAAGAAGCAGCGACGATTTGAGGAGCGCAAGGCTCTGGCCAAGGTCAAGGCCTCCGCATAATTGGGATGTTCGCTCTGGAGTCACGGAGAGGTTGATCGGGTGGTATTAGAATGAAGGGCATGGATCCGGACAGGAAACGCATATACAGCAGCAAAAGTTCTGCTGGATTCATTTTCGCTCCCTTTCTGGAAGGGCTGTATGTTGTCACATATCATCGTTTATGATGAACGGCGTCGATACGGAAATTCAGAAAAAATGAATTCAAAGCTTATAGGGAGGATTCTCATTGTGGATCTTTGTGGTGATTTCGTGTAGTAAAAAAAAAAATACCCATGAAATGCATGTAAAATATCTCTACAAGATCTCCCCCTTCCCCTTGATATTTGATACTACTAGTATACGCAATCCGTAGCCGTACGTTATAAATTCCCAATCTTACTGCGCTGGTTAAAATCTGGCGGCGCAAAAGCCAAAATGCCTCTGATTCCCTAGTGCCTAATTGGGTTTAGCCGTCTACCAAGCCCTACCTAGGTACCTAGGTAGAATTTGGCAGCTTCTCGTCTCTTAACACAAGTCTATTGCGCAGTTTGTCACGTTGTAGATACAAACCAACTTAATCGTCAGGTTAATCGCATAAAATGTGAGTATCTCAGCTGTTGAAATTTTTTCTGCCTATTTTTCGAAGCAGCTGGGCGCCATCAAGCGATAACGAAGCTCGCTCGCCTCGTTTCAAGGAAGAATATTGTCGTGCGAAAGACGAAAATTCAGCTAATATTTACCCCACCACAGTCATCAAAATGGCCAACCCTCGAGTTGAAGAGCTCCCCGACGACGAGACCAAGACCAAGCCCACGGTCGAGGAACAGGATGAGTCCAGCGACGAATCCGAAGCTGAAGAGCTCGGCGAGGGTCTCCCCGCTGGCTCTACCGCCGTTGTCCACTCCCGCCAGGAGAAGAAGGCCCGCAAGGCTCTCGAGAAGCTCAACCTGATCCGAGTTCCTGGCATCACTCGCGTCACCCTCCGCCGCCCCAAGAACGTAGGTTTTTCATAATTGAGAAGGGGAAAAGTTGGGATTTTCAAGACGGGAGCTAAAACAGACATATACAGATCCTCTTCGTCATCAACAACCCCGACGTCTACAAGTCCCCCAACAGCAACACCTACATGTGAGCAAAGAAATCAACTTACGATGACGAAGGCTGGGACGGAAATATCTAACAATTCTGCCAGTGTCTTTGGTGAGGCTAAGATCGAGGACATCAACGCCACCGCCCAGCAGGCTGCTGCCGCCCAGCTCGCCGCTGCTAATGCCGAGGGTGAGCACGCCGGTCACAACCACGATCACGATCACGACCACGACCACGACCATGACCACGACCACGACCACGATCACGACCATGGCAAGGAGGGTGAGTCCTCTGAGGCTAAGAAGGAGGAGGAGGAGGAAGATGATGGTGAGGAGGTCGATGCCGAGGGTCTTGAGGACAAGGATATCGAGCTCGTCATGACCCAAGCCAACGTCAGCCGAAAGAAGGCCGTGAAAGCACTAAAGGAAAACGACAATGATATTGTCAATTCCATTATGGCGCTGAGTATCTGATGACGGGGTATATGGGCAGGGTGGTTGAAATTATATCATTAGTATGCGCGAATAAATGCGCATAGGGATCTGTATTATTGTTCATCAAAGAGCTTTACTCGTCCTCTAAGAAAGCAAGTTATTGCGTACTTGACATGTTTCTATTATGCGAATTGTGATATGAACTTTTGCCGGTGCTCATGTAATTGATGAGCTTATCAAGGCCATATGATGGCCCCATTTTATCATTGAGATTCTCAACCTCGTAATACTCTGGAATCTACAGGTATTTACATGCGCATACCCGAAGATTTGAGCTCTACATAAGCCCATTTACGTCGCAGCTCTGCAGACTAACTGCTGTAATATGCAATGCTGCATGCATCCAACTGGTTAGGCGCGGCTAAAGGAAAAGTCATGCGCAAAGTCACGTGCCACGATTTGCAACCGGAGCGGACTGGGCAAGTTTCGGCAAAGTCAATCAAACCTCCATTCAAGATCTCGCTGTGAATCTTTAAAAGAGACCTCACAACACATCTCAAAATGGCCACGGTTAGTTCCCCTCTCTAATTGCCGCAGAATTTTCAAGATATCCAACATCGCACGGACAACGCAGCGACCGATGAAGAATTCCGACCACTACTTATGCGCAATATCACTCTTGGGAAGATCCATGAGCTAATTTTCATCTTCTCGTCGAATAGCGAAGCGCAGCTCTCAAGCTCGACTGGGTCAAGGTCTCCTCGTCCCTGGGCCTCCGCGGCCAGACCGTCGCCTCCCTCCAGGCCTTCAAGAAGCGCAACGAGGATGCCCGCCGCAAGGTCCAGCAGCTGACCGAGCAGCCCACCACCGTCGACTTCGCCCAGTACCGCTCCGTCCTGAAGAACCAGGCCGTCATTGACGAGATCGAGAAGCGCTTCAAGGCCTTCCAGCCCACCACCTACGATGTCAGCCGCCAGATCAAGGCCATTGACGCCTTCGAGGTTGAGGCCGTCAAGAACGCCGAAGCCACCAAGCAGGCCGTGGACCTGGAGCTGAAGGATCTTGCCGCCACCCTCAAGAACATTGAAGAGGCCAGACCATTCGAGGAGCTTACCGTCGATGAGGTTGCCGCCGCTGAGAAGTCCATTGACGAGAAGACCGCCGAGCTGGTTTCCAAGGGCAGATGGATGGTGCCTGGTTACAAGGTACGTGGATCGACTCCGGGCTTTACTTTGATTTTGCAGTGCTAACCCCCCTATAGGAGAAGTTTGGCGACCTTGCCATGGTCTAAGAAACTCATTTTTACCCTATTTCGACTTCCCTTTGTGTACTCTAGCATTGTAGATACAAGAACTTGGGGCAGGGGCGTCCAGTTTCTGCTAATTGTCCATTTCCTGCGTCCCCTTATGTACCTGTGCACAAGAAGAGGGGAAACAAGAAGATATAAAGATAAACCTGGAGGCGGCGATAGATTTAAAAAGGTGGAGGAGCTTCGCATGAGTGTATGAGTGTGAGTGAGATAGGTTATAATAATGAAATTTTTGACAGCCAGACGAATGGAATAATATATTGGCCCAGCGACACTATCTTGCCTGCAAACTCGTTTTAAACTACACGACACCAGGGAAGCGCTGCCAGTGATGTTTGTTTGTACTCTTCTTTCGAAATTTGAACCTTCTAGAAATATGCGAAATCAAGCCATGATAATCTCTCAACTCCTCCCGTAAATAATGCTCATACACCGGAAGTAAAAAAAAACCTATTTCTCGCATGCTCGAACCTTATAGCAAGTCTTCGACACGTATATATCTCTCGTCTTTTTTTTTTTTTTTTTTGCTCGCTTTTCGTTTTTGCTTTTTTCTATTCTTATCTATGCCTTTGCATACTTCTGGGTCCACTCTTTCGCCGTCGCAATGGCAGCAGCTTCGTCTTCTTTCCAGCTCTTAGCGACGTCGGGAGCGAGAGGATCGTCGGGGTTGGGAGCGCCGAGAAGGGCCTGGATGGAAAGCAGGATCGTCCGAATCTGCAGGGCAGGCGACCAGTTATCTGTGACAACGTATAAGTATTGGAAAAATGTTTTCAACGCATTCAACAACGTACTCTTAAGCACATCTAGACAAATGCGACCCAGCTTGTCAACGTTTGGGTGAAAGATCTTGGTGAGGAATCGAATCTTGGGAGGAGTCATGGGATAGTCGTCTGGGAGGAAAAGCTCCAGCTTGAAAATGCCGCCTAGATATCCCGTCAATACCGTTGCTTCAAGTTGCGACGTCTTCAGAAATCGCCGATGTACCTTCGTATGGTGAGGATGCGGGGCCGTGGATCTCGACGTCAAAGTACCGCAGGTTGTCTTCATGAGGCACGGCACTGATTCCGGGGACTCTACACAAAGGAAAGACGTCAGCGGCTCAGGTAGGACCAGGATGGCGAGAGGCAACCGGATGGAGGGGCGCACGGTTCAGCCATCAGGCGTTCTGTTTCCTTCACGATGCGCTTTGGGAGGGCCATCTTGGCGTAACTTTTGCTGTCGCGAGAAACGATGAGGTTCGGTATGTTGGGAGTATGAAAGTAAGGAGAGTGGTGGTCCAGAGGCCTTGCGCCGACAATGCAGCTGATAATGTTGCAGCCGTTAGTTTAGGTAGAACGTGACGACCGAAGTGTTGCAGGGAGGAAATATAAGGCGGGGCATGCGACACCGAAAGACTCCAGGCAAGCCGAGGGGCTGTTTGCGATAAGAGTGCGCAAAGAGCAAGGCAGAGTGAGCAAGAAAATCTTATAGGCGGGCTTGGATCTTTTTAATGATTTTTCTTCCCCTTCTTCTGCAACTAATCGTACAGTATGATATTTTCATCGGGATGAGCTCCTTGTTTTAGATCTACACGCTGTACTAGACTAGATGATTTCTCCAACCTGAGTTGATGATCAAGGTGCGCAGCGACTCCATTGTGTGCTAGACAGTGCTGCAGTGCACATGGCTTAGCGTTTCGGGCGACAGATCCTCTATAGCGCTGTCAGGTTTAGTCCAGGTACTGACGCCGGCTAAATTCCCAGCTCAGTGACTTGCAGTGTACTTGGCCGTCACTGGCCGTCACTGGCCTCCCTAGCTCTCTCAGCCTGGCGCGCATCCAGTCAAAGGTCAACCACCAATTTCACATCATCTGACGACGCCTAGCCAGAATCACCGTATTGAACTCTTTGTAGCCAGACTGAAATTTCATATCGCCCCTATGTCATCGGATGGATAATGAGAGCTGCGCATAGCTGCCGGCAGTTACACGACTGTCACTTCAGCTTGGACAAGCATCACCACCAAGGCTCGCAGATGAGCCGCGACATGCGAGACACAGCCAATCTTCAGGAGATCACAGAGGACGATGCCGGCATTTGACCAGCCCGTGGATTCGCCCAAGAAGGGCCGAATCGTAAAGTCGGCGTATGATAGCGATAGCTTCGAGGCCAATGGCTCAATCCACGTTGAAGGCGTCGTCGGCTCTGCTACTATTTCGCCCTCAGGACGGGATATTGCCCTGGCATCGTGAGTTGGCAACGCGTCGAAGCGCTCTGTAATGACTACTAACAACCCCTTTTAGTCCCGAAGGGCTTGCAATTATTGACTTGGACTCGCCATACAGCCCGCCACGGCGTCTGCGAGGCTCTGGCCAGCCATGGCTGGTTGTCGATGTGCAGTGGTCTCCATTCACTGCCCGAGACTATTGGGTCGTCTCGACTGCAAATCACCGCGCATTGGTGTGGAACCTCAATCTCAGAGATGATTCAAACACCGGAGCAATCGAACACTCCCTCCAAGGCCATACCAGAGCCATCACAGACGTCAATTTCTCTGCTCACCACCCCGATCTCCTTGCGACCTGCTCTGTAGATGGCTATGTGCACTGGTGGGATCTCCGTCGGCCTCGCCAGCCGGTGCTCACCTTTTGCGACTTTTTTGCCGGAGCTACTCAGGTCAAGTTCAACCGCCGAGATCCTCACATCCTCGCTTCGTCACATGATCGTTGGTTGCGGATTTGGGATGAGCGAAAGGTTTCCGAGCCCGTGAAGTCGATCGACGCACACACATCCAAGATTTATGGATTGGACTGGAGTCGAAGCGACACGACAGGCCTTGTTACGTGCTCATTAGACCAGAGCATCAAATTTTGGGATTATAGCAATGATGGCGATGAATTGGAGCATGTTATTCACACGGAGTACCCGGTTTGGAGAGCCCGCCATACGCCCTTTGGCTATGGTCTCCTTGCGATGCCGCAGAATGAACCTGGCGATTTGTACATGTATGACCGACTGTGGTCAAAGGACGAGAGCATAGAAGCGTCACGGAAACCGGTTGCTGTCTTTCCTGGCCATGGAGATCATCAAGCAAAGGAGTTCCTCTGGAGAACTCGAGGTGGGGTTACAGATGATAAACTTGACGATCGAGAATTCCAGCTTGTAACCTGGGGTACGGATAACGAGCTGAGGCTTCATTGCATTGATCCTAGTATATTCTCGGCAGTGGGATACAAAAAGGGGTCTCCAGCTTTGGGCGGAATCAGTACTACTCGGAATGGAGCGACATACAAAACATTCCGGGCAGTTGATGATGCCTCCACAATCGATAAACGAGCGAGTACGATGAAAGATTCCAAGAATAGCACAGGCGGGCTAGTGCACAAGCAAAGCGCCCTTACAGCTGCTGCACGATCTCCTGCGCCTCTCGGCCGTCAGATGAGGCCGGCGTGGCGTGGGCCATCGATGAAAGCCAAAAATATAATGGGTAAGAGATTGGATCCAAGCCAAGCTCAAATTGGTTGGATGAAAGGCATTAGCATAACGAAGAGAAAGGGCCTGTTGGATGGACCTAGACGGCTAATGTCCAAGGATTCTGGCATCATGGGCCACGGCTATGACGACCAATGGGGCGAGCCTGATACAATCCAAGAAGAGCTCCTGCGTGTCAGCACACAGATTCCCAAAGTCAAATGGGACAATATCGATATGGATAACCTGACACTGAGTGCCTCGCTCAATGGTCCTTGGGGAAAAGACGGAGAAAACATCTTCGTCAAGGTGAAGATCGATATACCTACAGAGTATCCAAAGCTCAAGGCACCGAAATTCACCATTGAGAGAAGCTCCTTTATGCAGGAGGAAATGTACAAGCGACTTGACCGAGAGCTTCACGAGCTTGCGGATCAATTCCTGCGAAGGAAACAAAATTGCCTGGAGGTGATTTTTACCTATCTGCTGGGTGAAGTCGACCTCGAATCCAGCACCACCTTCTTTAAGAACGTTCGTGATTTAGATGATGATCTCGATGGGCTTGCCGATGATAGTTCCACGGACGAAGAAGAGGAGATTCCAGCTGGCGGGTCGGCATCCATGTCTCAGGAATTGCCTCCTGCTGACGCAGACACTGCCATTGCAATTCCGGCTCGTACTATAGTTCCGCCGCCTCCTTTAACATGTGGCGCTCGATTCTCGCATGATGGACGACTCATTTGCTTCTTCCCTACAAAGGAAGAAAAGGCACGTGTTTTGTTCCAAACGTCTGCAGATGTGAACAAGGACCGCTCAAGGTTGGACCAGCCGTTCTTTGCTGGCTTTGGTCGCCTAACACATGATCCACCTCCGCGATACAAGTATACTACTGAGGAGGCATCCGCTACGGATGATCAATCAGACTCTGATGAGTCGGGCGAATCATCTTCCTCGTCAAGTGACTCCGAGTCTACATCGATAAATAAAATGAGTCTTTGGTATCACTCAAGTCGACATCTTAGAAAGGCCTGGAGTGAGGATCGATCTATCCGATCTAGTGGTGGTGGAACCGGGACTGGAATAGGCACCGGCACAGGTACCGGGACAAGCCGCCGAAAGATTGGTCGGCCTCGAAATGCAGTCTCTATCCATGACCTGCGGCCAGATCTGCCTTCCAAACGGGAGTTTGCTCAGGAGTATGCCATCTTTGGCGACGGAGCAGATGTTTGCGAACACAACGCAAGAGTTGCAGAGAAATACGGCTATCCTGATCTGATGAGTGTATGGCAGTACTTGGCCCTGCTGTTGAAGAAAGGGATACCGCTCGAGGTCCTGGCTAGCAACCAGAGACGAGCTTCTATCCTTGTCATTGCTCGGGACAGTGTATCCAAGACTCGCGCCATCGATGATGAACAAGGCATCACTCCAGTAGGAGGCAATGCTTTGTTAGGCCGGGTGAAATGGGGTCGGCATCCGTTGGCAAAGGCTTTCATTCAAGAGCTTTTCAACTATTTTGAAAAGATTGCCGACATACAAATGTTGGCGATGCTTTCTTGCATCTTTAGCGAGTCTTCGACCGATGATAGCGTTGCCTATGTGGAATCGCAGCTTCCATCTCAGGAAACACCGCTTCCTCTCAAGGCACCATCATTCTCTCTGGACTACTTTCCTACAGATGCTACGATGTGGAATATCTATGGTCGGGGTATACCGCATTCGAACGTGACTACGCCCGGCACTCTTCACACACCTCTACCTTATGCTGGCTCACACGCGTCAGACGATGGAATGACATGGACAGGCGAGCCCGGGACCAATTCGTACTCGTGTGGCGAGACCCCGCCGCCGCCGCCGCCGAAAGCGAGGCCTCTGACAGCCGATGCAGACCCTCCTCCGACGATGTTATCGCGGTCTCCCTCCGCCTCCAACCGACCTCTTTCAAGAGTTAGCACTGGATTTAGTTCGGCATTTTCAACCAACTTCTCGCGGTCATTCACCGGGGCCAGCTCATCGTCGCCGCCTGCAGGGCAACTAAGGAAGAAACCAAGTCCGGCAGAAATGATTCTGAACACACTGACACCGCGTACCGGATATGCCAGCGCTGGGCCATCCTATCCTGTAGGGGACTCTAGTGGAGGTAGGAATTCTGTATCGGACGATGAGTACCGTCGAGACGATACGCTGTCTCTCGTGCCAGTGAGCGTCTCTGTATTTGTGGAGGATCAGACAATATTCGATGACGACGGCTGGCTAAGTGAGCCTCTACTGGAGCCAAGCCGCTCCAACGTTTATGCCAATTACCGCTACGCATATGCTGAGATGCTCCAGATGTGGAGACAGCCCCTTGCTCGTCTTGAAGTCATGAAGTTCAATGTCTTGAAGGATGAATTGCCTTTTACCGGAGCAGAAGGAAGCTTCCACGACTCATTTACGCTCCAGGACGGTGCGAGTGGGAATACAAACCATCTCAAGACGGGATCATCGCCTATCATCATGGGCAAGAAGGATCAGCTACAAATCCTAGCCGCCTCGGGCCGCGGCTTGGATGTGACGGGAATCTGCCGCGTCCATGAGACTCAATTAGACCCGATGCGATACACTTCGACCGATTCCAAAGTCGGCGGGGCCGTGGGTAACTGCGATCGCTGCCATCGTGTCCAGGGCCAGCTCCGCTGCGTATACTGCTTGGAACCTGTAGATGCCCTCTTCCCACCATGCCTGACGTGCGGGTGCTCAAGCCACGAGGAGTGTCTCGCGGAATGGCATGCCGCGGGAGAGATGTTTTGTCCTGCCGGAGACGAATGCAACTGCGTCGAGCAAGCTTCCAACGGCCAGGTGGAATCGTGGGCTGCTCTTCGAGGCGCCGTGCTGAAGTCGCAGTCACATTCCAAGCTGTCGATGCTGCCGGGTCCGGCGTTGGGTGAAAAGGACGAAGAGTATAGATATGAGAAGAAGAGCAATTTTACTAATCACAGGGAGGACACCAACGGTGACTGGGAACGAGTCGGTAGGAACGTGCCGAGCAGGGCTCAGGGCTCCATAACAACTCCAGGACTGAGTTTTGTACGCTTCAAGACGCCTGCGGGTGCATGGTCAAGGGCGTCGAGCCAGAGGCGGAATGGGAAGAGGGGGACTTGAAGGTTTTGTGTGGTTTGATACGGCGAATACAACAATGGATAGGATATGTTGGATGGATCGGGCCATCTTTGATGTAGGCGACTAATGGTTCGAAGCTACAAATACAGTAATATCAAACGTTGCATGGACGTCTTCTGGAATACACAGATGACTCATCCATTTGTCAGGCTGTACGTGACGTGAGCTCCTCAAACTGATGGTCTGCCATATGCCAGATCCGGCAATTTGTGCCACACCTGCTGGGTCTACACCGAGAGCCCGACACTGCGGAACGCTGCCCGCGCCGTGGGTTTCCGCTATCAAGCCCCCTTGCAATACCACAGCGCTATCTTTTATTCCCCGTATGCCTAATCGTAGCTGGATATCAAGCATGAATCACACGCATAACATAACATCTCGGAGTTAAGACAAGCAAAAGGACAAAAAAAAAAAGTGACATGCATTCGGCTCCATGTGGTAAGTTGATGTTACCTTTTTCACATAGCGTTTGCGGGTTAAATACCTACCTGCCTAAACACGAATCCATTGCCAAGATGAGAAGAGAGGCTCAAATTAATAATAGCCTGAGGATTCCAAAGTTCTCAACTATGGTAGACTAGGGCCCTGTTTAAAATCTCACAGGAGGCTGCATCAGCCCTAGCCTTGGTTCTAAGATCTTACAATTTCAAGCAAAGAAGAGTCCAGTCTCCGGCCCTCTTTTAGAGTTTCCATACAGCCAGTGTTTTGATTGGTTGAACCCGGGCTTTTATCCCAAAGCCACAGCATGGCTTCTCTGTTATAATCTCGTGCTTACAGTATGAACCAGAATTTGGCGTATTTTCCATTTGACTCATTCAAAAAAAAAAAAAAAACATGTGACGGAGACTCGGAGTTTTGGGTGGGTGTGGGGTCTCGAAAGAAAGAGCTATTTTTATACGCCCAGATCTTTAAGTTGTCACAAAATTCCTCGACAAACGATGGCGGAAACCCCCCCAAATGACGCCTTATTCTGCCCAGGTAGATTTATTGACAGGAAATCAAATACTAACAAAGCAGCACTAAGTAACACACCCCCCACACAAATAAATGCTCGGCATACTGGGCTAAATAGCAAATCGGAAACAACTTTCCGTGTGAGCCGTTTTGCGGAAGCGTATATGCTTGAGCATGGGTTAAAAGAGGGGAGACATGCCAGATAAGAGTTGTGTTGCAGCAAAAAAAAAAAAAAAATAACTACTGTACTAATCAAATGTAACAAAAAAAACACAAATCATAATCTTAAATACTAACTCAAGTAGCCGTCTTTTTTCTTTTCTCTTTTTTTTTTTATAATCAGCTCATCTCATCTTCTATCAGGCAACACCCGAGTCTTCGAAAATCTTATCGCCTTATAGAGTTTTGCTAGGTCTTATACAGCTGAGGCTTGGTAACAAGGCTTCGTACCTGATAATAATAGCAACTTCTCTCTTATCCTTGCTTCACCGACTGGAAAAGGACGTGGTATAATATAGGAAGCACAGCAGTTGTCCCATTCAACCCAAACTCGACTGCATTTCTCTCATCAATCACCATCAACATCAACATCATCACCACAACTCCTCTTATACCAAACCAATATAAACCGGATCCAAACAAACAGCAACCATGGGCGCCATCACAGCAGACGACAAACTCCTCGTCCACATCCCCATGCCCCTCCCCGAATCCTTCTTCGCCGCCGCCGCCCAGCGCTTCCCCCAGCTGCGCATCCACTACGAGGTCGCCCCCGTCGTCAACCACCGCCTGATGAACTCCAACGAGCTGCCCGACGACGTCTGGGACGGCGTCACGATGCTGTGCGTCATGCCGCCGCCCAGCCCGGAGCGCATGAAGAATGTCAAGTTTGTCCAGCTGGCGTCTGCGGGCAGCGATCTGTGGATCGGGCATGAGGCGTATGACAACAAGGACATCACGTTTTGCTGTACAAGCGGAGCTCATTCGTAAGTTGCCCTCATTTCATCTTCATTGTTAAAAAGAAGGAAAAAAAGTAAGCGGCCTGGCTAATGATTGCTTCTCATCTGTGACAGAGTTCAAATTGCCGAATGGGCCATTGGCGCATGGCTCGCCCACGCCCACAACTTCCGCACCTTCATGGCCCAAGCAGACCAAGAGGACTGGGACATGAGGATGAACCTGAGCGGCACCACGACCGACTCGCCCGGTCTCCGAATGTAAGTCTCCTCTCATCTTGCCTCTCATTTTGCCTCTCATCATGTCACTCATCAACCATCCAGGGGCATCCTGGGATACGGCACCATCGGCCGCCAAGTCGCCCGCCTCGCCCACGCCCTCGGCATGGAAATCTACGTCCAAACCTCCAGCCCGCGCTCCACGCCCGAGTCCAAGAAGCTCTCCGAGTACCACGTCCCCGGCACCAGCGACCCGGACGGCCTCCTCCCCGCCAAGTGGTTCTCCGGCTCCGGCCCCGAGGCCATCAACCACTTCCTCAGCCAGGACCTGGACGTCGTCCTGCTCAGCCTGCCCATGAGCCCCGAGACCAAGGGGTGCATTGGCGCCGAGCAGTTCAAGATCCTCGGCAAGAAGAAGCCCTTCCTCATCAACGTGGCGCGGGGCCCTATTGTCGACACGCCCGCGCTCATCGAGGCTCTGGAGACGGGCCTCGTGCGCGGTGCCGCTCTGGATGTCACGGACCCAGAGCCTTTGCCCAAGGGGCACCCGCTGTGGAAGGCTCCCAATGTCTTCATCACACCGCACATCAGCTGGCAGTCTTCGCGCTTGACTGAGCGTATATCAAACATCATCCTGGAGAACTTGGAGAGGTGGAATAAAGGGGAGCCTCTTCTCAACCGAGTCAAACGATGAGAGAATCGAGTTTCTCAAAGCGGCCAACTACCTAGGAGAGTACATGATATTGTAAGCAGTTGTAACCATAGCTTTTGCATTTAATAGCCGTGCTTAGCGTACATGTATACCAAAAGATTGAAGCCAACTTCCAGCCAAGCTGGCAGAACAATTTATATACAATTATATAATCATTCATCCACTGTTCACCAGGATTTTTAAAGTAAAATAATTTTAGCACGTACAATTAATATGTGTGTATATATATAACGAAGATGTAACTTCATGAAGCGTTTCCTTCGTTACCATTAACTCGTCAAACTCGTACACTTAGTTATCCCTGCGAAGGGCTTGTTAGTCTGCCCGCTTCTCCGTGTGTAATCTTGAGCCGCCCATGCGACTTGTACGCTTCTCTAAATCGGAATCGTTCAACTCCCTTCAACAAATAAGCAATCTTGTTTCCATCCAAATCCGTATGCTCCAATTAAAAAGCCGAGTGACAAAAGTAGGAGAAAAGAAAAACGAAAAAATGCAAAAAATGCAGCAAAAAAAAAAAAAAAAAAAAAAAAAACAGCAAGAAGCTAACTTGAAGAGATAATACCAAACAAAACGCGAGAAATAGAGAGAAATAGAGAGATGAGAGTATGAAGAAATCACAAGTACCTTCGTATTTCTGATTCCCCATTCTCTGAATACACGTCGCGTCATCTTGAGTATCACGGTTGGATGAAACAAAATCGCTAGTGCTGAATTGACCTTTGGAGGAACAGATGGCTTAGGACGAATCGACCGAATTACTGACTCCATGTTCATGCTTAATTTCAAGCACAATGGAGCAGTAAGTTCCCGTTTCTATAAGCTGCTTCCATCCAAGTGGTGTCGGTTTAGGTAGACACTGGTCTCATAATCAAGAGATCCAAGTGAGTGCTGTCCGTTCGGTTGTGTTCTTGGTAGGTAGCTCAGACTGCTCCAGTTATTATTATAAAGTGAAAGGCGAGCGATTGAAATGGGTGAGCTTGATAAACGATAACCATTGACGGCCTTTGCTGATGTAATGCCTGGTCCATTGAAATCGTATATATTTCCGCCTGCCACCTCTCACTTCGCTCCAGTTATTCGTATGCTGTTTGACAATCGCGTCGCGATTCTTGCAGCACGTACGTAGAAAATTTCGTACTCGTACGTAAAAAACTTTGTGCGTTTGGTTCCATAGACCATGTTGATCAAAATCAAATTAACATCTGTTGAGCGCGTAAATTCCAAAATCCGGTATAGGTCCAGGCCAAGTCGTAAAGTGGCACCATTCTATGAAAATTCACAGCGTTGCCACGTATATCTGCGCAGGCCATCAAAGTATTAGGTTGAGAAGGAGTATTTTGTCCCCTCTATCTTGTGTCGTAGATGGCCCGTCTTTCTGGCATCTCTGGCGTTTTTCGTCGAGCTGAGATTGTGACCTCGTCATCTGGGCCCTCCCATCTTAGAGAAAAAGTCAATATCCTCTCAACAATAATCCATCTCATTCGGTTTTCTGACGTGTCCTTCTCCGTAGCTTGAGTGACCTTGGTGGACCATGGTAGGATGCGCTGCCAACCCTCGGAGCTCTCCATCTTGCGATATTTGCCATCCATGAAGATGACTTTGGAGACCATTTTAGAGCGGCCATGGTTCAGTGATTGGCAATCTTCCTTACCACATCGCCCGTCTCGCAAGACAGCTTTGGTTTCCGGCTCATCCAAGTCCAAGGGGGCAATCTCCACAATGTTCTCATCTATCCAGTACCGAAATTGCCGTGCCGTTTTTCTCAGTCGTACGTCGTAGGGGAGGTTTTGGTCCACGCCAATCATCCAAGACCTGTCTACCTCGCCAACCTTGACGATCCACAAGTCTTTCAGATTGGGAAACCAAAACTTGTCGAATTCGACTTTGCCAGGCCTCTCCTGGGGGTACCACCTCTCTAGATAGGCGGAATAATGGCCAGGCACCTCGATACGTCCATCGTCAGGGAAGCAATCCCAAAAGGCGAGCCTCTCGACAAGCGGGGCGAGCTCTTCCAGGGGAGTGTTGGAGCTCTGGTCAGCTATGTTGGGGTCGCAGACCAGAATGTCTCTGGCAAAGTGAATATGAGATCCGCGGCCTACAGGCTCGTAGCCTTCTCTAGTCTCAATCCGAGCCTCTGCGTTCAGGCGAGTGACAACAGGGATAGGATACGAGTTTGGCTTGTGGACAAGATCGTCCAGTATGACGATGCGCGGCTCCACCGAGCAAGACCATATCTTGAGACGGAGTTCTGCGGGTAGACGAGTAAAGCCCGAGACGGCGGACGAGTGGTCATCGTCAAAACTGGACTGGTCATCAGCCTCGCCGTCGGCAGCGCTGGGGAGCGAATGAATCGGTATCATTGCGAACCGGATTGTCTACAGCACAAGTGGAATGCCGTATATATATGTATACGTATATATATATCTATATATATATAAATATATATAGATGTAGATGTAGATGTAGATGTGTACGTATATATGTCTGTACGCGTGCGTCTGTGTATGCGTATGCGTAGGTATGCGTACGTGATATGGGCAAAGAGCAAGAATGGAAAAGGGGAGAGAAGAAGCGTACAAGCCGGATGTCGGAATCACGACTCTCAAGTCTCATACACGGTAAACAGACACTATCACCAAAAAGTCTCGAATCACGCGGAGGTCAAAGAAGCTAAGAGGACAGCCGCAGGGTCTCCCCGTCTCTTTAAGAATGTAAGGGGTGCGACAAGGCCGGAGGTCGGGCGCAGCGTTATGTAGGCGGAGCACGTTGTTGGGGAGACGCCATATGCGGCGTGGCAGATGCTAGGGGGGTGTCTTGGTAGGATGGATGGATGGATGGATGGATGGCTTGGAGGGATGGATGAGTGGGATAAAGAGGATGGACTGACGGATGTGCGCGTGAGAGAAGCACAAGAGAGAGGCCCAGGATGTGGATATGCGCAGGACGGTGGTCATACCGAGCACGCCAGGTACAAGGCAAGGCGCATATCTGCCCGTATAAGCAGTGTAAGGTCGCGGCGGCTGCAAGTACCGCGCAGTTGCAATGCGACTGGCAGAGCAGGATTACTCGCCAGGCAAAGCACAAGAGGCCAAAACGGGGGCGTCCGGACGAGGCCTTGTCCATGTAAGGGCATGTCCTCGCACTATAGGTGCAGTATGTACGAGTAATACCCAGGCAAGGTACCGCTGGGCAGGCAACACGGCCACTTGGTACATGGCTCGTACACGGCGGGCTCTGCGCGAGTGTGCTCGTCGGCTGTTATGCATGCGGTATGTCGCATTACAGTGGTGGTGCTCCGTCGCAATGCAAAGCGGATAGGTGCAAGCATGAGGCTAGGGATCCCGGGGGCGTGGGATTGGCGAGGATGGGGCCAAAAGAACCGAGAACAGATCCATCCCTCGTCGTCGACGGGGTCCGTACCTGGCTATTGGATCCCGCCTGAGGCCATCGTGGGCTCGGGTGGATAAGCACGGCCAGGCGTATGTAATTGCTGCGTATTGAGCGAGCGAGTGGCGGCGGCGGCGGCGCTTTTCAGCAGCGAACCTTGACGTGAGCTGAGCCGGGCTGGACTGGGCTGGACTGGGCCGGGCTGAGCTGAAGCCGGTCAGAGAAGCCGAGCTGTCTCTTCGCCTAGCAAGCTGGAGCTTCTCTGGAGCTGGTTCTGGACTGGACTGGACGTACAAGTAGCGCATGTAGCTGAAAATCAACATGACCAACCGATACAGGCAGAGACAGGCAGCAAAGCGGAGCTCTCCGGCAGCAAGCACCAGTAGATGGACGGGGCGACAGGAGCTAGGCGCAACCTTGGAAAGGCGATGCAAGGCGATGCAAAGGCAAATATTACGCGACGCTGCAGGGCGATGTGATGTGATGCGAGTTGATGCGATGCGATGTGAGACGAGACGAGACGAGACGAGATGAGAGGCTGGCGGATGACACGAGTTGCTCGTTGCGTCAATGGCTATGGATCATTGATGGATCATTGATGGACCATTGATGGCTTGAATCGCCCAAAGCCTTGCTTCGATGGCGGGTTTATTGCCAGTCGCAGCCGTAGTTCAACGCCGCGGGCCGCCGATGGAGCAGCGCTTTACAGGCATTGACTGGCCGCGACTAGCAGAGTCGCAGTAGGATTGATGGGACAGGGCAAGAACGGGAGCAGGGACGGGAGCAGGGAAGCACTGAGGCAACCCCGGGCAGGGACAGGCGTGGTACACGGCGGGTTGTAGATGTCGTGTGCACGGCGCTGTATAAATACCCGTCTTGCTTGTACAGACGAGCCCCGTGCGCACCTCCTTCCCAAGCTCAACGCTACGCTATCACGCGTGCAGGTGCAAATGTCTGCGACTTGCCTGCGACTTGCCCTGTGTTTGCTACAGTACAACTGTGGACTTGTATGTGCGCAGCCCGCGACTGCCCGAGTGGCTGCAATGCTTACCCAGGGAAGAGCAATTGATGCTTGGCTGCGAGGAGGGACGGCGAGCGACGAGATTGGCCAGCCAAGACTGCCACGGCCCGGCAAAGCTACTACCAAGGTACTATTGAACCCTTGTCCGCTTGGATTCTTACAGCTGTTGAAGCATGGAAGCAAGTACAGTAATACTATACTTGTACTCTTACAGTAGAAGGGCCGTTGCAGAGCAAGCGCTTCTGCTGCTATCTATAGCACCATACCTGGTAGGTATCCAGGTGGTAGAAGCTCAAACTCGTACGAGTATTATCAGTAATACTGTACCTACGCCATTCTGTCCATTCTGTTCTCCATACTGTACTCCGTACTCCGTACTCCGTAATCCATACTCCATAGGCCTAGGTATACTCGCCCATTTAGATACATGCAGCATCAATCCATCCATGATTTCACCGACGGGTTGTGACGGCGGCTACTTGCAGGCTGTTGCTCCCTAGGCGCTGATCATTCGCCCGCTAGATAGCCTGCTGGGCGGGTGCCGCTAGAGCCTAGCGCCAGCTACAGTGGATGCCGGCCGCTCAGCGTGGTTGGCAGGCGCTGGACGCCAGTGGGCATCCCTCGGCGATGCACAACTCGCTCCCTGGCCATCGTCACCAATTGCAAGCCGCGATATAACATGTTCAACGAGCCTCAGCTCCCAGCGTCAGCAGCCGCGGGCGCAGCTCGGCCAGGAGTACGGAGGCGAAAAGGAGTAAGTCGTTGGATCCAACAGGAGCACTAGCAGGTCCTGCTGCCGGCCGGATCGTCTGCGGTTATGAAATCTCGAGGCCATGATAAATCCAGTCATGTCGGCTCCTGCGCAGCTCAGCTCGCGAGTATTGCTCAAAAAGTTGGCTATTGCCTCTCTTCCGCCCTCTCTCCCTCTCTACGCCTTTCTCTTCTCCGACTCGTCTGGCCGGCCGCCTGTCTCGCCCTCCTTGCGTTGTCATCAGCTCTCCATGCGTCTTGTCTGCCACCCTTTCCGAGCCCAAAGTGCTGCTCCAAGCACAACTGGGAGCACAGCTTTTAACGCTACTTGACTTATGTAGGTACCATCTCTAAGGCGTGCAGCTTGCGTCTGTCGTACCTCATCATCTGCATCGGCTGCGTGGGCCTCCGCAGACTCCAAGGTTTACCAACGAGGCCAATGGGGCAAAAAAGGCAAAACGGATGAGCCTTGCTGGACCTTTTTACCCGCGGGCGTACGAAGTATCCATAGCATCCGCATCCCGTCTGCCTGAACGAGACCGATTCTCCAACAAAAGGCTTTCCACACCTGTGCAGCAGCTTCCCAATCGCGCCTCTTCTGCTGCTTCGGGGTCGCAGAGGGAGCCGCCCAGTCGTCTCGTGCGCTTGCTTTTTCCCTGGGCAGCATAGTGATGGCTGCCAACGGGATTGCCGGGTGGCATGACAGACGCCAGTAGCGGTCCCTATCCATCCCCTATCCTGCCATTGGTCTCGCCTTCTTGTTCGTCGACGGCCACCAAGGCTCGGCTCGATGGAGCGGGCAGGTGGCTGACTTGTCCTCGTGAATAAGAGCGGCTGAGGCGGACGGTTGGTTGGTGGCCAGCCGAAACTCTGACAAGGACGACGCTAAACAACCAACCAATCTGCGGCTTCTTTGCGTCCCTCGGATCAGCGTTAGAACCTTTCGGCGATATCCCCCCGATTCGTTTTCCAAGACAAGAGTCGTCGTCATTGCCCAGCACTTCTTTTGGCACGACCAACAACGTGGCTTCTGCTCAAACCAAGTACCTACCGCTACTACCTGGATAGGAGTATTATCAACTACCTGGTGCCGGCCAATGGTGACGCAAAAGCTGGCGCTTTACGTATGAGTTGTACTACTAGCTCCCTGGATGCTTGCAGAGAGCGAGCGCAAGGGCATTATTCTTAGTACAAGGGCCAGCACAAGAGCACAATCGCGACCTCGGAAAATGCTACTGAGAAAATAACCATGCAGCCCATTCTCTTGTCAGCAAGTGTGGAGAGAGCGAAGAGGCACAGATGCCTGGAAAGGAGGCTTTATTCCGACCATCGCCCTTTAAAAGGCCTCTTGCAGCCTTCACATTTGCCGAGTATGAGTTGACGTATCTCACAATTAAGGAGTGTCAGCCTGGCCCTTTTTCTTTTCTCAGGAGAGAGTTAATCATCTACGCAACTGCAAAGTATATTGCCGTCTTGATCAAATGGCCAACGCTGTGAACGGCGGCTTTGTCCTTATCGTCAACCTCTGTAGATGATTGGCTGGCTAGCTGCCTCCCTACTTTGGGCACGATGTGCAGCTTCACTATGGATGGCCCGACTTGCATGTGGCACCAGCGTCAAAAGGGAAACACGGAGCGCACAAGAAAAGATCGATTACGAAGCATGCTGGCAGCATTCAGAGCACCTCGTGTTTGGTTTGTTGCAATGCTACCTCTCATCTACTACCTGCCCCTGGGTCGTCATATTCCCATTGCTACATGGCGACCTAGCCCATCACGGCGGGGCTTGCAGTGACCCCAAAAGCAAACAAGGACCAATGAGGAAAACAACTGGCGTCGCGTCGTCGTCAATAGACGCGTCTTGCATGCTCACTAAGGTGCGAGACAGGCATGGACACTAGTACGGGGTCCTATCATACAGCATGGAGCAATCAGAGCCGACTGCCGCGAGTCGAGCTACTGCCGCCGTCGCCACTGTCGCTGCCACTGCTATTGGCGCCAAGGAAACCATTCACAAGACTTGCGAATTCATCGGCGTATTGGGACAGGAACCCGTGCCCTGAATCTGGAAACAGATGTAGTCGTGCATCCGCGGAGCTAAGCATTTTCCACATCAGGATGCTGTTGTCAGTAGGAAGCAGCAAATCATTGCAACCTACAGAGCGTATAACAAGTTAGCTGCATGCCGGCATCAAACCCGTTCTTTTCTTTTCTCTTTTCTCTGTTTTCTTTGCTTTTTTTTCCATGGAGTGGCTCGGCCGAGATTCACTGCATTGACTGGGGGGGGGGCCACGTAAAGGATGAGGGGGGGGGGAGGCAAGGCAAGGCAAGGGCAAGGAGAAGCGAGAGACTCACCATTGGCGATTAGCACGGGCAGACGCAGCTGTCGGAGCCGCTCATAGCTGCCTTGGGAAGCATTTTTCTTATCCATGAACCTGACAAACGCAAGCGCCTGCTGATGAGCTGGCCCTGGAGGCACTGGTTCGCATCTCACCTCGCCGGCATCGCATCTGTTGTTGATAATGCGCTCCCATGCCTTTTCGCCCGCTTCCCGACTGCGCTGGGAACGCTGCACAAAGAACCCATCCAGGAAAGCTTGCCGCTCCTCCTCCATAGTCCTGGCCGCCTTGAGGCGCTTGAATGCCTTGCCATCGGGAGACGGCTTAACACCGTCTCCGGAACTGGGAGTCGTCCCGCCCAGCACCAACCGTCGCACCTGTTCTGGCGCATTCAAGGCCATAAGCTGCGCAACGCAGCCGCCCATCGAATAACCCAGTACGTCAACCTTGCTGTTCTGGCCAAGAATCTGCTTGATTACGGCAGTGTAGTGCGCTGCCCAGGCGGGATAAGTATCGGGAATTTCACCCTCGGATCGGCCAACTCCAGCGTTATCAATCAGCAACACTGGGCGCTGAGCCGCGAGAGGATTGACCAATGCTGGATCCCAGTGATCCATGGTTTGTCTGTGTCGCAACGGACAAGCCGGAAGGTATCAGCAAAATAGTCTTTCGTGAGAGAGTCCCTACACTTTTCCGGACCCTTTGGGAGGAGAAGCGAGAGGCAAAAGGCGGCCACTGCGACCGCTCACCCAGGCAATAGGGACTACTCACTTGAATCCTGGGATGAATACCAGCGGGATGCCATTCGATAGGCCAAGCAGTCGATAGGCAAAGGTACAGCCGTCTACCTTGACAAACTGCGTCTTGGCCGCTTGGTAAGTAGCCATGGCAGCGTGTCTGTAAATGAATCTGTGTATATGTACCCCGTAGACCGCCCAACGCAATCCGCACAAAGAGGGCAGATGCAGATGTACGCGTATTCGTGTCGTGAGGCGTGCCTTCAACGTTACAAGAACAAAAAGCAGCATCTAACGACGGACTGCGAAGAGCCCTGGAGTCTTCTTGGCGACGTTATTGTAGTTATATTTGGCGTCTACCCCATATTACTCCGAGGATACCTATTACTAGTATTCACCACTCCCGCATTTATAGTGCTTTTAGCGCCGAGGTAGCCCACTCCCCCTCAGTTGCGAAGAATCCGAACGGTAGCACGAGTAGATGAAAATCGACGACTAGGTCATGCATGCCACCCGCACGTCGTTGCCTCCAGTTTCACTCTTTTGATGCCTTGTTCTTATTCAACGGACAAGTGTACGTAGTGGTACAGCGTCTGCAAATACTACGAGGCTTGGCCCGAGGTTAAAAGAAGGGTTCGGCTCATTGAAGAATGTGGAACCGAGTGGGCAAATAGGCTTCGCCCGTCTCGCTCCTAGCCTCTTGGCATTTGAAGGCGCTGTGTCCCAATACGGCTTGAATTGTGAAGGACCGTATACAAGCACAAGCGTGAGGAAATGGACGAGCTTGAGCCTCATCTTTTGTGAGGAAAGCACGAGGTTTACTGGAATTACATGTTACTTTACGATGGCCCAAGATAGGGGCACTTTTTCTCCTCGTGGATTGAGATGATTCGAAGTCGGTACAAGTAGAAACGTTGAATCTTCGATATATTGGGTATTCAATCTTGCCTTTCTTTGCGTTCATCATGTCTGATTATATATTATTACATGTACAGGTATACACTCCATGAAACCGTGGCGTTTATGCGCGCGGTTCATCCATTTCCATGGGCCTAATCTTTGTCCATCCACTCTAAACCCAAATAAAATCCTCTTCTTGCCAAGAAACTCAACGCCGGACCAAATTGTTGCTCGTAAATCAATTCTCAAAATCATGCAGAATGATGTCAAGTTTTTTTTTTTTTTTTTTGTTTCCTTTTGTTCCCTTTCTTTTCCATCAGACATGGGGCTTACTGCTGTTCATTAGACTTTCTCGTTCCGGACTTCCAAGGACGTCTCCTTTTCGGTCGTACTTGGATCAGAGGCAGGACCACTTGTTTCGAGATCTTCCTGAGAGCATAGACTGGAATCAAGGGTTAGACCAGAGAACAAAAACCATGCTGTAACACTTTGAATAAGGGTTGTTTTACTTACTTCCTCATACAGGAGCAGATGATGGCCAGAGCAAGAGAGAAGCCCAGGATGAAAAAGGCAAATCTCTGGCCAAGGGCATGAGCAGGACGATGATGGTGCTGCTTCCCTTCGTGGCCCCAAACAGGAACAAACTTTTCCGAGCCATACGACGCCATCAGGTCGCCGTTGGGATCAATGGTGACCGTCTTCCCCTTGTCACCGGCAAAGACGGGAACCCCTTCAATGTCCTGGCTCGTCTCAATCAGATCGAGCGTTGCGTCGAGAAAGTATTTTGAGGGCTTGTTGCTCTTGGATAGCTTTTCCAAAAAGGCCCTGTCGACTCTGAAGACGCGAGCTCGCTTCTCGTTGGCCCATGGGGATGAGGCCCGGTCGGATGAAGATGGAGTCTGGGGTTGTGAGGGCTTTGTGAGGGCGGCAAGGGGCTCTGAGAGGGCGGTTTTCGGCGTTGGGGCACTTAGGACCAAGCCTGTGACGTAGAGGATGTTGAGGAGGAGGGAGGTTGTCTTGACGGTCATTTTTTTTTTTTTTTTTGTGATGGATGAAGTGATGATTGTGGTGATGGTTGATGAGGGATAAAAGGGGGCAAGATTTGGCTTTAGTGCTTTATAGAAACTCCCAAAAGGCGTGATTTGAGACGATGATGAGTTGATGTAGAAATTAAGAAACTAGGAGACTCTTCTTGATAGGAGATTGAAGAATGGTATATTCTTGGTGCTCGCTTGATTATCAAATAGATCTTGAGAATAAAGTGGCGATATAAGCGATGATATTCAAACAAAGTTTCTCAAGGATTAGATTAACACTCGACCCAAAGAAAAGAAAAAGGGAGCCAAGACGGAGTATTAAAAAAAAAAGAGGACACCAGGCAACTAAGCTTTTTTCCCTCTCTTAATAAGAGGGGCGTGCACAGCCCGTCGAAACTCGGGGACTGAACAAAAATTCCCGGCGTCAGAAAGTGGAAGCAGGAGGAGGGGGGGGGCGAATGCCTCCTAGTATTGGGTACATGAAATGCAGTGGTGGTCCACGTCAAAACGTGAGAAGAGGGAAATCCGCGGAATCGTGGCGCAGCAATAAATAAGGGCGCCAGTCATGCCCCCTTTGGTCAAAGCAAGCCCACAAACGAGCCGAGCAAAGAGAGAGAGAGAGCAATTGGTGTTTGTTTTTGCTCTTTTGCTCTTTTGCTCTTTGCTGTTTCTGCTCTTCTGGTTTGGAAATGCGAACAAGGGGATGAGTGTTAGCGGAGAGTGGGTGGGATATTTGGCATCTCCGTCCCTGGATTCAGCTACAAACAACTTACAACCAGAAAAGGCTACTGTCGAAAGATACAGATTGGTTTGGCGAGGGGCCCGGTTGAAGAGGCCCAGAATGTTTGCTGTGGGAGAGACACACACAGAGAGACGGCGGCGACTTACATGATTCCCACAATATTGGGCCAGGGGGGGGGTTATGGCCCCAGCTTGCTTGAAAATCATCTGGACTATTTCGGACAAGCAATGAACCGTACAATCGAGATTGGTATTAGTGATACACCGTTAGCGGTAAGGGAGACACGCACACGTTCACGTTCACGTCACGTACATGCTGTGAGAAAACGTTACAGAGGGGCCCTGTTGGTTCTGTTTGTACCTACTACATTACTTTCTAGTATACCTGCAGTTAGCAGGAAATCCTGAGCAGGGTCTCCTACCTTAGTATTCGTGATAGTGGAGAAAACGTACCGCTTCGGCAGATATCCGAGCTAAGAACGAGGCGGGCAGAAGAAGCTTGAGATTAAAAGACGCGAGCTTTACGAGGCGCAATCGACGAGCCGGGGGAGGATAGTAGCTGTCAACGTTTGAAAGGGAAAAAAAAAAAGAGGCGCGCGCGTTGATCCACTAAAGGTTTTGAGGGCCGTCGGCGTTTTTGTTCCAGTGCTAGTCTAGAACCTTTGGGATAGGGTTGTTTAGAAACGGCGTCTAGTGCTGAATAGAGCTGCGGATTAAGGGTCAATAGAAGAACCTGGAAAGCTTCAATGATCCGAAGCTGTTGCTTTTAGAGAATTTAAAAAACAACAAGTTGTCTAAGAGAATAGAAGAGGACTTTGGTCTCTCTCCCCCTCTATTGCCCGAAATGGATGTAGATCGCCCAATTACGATTTAGCTCAAGATTTGCCTTTGTCTTGGCACTTTTCCCTCCAGGCACGTTATACCTAGATGGATTTCACATGGCGAACCCGGATCCAGGACGGCGGGCCAAAACGCGTGTTTGTGCGCCTTGGCTCTTGTTGCTTGCTGCGAGCGACAGCCGAGGCCTTGATCGCCTAGCTTGGCGCAGCATGAAGCGGATTGTCTTCTAGAAGCACAGAACCGGTTCTTCTCCGAAATACATGACTAGGAGTGTTACGTAAATGACTATTTTCCGAGCAGAGGATTCAATGCCGTCTCGTTAGTGATTATGCCAGCGATGCAGACTAGGAGCTGCGCTCTCAGACGTCAGCCGTCGATGACAAGTGTCAGATCCTACGCACCTATTCAGTTGGCCAGGTTACTAGTTGTTTACTCTGGCTTTTGAATAGATGCCTGCGTTCAATTGTGTTGTCACAAACAATGCACGCTCCTGTTCTCAACGCAATGCAAGCGAGAGACTCAAAAGACAGATACGAGGCCTTGCCCGCCATCTGTCCCATGCCAAGGTACCTCGCTGTAGGTACCCGCCGAGCCCCACGAGTGACATAAGGACCGCGGCACCTTTTTTCTCGAGAGCTGCGCCAAAACAGCTATTCTTATTTTCCTTTTTGCCAAAATCGAAATTGCAGTCAAAGCAGCGACAGATGAAACGATCAAAGCCACCACCATCGGCGCCCGCGCTCGTATCGAACCAAACGATTGCTCAGCTCTAAATGCTCTAATTCTATAACCAGCAAAAGCATCCGTCACCGAACTTCAAAACACCCGCTAGGACCACCCTATTGCGCCTCATCCACAGCCTGTTTTAGCGAGATCCGGCGATAGGCGACGGCGACGACGACGACAACGACCGGGGGCGGGCGGCTGAGAGAGGCTCTGCATTAGAAAATAAAATAAAAAAAGGGCAACAAAAATCACAGGCATATCCAGCAAAGCGATGCCCTCGCCGACTGACGACGAAACGCCGTTCCCTGTGCTGAGCCACTCCGCGAGCCTCAGCGCTCTGGACCGCTCGCACCTGTCGCCCCACGATGCCTTCACGTATCCGCTGCGGCAGACCTACGACGCAGACGGCGCGGCCGATCCGCTATCCCATTTGAGGCACCTGAAGAATGACCGCAGCAGGAGCCGGAGGCGCAAGAGGGCTTGGAAGAAGCTCATGTGGGTGAAGCAGTCGTGTAAGTTCTGTCATTGTTTGAAAGGGGAAAGTCTGAGCGAGAGGAAAGAGAGAGAGAAAAGCAGAGCGAGATGAGGTGGGGAGAAGAAGAGAAAGACCGAGAGAGAAAATGGCTAGACATGGGAAGGGAAAGAAATGGCGAGCTGACGGGCATGATCCGACATGTATGATTGCAGATCCAGACAACTACACCGATCAGGCAACATTTCTCGAAAACCTGCAGCGCAATCCACGACTGAAACCCTACGACTTCTGGCCGCTGGTGGCGGACTCGACCGTCATCCTGCAGCACGTCTGCTCCGTCAGCCTCTTCGTCGTGTGCTTCGTTGGCATCTACCAGGAGCGCGTGTCGCCCGTGTCGCTCGTCAGCGGCAGCAGCTTCGTCACGTTTCTCGGCTGGCTGCTGTGGGAGCGATGGGTCTCGGAGGAGATGGCCCAGGAGGAGGACGTGAGCGCGAGCGGCATCGGCATCGTCGGCATCGCGGCCTCTGCGACCAAGAGCGAGAGCATCCGGCGCCGGGCCCGCGCAGCCAGCATTCGCCGGCCCATTGTTGCGCCGCGCATCACGTCTGTCACGCCGAGCAGCAGCAACAGCCGGCCGTCGTCAGAGGCGGCTTCTTCTTCTTCTTCACGGCCGTCTGCGGGGAACTCGACGGTCAATATTCAGATACAGATCCCCGAGAGCGAGAGGCTGCGGACGAGCCGTCCTCCCCGTCCTTCTTCCACGACCACCTCTCCTTCTTCGACCAACTCTCCGGCGTCTCCCACCTCTCCCACCTCTCCTACGTCGCCCATATCGCCCATATCACTCAAGGGGCCTTCTCAGAGTGCCACTGGCGCCGATGGCCAGCCATTGCTGCGCAGAGCCAGCTCAGACGTGATACCAGACTTTGCGCCAATCCCCAACGAGGCAAACCGCCTACACCAGCGTCTTGGAACAATCAAGTCAGCTATACTCATCTACTCGACCCTCCTCGGCCTTAGCCCCATCCTCAAATCCCTGACGCAGTCCACGTCGAGCGACAGCATCTGGGCCATGTCCCTCTGGCTGCTCGCCATCAACATCTTCTTCTTCGACTACTCGGGCGGCGTGGGCGCAAAGTTCCCCGCCTCGCTGTCCACCAACGCGGCCCTCATGGCGTCGACCGTGCTGGCCAGCCGCCTGCCCTCGACCAAGCAGGTGTTTTGCCTGACGCTCTTCAGCATCGAGGTGTTTGGCCTGTTCCCCGTGTTCCGGCGCCACGTGCAGCACCGCAGCTTCCGGCAGCACGCCATCCTCACGGCGCTGCTGATCCTCGGGGCGGGCTGGGGCGTGGGCGTGGTGATGCGTGAGCCCGGGCCGGCGGGCTCCTGGCCGTGGAGGCGCGGGCTCGGCGGCATGGTGGTGAGCGTGCTGATTGCCGCCATTGCGACGGGCGGGTGCAGCTGGTGGCTGATTGGGCTGCAGCGGTATAAGAATGAGATTCGGGGGCCTTGGGATCCGGCAAGGCCCATCATCATGAGCAGGCAGCGGTGGGAGAGCCAGTGACCTTGAATGGATGAGTGTTTTGTTTCACGATGTGTATGTGATTTTCATAGAGCAAGCAGCCTGCCTTCAAATTCAAACATGTTTCATTGGATTCCTTTGTCACAGTGAAGTGGGTATAGGCAGCAGGATTTCCTCTTCACTCTCTCTCTGTCTCTTTCCATATCCTCTTCCTTTTGTGAAACAGAATCAGCTGGGGTATGTACTGCGTACAAGCAGCTGTACTGGCAGTGCTAGTACCCAGCAATACTGGCTTGTAAGAAGCAAGACTCGAGGCTGTCGTGGAACTTGTAGGAAATCACTCAAGACAACGAGATAGACAGTACAGGCCTTTGACCACCGAATGACAATGCGTATTCGGAAAGACAGCTTCTGCTAGCTCCAATGTCTATACATGCATAGGCGAGAATTGCAAATATTGGCATCATCTCCTTGTCTTTGAATGCCGCCGAGGTCCTTCTGACTTGTTTTGCTGTAAGTGGCATGTTGGTGTTTTGGATAGTACGTACATCAATGCTAATACAGGTAGGCGGTTGTGTATCACATTTTCGTATCGACGACTAGGTTATTCCTACGTCTGAAGACCCTGCCGACGGGACCTTTTCTTGCTTGCCTTTTTATTCGCCCGTTGCGCCTTTATGCTAAACAGCCCCCCTCGTCCAGGGTCTCATCGCCACGACCCCCCCATCAGCTCACAAACAGCGCACGGCAGCTGACTTGCTAGAAGCGGAAAAGACCCTTGTAGGGGTCCATTGGCTATTCTTCCCCCAGCCGCAGTTTTTTACAGCAGTACACTGTGCTGTGCTACCATTGATCAGTCAGTTCTCGACCCTTCCATCGTATAATCGTAGCCAAGTCGCCTATACGCGCAAAACGGCTAGTGCCCTAAAAGCAGTCGCGGTGGCACTCACGTACCTTGCAGGTGGCGTCTTCTGGAGTGCGCTAGAGCTGGGCACACGCGCCAATCAGCGACGGGCGGTGCTTGTTTTCTTTTCTTTTTTTTGTCTCACCTTTTGTGTTATTGCAACGAAGCGAGCAATATTGGTGGCCTTTTGATTTTATTTTCCGATGGTTAATTCACATTCAGCCGCCCTTTTCTACTTGTATTATTGATACAAGCATTGGTTGACTCAACCATCATGTGTGCTATTTCAGAGGTGCAGTTTGTAGCAGCAGTGAGTACAACACACGACTCCGGTAGCTCTCACCAACCCAGCTAGTGACTGTGCTAGTAGTGCTCTGCTGCTGCTGCTACAGGGGCCAGACCGGGGGATCACCATCCGGGGAGCTGCCACTGCTTCTCACTCCAGCCTGTCTCAGTCGCTTGCCCGCACGATCCTTCCTCCCTCCCCCCAGCCAGAATGCGACTCGGCGACTCGGACTAGCTGCCCGGTGGACTGATAAAGAGGCCCTTCCTGCTCTTGCTCACCTTCTTTTCTCTCCTCCCCTTAGTCTTTTTGCTCTCCAGGTTTTTTTTTCCATCTTACATAAAGAGTCAGTCGTTTGAAACCCTCACTCGCTTTTTTGTTGTGCTTGCTGGATCATTTTCAAACACCACCAAAAAACAAAATAAACAAAAATCTTCACGATGAAGGCCTCTGTCGTCACCCTCCTCCTCGCCGGCCTGGTCGCTGCCCAGGACTTTTCCGGCCAGCCTGACTGCGCTGTAAGTTGAAATAGAAGAGCGACTGCAAAAAAACAAACCAATTCATGTCGCTCTTTGCTGTATAGAACGCCACTGAAGAGCTCTGCTAACACGCTCGTCTTCTCAGGTCCCCTGTCTCAAGGATGCCATCCCCAAGGCCGGCTGCGCCCTCACAGACACCGCCTGCCAGTGCAAGACGTCGACCCAGGCCCAGCTCGCCGGCCTCGTTGCCCCGTGCCTGATCGAAAAGTGCAGCGCCTCTGATCTCGCCAAGGCTCAGTCCGCCGCCGCCGCCGCTTGCAAGGCCAACGCCGCCGGTTCTTCTTCTGCTGCCGCCTCCTCGGCCGCCTCCTCTGCCGCCACTTCAGCCGCTGACTCGTCTGCTCCCGCCTCGACCTCGGCCGCCGCCACCTCTGAGGCCACGACCAGCGCTGCCCAGAGCACCTCTGCCGGCGAGACCTCTGCCGCTCAGAGCTCTGCCGCCGAGTCCAGCGCCCCGGCCTCCACTGCTGCTTCCGGCGGTGCCTCCATCCCAACCGCGAGCCCGACTGGCGGCGTCTCCAACAGCACCGTCTCTGGCTCCCGCTCCGTCGTCACTCGCACCTCGACTGCTTTCGTTGGCGGCGGCGGCGGCGCCCAGACCTCTTCCACCCCCAAGACCACGTCGCTCAACGATGCCACCGGCCCTATTGCTGGCGTCCTCGGCGCCGTCGTGGCCGCTCTCATGGCTCTGTAAATACAGCAAGAAACTACCAATCGCAGTCATAACTGTTAATAGTTTTGTTCAAGGTGTTGGGCTAGCATGTAATCATGATGTGACGAAGTTATAATTTGAAGTGGGCGTGGACAATCAAAACGGGCTTTTTTGTTCTTTCTCTCCTTTTTGGGACCACCATGTGGTCGGAATTGTTTTTTGTTAAATTCAGTATTTTGATGGGGCGCTTATTTAAATACCACGACGCAGTAATATGAAAGAGTGATATATCATGGCATCTTTTCGTCTCAGAATCCTATTTCTCAGTATCATTGTAATGTCTGTCTTGAAGTAAAGCCTGCCAGCATATCTCTTACCAAAGGGGAGGTATAAACTATATAGATACATTCAGTAATAGGAAATCTCTTTAGCAAATCTCAAATTGAAGAGTTATAAAGGCTATTTATTCGAACCAGTGCGTAAAACATGAAATGCTTGTTGAAGAAACTACCGTCTTTTGTTCCCTATATCAAACTGTCGTCTCCTATACGACCATTAACTCCCTTGTAGATTTGGTTCTGCTGCTCTCGGTAAGTCCATGTCTATTATCAAGGGCATCTGAGTTGGCCGATATCGAACACTCATAATGGACGCGTTGACAAAAAGCGTCTGCTCGCCTTGTCTGATCTTGTTCTCGCCATCTGCCAGATCAATATAGCAGCCTCGAGCCTTGCTCCACTCCAACAGGCGTTCATGCTCCTCCATATCAAGCAGAGTATTGTTAGTGGGAATAGAAAATGGTGGTGGAGTAAGAGTATATAAAGTCTGTGAATTTTCCTTGTCGAGGACGGTGGTTGATGAGATGACAGACTCGGGACTGCTGGGCTCGGGCTTCCATTGCACCAACTCTGCACCCCAGGCCTCGTGGATGTGGCCGAAGCAGTGGATCTTGGGTTTTGCTCGGTACAATGATTTGAAGAGAGTCCCGCAGCCGGCTCTGTCCCCGTGAGAGGTGCGGTCGAGGATGCCCAGCGGAGGGCCGTGAGTCATGGCGATGTCGACGTCGGACGGTATGTCAAAGGTGTGTTCTCCGCCCTGATACTGAAACGCCCAGTAGCCATACTGAGGCGTGTATTGGCTTGCGTAGATGCGCAGCCGGGAGCCGTTGGCGAGGTCGAAGGAGTATGTCCCTTCGGTGAGATATCTGACGCCGTCGACCTCGGCTTCTTTTGCAATCTGCATGACCTCTTTGTACTTGGGCTTGTTATTGGGCTTGGTGGCATCATCGTCATCACTACCATCAGTGTCGTCATGAATATCATTCGTGTCGTCAAAGGCCAGATCATGATTGCCCGCAATGACCAGCTTCAGCGGCGCGCGCAGGCCTCTCAGCATGTCAAACGTCTTACGCATCTCCTCGGGCCTCCCGCGCTTGCTGAGATCGCCGCAGTGAAGGACGGCGTCGGCCTCTGGGAGGGGGGCCCGAAAGCCGGTGGGGTGGGTGATTGATGATGCACCCGGCTTGCTGAGTTCATCTTCTGTGTCGCCCTCCGACTCGGGTTTGGGGACGGAGGTGTGAGTGTCGGAGATGATGAGGATGCGGGTCTTGATAGTGGGAGAATCAGGGGATGGTGACGGCTTGGGGGGGATTGTCATGATGGAGTCGATGCTGATTATGCCGTCGTATGGTTTGATGGATGACGAGATTTTTCCGGTGTGGTTTTCGTGGAGGTGGTGCTGTGCTGTGATGTTGGAGTCGAGTATGGCGATGCTGCCTGCTGTGCAACGACGATGTGTAAGTGATGTAGCCAATGATGTTTCTCCGCGGTAAGCTCCAGGCAGCGTTGCCGATGGCCCGAGAGCAGTGGTTTGGGAGCATATACGGCTGCCTTGGTGTAGAGAAGATGAAAAGAAGGGTAAAAAAAAAAAAAAAAGGAAAGAAGAAGAAGAAGAATGTTTTATAACAAGACTTGAGCCATTCTATTATATTTTTCTTGACGGAAGCTAATGCAAGGGGCGCTCTGAACATGGCCAAACGATGGGAGTTCGAGAAAGGCTGAGGCTGCTAGACCCCAGGGACTGTGCTAACAGTTGACTGCACTGAACATTAGTGGAGCTCCAACGCCAACTTCACTCCCAACACTGAAGCTCCGTTCGCGATTCAACCTCCAACCCGCGTCCGCATCTCCACAATCCGAGCTCTACTTGCTGGATTCTTGCAGCTCCAAAGACGCAATGGCTTCAGACGCAAATCGAGATGTCTCCATGGGCTCTTCTCCGCCGCCAGTCCCCGCGACAGACGACGAGCCCAAGTACGGCGGCTACTCGCGCTTCGAGATTGAGCTCGAGGTGAGGATAAATCGTCCTTCTTGGCTTACCTGCGTCTTCTAACCATGGCCGCCTGCTATAGTTTGTTCAATCGCTCGCCAATCCCTACTACCTGAACCATCTCGCGTCGCAGAAGCTCCTCACCCAGCCCGCCTTCATCGCCTACCTTGCCTATCTGCAATACTGGTCCAAGCCGCCGTACCTCAAATATCTGACCTACCCCGGGCCGACGCTGCGACACCTCGAGCTGCTGCAGCAGGAGAGGTTCAGGCTGGATATCATGAGCCCGGATCTGGTCCAGCGACTCGTCGAGGATGAGATGAAGGCGTCTGTGCAGTGGCATTGCGAGCCTTGAGGCTGCTAGTACGAAACACGGGTGATTCTACTCGATACTTTCATTTCGACGATGCATTCACGAATCAGCAAGCATAAGCGATCATTACAGTCCTGAAAAAAAAAACATTTAAATCGTCTTTTAAATGTCTATCATAGAAAAATCATCGCCTGAAATGCTTCAAACAAAATATACCCCCCATATTTGACCCGATATCCTCCAACGCCGAGACGAAGAAAAAAAAAACGACCACGAAAGATCCATCCCCTCGATTTCCGACTTTACGATAGCCGTCCCTCTTGGCTTCCCCCGCCAAATATCAGTTCTCGCGCCATCGGTGACCACATGTCATGCACTTGAAGAAACTCGTCATCGGCTCATCAGCACTTCGAATCTGCACCTGGAAAAAGGCCGCCTCCTCGCCAGTGCAGCCTTCGTTCGGGCACTGCGCCTTGGACTTCTGCGCGTTGTCCCAGGCTCCCGGTCCGCCAAAGACGTCCTCGCGCTCTTTGCGCTCAAAGACGCGCCGCGAAAAGACCGGGTCGGTGATGGCGTGTTCGTAGGGGCATGTGCGGCACTCGAGGCGGTTTGTGCGGTTGAGCGTCAGGGAGACGGTCAGGATGTTTGCGCAGTGCGGACAGACTGCGTCGCAAAAGATTTTTGGTCAGATGGGAGAAACAAAACGACGTGTTCGGGTGTGTGGAATCATGTGCTTACAGAGAAGCATGGCTGTGGCTGTGACTGTATTGTGTATGCTATATTTAAAATACCCTATGCCTGGGGCAAGGCGTAGATGGACAAGATAGATTTAATGCAGAAGATGCTATGGCTCTTTGCGCGCTTGCTTTCTAGATTTGTCTGCAGATTCTTTCCGGGAGTGATTTGTTGCGGCTTTGAAATAAAGAAGAAAAAAAATGAAGTCGTCCAAACTCGGCGGCATCGAAAAGCCAAAAAAACGACAAGCCAGACAAATGCCATGGTGGGGTCCGTTCTTACGTAGCGGCACTTCCATCCGTCTTGAGTCAGCAAGCACCAGACCCTTTGCCTTTGTAGACGTCCCCCGTAAACTGGCTGCTGAGCGCTAAAAGTGACCCCGCTAAGCTTTCAGTTCCCCATTCCTCGCCCCCTGGTGTCTTCCCTATCGACCCCTCCATGGGGGGGACCCTCTGCTCTGTCCTGAGACAAGCCCGCCAAAAAAGCGTCGTCGTCCCCCAGCCTATCACCGCTAGTTTGGCCTGCAGCCCATTCAACGGACCCCCCCCCAGTGCTATAATCGCTTCGCCTCTTTTAAACCTCCCAACTCTTCCGCAGTGCGCGTTTGTTGTTTTTATGTTCCTATATTTCTTCTTTTTACTCTTCTCAGCGTCGCCCTTTTCTGTTTTGCTCAGCGCCTCTTCTCCAATTCCCCTCAGCTACCTACATCTCCCTTTTTTCGTGACAAACCCGAGGAGAGAAAGCAAGTCGGCATCATGAGCGGCGAGGAGCATGAGGTGCGTACATTACGTCAATTTACCACGCATTTTCACAAACCTCCTATACAATACATGATACCTAATACCACATACACTCGACTCGAATTCTATGCATCAGACTAACAAAGCATCATGTTAAACAGGGCGCATCCATCGAGGAGCAGCTCATCGAAGCCTGCCGGCGCGACAACGTCGAACTCCTGACCGAGCTCCTCGAAGACAAGGAAGACTCCGAAATCACCAGGCTCCTCAACCAAACCACCACCGTCATGGGCAACCACCTCTACCACGAGGCAGCCTCGCGCGGCAACTGTGCGTTTTCTCTCTCTTTCTCTTCCATACAAATCCCCCTTTCAAAACAAAAAAAAAAACCGCTCTCTCTCCCCTTTCCAAAAACCCAATTTTTTTCTAATAATAGCTTTCATTCAACAAAAGACGACATCATCGACCACCTCCTCGACCAGCCCGACTTCGAATGCGACCCCATCAACCGCCAGGAAGGCGACACCCCCCTGCACTCCGCCATCCGCTGGCTCAACGCCGAACCCCCCGCCCAGCGGCCCTTTGGCCACCACCTCATCGACATGATGCTCGAGGCCGGCTCCAACCCGCGCATCAAGAACAAGGGCGGCCTCACCGCCGCGCAGCTCGTCGACCCGCGCAACCAGGAGCTCCGCGACCTCATCCAGAAGCACATCTACGCCACCCAAAACGCCGGCGACTTCATCAGCGTCAGCAGCAGCGTCGCTGCGCCGGGTGGTGCGCCGCCGCCGCCGCCGCCGCCGGGAGCGGCACCTCCCTTGACGAATCATGTCGACGCTCATGAAGAAGAGGATTACGACGACGACGACGCCGAGTTCAGCGGAAGTGACGAGGAGGAGCGAGCAGAGTGGGAGCGCAGACGGAAGAACAGGCGGTAAATTACTAGAGACAGGAAAGGAATCGAAAATCAAATATATATGAGCGTATACGCATCACTTCTAGAAGGAACAAGACGAAATCCGGCAGCGGGCTTCTAGTGGAGGAGATAGAGATGAGAGAGGAACGGAAGGGGGAGGGCGAAGAGGGCAAGCAACGAAGCACAGCCAAGCACCTTTGAACGAACTGAGGCCAGGCGTTGGAGGATTGCCAATTCTTACAATTACCAGGGGGTGGACCATGTTTGTATACAATAGTTGCATCTTGTCGCAAAGACACGGTAGTGCGCTTGTTGGAGTGGCTAGATTTGCGCTCCTATGCACGTCATCGTAGAAGGGGAAGAAGAACCATACTCAATATAGACCCTTCGCGTGTTATTATCCCTGTCATATAATTAAATGGTTTTTATTAGGTTTTTGCTGAAGAAGCATGATGTACACATCTCCAGGATAACAAGTGTACATGTATGCAAAACTATACTTGATGTCTGCCATCTTTAGGGGGAATCATCAACCTGAGCCAACGTTTCTGTATGCCTCCTCTTAAGCTCTTATCATAATGCAAGTGGCAGCTGCAAAGACAAACAGCATTACAATCGACAATCTTGCTGCACTCGCCGCGGACGTCCGCTCTTCCCTGACATACGTCGCGTTTCTCAGCCTCTTGAGAGAATGCGTTGACAATCTACCACCACTCGCCAGCTCAAACATTTCAGATCCCAGCTTGCGGAGAATATCAGTCGACCGCCCCTCGGGACACATGACAACTTCCCAGCCTCCACCCTTGGGAATGATAAACGTCGACTGCTGATCATCAAAGGCGAAACTGTAGGCATCAGGGCATACGGCCTTGACCGATTTGCTATACTGCGACGGCTTGCAAATGTTGGGGTCGTGGTATTTGCCGATACAGCAATCCTTGTCTGTTCCTGTAGCCGCACAGGCGCTGTTGCATGGAGCAAAGGCAGGCCGCTCAACGTTGTCATCAGGATAGGGGTAGATGCCGTTTCCGGGATGAGTCGGAGGGAAAGCAAGATTCAGCCATGGACACTATCCGCTCACGCTTTCGTTTGTCTCTTCTGACTCCAGAGGAATCGGGTACGTCACGTTGGAGTAGAAGATGCCCGTGCCGGTGCCCGTCGACGAGAATACCCAGCCAGTAGTGGCGATGCAAGCGCAGTTTGTGAGATTCGGCGGGATAAAGGTGGTGTTTTTGGCGGGAATGTAGTTGATGCCCATGGGTAGATTGTAGCCGTCAACGAGCGAAATGTCGTAAAAGGTTTGCATCATGTCGACTCCGCCAGCGAGATTGAACTCTGCCAGTGTGGCAGGCGTAGCTCCCTAACACCGCTCATATCAGGCCTCATCTCTCAACTTCGTGACGGCGTTTGGCAGTCCACTTACGCTGAATTCATAGTCCATCTTTGCGAAGCAGTCTCCCGTCTTGCAGGCGCAAGAATCTCCACTCACGGTACAGTTCGTCCGCCCCCATACGCGACCTTGCCAGTCAGGACCTACCTATAGCTTCCTGCTTTTGTTGGTCGCCAGCTCGAAGCCTCCAATCCCTGGGCCAGTTCCTGATTGCGTGGCAACGCCAGGCCATATCGTCGAGTCGCATTTGTTTGTGACTACCAGGGGGATTTTCTCGTCGGAATCGCCTGGAGGCCCCCGCATGAATTGTCTCGGTTGCTCCACGTTTTCGCTGAAGAAGGCTGCTTGCCAGTTGTGGTTCATTAAAGAATCCTGTGCGGCTTGTGAGCCAGAGAAAAGTAGCAGGGCATATATCAAGGTCAGTGACGCCTGTGCGTTCATGGAATGCCTATCGCCTGAAGTCTGTCTCGAGGGTTTCGACATGTATACCATGACTTTTGTCGGATCAAGACGTCTCCAATTCGATCTTCTTTTTGCCCGTGTTTGATGCTTTGGAGGGCTACCAGCTCAGTCGTGAGGCCTTCGTTTGTGTTTGGCAGCCTAGAAGTTCCTGACCTCACGTAACTCGTGAAAATCTGTAGCAAGAAACGAATAAAGGAGAGTGTAACCGCAGTCAACGACAGCTTTGCCAAAAGAAGAAAAAAGCGAGGCTGTAGAGAGAGGCAAAGGTGCGCCGACAATTGGCAGCGCGCTTCTCAAGGTGCAGAGTAAAACATCAAGATATTAAGCAGGATTTCAGAGTCGCCGTTGTCTCGAACGTAACGGCACCCAACGCAATATTATGGCGAAGAAAAATAATAAGAGAAAAAAATAATATTGTAAGAGATGAAAAAGAAGAAGAGTTGAAATTCAGGAGCGTGGGCGAGGGTTCAATGTATCAATAGATGGCAAAACAGTGTGGCTGGCAGGGAATATTTACTATTGATTCAGGTATGTAGAGGGGAGGATAACGGAACAAAGGTTTACATAGACGTAAGATGAGCTCATATGCCTCTTTCCGCTCGATAGTCCATGCACGTATGAGACATCTTCGGGTCGAGTCGTGCCGAGTTGGCGAAGATGCAGGAGCATATGAGCGCCATAATATAAAAATAGCATCTATAAACGCCAACATCGTAGACTGCACTCAATGGACAAACGTATTCTTTGGTCTAGGTACTCTTTTAGACTGTCTATTATTAATAACATTGCCAGTCGTAGTCTTCTCTTTCGTTTCATTCGTCATCTTCCTCAAATCAAACAAGCAAGAGCACTTGTCAAAGCACGTCATGCTTTCGGCTTGTTTCTCGTCCGCATCCAACAGCCATCAGAAAAAAAAAAAAAAGGTAAAAATAAAATAAAATGCGTGTTGCTCAATGTGGCAATAAAACCCCCCATGTCCTCCTTAGTTCTCATGAGTATTCCGCCGGCTATATTAAAATACCGCTGGACCATGTATCATCTTCCTCGCTTTTTTCGAATGCATCCCCAGATAGGTATCATGTGTATATGTCCTTGACTTCAAAGCCGTGCTAGCTGTCTGAATCAAAGCTCCCAGCTTCAACCAAGTATGTACTGTTGGAAGCAGCTTCATCTATTTTTCTCCCTCTCGTTTACCTGAAGCGGGCTCGGCAGCGGCCCATAACCTCGCCTTGGCACACAAGCTCTGCGCTGAACTCGGAGCCGTCCAGAGTCAGGTAAATGTCAAAGTACACTCTGTAAAAGGTACCTTGAGGCGTATCCATTCGCTCGAAATCCTTTTCGAGGTTCTTGCGAGACAGGTCAGATGTAAGGGTAACAACTTCCTTGATGCCTATTGGATGAGAGAATGTTAGCTTTATGAGAGACAAATAACATTACTCGTTTTACTCCGTCAAGAGATATCAAGGTAAAAGAGTGGGAGAAAGAAACTTACGGGGATCCTTTGTATACTCTGGGCAGACGTCATCGTCACAGGCGTACAAGACATCTTCGTACATGAGGGTAGCTCCAGGAGCAACTTGTCTGAAAAAGGACACCTTGTAAGGCTCTCCGTTCTTGACTTTCTGTCCCTTGTGCACAAAGATTTGTCTCGTGAACTTGCATCGGTCCTTGCCATCAAGTGACGGCACTCGGTAGGCCTCGGGGTGGTAGCCCTCCTTAAAGGGCTGCAGTGTGGCCATAAGGTAGTGGCGTCGGGCAATACGGTGAGTAATGACTCGCTCCGTAATACCAGCGGTAACGGCACCCTTGACAATGGCAGCCACCGAGTCCATGGGTCGAACCACCTTGGACTGGAACTGAGGGGGCACGTGAAGCTTGATCTGCTGGAACAGGTACTCGGAAGCACCAAATCCACCGACAACCAAGATGTTCTGGAGCGTCCGGTTCTGGGCCTGGATGGCAATGATTTGGTTTCGCACCAGCTCCAAAATTCTGTTCACGACAGGCTCGAAGCACTGCAGGATTTCTTCGTTGGTAAAGGTCATGTAACCTTCCTCGATGCCGGCCTCGGGGAATTCAGCTTCAATACCGACATCAACAGCCCATTTCTGGCCATTGTTTCGGAAATCTGCCTTGATTCGGTTCTCGAAATCCATGATACACTTGGCGTAGACACGGCCGGCCGTCTTGGATCCGTCGGGCAGCTTCATCTTTCGAATCTTGGTCCGCAAAATGTTGCTAAAGTTGCGGTTCAGGGCTGTGGAACCGCACGAGTCACCAGAACCGGCAGTACACTCGGCGACAGTAAAGGGATTCTCCTCTTCGACTTCGTACGCAATCAAATCAACGGTACCTCCACCACAATCAACAATCAAGACGGCGTCGTGAACCTTGAGGTTGAGCAGACCCGTCTTGGAGCAGAACAGGGCCGCTGCTTCGGGCTCGGAAACGAGAGTCAGGCGGTTGTCGTTTTCGTCACGCAGGAAACCAGCCTGGATGGCCGCGGCTCGGGTGGCAGCCTTGCCTGCGTCGTTCCAGATAGCCGGTACGGTGAGGTAGTATCGGATGTTTCGCTCTTCTCTGTTGAACACCTCACCAAGAGTCTTCTGCAGCGATGACCGCATGGCCTGGCGGAGCTTGAAGAGGTAGTCGGCAGCGACATCGATCTCGGACTTTCCCGGGGGCAGAGGAGGCAGGTTGATGGGGTCAATGTACGTGTTGCCGCTAAGCATCAGCTGCAGCTTGAACCACTCAACCTTTTGGACTCCTGGCTTGGGGTAGCCAGTCGGTGCCAGAGCATCGGCGATGTCGGGGCCCCAGCCGACCACCTTTTGATATTGATCGTAGTAGAGGACAGTGGGGATCTGTTGGATTTAGAGTTAGCTCGGGCGTTTGTGTGGCGCCATCATTGTCTCAGCACTGCTCACCTTTTGCTTGGTGTATGAACCCGCACCGGGCCATTCTGTGATGATGTCCTCCTTGGCCTCGTTGTTGGTAGCGAAAGCGAAAGCGACGCCGGAGAATGTTGTTCCCTATGAATAGCATTTTGTTAGTAAAAAGAAGGCGTCGATTTCTTCTTCTCTCTGTCTGTCTGTCTCTCTCTCTCTCTCATTTTTTTTTCTTTTCCATTTTTTCTTCCCATGGGCCATGTATACCTAGCTCGTATTTCTACTGCCAAGCCATGACCCAGGACATGGATAAGAGCAAAATAAAGTTTGACAGCTGGGAAATCTCAAAGGTCTACTAACAAAATCAATGCCCACAATGAGCTGGGCCTTGCTTCGGCTGGCCCCCTCAACCTCTGCCGCGGGGTTGCCCTGCTGGAACTGTTGCGCAATAGGTCCCCCCGCAGGCGGTGGTCCAGGAGGGTATCCCGTGGGCTGGCCAAAGCCGGGAGGGCCGCCCTGAGGCATTCCCGGAGGCATCTGGCCCATGGGATTCATGTTTGGCGGATATCCGGTGGGAGCTCCTGTGTTGATCGGGGGAGGGCCTCCCGTCATCTGCGACGGCGGGGTGCGGTTCTGGCCGGTCATGGGACTCGTGCGGCCCATGGGCTGGCCCTGAGACGGTTGCGGATAGCTTCCCGCAGAGTAGCTGGGCGGACGCGCGCCCTGGCCTGGGTGGTTCATCGGGAGGCTGGTGGTGGACGACGCGGCGCCTGGAGGAGGCGTCTGGCCGGGATGCGGTGCCTGGTGTTGAGGTATTTGGGCGGGAGGAGGGGTACCGGCGCTGGTGGGGGGCGCTGGCTGTTGGATGCTGTGGATGCTGGCGACGGACTTGCGTTTGCCCAGACCAAAGCTCTTGAAGCGGGAGTTCAGCGAACTCATATGGAGGAGGAAAAGAAGGACAGGTCCCGGGAAGGGCTGATAAAGAGGTGCGGGAGCGGAGGGGAGCAAGAATGGGCGCTGCGATGGGGGAAGGCCAACGGCGCGGGCAGGGTGCTGTGCTGGGGCGAGAGGATTGGGCCTAGAGCGATTGATAGTGTAAGATCAGGTCGGCGGCGCGCAGAGGTGTGGTGGTGGAAATAGCAGCACAGCAGGTTTCGTTTTTCTGCTCTGGGTGCGATTTAGTGGCCGCGCTGACAGCTTTTGGAGCTTGCGATAGGATGGACAGGTTGGGTCGCCCGTGCTAGAGGTAGGACTCCTCCTGCTGCCCGACAGCGCTTAAAGTACTATGCTAGGGACTGTGGCAGATGGAGAAGGGGCAAAAAAAGGAAAAGAAAAAAAGGGTGCTGCAATGCAACGGTTCAATCTTAACAGAGTTATCGCTCTCTCCAGCTTAGTACATGTATGTAGCGGGCAAAGTCTTGTCTTGCGCAGGACGGCCCAGGACTCGCCGCCTTTTTTTGCTGCTCGTACTCGGACGCTCTGCTTACCTGAGGCCTTGGGGGGACCAGCAGCAGCGCAACGCGCACCCGGGGCTGGCAGTCAGACTTTAGCAACACGAGGCCTGGCCTGGCTGTGCAAACCGACCCAACGCGTTGGCAGGGCTGAGCCGCACCTCGAGAACGCCTAAGCAGGGCCCGGCGATGTGCCTTGCGCCGCGGGAACCACAGTAATACGCCAGCCCTGGGAGTCGCGGGTACAGCTGCGAGCGTTCGTTGCGAGCGTTTGCCAGTGCTGGAACCTCCCATCTACGCGTACTTGTACATGGTTCACAACGTATCAATGTGTTGAAAGTACCTAAGGTAGCTGATTGCGTAGATTCTCGCAAGACAGCATCGACTTTGACGTCAATGAGCTTCTCCGCCCGTATATGCACTCCGTATTTGGTCCCCGTCGAACGTTGTGCGCGCTACTACCACGACCCTCTTATATGCCGTGGCTGGAACCAGGTTCTCAACTGTATATGTATCCCGCCAAGTCTTTTTTTCTCACCTAATTTCACTTCACCTCTCCCCCTTCTTTTCCTCCTCCTCGACCCAGCTCAAACCATCATCATACCCACCTGCAGTCTCTATGGCCTAGGGCTGCTCGACTGGTCTCGGAACCTGCAGGGTACAGGTCTGGCTGCATGTACACGGCGCTGTAGCCCGTGCGGCTGAGAAGTCGAGAGGCCAGTGATCAGCAGTGGCAGAAGCCACAGCGGCGGGGCTAGTGACAAACTCGCCATGGTGCTAGCGATGCAGGGCGAGTGATGGAGCAGATCTGGAATGAAAAGGCAATGGAATACCGATGGACCCAGCAGCTCTCCAGCCTTTTTTCTGCTTCACCTTCAGTGGACAAATGGATTGGAGAGCGTGACAAATGCCGTCCCACGAAACAGCTTGTCCGCATCCCGAGACGCAAAACTCGCTCAATGTGGGCTGTTGCTTTTTGCCTTTTCCCTCGTATGCACTCCATGCCGTACTGGTGGAGGCGGTGATCGAGAGAGGCGGGGCAAAGCCACTCGGAAATCGAAACAACCGCTGAATAAAACTCTGCTGCCCTATCTTTGTTTCCAAATGGCGTGCCACGTGCCCAAGACGTCCTATTCCGTCCCGTCACGCTCGAATCGTCCTTGCTCTCACATGTCGCGATATGGCATTGGAAATGGCAACCACCTCCGCTAGCCGCAATCAGATGGGGAGGGCTCATAGTCAATTTTTCTCCAGGGCCATTTGCGCTGAATCTGAATGTCCTATCAGTGTGGTGGCACTAGCTCAGGACTTTTGCTCTTGGCGGGTAGGACTTTGCTTTGGGCAAGGCGGGGTTTGGTTGGGCTGCAGCCCATTTCTCGTGCCTCGCGGAACGGTGGGGCCACTGCCAGATTCGCTGAAGCCAGCCGTTGATGCTCATTTCTAGGGAATCGACTCTCCAGCGACAGATTTCGGGGTCTTGTATTTATAGATTCCGGCTAGTGCATGGAGCATCGCAATTGGTAATGTCATGGAGCTCCTATACAACTCCTTTTCGTCCCTGACGGGCCTCAATTCATATGCCCTAAACCGGTACGTCGTGTGTATGTAAGCTGTCTCAATGGGACCGCGGGCTATTATTAGCCCTGTCGGCGCCGCCGCCGGTGCAGAGCCGCAGCGAATAAAATCTCCACTGTAAATCACGTCCCAAGTTCTCCACATATATGTGCATTCTTTGGATGGTTCTAATACCTTCTAACGCTCGCATTTTCTCCAACAAATACATTGCGGCCTTAGCTCAGCTGGGAGAGCGTCAGACTGAAGTTCCAACTTCAAGTCACTTGATATCTGAAGGTCGTGTGTTCGATCCACACAGGCCGCAATTTTTTGCCCGCTGCAACAAATCATCGTGATGTCTATTTCTTGTGGCGGAGATGTTTTCCTCGTTTTCTTTTGCTGAGCATCTCTTTTTATTCTGTCTGCTGTTTGCTCGCCACTTCGTCGTCAGGTACCTACCTACTGAGGAACCACTAGTAGTAGTACTAGTAGTTTGAACTGAAGGCAGCAAATCTTTTTGCTAAGCACTGAACTGCCTCTACAATTTTCTTTCCTCTTTCTGGACGCTATTAATTTTTCCAGACATAGAACGCAAAGCTTGCTCAAGAATATATTGTTAGGTTTTCCCAATTAATCTCGAATACATCATTTTATCCAGCTATACCAAACTGACTGAGTAACCAATCAATTTTCCGGACAGGATAGTTGGCAAAACTTCAATCGCGCCGCCGCCTCGAGTTGTTCCCGGGTAGTGGTTGAGCTGATGGATTATATCTTCGTATGTAGACGCATAGATGGCAGCGACTAATACTCCGGATGTCAAACGATCTGCACTAGCATTAAAATATACTACCTTTGTTAATTAGGGATATACGTGCGTCATTCTTATTTAGCATCAGCTGTTAAGAGGCAGTTGCAGATTGGCAGCGAAAATGGAAAGAGCGATGACACTGCAACTCGACCAAAAATCCTCTTTCCTATCGTCGAGAGGACCCAACATGCAACTCTTCTTCCCATACTGTCTTCAAGAGAAACAAAACTGTCTTCTAAACGGGAGCAATTTCAAGGCCCAAAAACCCACTCACAATGAACTTCTACCAGGCAAACCTGATCGTTTTGGCCGTGGCCAACGCCTGCTCTTTCATCCATCGACATCGCCTCCAAAACCGCAAGCTGTGCTTTCGTGGCATCCAAGAGGATGAACAAAAAGAAATAGCTGCAGTTCGATTTCAGCGGCAATTCCTCCTTGTTTATACTTTGGTAGTCGCAGCCGATTGGCTCCAAGTGTGTGAAAAGAAACACCAAAATCCCCCCTTTCTTCTGGTTGCTGTACTGACGTGAACTACAACACACAGGGGCCATACACTTACGCCGTATACAAGTACGAAAAGCAACTCGCAGAGCACACCGTTGCTCTTTTATATGCTTCTGGCTTTGTTTCGGGTGCTGCCAGCGCCCCCTTTGCGGGACAGCTTGCAGATCGCTACGGGAGACGCACAGCATGTATTGCCTACTGCATCTGCTACGGGATTACATGTCTGGCAATGTTAAGCTACGACCTCAGAATCTTATATGTTGGTCGATTCTTTGGCGGCATTGCTACAACTCTGCTGTTTAGTGTCTTTGAGGCTTGGATGATCACTGAATACCACTCGTCGCGCTTGGAACGAACCAAGGTTTCTCTTGGTGGCATCTTCGCTAACATGACAACCATCAGCAGTGTCACAGCGATATGCTGTGGCGTGCTGGGAGATGGTCTCGTTCGATATTCCGGTTCTCAACTGGCACCGTTTCTCGCCAGCCTTGCCTGCTGCATTGGGGCCAGCGTCCTCATATTGGCAGCATGGCGAGAGAACTATGGCAGCATTGACACTTGCAAGGAAAGTCCTGAGGCTAAGACGCTCAAAAATCGCTTGCTTGTAGCATTAACCAATCCCGAGGTCGCGGCTCTGATCTTTGCTTCGTCTTGTTTCGAAGGCGCAATGTATCTTTTTGTATTCTTCTGGTCAGCCGCTCTGAAGAGTGTCCGAGTGAGGTCAGGATATCAGGATGATCTCCCCTTTGGTCTCGTCTTCTCAAGCTTCATGTGTGCAATGATGGCCGGATCTAGCATATCGACGACTCGGAATGCTTCATCTTCGAACGGCATGGTAATGGACACGCTCTTGTTCATATTCGCCATAGCTTCTGCAGCGTTTGTTGTTTCAACTATGCTTGACCACGAGTATTTACTCTTTTGGGCCTTTTGTGTTATCGAGGGTTGTGTTGGGGCATATTTCCCAAGAATGGCACTCATCAAAAGTAACGTCGTCGATGACTCTGTGCGAGGCGGGGTGTATAGCGCTCTTAGACTGCCACTGAATATCTTTGTGGTTGTTGTACACGGTCTCGATCGTGACGGTAGGAGTCCAAAAGTCTTTGATTTGGCCCGTGTAGGATCCCGCTAACCCTTGAATAGGTGACGAGCACCGGAATTCTGTTTTCCTAGTATGCGCAGGGCTCTTGCTTGCGGCGTTTCTCGTTATTTCGAAGCAGGCTTGAGGACCGTGCTATTATTCATCTTGGCTAGGATCCGCTTTGATATCTGGCCTCTTTTGCTTCCTTTTTGGAAGGTGGTCCACTTGCCCACATTGCCGCGATATGGCCCAGCACTGGTTCGTTCCCCAACCCACGTTTGCCGCCGGATCAATGCGTATTGCTGTCTGTATATAGCTCGGCCAGCACGATGCCGAGATCTGACAGTTTTCCTAGGCTCTCGGACCTCTCTACTCAGATAGCGGGAAGCTAACGGGGTGTTTCCCCAAGTTACGTACAAGTAATATAGAAAAAGTTGTTTTCAAGAGTCAGGCTAAAGTGGGCGAGCGAGGGGATATTATCGAATACAGTACCGCCTTTTAAAGACCTGGAGACGGACCATTGGCTTTTGCTGGAAACAGACCAGCTTCCCCGCGCCAATGGCTGATTGCTCGGCTCGAGGGAGGGAGTTCCCCATCTTTGCCTGCATCTAACGAAGTTATATAAGAGCCCCGAGTAAGACATATCTTGATCTATGACTGCATATGCTCACCCTCTCATTTGTCATTTGTGAATCGACTGCCTGTAAGCCTTTGTCTTGTCAGGCTCAGACAATTTGACGGAATCAAGCAGGGGCGCCATCTACGGGAAGAGGAACGCACTGACTGGCTTCTCTGCAGAAAATCCATGATATTCTGATTTACCAAAATTTTCCCTTTTTCTTACCACGCTATCTCGCTTTGTCAGGCACTCGGCGGCAGAACAGTCAACCCCTATTCCAATTACTGCTGTTGTTGTTATCTCTGTCGCCCCCCCCGTACCACACCCTCAACAATCGATTCTTGCAGGTCTGGCTTCCCTAATCTCATCGGCATATTCCCAACTCTCGCATACGAGCGCTGGCACCTAACCGGACGCTAGTCTCTGCAATTGAAGGCCGGCCACGATAGAGCTGCAGCTCGAAGGGTTCCTGGGTCAGCTTGCCCGCGCAGTTCGGCGAAACTCATCGCTGCTCGTCATCGTGCCATTGCATTGCAGCGTCGTGATCGTCCGGCTTTCGCAGTCTGGCGGTTTGAGTGGTACGCTGTGCCTGCATCCTGCATCTTCGGGCCATTTGGGGGGAAATTAAATGATACAGGGGCCAAATCCGCAAGCACCACTCAATGGACGCCACTGGGGAGATCTGAGTCGCCAATCCGACAGCCACCCAGCCAAAAATCGCGCGGGATTTTCTCCATTCTGTTAGGACGGACATTCTTACGACCAAGTTTCTCTGGGCAGAGCGAGCAGGTACTGCTTGTACGGAGTACATTGTCAGTATACGGCCCTTTTCACGAGCGTCTCCAGCTTGGGCCACATTCGCTCCGCAGCTGCGTATGCGGGCGTCTCCATGGACGTTGTTCTCCACGGCTGACTGCGCGAGGGGTTTTTCTCATACGGAGTACCTCCATTCGCGTCTGAGGCTTGAGGCTTGAGGCTTGAGGCTTGACAGCGGCTACAGGCTGGGAGCATGTACTGTGAGTGCTGACGCGGATTGGGAGCTTGGCGAATCTTAGGGGTCCAATTGCTTAAATTCTGTTCTGCTAGCTGCACACGATTCTTCCGCCAACTCGGCGCTGCACCCGGACAAGGTTCGAGGCCTCGGCGCCTTGTGGCGCGGTGGTGGTGAGAGCGCAAGGGTGGTGCGAGAGCATCCCGAGCAATGCGCCGGCCAGAGGTCCAATCCTGTGTGGCTGCTATCCATGCTGTTAGTGCTGCTGGCTCTCGTGAGTGTGCCCTCATTTCCGTCGTCATCCTGCCCGTCGTCCCAAGTCAAAACCAAGCTGTTCTGGAAGTTCTCCAGCGCCCACGTCACTCCGTCCGGCGCCCCGTACCTACGTAACAGCTAGGCACAGCGAGCTCCTCAGTGGATGCCCGAGCCCTTGGGGAACATTCCAGAGTGCGCAGCGTGGGACGGATATTCCGGTGGCCATCAGCTGTAGAGCCTCTGGAGCTGCTCCGGCGTGTGAGGGGTGGAGAGGCCTGAGGCCTGGGCGCCATGATTCGCTTGCTGGCGGGAGTCTCAGTGGGAGGCTGCGCTAAGCATGGAGCTCTCGGCCAAAAACCGCCCCGCGCCGTCCCCAGAGTTGGGGCTAATCCCTGTGCGATCCATGTCGTTGCTCTCCTACGCATCATGCGCAAAGCATAACGTATCCACGATAGTTTCCTGGCCGCTAACGTTTATTGCGACCGATTTCTAGCTCGCTCATCTCGTGCTCCATGACGCCAAGCTCAGCGCACTCATCTTCCAGCTGCCGTGGGCGTGCCGGTTCTTCTCCTTTCTTCATCTCCATCTTCCCCCATCAGCTCGCTGGCCGCTCTCTTCATTGACGTCGCAGCTCACGATCCAAGAAGACCTCATCTGCCCACGACTGACGCATCTCGCACTCTCGCCACCAACGTCGCGAGTCCTCACTATGGGTCTCGCCGAGCACACAAGCAGGATTGTCTCCGAGTTCGACTTTTCGGACGAGGAGCTCAATCGCCACGTACAGGAATTCCTGAAACAGACCGGTACGTTTTGCGAAGACTGCCAACAGCATTGCGCTGGAGCCGTGTCTTGCAGCAGCAGCTGCAGCTGCTGCTTCACGCCCAACTGCTCGAATTCACTACTGACATTTTCGTAGATTCGGGACTGAGAGAAGATGGAACCAGTCTCAGCCAGATTCCGTCCTATGTGACTGCCGTGCCGGATGGCACTGAGAAGGTAGGTAATCTCACTCATTCCCGAGCGTAGCTGAAGAGGGGGCCATCCAACTAAACAACTCGGCTCCGTTTTTTAGGGTGTCTATCTAGCCGTAGACTTGGGCGGCACAAACTTTCGCGTTTGCTCCGTTTCTCTCAACGGCGACAGCACTTTCAACTTGACCTACACCAAGGTTGCCATTCCCAAGAATCTCATGGTCGCAAAGACTGCGAGAGATCTTTTCGGCTTCTTGGCCAAGCAGATTGAACTCTTCCTCCGAGAGCACCACAAAGAGCACTTTGAGGGCGCGACGTCTCGTCGTAACACCAGTAGCTTCCCAGAGGGCTACCACGATGAGCAGATCTTTCGCCTGGGCTTCACATTCAGCTTTCCAGTCCAGCAGCTTGGCATTAACAAGGGCAAGCTGATCCGATGGACCAAGGGCTTTGATATTCCGGATGCTATCGGCCAGGATGTCTGCAAGCTGCTTCAAGACGAGATCGACCGACTTGGTCTTCCGGTCAAGGTAGCTGCCTTGGTCAACGATACTGTGGGAACACTCATGGCTCGTTCATACACTTCTGCTGGAAAGCACCGCTCTATCCTCGGTGCCATCTTTGGCACAGGAACTAACGGCGCCTACATCGAGAAGACATCAAATATCAAGAAGCCAATCCAGGGCGAATACAATACGTCAACTGGCGAAATGGTTATCAACACCGAGTGGGGCTCTTTTGACAACCAGCTCAACGTCCTCCCCTCAACGGCTTGGGACGCTGCGCTGGATAGAGACAGTGTTAACCCGGGCATTCAGATGTACGAGAAGCGAGTCTCGGGCATGTTCCTGGGTGAGATTGTACGATTGGCGATTGCAGACATGATCCAGGACGAAGACACATCCTTATTCCGCGACACAAACTCCAGTTACAATGACTGGTCAACTACCACAAACATCAGCCCCAAATCTGGGCTCTTGTCCCAATGGGGTCTGGATACCGCCATCTTGTCCGTAGCTGCGGCCGATAACACTCCTGAGCTATCAACTATCCGACAAGAGCTGGAGAACACACTGCTGGTTTACACTCCCGCTTTGGAAGATGCGCAAGCATTCAAGGCCGTTGCGGGCGCTGTTGTTCGCAGAGCGGCCAGACTATCGGCTGTCGCAATTGGTGCCATTGTTCTCCAATCAGGAAAGCTCGAGGACCCCGCCGAAGAGATTATCGACATTGGTGTGGACGGCAGTCTGGTTGAGCACTACCCATTCTTCCGAGATATGATCTATGAAGCTCTGCGTGCCATCGATGGCATTGGCCCTAGCGGCGCGGATAAGATTCGCATCGGTATTGCCAAGGACGGCAGCGGAGTTGGCGCAGCTTTGATTGCCTTGGTTGCGCAGAAGATGGAGAAGCCTGGTGATTTCCTTGCTGACCTGCGACGGGACATTAAGCGGAGACTGTCTCAGCCATTTGATTTACCTGGTATGTTATTTCACCCTTGAACGCTGAATCCTCTCATTCTGTGTGTATGTTCTAACCAGTTTCATAGTGGAAGAATCAACACTTTTGTCTTTTCCAGCATTGGTTGCGGGCGGCGTTGGCATCGGCGCACTTGCTGCATTTTTATGGAGCAGATACAGTACTTTTAGGCTCAGCAACTAAAGAGGTGGTGACATGTTTCGGCGCTATATAATCCGGGGAGGCTGTTTTTCGTTTTACTGATTCTAATTTTTCACGGCTTTTCTTCTTCTTCTTTTGTTGGGAGGGGGGAATTATAAAAAGATTACTAGGAGGCGTCATTGCACTTGTGGAAAAAAGGTTTTTTTTTTCCTTGGGTATCAAAGAGTCCCTGTTGGGATGGAATTTGTACGATTGTCATGTATGCTATGGAGACAAAACAGTTACAATATGTGTGGATGTCTGCGATTTTCTTTGGGTGGAAAGCGTGTCTGGCTTTTCGTTAGTAGTCTGGTTGATGGCTAGGCAGATTGACAACACTCGGAGGAAATAATGTTTTTATTTCTACAGTCGTATTAAAAATGTTTATAATTCTTTGCTTAAAGTCTAAGTCTAATCATTGTTGTTATTCATGACCCCCCCCATACATTATTCGTAAACTGATAAGAACTGGTTTCACCCAAAAGTTCTAAGGCGCCAATGTCATTTCTTCTTCCATCTTCTTTTCTTCTATTTGCTTCACTGGCCAAATGCAGCAGCCGGATAGGATCGATCTCTTTTTCTCCTTACGGTGGAGCTGCTCCTTGAGCTCGCACCAGATCCGGGTTCGCTGCCATTCTTTGGCGGCCCGAGGAGACCCGGCGCCATGTCCGCGGGGAGGTCATTCCACTCTGTCTCGGCACGCTGATTTTGGAAGGATTGGCCTGATGCGGCCCTGATAGGAGGCCTGGGCCTGCTTGTCGAGGGAGGAGGAGGAGCACTATTGCTGACGGCAGGAGGAGTGGCAGCAGCGGTGGCGGGCGGTAGTTGGCTCGTCATGAGTGGAAGGCTCATGACGGCTGCGGTGGTGCTGTTTATGTTTATATCAGGTCGAGAGAGGGGCGGTGTTGACGAGGGGAGGGCGTTGAGAACGGAGGCGCCGATTCGTTTTTGGACGACCCAGGCCGAGTCGGGACGCAGCTTGAGATAGTAGCCCTTGATAGCCGGTTCGTGCTTCTCGAAGCCCCGCGCCTCGTACCAATGCAGGCCCTCCTCGTTCTCGGTCCACACATGCGCCGTGACGGTGCGGACTTCCAGCGCCGGGTCCGTCACGACGGCGGCAACGACCTTGTCCAGCGCGGCGGCGATGAGGCCCATGGAGCGGTAGGGCGACAGCAGGCAGAGCGACTGGATGTATAAATTCTGGGCGACTTGAGGCCCGCCGTCTGGGGCGTGGACGTCGATGTCGGGCTCGACGCGGCAGACGAGGCCGCCGACGGGTTTGGGCTCGGCGCCATCGTGGGACCAAGTGATGACACGGGAGAAGCGGCCGGCGATGGGGTCGGCGGCGCGGTTGTAGAAGGCCTCGGGGTAGCTGACGGGGAGGAGGAGGGCGTTGAGGCGGCGGAGGGCGTTGATGTCGGCGGGGGTGATGGCGCGGATGGAGGCTTCGCGGGGTAGATATGAATTCGGACTTGAAGTTGGATGCGGGGTGGATTGTGATTGCGGTTGTGGTTGAGATTGTGGTGGTGTTGTTGTTGTTGATGTTGTTGTTGATGCGGCGGCGGGTACGGAAGAGAGAGGAATCGTAGGGGCGTCGATGGTGATGTCGTTGTTGCTGTTATTACTGCTATGTTGACTCTGTGATGGAGGAGGAGGGTATTTGGGCGTCTTGGCCTGGAAAAAGGATCGGATAGACATTTGCGATGGCTTGCTGGTGGTGGGGAGTGACATGGCGGGCAGGCATAGAACGATAAACGACCGCCGGAGGATGGGATTGAGGTTGTGTGTGGTGGTCAGAGCGTGAAGTAGACGGCGGATGAAAAGAGGGAAAGAGAAAGACGATGGGGGAATTTAAAAAAGAGGGAGAGAAGGATGATGGGGGAATTGAAAAAAAGAGGGAGAGAATCAAGACAAAACAAAAATAGAAGTAAACCGTCACATCAGCGAGTGAGTCAATGCAAAGGGAGCCGAGACTCTGGAGAAGAGCCGCAAGAATGCAAATGAATACGTAGATGTTGGAGTGGAACGTTGTTCATGGACAGCCTGCCCCATCTCGACTTATATTCAATTCAGGGGACTAGACGTTCTCAGACGGCGGAGTAATTCCGGAGTCTTGAGTGGCTCATGCTACTGCGAACGTTTTTTCTGCGATTGAATTGTTCATCTCTTAACATTTACGTTAGCGGCGCTCTTATCAGCCACAGCGATAAGATTAGGCGGCGTTCAGGGGACTGCGAATGAGGTTGGCGTTGGCTGGTTGGGCGATGCAAATCTGTATGCAATCTGCAAATCTGTGATTGCGCGATGCGGGCCAGGGGTGAAGGAGATTTTCTGCTGAGAATGAGCTCAAGCCTCTTGATTCAGGGCTTCTGCCAGCCAGATTGGTTCTTGATGGCTGTGTCCAGCACCGACTAAAAAATGTAAGGGATGGATGCTGTTGGGCTGGGCTGCACTGCGGCGCAAGCGAGAGCGAGTACCTGTAAAGTACCAGTAATTAGCGGTTGCCTCTCCCCCCGGAGACCCCTAGGACCCCCCCTGTACGCAGCGGCTACAGCGGAGAGTTTTAGCGATCATGCAGCTGCCTCATAGAGCAAGCAGCCACTGTAAAGTCAGCTGGGCAAGCGAGCATGGGGGGGCGCATCTGGCCTCGATCGCAATTGAACTCTGATTCTGCACTGCGCTTGATTTGGCTTTCAAACTCAGCTCACTTCAATCTTTTTGCCAAATCGCACCCGCAAAAGGCGTTTGCGCCAGCAGAGTCTCAAAGACGGGCATTCTGCTTTTCTCCACGCTGCATAGAAACAGCAGAACAATTCGCTCGACGCAGCCAGAACGGAAAACCAGCCGCTTTTCGTCTTACTTGTCCTATTGCGCCAAGCCCAAGAAAATACAGAGAATCTAGCAATCGCCCCCTTCAATCCCAGCAACGCTCAAGGCCCAACCCCCGACTTTACTCCAGCGCAAGTCATGGTGCACGGTGCCTAGTGCAAAGTGCTGTGACGAAAGGAGCCGCGGCGGCAAAGCACTATCTCGATGCTAGTAGCAGCATTCGCTCTCCAACCTCGAACCTTAATCATCATCCTCGTTTCGCTTTGCCTTTAGCCTTCCGTCAGATCAGCCGCGGGCGATACATCCGGCACCGTCGATTCCGCCCGGGATTCCTCCGTCATTCATCACACGACGCCAAGTTGCACAGAAGCCGACACACGCACACTCCGCGCACCACACACACCTCAGCTGTGCTGGGGACTTTTTTTTTTTTTTTTTTTTTAATTTTATTTTGTTTTAATTATCTTACCCTGTTCCTTTTATTCATCCTCTCTCCCCCATCCAGGGCTCGCAGCCGCCCATCATGAACTCAGCCTCGGGTCGGGCGGGCATTATCCGTGCCCGCGATGATGCTGGCAGCATGGATAAACTGGTGAGTCGTCGATTCGATGTGATGCATTTCCCATTCCCACCCTCTAGGCCGGAGCACCACTTCTTGCTGGGCCCCCAGAGGCTAAGGCGCTGCTGGCCTTGCGCTGCCGCCGCCGACCCCATACAAGAGGAGCAGTGCTGCATGCATTGCATCGCCAATCAATGCCTCGAGTCATCTTCTTTGGCGAGACGTGGCTGCTGACAATTCCTTCCCTGCATTGCTCTAGGCGCATTCGGTGCTCGATGATGTGCTGTACAACCTCGTGTCGGATCTGTTGATGAAGACGCATCGAGAGGAGAAGACGGCCAGGGCGACCACTGCCGCCATCCAAGTGGAGAAGTTGGCCTCAGATGCCTCGGAGAGCTCGACGCCCGACTTAAGACCCGACGTGCGAGTCGAGACGGACGCCGCCATCTACGAGGATGGCAAGGTGCTCCTCAAGGGCAACCCTCTGAAGACGACGACGGATATTCTATGTCCCCGATGCCATCTGCCGCGATTACTGTATCCAACCGACGGCAAAGGCGCCCGAAAGCCCGATCCCACCGTCGTCTACTGCAAAAAGCACCCATTCATCGAGAAGCCCGGATGCGACATCTACGGCCAGAGCTGGGTGGGACCAGGCCCTGGTAGGGGCAAGAAGAAGAAAGATTCGGACAAGAAGGATGACGGAGGCTCCGAGCAGCGCCCTCCAAATGTCCTCTCCTTCCCTTCTGCCACGTGCAGCAAGTGCAAGCGATGCATCCTGGTTACACGGCTGAATAATCACATGGGATCTTGCATTGGCAATAGTGGTCGCAACGCCAGTCGGGCCGCTGCTCAACGGATGAATGGCAGTGGTTCTCAGAATGAGCCCACTCCTCCACCCTCGCAAAAGGCTACGCCCACGCCGGCGTCCCGTGGCCAGAGTCCAAGGAAGCGCGACGTGAGCGACGACGACGACGACTCGGAAACTAGCCATAAGAAGAAGAAGATAAAGCATGCCTTGACGAAGAAAGTCATAATCAAGACAAAATCCTCATTGAAGAAGGACAAGATCAAGAGCAGTTCGTTAAGCCAGGAGCAAAAGGCAGATTACAGTGTGCCTTCGCCAAAAGTGCTGAACAAGGTCAAGTCCAAGACAGACAGCCCAGTCAAGAAGCTGAAAGTGGGCAAGCCGGTCATGAGCTCTCCCATGAAGAATGGTCGAGATATCGATGCCGAGTCCGAGTCTTCAGAAACGCTCTCTTCGCCACCTGCGGGTCACCGTTAAAAAGGACAGGAGAAATGAACCAAGCAATCTAGGAATTTACGCATACGTGCATATGTTTTGCATCGCTATCGCTGGTGGATTGGATATGGATAGACTCGAAACGCAAGTGGCTTGAAGCTTTTTATATCCATGGATAACTGTACTATTTTTTTTTTTTTTTTTCATTCTTCCAACACACTACAAAGACAAAATAGGTGAAGGAAAACGGGTAACGAAACCTCGGGCTTATTTGCTTTTTGCATTTGATTTGATTTGCAGATTATGGACGTGGTTGGCTATGGGCTGACCTACTGGCTTTCACATAAAGACGACGATTAAACCAGCATCCCGAAGAACACGGGAACTTGGCGTTTGGGGGTTAAAATGAGTCTATTATCTTTTCTTCTTCCTTTGATCAGGCTGATCAGGCCTGTATGTATAAAGCACGGCATTCTTTTCAATCTAAAGTTTGTGCCATTTTGCATTTTTGTGATGCTGTCTGTGATTTGTGTGATGTTGATATTGCCGCTACTGCTCCATGATTGGTTTAATGATTGATGCGTGTGTTGAATACCGTCAACCAACGCTTTGCTATGCTGTCTATCCGTATCGAGCGTAAGTTACAGCACACGTATATACATGCCTATTATGTATCCATACCTATGTATCGCACCTCAAAACTGAGTGAGTTGCATGCCAAGTTAATATACCACCTCCCCATTCGCACATTGCATATGTTTTGACCAAGATGTTCCAAAAAAAAAAAAAAAAAACAAAAAAAAACAAAAAAACACGTAAATAATCCTTCGCCTTTTTCATTCACTCCTGCTCCTCGCCTTCTACCACTTTGGCGCTGATCAACTTGACGTCCTCCACCGGCCTATCCTCCTGCCCCGTAGGCACCAGACCCATCCTCTTCACCACGCCCAGCCCGCTCTTGACCCTCCCAAAGATGGTGTGTTTCCCATCGAGCCACGGCGTCGGCGCCAACGTGATGAAGAACTGCGAGCCGTTTGTGTTGGGCCCCGCGTTGGCCATGCTGAGAATGCCCGCGCCGGTGTGCCTGAGGGCCGGGTCGATTTCGTCTTCGAACTTGTCGCCGTAGATGGAGGAGCCGCCGCGGCCGGTGCCCGTGGGGTCGCCGCCCTGGATCATGAAGTCTGGGATGATGCGGTGGAAGATTGTGGAGGAGAAGTAGCCGCGGCGGGCGAGGGTGGCGAAGTTGTTGCAGGTTTTGGGGGCGTGGGATGTGTAGAGCTCGAGGGTGATTGTGCCCTGTTTTGTTTTGACGGTTAGCATGAACTTTTTTTTTTCTTTTGGTTTTTGGAACTGGGTATCAGGTTTTTTACCATTGAGGTTTCTAGGATGACGTTTGTGGCCATGGCTGGTGAGATTTGAATGTTGGCTGAATTGAGAGCTGAGAGATGGACAATGGCTTGAATTGGTGATGCTAGTTGTGTAAGTTGGGGAAAAAAAAAATGGATATGGAAGAGGATCAATGTTGTCACTGCGGGACGAGGCTGCGATGTTGGCGCTGGAGACCCTGTTTGCTGCTGGGGCGCTATCGCGGCGCTTTATTGGCTGCCTCGCCTAGCTTTGCAGCGATAGTCGGTTTTAGTGGACGCTTTAGTGGCCTCTCCAGGCTTTGGAACTCACTCAGCTGCTTTTAGTATTTGATATTATAAGGCACCAGCGCCTTCTTAAACGCAATCTTTCACTTCTCATCATCTTTCTTCGCTTCTTCCATTCTCTCTCATTCTCTTTCTTTACTGCAGACTTTGGATTGCTAGCAAGGTGTTGCACGGCTTGGAGACTTGAAATGTGTCATTTGTCGCTACCGACGTCATAAAGCCAGCTTTGTTGAGTTCAGACCACGTTTTCGTTTTCTCGCTCTCTAGTTTGACAGCATCTCCACGAATTTTCAAGGTCACTGCTCGTCTGTCATTTGTCACGATATATGTTGATATAGAGTGATGGCCTCTACAAACGTCACCCTCATGGAGGGCTTGGATGGCCTTAATGTTACCCTCAATAACACAGCTGGTGCCGCTCCCGCCTCAATAATGGACACCTTACAGGACATGGATTTCCTCCTTCTTGAGCTCAAGCTCGTCACCGGTGCCATGGGAATCATCTTCCTCGGAGCCCATGCATCTCTACGCCGCCCACCGTCTGCGGCTACCTCAAAGGACAAGAAGCGCCGGAAGCAGGATGATGAAGCGTTTACCCAAGGATTGGAGCTTTCTGACGCGATCCTGTTCCCAGTCATGGCTGCTTTTGTCCTTGTTGGGCTTTACTATCTTATTCAGTGGCTCCAAGATCCTGCTCTCATCAACAAAATTTTACGATCCTACATGACGACTGCGTCTATGGCGAGTTTGTTGACCTTTTATGCTCATGGGATTCAAGTGGCGTCGTCTTTCGTCTTTCCTCGTTTTTGGCGCGGCAGAGACGGCAAACTTCGCAGAGCCGATCAAACCAAGAACGCAGTTGCAATGTGTGATGATGCGGGCAACGAAATCGAGAGCTCTGGTGTGAGTGGGACGAACCCGCTTCCCGGAGCGCTGGCTTTTCTTGCGCCAGCTGCGTGGTTGCAAAAGGAGGCCTGGGAGCTGAGAGATCTCCTGACGAGACATTGGCTGCTGGAAGTGTTTGCTCATGGGATGGGCAAAGAGACAATCCACATCAAGTTTGCGCATATGATGGCACTCCTGATGTCGGTGGTGACGGCAATCGTCTACTTTGCAACTTCGTGGTCGTTTCTGTCCAACATGTTGGGATATGGCATGTGCTACGGATCGTTTTTGCTTCTCTCGCCGACTGATTTCCTTACCGGCTCGCTGGTTTTGTGGGGACTCTTCTTCTACGATATCTTTATGGTGTTCTACACGTGAGTTGCCTTGTTTCTGTTTTTTTCTTCTCTATTTTTTTTGTGGTATGCTGCAGGAATGTTTGCTGATTCACTTTATGTCCGTATAGTCCCTACATGGTGACCGTAGCAACGACCTTGGATGTCCCTATCAAACTCACTTTCGAAGCGGCATCCAGGAAGAGTATCCTCGGACTGGGAGATATCGTGATTCCTGGAATGGTTATTGGCTGGGCACTGCGACTTGATCTCTGGATTCACTACTACAGAAAAATCAAGTACGAATCCACAGACTTGAAAATCATGGAAAAGGATGCTACTTCGGGCGAGATCGTCACACGAAGTGAGACTAAGCACAAAGAAGTCAAAGCCCCATATATGGATGCCAAGGGAAACTGGGGAGAGCGCATCTGGACTCGCCAGTCTTTGGGCCTATTCGGTCCAGAAAGCTTGCCCCCTGATGTAGCAGCATCAAAGTTTTCCAAGACATACTTCTATGCCTCCATGATAGGATACTTTTTAGGCATGATGGTCACGCTCGCAATGTTGCTCATCTTCAAGCGCGGACAACCAGCGCTGCTATATCTCGTACCAGGCGTTCTTGGATCGCTACTCTTTACCAGCTTGGTGCGTGGAGAATTCAAGGAGTTGTGGATGTACACGGAGGATGGAAGCCTCGATACAGTCGACGTGGTGGTTGACCTGGACGGCAATGGCAAGGCGGTGAAGACTCTTGGTAAGCTGGAGGACGGCGTGGTAGATATGACCAAGGATAAGAAGAAGGATGAGGAAAAGGAGAAGGAGAAGAAAGAGGAAGAAGAGAAGAAGAAGAAGAAGAAGGAAGAAGAGGAGAAGAAGAGTGCCGAAGCTGGAAAGACGGGCAGAAAGGGTCATCAGGTCTTTTCTATATCGCTGGAGGCGCCGTCAGAGGGAGCGTAAGATGAAGCAATGTCATGATTGTCGTATAGAAAGGAAGTGAAGGACTTGCTCGAAATTTCAGATACAGGAATACATGGACAATATATAATTGTTGTGTTCAAGTCCAATCTTTGGTTTAAGCCTGTGATACGCTGAGAATGTCTCACTTTGTATCTCGCCTTGTACAGAAATGCCGGTGTAGCATGTACGGATACATGTATGAGTGTAACCAAGACTGCGGCTCTGCGGGCCGAAGGGCGGGGAACTGATTGCGGGAGTGAGCTGATTGGCAGTGCGCAATCTCACCCATCTCAACGCATCTCACTCACTCATCCAGCGATGCCAGATTTCACTCATATAGAGAATACTCATACGCAGCGTTGACATACATCTCGCCATTATATACATACATCTAATCTACATATAGAATATAGATTCATGTTTTGGAAAGAAGCGGGCGTACCAAAAACAAAAGCACCGCGAACCAGCCATGGCCCAACCTGCCGTCTTCCTTTGGGCTCTCGATACTCGAAACCTGTGGCCCGAAGCTAAAGAAACCAAACAGCTTCCAGGAGTGGTACGTTTTCTCATTCCATATTTCCCATCTTTCCATGTTTATAGCCCATTCATTCCAAGTATTGAAAAATCACTCTCGCTATTTTAAATCGGCTCAACGACTGATATCCTGCAGGCCCAGCGCGCCCTCGCCCTCCTCAGCGACTCGGAGCAGGCCGCCGTCCTCAAATACTACTTTGTCAAGGACGCCAAGCTGTCCCTCGCCTCGTCACTGCTCAAGCGCCTCGCCATCTCGCGCTTCTGCCGCGTGCCCTGGGCGTCGGCCACGGCCGTGCGCGACGCCCGCACCAAGCCCGTCTTCATCACGCCCGCCGGCGACGAGCCGCTGCTCTTCAACGTCACGCACCAGGCCGGCGTCGTGGTGCTCTTTGGCGCGTACCGGCCTCCCGCGGGCGTCGCCATCGGCACGGACATTGTGTGCGCCGGCGAGAGGCGCGAGCGCGACCTGAAGCACCTCGAGACGCAGGGCTGGCCGTCGTACATCAGCCTGCACAGCGACGTGCTCTCGCCGGTCGAGGTGCAGCGGCTGCGCGGGCTGAGGATCGCCGACCGCCAGAAGCTGCTCGACTACTTTTACGCGCTGTGGTGCCTGCGCGAGGCCTATGTCAAGATGACGGGCGAGGCGCTGCTTGCGCCGTGGCTGGCCGACCTGGAGATGCGGTACTATGCGCCCCCTGGGGAGATTCCGCCCGAGGGCGCTGAGAGGCAGCTGGAGGTGTGGTTCAAGGGCGGGAAGGTAACTGACGTGGACGTCAAGCTGGACAGGGCCATTGGGGACGAGTACATGATTAGCACGGTGGTGAGGAGGGGCGAGGGAGGTCGGGGGTTGGATGTGCCGCCGCCGGAGAGTTTGGATCTGGAGGAGACGTTGACGGCGGCGGAGGGATTGTTGCAGGAGCTGGGACAGTGATGTGAAGACATTGTGATGAGATGCGTACGAACTTTTTTTTTTTTGTTTATGAGTGAGATGAGATGAAGTGAGATGAAAAATGAAGAGCGATGAACGGGACTTTGTTGATAGCGAGAGGAGCGTGTTCGTTGCATTTTATGATGGCAATTGTTTTGTTGAGATGATGACAAGAATCAGCCATTTCAGTTAGAATTTTCTTTATTATTCTCTTATTTATTTTCAATTTGTTCGGTTTGTGATATGTAGCCATCTCAATATGCATTCTCTCATAATGGAGAAACAACCTTGTTTTTTTTTTCAAATCAAAGGTAAAAGAAAATCATGCATAATGCTTTTCCTACTCACTCACTTCCCTTACTTTTACACTTGCTTGCCGAAAAAGTCCAAAAGCGTCTGATATCCCCTCTCATACTCCGCCTTGACGTGCTCATCCTCCAGGTCAGATCGCGCAGCCATCCAGCCGTGGATCTGGTCCGGAAAAGTCTCAACATGGTGGGGAACCTTGAGCGCCTCCTCAAACTTCTTGACATCCGCCGCGTCCTCTTCCTTGGATGCCAGCAGCGCAAAGGGAACGGTGAGGCCCTCGGCGTCGGCTGGGTCGACCATGGCGGGATGGGCTGCGGCACCGGCCGAGAAGGGGTTGGTGGGAGCCTTGAGGGTGAGGGCAACAACTTTGCCGCCCCAGCAGTACTGTTGATAATTTTTGTGTCAGTTTCTCTTTTTTTCTTCTTTTTGATATTAACTCTAGAGGAGAGGGTAACACAGCGTTGGGACGATGGGGGGGGGGAATAGATAAGAACTTACACCCAGCATGGCTAGCTTGGAGACGGATGAGCTGTGAGCCTTGACGGCATCCACGTAGTCGGGAACATAGCCGGCAATCTTGGGAGGAGGGAAAGTGGCAAAGAACTCGCCCAGGGCCTTTTGCTTCTCCGGAGTATCGGGAGGGTAGCTGTTTTCTCGAGCGTCAGCCGGCTTAGTTTGATCATATAACATGCATCCCCAGCAATCTCGATGAATGTCTGCTCAGATGACCCCCCGCGGGAGAGGAAACCAACTCACTACTCAATAGGGCAGGGCTTGCCCTTGAACCAGTCGGGCATGAACACCTTGTACTTCTGGTGGTCGTCGCTGAAGGCAAGGATGTCGGCTCCCTGGACGGTTTGGTCAAAGTAGCCGAAGATGTCATAGACGACGACAATGGCCTTGGTAGCGTCGGCGGGGCCGGTGACATCTAGACAGGTAGGCAGCTTCATCAGTAACAAAGTCGACTTTTCATTCGATTATACCGTCGTGTACTGCCATTTACGTAGAAGTAAAAAAAAAACACATACATGTCTTGTAGCCGCCAATCTCCTCGTACGCGCCCTTGGGCTTGTACCCCTTGGACACAACCGGGGGAATGTTGCAGCAGGCGGCGCTGTGGCCGTGAGAGGCTGGCATGGCAGACATGGCGCGGATCTGGGCGGCGGCTGCGGCTGTGGCTTCGGATGTGAGTTGGCGATGGTGCAGAGGCCGAGACGGGAGTTGAAGATGTCGGGAGTTGGCCGGGAGTTGGCCGGGAGGTGATTGGAGGGGCGTTGCGAGCGGTCGAGGAGGGGGCGGAGGCTGTTGCTGCGGGGACCAGATGGAAGCTGGAGATGCGTGGCACGTCTCATGAAACGGTGCGGGTCGAGGCGATTATGCAAGCAATCAATTGGGCTGCGAGGAAAAGCTGCGCGTGATCCGGAGCTGCTGGCGTCTCTGCGGGCGATGAGAGGAGGGCGCTGTGTCAATCCAGATGTCTATAGTATGTGCTGTAGAACGTGAAAGTCACATATCAAGGCGATTCGGTGACGTAGGTATACTGTAAGTAGCCCGACTCCAATACTAATACCGCATGTCTAGGTACACCACGGCCCAAGGTACATGTAGCCACTAAAGTCGGCAATGGCCTACCTATAAAACAAGTGCATTCAAGCATGTAGTATTCAACACTTGGATGCTATGCTATGCAATGCACTGCTTGTTTTGTTTACATGCCCCAACAACGGCTCGGGCTGTGGATGGGCCAAACGCACCTCCCGGAGATGGATGCATCATTCATACCCAACACCGGCACTAATACAGCAGAGCCCATTGAGAAAACAAGTGGAGGCGAGAGAGTTCTGAGAGCTGACGAGAAACTTACAAGCAAGTATACAAGCAGCTCCGAGGTCCAACAAGGTGGGGGCGGGGCTTTGGTAGACTACCCAAATTAGCTGGTGATGTCAGCGATGTATGAAAGAGATGCGTTGTCGAGATGGAGGAGGCAGAGGATGATGATGTAGAAGAATAGGAAGAGGAGTAGGGAGGAAAAGAAAGAAATAGATCAAGTAAGGAAATGAGAAAGAGGAGGCTATTATTCCACTAGTTATATATCTATCCATGTCAGTCCTGGTGTGAATAGAAGACGAGTAAAAGTAAACGCAAGAAAGGGGGCGAGCAAAGAAAATCCAACATCCTCTTCATCTCTCCAGCAGACAGACTTGGCTAACGAGCAGTAGGTGCTCAGATACTTACCCACAGTGAGCCAAGAGACAAAACAATCCTTCGTCGTCCTTTACGAGAAGCTCAGAGTGACTGATTCATCAAGCACCAGTGCAATCCAACCATCTCACAGCTCACCATTGCAGGCCCCCACCAGAGTCGGCTCAAAGCAAATAATGCACATGGAATTAATAGAGAGATGGATAGATACAGAGTCATAAGGATACTACCTACTTCTTGTTTGTGCTTCAGGCAGAGCCAAAGTATCCGCTTTCCGTCCATGTCACCTCTTTCGACTCTCCTCCGTGCCATCGGAAGCATGGTATCATCTCGGATCGATTTTCACATGTTGCCGTCACGCCATGGCCAATTTCAGCGGCAAGTCTTTGGGCTTGCTCCACGATTTGAGCCGATGGGTCCCACAGGATGACCTCTCGGAGGCCATATTCACAGGCCGCTTGTACAGCCATGGAAAGCACCATCCTGATCCCCCCCTCCAGTCCATTGCGACGCCGCACATCCATGCACCCCACGTACAACCTTTGTTTTACAAACTCGCGGACCCAAAACGCCGAGATGGTAGTGTTTGATTTCACATCATAAAAGCTGGCCCCCACAGAGATAGGACCCTGGACCAAGGGAGCCTGTTGATGTTCACTCGATATGGTCTGCCTTAGCCAGGCTCGACGCATGTGCCACCTTATAAAGTCGTTCGACAAAACGATTTGTGCATGTGCAGTTGGGTGCTTGACAGCACTCATCGCCATCATGGATAGGCCATTGGATTCACGTTGCCAATTGTATAGATGCTGCCAGAACAACTGTTTCGTATACCGCTCATACTTTGGGTACCGGTCGAAGTAATTCTCCCTTAATGCGCTGTACTGCAAGTCTCCCAATGCGATTCGAAGCTGTTTAGCAGGAAGTGGCCTCCAACCACATCTTTGAAACAGGCCCGTCTTGGGACCGCTATACAGCACGCTGAAAGCAATGTGCTCCTCGCCCTCTCTGTTGTCCATCTGTTCTGCAAGGAGCTTTAAGAAATGCGTGGCCAAGCCGCAGGTTCGGTGTCCAAAATCCGTGACGATTTGTGATACGATCATTGCTCTGACCAGCTTGGCACCCCCCTTGGTCGTGCTCACGAGCCCTTTTCTGTGATAGACAGAAGCCCCCGTATAGACAACATTACGGGAGCCAGGATCGAACATGAGCCATGTTTCCTGGACCCCCCTCGGTACTTCGGCACTCACCAAGGCTCTCTCTAACATATAGTAATTATCAAGCCGAAGAGTCTCATTGGCGGACCATCCTATCATCCGCCAATACTCTTGCATCTGCTCTGTTGTCGTTGGATACCCAAACATATAATCGAATTCAAGATCGCTGCTGGGAACCGGATTGCCATCTCCTGTGGACAGATTGCCATCTCCTGCAGACGGATTGCCATCTCCTGCAGACGGATTGCCATCTCCTGCAGACGAATTGCCACCTCCTGCAGACGAATCACCACCTCCTGCGTGTGCATCGCCAGTGCCGTAGTTTGCTCTTCTTTCGAACCATGTCTGCCATTGGCGCATCGTTCCCTAGTACCATTCGCCCGACATTTTCTCCCATGCAGCCCATCTACCTCGGCGTATAATTTCGCGTACAACTTCAGTCTGCAATAGCCACCGAGTCAGTTTGGGGTCTCTAGGGCAGCGAGCAACTTCTCAGACGCTTGCCTTGTAGAAATCGGGGTGCATGTATGTATAAGAGATATCGTTTCCAGCATTGGAGGCTTCAGCTGAGAGTGTATGCGAGACATCGCTTCCATCGACGGCCTCCATTGAGAGTTCCTGTACCGAGTCGCCCATTACTTAGTACCCAGGTAGGTACATGCAAATAACACGCAGGCAGGTTGGTGGCTTTTGCTTTGATACAACCAGCCGTAAACAAATGCGCAGCCTAAGTCTGAACGAGAAAAAGAAAAAAAAAAGAGTAAAAGACCTCAATAGCAGTGGAGATATCCAGCAGCTTTTCACAGCGCCTCAAAAGCCTGCAGCAAGGGAAAAAAAAAAAAGACGAAAAACCAGTGAGAATGCTGAAGAGCGCTTTGAGCTGTTTGCCCTGGTGAACGTGCAGCCTGTCTGAGAATTCTGCTTGAAGTAAAAAACAGTTAAACAAATCACTGGACGATGCCGAAACCGACGTCAATTGGTGCCTTCCCGGTTAATGATACACAGCATTTTGGAAAATACGAGCCACCACAACAGTTGGGCCTTTCTTTTCCTGCTTTTTCTTTCATGTTTTCTTCCCCTTCCTTCTGTCTTTCTCTTCCCGTTTCTTCTTACTTCTCAATTTTCTACATGTAGGTACTCTTCATCACTACTACTAGTAGTCTCTTATCCATCTGTTTCCCGCGCATACGACCCTTTCTCCCCTCCCAACAGCACCAATTGCTAATTGTCGTTGGGCCAAAGAGTCCTCTCTCGACCTTTGTTCCCTATGCCGAACTCGCAGCTCCTTGACACCTTTGCGACGCAGTGTCTGGCCAATTCGTGTCCAAGCCCCGCGCCTTTACTCCTATGTTCCAACAACTGCTAGAGACTTGACCAATCCCCACAAGTCTCATTCTATTTCATCACAAATGCTTCGCCACCGCATCCTTCTCATCCTCCCCTCCTCTCATCCTCCCCTCCTCCCCTCCTCCCCCTGCTGATCCAGGGAGGCTCTATGGACATGGCAATTCATCCTTTGGGCTTGGAGTTGCAGCAACTATAGCACGCCCCCCCGCACTGACCAATGGGGAAAGGGCCCGCAAGGATTAATAGCGGTAAGCGGGTAGGAAAGGGAAAACAACAGAGAGAGAAGGGAAAGAAAGGGATGGCCACGACCAACACCGAAACCAACCACTTCCTCTCCGCTCGTACGGTTCGCACCACACCCTTGGCCATTCCAAATTGGCTTTGGCAGCTGTCACTTGCAACACATCCTCGTCCGTCACTGCCGCTATCACGCTTCGGGGCTAGATGGCCCCAGGCAATCCACCCTCCAGCTTGGAGCTAGCATCTCGTATATTACCCAGCCGTCACTAACAACACGAGTAGCCCGAATCTGCTGTGAGGTGAGCGTCTTCCGAGTCTCAGACAAGAGCCTGGACCTCGGCCAACCGATCAGCCAACGCAGGCTCTGCTTCACGTCCGAGCTTCCACCCCCTACATGCAGCATCCATGCCTGTCGCAGCACTACTCACGACCCGGCTAGCTGGTAATTTTCCATATCCCTCCCTCGCCGGCACTTTGGCCTGCAGCTAGCGTGGTCCAGTGACCTAGACTATCTGTCGGTACAAGCTGCAACCAGGAGCATGGACGCTCCAATAGCGGCGGTCAGTGGTCCCTGCATTGCATTCCCAGTTGCAGTTGGCCCCCTTGCTCGCACATTGACCCCATCTGTCAAGAGGAATCTGCACAACAGCGGCGACCACCGCGAGCTCAGCACGAGAAAGAGCGTGCGTCTGCCCCGCCATCGCTTGTTTCGGAGACTTTGCTGATGCCACAGCTGCTACGAAGGGGCTACGGCTAACTGTATTACTACTAAGTAGTAGTTGGGCATTATGTCGGAACAGGCCATCGGTAACCAGTGACATGCGATCTTTCTCTATAGGCGATCGGCTGCTGCAGGTTCGCCTCATTTCAATGCCCTGCCCGTCCCAGAGTGGATATCCTAGCCAAAACTGTCTCGGCGATAGGGGGAGGATGCGATGCTCCGACCGTCACTGGCTAGGGACAAAGATGGTATGTTTTGAGACATTGCTAGTAGTCCATGGCGGTAGACCGCTTTTCACGACTCAGACAGCCTCGACTATATCCCCGAAGCGCATTGAAGCACGGTAGATGGCAGCAATGATCCGTACCTACCTGGTCACGCCAAAGCTAATCGAACCCGGCATGGGGACTGTCAGCGGTTTAGCTGAAGCCCGGCAGGTCGGAAAACTAAGCGCTAGTGATAGCCAATCTGCAAATGCAATTTATACAGCCGCGCCTGGCCCGTACTACTTGCTCCTCGTACTGACACTCCATGCCGTTGGGACATTGAAGCGTACTCAAAGGGCTCCAGGACCCAGGGACTCGGGAACATCAGATGCGAAACAGCAGGGGCAGCAAGACAAAGCGTCATCGAAGAGCTGAAGTTAATCCAGGCATGGCTCGCTCGTCAGCCTCAGCCTCCTCAAACGTCAAACCGCGCTCAACTCATAGCACAGGCCTGGCATCGAACGAGTCGTTAGTGCCCCGATTACACATCAATTCAAACCTGTCGATGGGTCACAAGATGAGCGCGCCCCTGGGCAGCCTATAGCGCCTAATAAGGAGACGCAAGACAAGTCAACCTGATGGGGGCAAAGTCATTGGCTTGCTACAGTACAGTAGATGGCACACAGTGGGAGAAACATGCATCACGTATTAGTGCCTCCCCCAGGCCAGGAATCCCCCCCCTCCAAAGTGTCATCAATCATCAAGGTGGACTCTTTGCTCGGAAGGCCATTCCGCCTGCAAAGCCGCCAGCCAGAAAGAGAGTGGTCAATCGCAGGCCTTGCCTTTGGATGCGAAAAGCATCCCCCGTCCATTCCGACGGCACCACTAGTATCAGAAGAGCAACTTATGCGCCGCATCTCCTATTCGTTCTGACGAGACACTTTATGAGTTATCGTATCTCGCACAAGGTCAGCACTCGTACTTGCACGGAATGTTTTGGTAGCATCTCACCTCCCGTCACGCCTACCTGCCTGCCTACCTTGTAAAGTACACTCCGCCATGGGCAGGTATATCCAAGTACCTGCCAACTGCTGCTTCTCGCAGGCCTGTTCCGGGTCTGGCCCATTGAGCGAATCAGATCGTGCAGGATACATTCTGGCACCAGAATACCACCTTGGACACCTTAGCTCCATAACCGGAAATTCGTCATTCAATACCCGGCGCTACCAACCTTTCAGATGCCCATGTCTCGCATGGATAGGGCATGTACATGCGCTGCTTCGAATGATACCTTTTTGCCCCCACGTCATATCGAATTGTGTGATGCCAATGGCCTTTCTTTTTATCCCCTCCCACACACTACCATTACACACTCAATCATGTCCTTGTGAAACACAACCTTGCATGTTGGGAATTGACTCCCTGCATAAACGCAAGAAACAAGTGGCTTATGTACTTCTCCCAAAACACATACCGAGTAGTGTCTATTAATTGGTCTATGCACTTGCATGCGTCTCCTTGTCCCTTGTTTCTGTGCATGTGCCCAACGCCGGTAGTCGAGCATTGTATACCTCAAATGGCGGATACGGCACCGCAATGAGAGTCGCAAAACAAAATCTGTCTCGTAAAGATCATAATATATTAGCGTACATGCTACATCTAATCTACAAATAGAACATGATGGTATCAAAAAAAAGCGCCCTGGTTCCCTTAGGCAGAATACCCATGCAGAGGTTTCGCCGGCTGCAGAGCTCGTGCCAGATTAATTGCCTTGTCCAGAAAAAGAAAAAGAGGAAAAAAACAAGGAAAGGAAAAGAAATTTGCCCAAAATTTTTGTTTTTCCCAAGCCCTCCAGACTCCGCCCCTTGACAATGGAGCTATTCCCGTGCTGCCCAGTGTGTAAGTATAATCTCTCTCTCTTTTTTTTTTTTTTGGTGTCTCCTCTTTTTGAAAGCGGTCAAGAAAGTACCCAAACCGAGGGGGAAAAACATGTAGAAGATTGAAAAAAAAAAAGAAAAGAAAAAAAAAAAAAGAAAAAGAAAATGACACCCTTTCATCAGTGTCCAGGCGAGCAATTGGTGTCATCTGTGTCCGAAAGATGGATGGATTCGAACCTTTTGGGTGTAAGTCGATTTTTCTTTGTATATATATGCCCTGGCAAGGCATTTTTGAGAGATGTCCCTTGTGTAAAGGAATTTCGAGAAAATGGCAAGTATCAGGGACTTCAACGCGGAAAGTATGGTTTGATGGAGCCATGTGAAAGCGCAGGTCTCGTAGGTACAGAGTTGAAAATCTATGTCAAAATGTTTAGCAAATTTGGCAATATTCGTGGTCTGATACAACTCACATTATTCATGATGATGCTCAGAGTCGCAAGGAGTGCCGCAATAACCGCAGCATCGACCAGGAATGACCCAAACCTCTTTGCCTTGCTGGGCACAGGTTGGGCATCTGGTGCCAGGGACCTGCATTAAAGGTTAGTATGAAAGAGAACATGGTAACAGACATGAAAGAAAGGCTTTCTTTTCTAACCTTGGGCCCTAACATGATGATACCGGCAGGCATGGCCGAGGGCTGTGAGAAATTCTGCTGTCCCGCCACGAGAGGAAAGACGGGGGCTCGGATGGCACGGAGGTTGTGTGTAAGAGGCATTGTTGTGGTGTGAAATATCTGAGGAGGAATATGGATATAAGGCGACGAGTGTTCCGGTCGAGTCAACAGAAGAATAGACCAATATTATATCGGTTCAAAATAGTAGTGGAGGTGGCAGAGGCAGAGGCAATGGCAATGGCAGTAGCAGTAGCAGTAGCAGTTAGCTGTTGATGTTGGTGTTGGTGTTGGGATAGGCAAGATGGTAATGGCAGTGGTGTTGGGGCTGGGCAGACGAGGCGTCTTATATGTCGAGCCGGATCCAACGTGGGGTTAGATAGAATAAAAAAGGGCCCGGCGGAAGGCCTCTAGAGACAGTTGAAACCACAAGAGGCTTGGTCTTGATCAGATCGAGAGCCAAAAAGAGGCGTGTGGGGCCCACTGACATTTGTTTGTGCTTTTGGGGCCGGCGTCTATCAGATTATACAGAGCAGCTCTCCAGGAACACCAGCATTTGGTGACAAGTCGATGGCGCTAGGTGGTGGACTGGAGACGGGCGCGCTGGGGAGGGGCGGCACCAGCAAAAGGCAAAAAGCAAAAGGCAGCCATGGCCAGAGCCAGAGCCAGAGCTAATGCGGGCAGCGGCCAAGCTATCCGTCCGTTGATCGGGAGGCCGATGTCTCGAGAAGAGCAGAAGGGACCGTGTGTTGGGGGTGGGCTTTGCGAGTTAGCAGCCGTAGGTAGCAGCAGACATGTCATATCGGCTGTGAGACGCTGGACGACGTGCTCGCCATGTACCAGCACCTTGTACCAGCACCGCAGGCAGTACCCGCGGCACGGCGGCGCTGGGCAGCCGGGCCGTGTACCTGGCAGTACCGGTACGGCATTTCCGCCTGTACGAGAAGGGCACTCTGTGCGTCGCTGTCTGGCTGGCCCTTTTGGGGTGGCTCTAGGGACCGCCAGAGTCTCCCGGGGGGGCGTGCGGGAGAGACGGTGCGGCGGCTCATGGGAGCTGGAGCAGGAAGAAGAAAGGAAGCAAAGAAGATGGGGAAGCTATACTTGTCGCAAGGGAATGCAGGCCAGGGGCAGGGGGGCAGGCTGGGGCACGGCAAACAGACTCAGATGAGCAGCGATTCAGGCGCGGGCTCGACATTCCCATTGGCAGCGCCGGCGTGGAACAGGTCCAGGAACCTGGTAGAGGCTGGATGCTGGTCCAGTGTTGTATCTGAGCCGGGGCCCTGGCCCCTTTTGCCCCAGGCCCGGGCAAAGTACAGTAAGGGAGCGACGCAGTCAATCAGTCAACCAGTCAGTCCCAAGTCAGCCAGGCTCTGGCAGCGTGACGCCTGGTGCTGGTCCGGATGCACGCACGAACGCTGCCGGGACTTGGACAGCATGCTCGTGCTCACGTCGATGCTCCCGTACGGAGTAACGGTGATACGGCGAGCTGGGAGCTGATGCCTGGCCTGTCTGGGAGCAGAGCAGAGCAGAGCAGTTTCGGGGAGCTGGCGATTGCTGCCGGACGCTTGGCTTGTTTGATGTGCATCGTCATGGGCCGAATAACGAATCCAAAGCTAGCAAGTAGGAGCCTAGGATTTGGGACGAGTGTCAGTTGGCGTTACTATTGCCATTGGCAGCAGCAATCGCAATGCCATCAGCATTAGCAATACAATTCAGTTGGCAATTCTAGTCCCCTGGCGGAGTAGATGGGAGATTGGTATGGACGTCATGGTCGGGCAGGTACTAGTAGTAGAGAAAGACAATACTGTAGAGCCAGAATCAAGGATCGGGTGACCAGGGTAGAGACGAGAACCGGGCCACTTGTGCCTGTGCATATGCGCAGAGATGAAGCATCGCTAGTCGTCTAGAGAAACAAGGTAGGCAGATAGAAGAGACATGGAGATGAGAGTGGGATGGGGGCTGCAAGGTGAGAGATGCGGTGGAATGGAGCCGGCAGTCGCTCCAGCCCGTGTCCCGATTACATATGTACAGTACATGCTGCAATGATGGCAGTGGAATCAGACGTCTAGTGCCATCAAATCATAGCCAGGCCTGCCTCTCAGCAGCTGCTGCAGTGCGACTGTTGCCGGGCCATACCTGGCATGTCTTGGAGCACTAATGCCGCTGCAAGCAAGGCGTGGACAGCTACGAGGTGTTTTGGATACATGCCCAGCTGGACATGTAGGGTGATGCTTCTAGCACAGGTACGCGGCAGGCAATTAGCATTAGCTGAGCGCTGCAACGCACGTCGGTGGAGCGCCTAGAGCTCGCCAATGGCCCAGCTGCGTTACCGCACTCAAGCTGCTGGGGCTAGCATGGCCCTGCGGCTGCCAATGGCCATCTCCAGCTGCCACGATGCGATCTTGCTTGTTGGAAAGCGAGGCTACCGACAGGACGACGAGCCCACTATTAATAGCCCGCGCGGGACTAGCAAGCCTGAGCAACTGATTAGCATCGTTCGTGGTACTGGATGCACTGGAGAGGTACTGTAGGAGGTGCATCAAGGTCGTATTGCTATAGGCACGGCTGCAGATACCCAACGAACGCTGCTGCTACGAGGTGCATGTAGGCACATATATACAGGCAGACTACATGCTTGCACTAATGCATTGAACCTAAGCTAGATGTACACTGCTTGTATGCATGCTTGGGCAGTGGCGCCATCCAGACTTCAGGCTACTACCTAGTAGTACCTACTCCAGTACCTACAGCACCTGGCAAGGCACCAGACGACAAGGAACGGGCAGGTACGGGCAGGCGCCAATCGACCCAGCGCCGGCGGTGGCCTGTTTCTGGCCGGCGTCGAATCTCCATCTCGACATCTCGAGCATCGTAGTTGGATGCCGTTCGTGCTGGTACTACTGTACTAACACCATCAGCGCAAGCCACTCGGTGTCATGTTGGCGCCACCGGCCGCTGTCCCAAGTTCATGGCGCCGATGCAATGCCCTTTTGGTAGTCGCCGACGGCATCGGACAAGCGCTGCAGGGCCCGGCAAATGAGATGCAAGCCGGCAAAAGCCAGTGTCGTGCTACAGCTGGATGCCCAATGCTGGCGGGAAGGGCGTTGTTAGACTGGCTTTTCTCTCTGCTGCCGTCTGGTTCGTCTGCTTGTCCCCTCCCACTCATGGCACACGCCCTCTCGACAGGGGGGAAGGAAAAAGAAGAGGAATCTGCTGCTAACCATGTACTACTGGGCAGAGCCATGAATCCTGCGGCAGCATACCGAGCGGCTTGGCTGGCGTTGCGCTGCTTCGAGAGCCAGACTGAGAGACAGGGATGGTTGGGGGTCAGAGCAAATGCGAGTGAATGAAGGATGGATGGATAGCAAGCAACTAAGTCAGTAATTATGACGATGTTCTCCCTCTCCCTCTCCCTTGTTCCCTGCTGCAAGTTACTTATCACCTCAAAAGGCAGGCCTATGTACCAAGACTCACGCCGATTAGGCACACGGCATCCACCCCTCACCACGTATCTGACAGTATATGGAGTTGGAGTACCTACCTGTTAGAACGCTGTCTAGATGCCATTCTCTCTGGGCTAGCTCCACGCCCAGCGCTGCGCCAGACCCCAGAGACAAGACGATGAAAAGCAATGGCTCGAGACCAAGTCCACTTCTGCAGCCTGGCAACGTACGAGACCACCCGCTTTGGGGTCGTACGTTGAGCGCGTGATTTCCCGCATGCCTGTTCTTCTGTGACGGAAAAAGCATCGACGAGGCGCCTCCTTCATTTCCTAGCATGCATGCAGCCGCCCACCGAGTTGTTCCAGAGCACATCGAGCCTAAGCGGAGAGGGACAGATACTTGTTAAAGCACAAAGAGGGTGGATGGTGGCCCAGCGGTAAGCAGAGTGGCGGCGGTGACTTACACGGGCCGGATCACATCCAGGAAGCCATGGATGAGCAAACATGCGCTCACGAGTTGCCCCAAAGACAAGGTAAAGTAAGAGAGCCGCTCTGCTGTGCGTGGGGCGGCTCAATTTCTAGCCTCCGCACTTCACTCCACAGAGTCCGAGATAAATTACGCTTACCAGCAGCAGCAGCCTTCACACAGACACGAGGCGCGCTTTGCCGACATCACGATGAGTTACGCGAACACAGAAAGGGTAACAAGAGAAGCAAAGGCGATGGATGATATTGGGCGCCAACGGTGAATAAGTGCCATGTACTTGTACAGCCTCCACTCTTCGCCGGCGACTACTGCTAGCTACGATGACGGTCTGCTGCAGCTTCGCCCCCAAACCCCCGCGACGATCCTCTCAGATAACCCCTGAGACCCAATGCTAGCCTGCGGATGCGAGGCGCGATTCGCAACTCGGCTCTGCGAATCGCCAAGAGCACTATTGCGGTACTGCTGCTATGTACCTGGGTAGGTACTCTGCTATACCTCGACTACTACCTCTTGTACGTATTGGTCATAATAAGGTACTGCCCTCATTACCTACCTATACTTACATACGTGTACCATTATTCCTTCGTATGGTTACCCGCGTTGTACAACCGAGAAAACAGCTTTGAGTAAGGCGCGGAAGCAGGCCGTGCACTGTCCTCTTTTATGTTTATTTTATTCCAATTTTCCAAGTGAGAATGGCTAAGCTACTAGTACTATCCGTAGGTAGGCACTCTACGTTACCTGTACTCTCGCTACCGGATTCAGCAAGGAGCAGCTTCGTCATCCTACATCTTGGATCAGACATCTCGCACAACCATCGCCCCCCCCCCAGATACAGGAGATCCCGGTCGCCGGGAACTTTACGAACACTCCGTGCAGCTACACTAGTTTATAAATCTTTCGATGAGACTCATGCAAGTCTACAGCATGCGCCATGTGCTCAGAAAAAGGGGGCCGCCAGAAACGGGCTGCGGTTGCTTGTAACATGTCCAATCAGTTTTGTTATGATGGCAGTCTCTTACATGGCTCTTTACATGGCTTTACATGGCTCTACTCCTCCTTAATAAATCCCAGAATACCGGGACCACATGCTGCATACGAGCACATAGGAGTAATATACGAGAGCAGCACACAGAACTCTGCCATAGTCACCAATGCTGAAAGAAAGTATGAAGCATACTCATACGCCGTACCTTGGCATACCCATTGCTCACTACGCCATCAACTTACCTACCTGCAGAGCAACATGTACAGTAGCAAGCAATATCCAGGATGCAACCACGCCGTACTTGTAATACCTACTAGACTTGGTAGGGCACACCCACCCACCACGCTGATGACAGGTACGAAGTACAGGCTGCACACATGTGCCCCCAGCTAGCGCAGCTGGATTTCTGCTGTGATGGGAAAACCTCTTGGAAGATGGACCAGGGTGCTCCGCGGCACCGCATTGGTTGCCGGCAGGAGGCTGAGCCACTAGGAGCAAACCCGGACCAGAGCTGCTAAAAACTTTGCGGATCACAGCCGGTTTGGACGCAGGGCAACTTGCAAATGGGATGGAATGCCGACGGCAGGCTTGTATGCAGAAGCGGACGGTGGGTAAAACATGCTTATGGAGTACCTACCATCCTACGGCCGGGCTAATGCTTCATACATCCAGCCTCCTCTCGACTGGAATGATAGTCTGACGCCTCATGTTAGCAAGTGTTACGGACAGTCAGCGACAGCAGTAGTATCGATACCACTTTTTTTTTTCCCTTTCTCTACCGGCAAGGGGCTGAACTTGAAAGATTACAAAGGGGCAAACAGTTGTTCCGCGGTGCTTGCGTATTAGCTGGGCGGTCCAGAACGCCCCAGAGCGCCCAGTTGTTTGGCCATGCTTCTTCACCACTCCGCGAGACAACCCAGAAAGCTTCCGCAGCTGATAATCTTTCGAGGACAGTGGCCATTGGGTATGCATCAAGGCTTTTCGCATACAAAGCATGGACCTCTCGGTATTGCGCTCTGGACGCGGGCGTCCACTCATGTTGGACATACATACATATGTACCGGTGCCCCATGCATCGCTAGAAAGCACAAATACGCTAGCAATGCATCGGGTCCTTCGTTTGGGCTCCCGATGCTCGTTGAATCTTGTCGCTCTGGCAGCCATACAGATGACACTATCGCCAACTGGTGCCGCGGAGACATCACGGCCATCGCCGCATCATTTAACTCTGTTGGTGCTAGGGCTTGCTCGTTTCGCAGACGCAGGCCAATTTCGATCAAAAAGCCCTCGGTTTGCTTCATCCTTTTTACGCCATTTTCCCGTATTTTGTACTTCTTCGTCACTCCTCATTTCTCACTATCGCTTATCATCTCTCAGAAAAGTGCCCCCCAACTGCTCATCATTTTGCATACAACCTTGTACCGTATACACCAGTGTGCCGTACTTGCAGGAGCAATATACCCCACCCACGCTATTGAAATGATACTCTCGCTTTGCTTTGGATATCGGCTCCACTGGCTTGTACTTGGCAGAGCATTATTTCTCCCTGCCTCCAAGACGCAAACTGCTGCGACATGTACAGAGTACAGAGAAAGGCATGGGCGCAGGTAGGCTGTACAGCCGTCTCTAGCACTGACGGACCCCACCATCAATCTGCTTTTAGATCGCTCTTCATATCCTTGTCCATGTTCAAGAGGCGCCATCTATGCTTACCACTACCACTACTACCTTATTCTGTCATAGCAGTCTACTTGGACAGTAGGCGTGCCTGTAGATGCAGAGCACCGAGTACTTCGTACCTGACATTGCTTTTATCCTAGGATCAAGCTCGCTAGCATTTGCTCGTATACTAGCGATTTGTGAGTATGAGTGGGCACGGGATATAAGAGTACATACACTAAAACAACTCTCTAGGCGAGTATCGTGTGTCAAGTCAAAAACTGACAACAAACAGTGATGGCAACTACCAAAGCCAATACGTGCTTGTACGAAATACGAGCAACTACATTATATGCAGAGTAAGTACCTTACGCTCAAGTACCTACCTACAACGATACCTAGTACCTCTCCAGATATGATAGGTTACAACCCGCAGCATAGGTAGACACTGGCCCAACTTAAAGAGCAGCCCTATCGTCATCTGAATAGAAAACCTTGCAGTTCGGGCCTTTCACACATGGCTGAACCTCCGGTATTTCCGATCCCGATAGCTTCCTTTCTTCTTCTTCTTCCTCCTCCTCCTCTTCTTCCTCTCCTTCTTCTTCTCCTCCTCCTTCTTCTCTGCTTCTTCTTTCTGCTCTTTCTCCTGCATACCGATGCATGGTCCTACGTTTAGACAGTATTTTGAGTACCTAGACAGTCTCGAGATGATTTCTAGTGAGTGCGCTGTGTCTGTCTTCGTCTCTCGCTTCCTGTGTTACCGTAATGCATTCCCTTATTGACAGACTAAAGTCTGCATCCATACTTATTCGATGTACGTTTACAGGCAATGTTATGGTTGTAGAATATCATCGCCTTCTTTTCCCATGCTCTTCATGCAGGCCTACCTTACACACTGGCACAGTACAAGGTTGGACCGCTTCGCCCCCATTCATGGCATACTTGTACATTATCTCGGCTGCCAGGGCCATTGACCATATGGGTGGTCCAATGCTTCTCCATAGGCTTGCAAGTGCCTTACAGGTAAAGGATCCGCATAGACTACCACCCAGTAATGTGCCAGTGTTACATTGAGATGGGGGAGCACATGCACGCACGTACAGGTACCCCGGCCACTCAAAGGATCACCGGCCCTGTGCATGTACGTGTACTTGCGCGAAGACAATAACCCTGAGGTCATCACGGTCCAGGATTCATGTTAGATAGGCGGCTCGTCTACTTTGCCGCATGCAGGCTGGCGCGGCTAGAACAGACGAGACCAGACGGGGCGCCGCCCTCGGCAGGCCAGAAGAGAAACAAAATTCTGGAGCTTCTCTGCTGCTGCCCCATTCGAAGCATCCTCCACCCGCGATGCTCAGAATTTGAATTCATCCTTTGGCCTGTCTATCTCGGGATTCCATGCCAGCAGCCTTCGATAGTCGATGGAACAGGGGCTTCCGCGGTTCCTCCTCTTGCTCCTCTGTCTAATATCCTGACGCCACTGCCCCGGTGATCAGGCGAAAATGTCTGACGCTCTCACGCACAGAAGAGCCCGCCAACCTGGGCGACCACCGCTTTTGGTGACCGACGCAGACTGAGACTTTGATCCTACCGCCAGCACGACGATCTGCATCGAAAGGGCAAGCAAGCTTAAACGAAGCACGCAGCAAAGAACATTTTCCACTTGCTTACAGTGGTCACCGAGGACTTGCACGCAAATGAGCGTCTCGTGACAACCCTTAGTACTGAGGGCGCCGCTTAGCCAACATCGACATCATCTGGGTCGGCCGGCGGGTGCAAACAGACAACGCGCGGGCATCCTTCTGCTCATATTTTTTTTTTCGACGGGACCGTGCCGCGGATATGGATCAACTTACCGCTTTGTGCTACTGCCAGTAGTAATAAGATGCCAAATTACGACATGTTCCATTCCGGTAGAGGGGAGAGGGGGAAATGGATACAGCGTCATGAGAAACACGCATTGCGGCTGTCATTTCTCAGATGAAGCTTTCTCTCTCTTTCGGCTCGACGGTCAGGCGACAAGTTGAACGGTAAAGACAAAACTAGTCTTGCGCAGTTTAGCCAGGGGAACCCAGCGAGAGCGCTATTGACAGAACAGACCCCCCCTTTTCCCCCCCCGAGCTTTTCCTTCTCTCGTCAGATATTGCGAACGCGTATGGCTTTTTTTTTTTTTTTTTTTTTTTTTCCGTGGTGAGTATCCTACTTATCATTATTACTCGTATGTTCAAATCTAAGTTCACCTGTTTACAAGCATGCCCCGTCCAAGACGCATTTTGCCACAATCATGCCGTAGCAATTCACTGCCAAGACGGCTGTAACATAAGTTGGCCTGGTGAGCACTGGCAATGCTTCCCTTCCCTTTTTCTTCCCTCTTTTTTCTTCCCTCTTTGTGCTCTCAAGCACTCAAGGTACCAATTCAAATGCTGATTCGATTCGATTTGTGTTGCAAGCTTTATCTTTTTTCCCCCTCTTGTCAGATATTAGCGGTTGTTGAAATTAAAACCTGCCGCTCTATTATTACCGTGGACTTTACGATATCCGACGGAGCCTATACCGTACAAAAGGCAAGGTCCGGGGACGCCAGCTACTGTCCCACACAGTATCTCTCCACGAAAATTAGCTGTCTAGGGTATACACTTCTATGTCCTTCACTCTGGCATCTCTGTGCCTGGCAAAACAGAGAAAGAGGGGGACAGAGAGACAGAGAGAGATGCGACGAAAGCCCTCGTTTCCACGCCTTCATTCCCCACTTCACCATCTCAGCGGTTGCATAGACTAGTGGGTCATAGGCTTGCAAACTACTGGGCCTGCTACCTTGTAGCAGAATCTACCCCAGTCACTGGGCTCTTTGAGATTGCGGATACTGAACTGCAGAGCACTAGGTATGTACTACCTACTGTAGTATGGAGTACACGGTAGTGCTGGACTAGGAATTAATGCTAAAAGTGTCCTTCTGATACAACTCTTGGACAGATCCTAGGCTGAGTTGCGAGCATATAGACGCGGGGAGGGATCCCCTTCATAACCGAGGACCAATCAGTGTTAAAGTAATCAATAGGCCAGCAGCAATGCCGCCAACGGCGGATTACAGAACCCCAGACGCCTTGGCAAAACAGAGTTTCGACGTGCTTCAGTTACAACAGCATGCTGCATACCGCATCATGGCCGTGCCCAAAGACGCCCGTGCTATCCGTGCCTCTGGGCTCTGCAAACGGAGAGGGGTTAGACGACAGGTGACGCATATTAGCAGTTTCACACAGTTCTCTTCTTTTTCACAGTTCCGACTCAAACGCTGGTAAAAGCGTTGATTTTACAACTTCTACCAGCCAATACCTGCGGCCGTGACCAACTTGGAACGGAGCCTCGAGCTTGTGGCACAAAAGTTGTTGGCGCAACACATGGAACAAGGGCTGCCCAAGTCAAGCTGCCTCTCTCCTTTTAAACCTCGTACCATTGAGGGTCTAGCCCTTCAAAACAGAGGCCATAGCGGCGCTTCTAGGACTACGCTGCTTATAACATGCCATCGCCCAAGCTAGATTATCAAAGCGGAGCTTTCTGGGATCAGGGGAAAGATCAGCCAAGCCGCCAGTGGAAGGATGTCTTACATACACCGACGGGAGGACTACTATCAAACCACGTCCTAAGCGTGACAGAGCACCCCCTCGAAGATATTTTCTTAGCGCCCAACAAGTGATTAGGCACAACAAACCTATTTCCTGGCAATATGCAGCTTACACATGCTGCAGTCCTACATGATATGGGTATTACGAAGCACTCGATCCCAGAAAGCCTGCTTTGGGCACAACTCATATTGTCGAATTCATGCTTCGCGTTCAGTGCAGTATGCTAGCATTGGAACGACTACCGTGGATCTCGTCTCTTGAATCAGATAGCTTCAGTAAAGAAGCCTTGAATGGCAAAGCCACTTAGTAGTATGGACGCGCAGAATTCATATACCTACCACAAACCAATCAGCAACGTGCTTTTGATACGGGGACCTTCCAAAGCTTGTCATTGACAAGGTATGCATACATACCCGGTTCCCGTGACCACACCCTTCTTGTCCACTGTCTTAATCTGCCAGACGGCCATTTGGAGGGAGGGGGCGTGAGACGAGGAGAAATCGAAGAAATTCAACATTTCCTCTCACCAGAGAAGCGCTCTTAATTTGCCGCGGCCAGGGAATTTGTTGATTCTATGACGCCACTATTGTGACCTGATTAATATGTTGCTCTGATTTCCTGAGCCGGGTTTCATACACACATGCGTGTTCCAGAGGCGCTTGGCTTTATCTCACCAACCGCTAACCAGAACGGATTATGGTCTCTCAGCAGGGCAAATTCGGATTCTACAGCGTCTTTCCAAGGTTTGCTGCCCCTTTGCGGATCAGTCAACAGCTTGGGGGGCATACTACTACCTAGTTGTAGTTGGCGTGATTGGGTTCGGTCTTTATATGTTGACGCAGGTGCCAAAACCCCGGCCGCATGAACATTGCGCTTGGATCCCTCTGCCCCTTGGTCTATTCTGCAGCGGAAGAAGTCCGTCTAGGCAGCCATCGGATTGTGGCTCCGGGCAAGCGGCAGCAACTACGAGCTATCTCGCACTATCACACCACATAGCGATGAAGCATTACCACCCCTTGGTGATGGGTGATGGCATAAAGCTGGCCTCGATCGGCGAAGACTGCGGCCCCGGGGGAGACCTCCTGATTCTACCGCAAACTAAAGAAAGACAAGCCTATCCGGTTAAACTAGAACGCATCGGAATGCTCTGCTCCGCAGAAATTTCGATGCCGGGCATATATAGCTCGAGACACCTGGACCAATAAAAAGGCAATGCTCCCGACCTAACAGATGACAGCAAACCCTTTCGACAGACTGTACTTGTTTCTTATGCCTAAGTTTGTCTTCCCCCACATCGAAAGGGGGATAGAGGGAAGGGGGGAGGGAAAAAAAAAAAGAAGTCGCACCATGGACGATGTTGGTTCTCACTGGTGACGTGTCGACGGCAACTATGACATGACAAGATGCGGCTTGCCAGACCGACACGGACCACCATGCCACACACGACTCATCGTTTATGACGTCTGTACTTTGATTTGAATAGCGGCATGTTTCACCACATCGCCAACAGTCGAGAGGGCACAGAGCAACGCTGGTAGCTTACAGACTGGAGGGTTTTCAACAGAGTCCAACGGCGAGAGGACTCGTACTCGGCTGGTAGCGAGCTCGTGCCCGGCCACCGACCGTCGATAGTGGACCCTCGTCCATTCCGTGACCCCATACGCATGTCTGCCGGCGACGGTGAGTGGAGGATATTGTGTCACGGCGGGTTCTTATTTTGGACGCTGCGGATACAGCCGCATCCGACAATTAGCAGAATGGGGAATAAGACATCAGCCGTTTACCAATCACCTGCATCGGCAAACAGCGTCGTGATAAGTTCCGCCGCCGCCGCAGGTATCAGGACATACCCGACGGACGCCACTAGCCATCTGCTCACTCAAACAGAGAGAGGGGGGGAAGGGGGGAGAGAGAGAGAGAGATGAAGGAAGTCTTTTGGGTCCCCGACCCAGCGGCGAGCCAAAGACACCTAATTGGTTCGCTACTTTGATCGTAATGGTTGTGTTCTAATATCCGGGAAATCCTCCCGCGCGCCGGCCAATTTTTGCATACTACACTACTAGTTTGATGTTGTTTTCTTTTCCCGAAGCCGGCAACCAACTCTGGGTTTTCTAATACCCATGCAGCGGTGTTTCGATAGCAAATCTCTAGCGGTGGCAAAAAAAAAAAATTTAAAAAAAAATTTACACCTTTGTGGTGGTGTGGATGGAGGAAACGAGGGGACCAAAAAAAAAAAAAAAAGGGAGGAAGACGGGTTTAGTGCCCATGTTATCTTCAGGACACACGGCCGGCATAAAGTTGCATGCATATACTATATAATAGCTTGTTGCACTAAGGATAGAAGCAGAGTTACACCCGTGTGCCATTCCCGTGCCGCGGAGGATTTTCAAAGGTCTCTTGGCCTTTTTTTTTCTTTCTTCTTTCTCTTGGCTTGAAAAATCAAGAATCAAGGCAAAGTGAGGGAGAGAGAGAGAGAATCAAGTGTGCTCCGGGTTCAGGGGGAGCGGAGGAATAACAGAGTTACATGGCATATTCTTTCTTCACTTTACACAGTTTTACGGAAGTGCCGCCCATTGAAATGTTTTTTCTTACTTTATCAGGTCTCTAATAAATAGAACCACTGCAGTTTTATCAAGAAACGGGGGGGAAGGTAAAAGAGAACAGGGAAGAATCAGGAGACAGGAGACAGGAGACAGGAGACACTAAATGCTCTTAATATGTGTGGCTCAGGGCCATTTGAAACGATTTCAAGTATATACTATGCTAATACTTCCTGCCAAGCCAGTATCAATTTACCCGCTTTGCATCTCCCGCCAACGCATAGCTATAGCTACCTAGTTTTGCACTCTTCTCTAAGAAGGTGCTTCCTGTATCTGCAGGTATCCCAAATCATGGGGCCAATATTTGTAGAGGCGTTTTCTATAACGCAATGAGGGTTCCCCATCCCTTAGTCCAAGGGTATATCCATAAAGGGTGTAAATAATAAAACGAGAGACGCCGTTTCCGTACGCTAAGCCCGCGCTTTCAAAGTCTTTCTAAAGTCTTTCTTATACAAAAGAAAACAAAATGGTATAATGAAAAAAAAAAAAAAGATGCAAAAGGTATGACACCATAAGCAGTTTGTCCAACCAAAGAAATATATATCAAAAGCTGCCGTATAACAGGATAATGTGAAAGCAGCGGAAAGAACACGAAACGGATAAGATGGGTGCCGGCGCCATCTTACCGCACCCTCCCATCCGTATCCCTATTAGTAGAGCATCTTGTCAACCTTGATAAGCAGCTTGCCGCCATTGATCAGGCAGCCTCTCTTGTTGTAGAGGCGAACAAAGCGGTAGCCTTGCTGAAGTCGGTCGAGGCGGATACATGCCCAGGCAAGGCACGGTGGGCTAACCGTGTGAGACGTGCCTTCAACTTTAAATCTATGTTTCTTTCCGTTAGCCTCATTTCCTTCCCTTCATATATGTTGGTCTCTTTCGGGTACCAAGTAGTATCACCGGGGAGAGCGGCTTGAAAAGGGGGATGAGGCATTTTGTGTTCAGTTGCCTCGTTTTCAACGGGAACACACAACGAAATTAGCTTTCGAGGCATCCATTTGGTGTAGCAAACCAGAAAGCTAGCTCTAGCCGGCAATACCAGTCAAAATCAACCGGGATTTGTTTTCTTTTTCTTTTCTTTTTTTTCTTTTTTTAGAAAAAAAAAACAGGCGACTTCGCTGCTGTAACCGGATAGGAACGCGCCGCGAAGAGCGGTGAAAGGGAGTGCGAGAGCTGTTACACCCACAAGGCCCGACAAATTGGATCCGAAGCTGAGCTCGGCCGCCTGTCATGCGACACATACACAACGTTGGTGGTAACAGAAGGGATGTGGCATCAGAGATTCGGATAAAAGAAATGAAGTCGGACCGCTTGGTCCTTTCTTAGGGGATACAATGGCGTAGACACATCGTATTCTGCTACGGACAGTTGGATGTGACACAGAACTCTGCAATCCCGCCGCAAGTAGGGTTAGGAAGGGGACTGAGATTTAGAGGCAATAGCAACAAGGCCACAAGATGCTTTAGGGATGTGAGGCTCAACGCAGGGAATGGCACGGGATAGACAAAAGCAAAGCAAAAAAAAAAAAAAAAAAAAAAAAAAAAAAAAAAAAAAAAAGATGAAGAAACGGGGGGTCTTCAATTTCTTACCGAATGAAACTCAACTCTTCCACCACCTTGGGGATGTTGCGGAACTGCAGCTTCTCACCAAGAATCTTCTTGTCATGAGAGCTCCAAACGGGATCAGTTGAGCCGGCTGACTTTGTGTGCTGCTTGTAAGACATATCATGCCCATCTATCTCATCCTCGCCAATGTGGAGCTCGGCCTTGACTCGGGAACGAAGGTCGCTTTTGCTTTGGGGGTCATCGTCTTTGTCGCTGTCGTCAGTCGGAATATTGCGCCCGGCGAAGACGGTGATTGTGAGGTGCAGCGTATGCTTTGCAACCAGATCCAGCGTCACCATGGTCTTGGCAGAACTTTGATACGCTTCAGGCTTGAGAACCCAGCCATCCTCGCCATCAAACATTGCCTCGTTGATCATCATCCCCTCGTCCATGTTTTGCCAATTCATGGCCACCATCTGGACGCCTCGCCGCCAAAAGAGACTGGGGTCCGGGTTGGAGCTGTTGATCCTCCGCCCAGCTGGAAATGCTCTCATGAAGAAGTTCTTATTGTGAGTAAACACTTCGCGCGGATACTTTTCATGCAACTCAATGATTCTGCCCTCGCTAATGGAAAAGATGTGGGTAGGTTGCTTTGCTTGCGGGGTGCTGAGACTTATGAACCGTTCGCTGCGGGTGTATATGGCGAGATCACTCAAAGGTTTGCATATTGTGATTTTTCCATGGGCATCTTGCTGCGGGACGTCGGCTGGCGATGAAGCAGAGGTCTTGAGGCGAGGAAGGCGAGGCTCAGTGTCCGAAATCGAGCCATCGTCGTCTCTCAATAGAATTGGCATAGAAGCTGTCAGGTCCTCTGGTCTCGGCATCTTGGCGGCGGCTCGCTTGACCTTGACGAGAATTTTGCGTCGGAGGTCATCAAGGGTGGGCACCCTAAACTTGGGATCACAGCCTTCAAAGGGCTGCTGGACAAGCATGTCCCCCCAAACTTCCTTCATGATATTCGCCATGATCTCTTGTTGGCTATGATCGGCGTGAACCTCCAAGCTGATAATGATGGGCAGATCATTCCCATGAGAAAACGCATTATCTCGAATCGTCTCGCACACCTCTCGGAAGCCACATGGAGTCGTCAAAGTCCAGCCGTGGGTTACAATGGGCTCTCCCCTAGGGAGGTTTGGCCGGGACCTCGAAAGGCGAGGTACCTCTTCTTTTTCAGTCAACTCAGTGCCCACAGGAAGGAATGTGTCGCTAGAGGTTGACGATACATCATCAGTCGTAGTTCTGCTATGAGAGCTGGGGCTCCTCGAGCGCCCGCTAGGGTTGGAGCTCCCAAGGTAATTTTTGGCGGTATCCTTGGCGGCCTCGAGTTTGTCTTCCATTTTCTCCAAAACGGCGGCGGCGGCATAGGGAAGAGCGCTTCCGGATATTCCAGATATATTGGATATACCTCTCGTATGACCGCCGCCACCCTGAGACTTTGGGACAGTGACCAGGATTTCATCTCCATTCCAGACGTCGATTTCGATGCAACGGCCGCCTCTCCTTAGGACCTTGATGATAAAACCAGTCAGCATGAGTATGTAAAATTTGTTAGATCTTGCCAAGTTGATGATACGCACAGAAGTATAGGCCTCTGGGGAAGTTTTAGAGGCCAATTGATTGCCGCTAATATAGGTATTGTGGCTGCTGTTGATGAAATAATTGGTTATGGGTTTTGAGTAGTCCTTTGCGGAAGGTCCCCGAGTAGCGTTCCAACAGTCTGCCAGCACATAAAAGAAATCTCCATCGGTGTATTTTTCCTTGTCAAGCTGAATGGCTACTTCGCCTTGGACTTCCCTGAGGAACTTGCTGAAGTCCTCCCTTGAGAGCTCGAGATTGTTGCCTCGCAAATTGTTGAAGACGCCCGCCATGGTGTCAAACATTGACCTGTTTATCGAGTGTTCGCGCATCAGGGAGTCGATTCGAGAGGCGTCCGGATCGTCGTAGAATCTTATGGGGGTGATCATGGTGGCGTTCCTGATCATTCGTTTGAGGGCACCGAGGCTGGGGTCAAAGATGGAAAAGGTATGGGTCCGCTTGGGCCTTTTTTCCTCCGATTTGGAACGACGGCGCTGGGAGTTGGCACTCATGTTAGCAAAGTACACAAATGAGTGAACAGGTAGAAAAAAACAAGAGCAAGAACAAGAACAAGCAAGTGTTTGGAGACGTACAAACATGCCGCAGGTGAAAGACATGGTGACTGATGGAGACTAGTGGGAGGGCGAGGGCCCAGACGAGAAGCGAGACACTATCGCTGCTGTCGTCGTGATCGCTGTAGCAGAGATTTCATGGGAGGCGACGAGGGGTCAGCCGCTCTTGGAGCGGACGAGGAACAGGAGAGAGAAAGAGAAGCTCGGAGGGTGTGAGGGCCCAAAGGGCAAAGATATCGGCAGAAGATAATGCTGTGGCTGTGGTTCCGCTGGTGGTACCTTGTACCTGAATAAGCTGCAGTTGACGTGTGGCTGTCTTAGTTGTCCGTTCCCACTCTGCGTCGTCTATCAAAAAAATGGCTGCTCTTATTCAAGCGTGAGCGAGTATATCCGGCAATCAGCTGCTGATGGGGTATCAAAGGAAAAACGCTAGAGAATATGGAGAGAAATACGTAGATGAGGAAGAGAGAAGAAGAAGAAGAAGAAGAAGAGACAAGCGAGGCAATGTAAACGACTGGAGGATGGACTGATTCGAGCCGAGCTGTCAGCTTCTTAATTTAGGTGCCGCTACTGGGGACTGGAGAGAGGTGCTAGTGCTGGCAGCGCTCGTGTCTAGCAGGTTTAGCGCCTCGTGCTGGTCTTTTCAGCTGCCCACAAGTTGTTTGGTAGGGCTGGGGTCCTCTTTTGTATTGATCTGCTGGGCCTGGTACCTTGGCCTTGGGTAGCAGTCGCAGTCGCAGAGCAGCAGCGTCGAAGCAGTTGCGCTCTCCAAGGGCCTGGCCGGCTGGGGCTCTGCTAGGGGCTGGCCAGGGCCCAGTCAGTTGTTTGGGTTTGTGGAGAGCTCTGGGTGGAACGGCGGCCTGGATGGGCTCATCGGGGCGGTTCGACGGCGCGCACCGTGTGAGGGAGAAGCGGCCTGGCGTCTGCCTTTGTTGAGCCTCAAGAATCGAGCTGCGGCGCGCGGGAATGGCTGGCAAAGGCGGCTGATGGCACAGCACAGTGTGCGAGTCATTCGATGGAGCTGCGAGCCGTGCTTCGTGCATCCAGTCGGTGCTGCTTATCATCTGGTCTTCGGCTCGCAACGACGGGGGTTTTGCTGGCATGCCATGGCTGCTGGGGCGCGGGCACAGCCTCATGTTGCCGTGCAGCTGCAGCATTGGCTCTGCTGCCCGCAAAGAGGGCCGGACAGCTTCATGCGTGGCGTGTTCTCGTGCCCTGCCTGTGACAGCTTCTGCTGCAGTGGCTGGACTGAGATGCGGCGACGGTTATTGGTGCGCCGTGGCCGGCCAGAGAAGCGAGGCTGGCGGCAGCGGACACGCCGTCGGATGCCTCCGCTGGGATTGGAGGAGAGGGCAGAGGAGGGTTTGGCCATGGGGCTGCGAGTACCAGTCGTAGGGAAATGGAGGATGGAGATACCTCGACCTGGTGCCAGGGTACATGCTGGATTCTACGGGCAGGGCTGTCGGAGGAAGGATTCATTGCGACCCTCTCGCAGCTGGCGCTGGTGCTACTGTACACTTGCGTCTAAGCCGTGCAAGAAAATCTGCCAGAGTTGAATCGAATAACGTGTCGATTATTTTTCTGATAAATTGGCCTGTCTGCCTTGTCTTGCGTTGCCTTCTACCGAGGCGTCATCTCATCACTCCCTCGCATCAACACTGCTAATTGATGGCCATGAACCTCGTCCCCTTGCTGAGACTGGAGCCCAGCCCAGTGGGATATGGATTGATCGAGACGGCATCAACCTACTGAGAAATGGCCCCGTCATTCCCTCACTAAAACATCCGCTACTGCCCAACGGCTTCAGCGGGTGCTTTTAAGGTTGTCCAAGCCTCCCAGCGCTGCGGCACGGGCGTGGCACCGCTGCTATCCTTTCTCCCCGCGGTGGGCCCAGCCCAGTGAGGTCATCCCGTCCTCATTGGCAGTCGTCTTCCATCTCAGCTTCATCCAGTCTTCTTCGTCTCGTCTTTTTGCTCCTCGTGAGACACTGAACTGTGCCCGACTCTTGCAATCGTCACCGAAAAGAATACAGCCCCCCGGAATCACAGCCACCCTCGAGCTGCATATTGAGCAAGCCCTGCCTCTCAGGCTCTCAAGCAGGCTTCCAGGCAGGTTCGCCTCAAAAAGGCAAACGTTTCTCTACCCAAGGATCCTGCTTGCGGGGCGCTGCCTGCAATCGCAAAAGCACGCACCCGCCAAGATGGGTGACCGGCATGAGGCGCAGGTCAGATCGTGGGGGTTTGGGCACGTTTTCACATGGAGTGATGGGCCGTAAGTCGTCTGTCCTCGCTTCGCTATGGTCAGGTCGATATGCACAACTGTGCTCTATGACTTTATGACACTATATTGTCTGATTCTCTCCCGCTCACCCCTCTCCCTTTCACTTACTTGCTTTTCCTTTTCGCTTTATCATTCAATAAAATGCTCTTACATCGTTTGTCAAGGCATTGCGTCATGTTCAATAGCGATCAACAGCCATTATATTTGAATCTCTCAACTGCGCTCCACGAGAGCCTTCACCCTTCCTTCTGACGCAATGGCGAGCTTGGTAGATCGACAGGGAGGCTGTGTTCACAGTGACTGATTGTGCAACTGCAGAAACTCACACTATGCTCCCCACTCGCACAGCGGGCTGACAACGCATCTCATTGTCGATGGCGAAATGACCCTATGGTATCCTGACGAGGCAGATCGTAAAAAGGCAACATATGGCGTCGGGTCCAGAGTCGACGTGGACGCTGGGCGAGTGCACGAGGTTTGGATTGGGAGCCAAGGTTGCACGTATGTGATTGGAGAATGAGCTCTCGGTGTCTCGGACGGGGATGAGCTGTGCAACGCCACAAAACTCAGCTTGAGTGCTATCAAGAAAATTCTGAAAGCAAGGAGAGCCTTCGAGACGAGGATGTGTCTGTGTCTGCGTCTGCGTCTGCGGATAGACACGGATTCTATTCCACGTAACGTCGTGCCTGGGTTGCCGTATCAGCTGTGGAGGAAAAAGTCAAAGTCAAAGATGCGCAGTGTCTCACGCATCAATCCATAGCTGGCGGTATTAGCATTGTTCTTGTGTGTTTCTAATGTGATTTTGGTGGTCAGAAAATGTTATACAGCTACGGGGATACTCATACATGGATGTTCTCGTACGAGAGTCTGCTTGTCTTGGAAGGCGGGCAACTCCGTTTACATGTAGTCTAGATATTTAGAAGCCATAGGATGAAGATAGCTGAGGGTTAATATTACGTAGTTCACAGCCTCACAATTAAAAGTATCAGGCCATAGTAAAGAAGAGTAAACGATGTGAAGCGAAATCAAACCGCATCAAATCAAATCAACCAAAGTGTCGAAGAATAAAAAACTACGCTCAAACTCTCGTGATGGTCTAGGGTAACTCTAATACAAACATTCGACATGTGCTCGTGCCCAGAGCTGATGGCTTCTTTGGCGCTGGAAGCCTCCCTTCCGGGCGTGCCGTGCCACGATGATGCAATGCCGTGCGGTTCGATCGAATTCAGTGCTAATAATATACCAATATAGTTGATACAATACAATAAAGTAAGTGCGTTTGTCAAGAGGTGAGAGCGCATGGAGACCAATGCAACCCATGTTTGGCTGATACGAGGCGAGGCGAGGTTTCGCTTGCCGGGGGCAGTATCAGGGTCGACGTCAGCACGGTCAATCAGAATGTTCTTTGGAGAGAGATTGGAACACAAGAGTGTGGGTAGGCAGCTGATGAGCCGCGGCTGTCATAATTTCCAAATGGAGCAATTAGGCTTCATGGCTTGCGTCGATCTTGAAAGCCATTGCCTTCTCCTCATTCTAAGCCATCTCTTTTCAAAGTACGGAGTACTACCGGTATAGTTTGCACGCCACGACCCCAAGACACCAAAATCTGCTGCAAAGATGGTCTCATTGATGCTCATAGAGAATAACACATACTCGTGTCACTTCTTTGTAATCCTACTAGCATCATCACCTCGTTTTACTTCAGTTTACCAAGTAGGTATTGCTGCTAGGCATCTACAATAGAAAGGGGGTACACGGGACATGCTTGCTTAGTCATGCTCATGCTCATTTCCCTCGCCGGGCCAAAATCTCCCCCACTCCTCACGAACCTCCACTGCGATTGTGACTTTGCTCCGGATCAACCATCGAATATTTGCAATGCCGAGCGCAGACCAGCTTCTGCTCCGCTGCCCGGGCTGAAATTAGAAGCAGAGAGGCTCAGCTACTCTCGCCGGATCGTGGTGAGGGGCTCCCGGTAATTATCGCTAGATCGTGGTGTGGGCTCCATTTCGACGGACTTTGCTCAGGCCATGATGAGGGCTCCCCACATGCCATGCAGACCAACTGGAGATGTTTTGCACACAAGTGCCCGCAGGCCCGAATCTCTTTGGCTCTTGCAGCAGCCGGCCTTCCGTCTTTCGAGGTGCCGCAAGCCGACAGCTGGCCGCATCAGATCGGTCCTCGCAGCTTCACGATGAGCCCATGCTGCAGTACAAGGTCCCCAATAGGTACAATACCCGAGCAATATACACGTACCAGAGCGGTTACCGAGCTTCAAAGCTGCTCTCCTCGGACCTTGACCCCCATAGCTGACTGGCTACCTCTTAGCTATTGAGTGCGCTAGGCCAGCTAGCCCCGAATCTTGATTTCCAGCTGGCACCGCAGCGAAACTCAACGGCCGGCGAATAGGAAAGTGGTGTTTCGCATTTTCCAAGGTTTTTCTCCGACCTGCTCATGCATGGCGTCTGGAAACGGGCATGGGCTGCAGTTGGCAGGCCGTTGAATGCTCCGTCTTGTGTCTCATAATCTCACCAACCATACTTAAGATTTGGGCAGCGAAGCAAGAGAAGCAGACAATGAGCTCCGGCGTTCCGTGATGGCCATCGCCATTGTGTACGGCATCCTTGCTCCTCCTACGAGCCTGCTTTGCCTGCATTGTCTCAGACATGCAGCGTGACGAACTCTTGGCCAGAAAATGCGCCAACCAGGCAATCTCACAGGGGTAGCTTCGGTTGTAATTAGTCGCCCCTGTCACAGTTGGCCAGGAAGCGGCAGCAATTCCATCAGCGGCGTGCGGTAATTGTGGAGCCGCATATACGATAGCTTAGCGGGCCTTGTTGGATTGATTGAGTGACTGGGAGATGATGTGTACATAGTTGTAGCGACAGCGACGTTCAAGGGCCCTGGCATCGCGATTTTGGGCTGCCGGCTGAGTGCCCCAGACTTCTCGTCACGTCTGCCGGCTGCTCTGCGACGCGCCATTCTTTCATCCAACTGCCTCGATGCAGTCCGACTTCAATTGAGCCTCTACTCCGCGATTTGCAGTCGCCGGAACCGGCATCGGGGCACAGAGGGCATCGGCTTACAAGCAGTCGGAGGTGGCGCTCTGGTCGAAAGCTTCACCCCTCTCTCCATCGATTTAAGCATCACGGTGTCGTTTGTCGCCTCGATTCTCGGAAGCCAAACAAACTATATACCCGATTTGCGCTACGCCCTCGTTGAAACCTTTTTTTTGCCGGGCTCTGGAGATATTATTACAATTCTTTTCGCCTTTAGCTTTGGCACAAAAGGTCGTCGAATTCTCTTACAGTTCTCCTACAAATTCCTGCGGAGAACCCCATCTCCATGTTTTGAAATCTACACCCAACCCAATTCTAGAGAGACATGGAGACGACTGCATTCCATACTTGAGCCCTACACAGCTGGCCTGGTCATTGTTTTTCTCCAAAACTTTCTCCGCAATTCTTTTATTGTTACTTTTTTTTTTTATAACGGAAACATCAACACTCCTTTCTTTCCTTGTCTGTTTCTTTCTGTTTCTTTTCTCTTGTTCTATACATCACTGGCGGAGGCGGCTATTTCATGGGGAACACAACATCGGCAGAGGTGCCTCGGAGGGCGCCTCAGAAACTCTCAAAGCCCCGAGCAGCAAGCCATGGAGCTATGCCGAGGCCGCGGAATCTTACGGGGGCAGCTGCATCCAGCAGCACTCGAATATCCGAATCCTATCTCGCAGCCTCGTTACCATTCTCTTCAAGAGACTCGCAAAATATCACGGGTGGCAGCAATGAAGCCTCGGAGCCTTACATAGAGAGGCTCTACGAACCTTCTAGGCGGCTGTCTAGGCGAGAATCTGACTACATGCGGAGCCCAGTCCTGCCTGAATCCCCCATATCAAACACAAGATCGCACTCCTTGTATTCAAATTCAGGTGCAAGCAACCAGATGCGCCGGGCCAGTTCTGTAATGCACAGCGATCCCGAGCGGCGACTGTCACGGACGCAGAGGTTTGTTCTCTATAGTCTTACTATCGATCTTGTAACGCTGACAGAAACCTAGCTGGCATGGAAATCGTATGGAAAGGGGAAGGTCAATGCAGTCTGAGCTGTTACAGTTTTACGAGTCTCAGCAGCTGGCTCGAACAAGCTCCGAGTTCTTACAGGAGCTTCAAGCAGCCGCCATGAGAAGCCAATCCGATGTGCATCAGGACCGCCGAGCTTCTAGTGTTGCTTCTACCTCTCTTGCAAGGACTACTTCAGACTTATCTTTCTACGCTCCGATGCGACGGCGCTCCGTGATTCAGACGCCCGGTGTAGCAACGAGACCAAGACGAGGTGACATGCTCTCTGTTCCCGACAGATCAAGTTCTCGAAAGAGCCAGCCGGTCTTTGGAGACGACCCGTTTACCTTCCAGTCTAGCTCCAAGGCGTCGAAACATATCTCCATGCCTCCTATAGGATTTGCTCCACTGGAGCGAGCTGCCACCCCGCGCGAATCAGACTACAAGCAGCTTGGAGGCATGAAGTTTGGGTCTTTAAAAATCATGAACGGGTCTCCTCCTTCAAGCCCTCAAGATATAATTAAGCAGCAGCGGCAACAAGAGCATGAATCAAGGCCAGGGCTAGAGTCATCGTCAGCAATAGTTTCCGATGATCTTGGTATTGAGCTGAACATGGCACGCCGCAAACAGCGTCACAGCGTCATTGGTTCAGTAGCAGAGTCTCGTGCCTTGGCGTCAATCTCTGGTTTCAAAGTGAACGAAAAGAGCTTACAGCCGTCAAGCAAAAAGGAAGAAACCCTAGATGACTTGATGCCTAGCCCGTTGTCAAAAGTTCCCAGTCCTCTACAGGGGTATCTTAATCGCGAGGTGAATGACGGAGCCCTTGGCAAGGCAAGGGGGGCAGTAAACAGAACTAACAGCGGCTTTTACTCAATAACTTCATCTGAGTCTTCGCACCGGCCTTCCTTAAAGACGGATAGTGGATATAGCTCCAATGTATCGGAGCGATCCTTTTTGAGTTCGAGCAACGCCGATGATAAAGGCTCTACCCGGCCACTCCAAACACGGCGACGCACGCTGGAGCAACCGGCAACGGCTCCTATCCTGACTGCAGATGCAATTAAAAAGCATAGCAGGATATACAAGCCATTCGTTCGAGAGGAAAGAAGCAGCGCCGCGACAAAGGACCTAGTCAGAGGAGCCACCGAATCGGCCTCTGAAATTGGGAGGTCAAGAGTGAAGCGTGGAGACAAGAGCTATCGTTTGGCTTCCTCGACTTTCTCTCCGTCTCACAGAATGGGTGCAAGCAGTGCAACTCTCAATACAATCATGAGCGTGGACAATTTAGCCCCCTCTGATAACGTCGCCGTGTCTGGCCACAGCTTTCTTGAAGTTGGTGCCGGAATGGGCGGAGATGGGTCTTTGAAAAAGCGACGTTCACTACGCAGAGTTGCTGAAGCTGCAACGTCGAGAATGTCGTCTCTTAACTTGAACCGTCGAAAGTCTGCCGCCGGGAATCTGACTCCTTCAGCTACCGAAAAAAGGAAGCGAGCGACTTCACTAGCTAACGGGAATATATCTGCAGCGGCCAGCGGCAAGTCGATGCCAGCAGCTGTGACTTCACAATCTCCCAAATCTCCCAAAGTATCTAACCGAGATGTTAGAAACTCTGGTGTTAAAGGTCGAGCATCCGCTCCAGAGCTTCGAGTTGCTATACCGACTCCTCACGTTAACAGAAGCACTGACAATCGTCCTGTTTATGCAACTATTCAAACGCCATCGCCAAGGACCCCACGATTTCGGGGAGTTATGGACTCTGGCGTACCACCGCCTATTCCACTGCAATTCCGAGCACCAAATTTCGATACGCTTCCAGCACTCGCCATTTCAAACGGCTCGCCCAACTGGCCCCTTACCCAGTCTCAAGGATCCTGGGATAGGACTCAACCACATATTGTACCCGTGGGATACGCTACGCAGCGCAGTCCTGCTAGACACCGCGTGCATGAGAGCCCAATTTCTCCGAGGCACAGCCAGCCCACAGGGCATCCTCACCCAACGTATCGGGGCGTTCGAATCTGAATACGATATACGCTTGTTATTATTTTTATCCCGTCAAGTCCAATATTCAGCTACTCAGCAACAACATTCTTTATCTACCAACCACATATGCCGAAGCCAGCCGGCGTTGTTCATATCGTATATATGTCGCCTACCTTTGTTTCTCTATTCTGGTACCGTCTGCTATGTCATATACCTAAGGTACACATGCTTTTTCGGCCTTAGTGCTAATATCACGCTGGTGCTCTTGAAAGCAAAAAAAACATTTTCTTCACTGTTTACCTGCAGGCACAGAACGCTTTTTTTTTTCATCATTCATATTCTACCTTTTCTACCCTGCGCTCTTACTGTAAACGGAATGGCATTGCGCTTGTACATCTAATTAGCATTCGTTTTTTTTTTTCGGCTCACACATTTTGGATTTTGATACCCCTATTTTCTGGTGGGCTATCTGTACAAGGCTTCTTTTTTTGCTTTGTCTTGTCTTTTGAAGAAAAAAACCTGTTTGTTACAGGATATATACGATGGAAGGGAATCACTTTGCGCGTCCAGGCATCTTATCAGGTGGACGCTGGACGTTGTTTTATTTGTATAATTAGAAGCTTGAATTGACATGACTTGATGACATTTCAGAAAAGAAAGGTTCAATAAGCTCAATATTACTTTGCCATTACGGAAGTGATTGACTGATTAACCCTTTCAGTACGCTCCCCATCGCTTCTTATATGCCGGGCCTTGAACAAGCTCTACTTTTTGCCTGCTCGTCAATATGGGCGACTTGGCTTTGAGCTCTAGTCCCGGAACTTTGGCGCCGTGGCTATCGAGCGCCCAGAGCGCCACGCCGATCCAGTTGTCGCCGTTGTAGTTCAAGATACCCTCCGGGACGGGGAACTCTGTCTGCGGGCCGACGTTGCTGACGTATTTGCCGTACTGGAAGCCGTTGACGTAGAGCAGAGAGCGGTATGGCGCCGCGGCGGTGGTGTTGTCGAAGACAAAGGACAGCGGGATGTCGTACGAGTCTGAGGGGAGGTCCAAGGTAAGCTTGGCAGCGTAGAAGGCGATGCCTGCGTGTGAGATGCCCTTGTAGGGGGATACGCCGTGGCGGCTGTCAAAGGCGTGGAGGGGAGGGGAGGGGAGATGGTAGCCCTGGCGCTCGAAGAAGAGGCCGCCCTCGTTGAGGGGTCCGCGGAAAGTGTCGCGGTAGTCTTCGCCGCCGAGGTTGCCGGTGATTTTCCAGGACGAGATGGGCACGTGGGCGCCCCTTGAAGAGACGAGGCTGTAGTCGAGGATGCCGCGCGGGGCCTTCATCTCATCGAGGCCAATGTTCCAGTTTTCGCTCAGGCCGGTCGAATCCACGACGACGGTGAGGACGTATCGTTTTCCTCGGATGAGGTTAGTGAGCTTGTAGCTTGAGTTGGCGCTGACGCCGGCGTCGAAGCCGTGGAAGGAGCCGATGAATTTGTCGTTGAGCCATACGGAGCTGGCGAAGGCGTTGCCGCCTTGCGTGGTGAGGGAGAGTTGCTGCTGGGAAGTCTGCGCGGTGAAGCGGCCGCGAAAGACGAGCGTTCCCGTATGGAAGCCATAGTCTGAGCCGTAGAGCGAGACGGGCGTTTTCAGAGGTGCTACCGAGTTATTAGATGTCTTGTGGTTGGCGGAGGGCCAGTGGGAATCGTCGTAGTAGTTTTGGACTTCCGGGAGCGAGTCTAGCTGATACCATGTGAGCTTCGTCAAGTCGGGGACTTGGACGACTGGGAGCACGGTATCTGGGTTGGCGGTCCAATCTCCGAGTTCTGAAACGGTGTATGAGAGTTCTTTTCCGTTGACGACTAGCTTGGAGACGCCTTGAGGGGCTCCAATGATCTCCAGTGGTGTTGTGACGTTGAAGTCCGCCTGTATAGAAAGAGTTGGTCCATCGACGGCAACAGAACGGACAAGATAGCCTCCGTTTACGATGACGGCAGCGGGATTCATCAAGGAGCTGCCGTAGGCGGGGTGGCTACCGCTTCCAGGGAGGGTGGGAACCCAGTAGTTGTACGCAGCATTGCGGTCTATGTAGCAATGTTGTCAGCATTTCATCGGCCGACAAGGGTATGAACGAGATGGTATTAGAACACTTACCAACCATATAGATGACCAAGTCGCCCAGCTGTATGACTTGCCTGTCCGTCGAAGCCGTGAATTGAAGCACAAGCGTCAAATCCTGTGCAGTATGAACGACAACATCCTTTCCTTGGACCTTGTTGATTTTGCCTGCTTTAGTGCTTCCAAATGGATTCTTGACGGCAAATTCATGCACTTCTCCTGCGCCGCCGTATAGAACCAGGACGGTCCTGTTGTCAAATTGCTTCCAAGTAAAGATCTCTGCAGTTGAGTAAAGCAACGTAAAGTTGCCCACAGGGTAATCGGTAACGTGGAACTTGGAGTCGCGTCCACTGAGAGTGAGCGTTCCGCCTTGCTGAGGGATGGTTAATTCTCCGGCCGAGGTTGGTAGCTTGACTGTGTAAGATGTTGTATCGAGGCTTGAATAGTTTGTGTGGCGCACAACGAAAAAGTTGCCATTTTCTTCCGCTAGGAGTGGTGTTATCGAAATGTCCTTGTTGTCGCTGTAAACTCCTTGGGTCAGGTTGCCGGGGGTAGTTGTGATGTATCCAGGAGAGACCTTCAAGAATTGGGCCTGCAACTTCACCTCTGAGTACTTTTCTCTATCAACAGTTCGGTCTTCTCTGATACTCTAATCAGCTAGTTAGTTATCCCCAAGTCGAATGCACTGAATATATGATAAGTAGGTGACTAACCGCCCCATAATCGTACGATGTGTAGCCGCCAGAGTGTCCGAGGTTGCCCCAGTTAGTACCACCAAAGATCTGAATTCATACACCTCATCAGCTTTACATTTCTTTCAATCATTTTATCTCGCAAGAACGGGTGTACAGACCATGTAAATACTGAAGATGGTTACACCGGATGCGAAATTGTTCTTGTAAAAGACTCTCTCGAACTCGTGGTTTACCAAGGTAGAGCATTGGTCGAAACCCCATCCACCATAGGGATCAAAGGCGCCACCTTGGAACTGTCTCCATTTTAGCGAGTGTATTAATCTATTAGGCAAGGTTGTACTGACCTCTATAAGAGAAAATGGTGTATTTGGGCTTATCCTTTGGTGTGTATCATGTTGGCCTGTGGGTAGTCCGTTGTCCGGCCAGGTATATGGATGAGCCTGTCGAACTATTAGCATTCCAACATTCTGTAGAATTGTTCGATAGCAACTGCTTTACGTACGCAGTCAAAGCCCACAGGATAAGCGTCCCAGCCCTGCAACCAAGTTAGCATATGCTGCCACTAATATCTGCTACGGGGGAACACACGTATATATCCACTGAGCCGAGACCAGTTCCAGGGGCGCTTGTGCCACCGGCAAAAGCGTCGTTGTTTATCAGAGGGACGGTAATGCCGCCTTCGCGAGCCTGATCAATGACGTACTGCATATACGGCTTGTTTGGGAACACAACGCCCGCATTGCCAGCGCTGTACTCGTTCTCTGGCTGATACAAGATAACAGGCCCTCCGTTTGTGATTTGTGCCTTTGCGATAATCCGGGCAACGTTTGCCGCGTAACTGGTCATTATTAGCCAAGAAATTGTATACCAGGCTTCAGATGGGCTCAACCAACTTGTCGGTAGCATCCAAGTAATCTGTTGCATTCGTCCTGAGGATGCCTTTGACTCTCGCCAGCCACCCGGGAAACCCACCTCCAGACGCTTCCGCATTGATATAAGGGCCCGGGCGAGCCAGTAAATAAATGCCCGCCTGAGTGGCAGCCTCAAAGAATGGCTCCAAGTCAAAGATGCCATCCGCACGGAAATGCCCTGGTTTCCCCTCCAAAAGAGCCCAGTCGACATAGAACGAGACCATGTTGAATCCCAAGGCCTTGATCTTTTGGAATACATCGAGATAGAGGGATGGCACGGGCAGCCGAAAGGGGTGGACTTCGCCGGAGAAGATGACGACACGCTCGCCATGGATATACAGCGAATCTTCGTCCCAGGTGACAATATCTTGGAGCAGAGGGCTCGTTGAACTGTCCATCACAACCTCACGAGGCCGGCCTCCATTGGCACCGGAGTTTAATGCATTGGTGCCCGCGAGCAGCAGCGCAGATGCCGCTGTCAGAAGGGTATCCGATCTCATTGCCGATCCGATTACTCTCTCTTTCTCTGGTCAACTTGTTCTATTCTCCTGTTGAAAGCGAGCATGAGTACTTTTTCGTTTGGATCATATCATACGCTCTCTAGACTTTATTTATGCTTTTCTTCAACCCAGATCGCCCTGCCGCTCCTTCATGAGGGGTCTGGGTCAAAGCCGATGCTGTAGGGTTTCACTGCATACTGGTAGCGTCACTTCCCCATGAAAATGGCGTTGGCTAGCACTTTGCGCAACTCATCGCCATTCCTTTGATGGCAAAATGTAAAGTTGGTGGGACTTTTTTCTTCCCTAATTGTAGATGAGCTAGACAAGATGAGATTTGGCCAACGCGGGGTCGGGACTGGAGATGTCGTATCATTGGAGCGCGTAGCCGGCTGGACGATGGCCAAGTTGCAATTGGATTCTGCCTATAACACGCAGATCAGAGCGAATAGAAGAAAGGCTAGCAACCTGGTCGGGAATAGAAGATGGGCTGATTTTGATGTAGCTGGATTGACGGGCGGTGAGCTTTTGCTTCCGCCATGTCGAAGAATTTGCCGGCATTTCCTCCAATGGATGTGTTTGCAGCGGCTGATGACGGCCTGACCATATTTGGCCGAGGCTTAGCAAATTTTGATGTGATGTTGAAGAAGTCGGCTGAAATTGGTAGCGGATATCATCATGCGTCTCGTGACTTCTCTTCACAATGATGCTTCTACGAGCACGACAATCACGGAAGAACTGGATAAAACTTTATCCTACTTTCATGGGCAGATGCTGTTCTGAGGCGGTACGTTGATTAATGCACCACTTGTGCGCCCATTATGTTTAAATAAAGGTAGAGGTCCCTGTTACTTGCCCCTTGACTCTTGAGGAACTGATCAATAGTGAGAGGAGTGAATAGCATGCATATCTGCAATTACCATCAAACATTTAGACGATATTGCAACCGTCTGCTTGGAGCAGCACCCTCTCTCCCTGACGTCATATTTGTTGTTGTTCCCCTGTCTCATTCACAGCTGTAAGTTGGGCTATAATGATACGTTGTATCTGCCTATACCTAGGTACTTAGGTAGATCTGCCCTTGGTCCCTCGAAGCTGACAAGCTCAATTGAGCAGGCGTTGTAATGGCACGGCGCAGATCAGTTTCATCATGTATCATCTTCAGTGCGCCATGGGTTTACTCGGTAGATTTATCAAATCCTTCGGACAACACGCGCACTCAGCTGCTCTCAGCCATGCTTCTCCTTCCCATTCTAGTCTATAACAGTCGTTTCACCGAAATGGGGAGCAAAATAGCTACTGCTAATACTGGCAGGATGATACTGTAATGGGCTAATTGGTCTTGGCACTAGACCCTTAAGCTTTGACCGTAAGCTTATACGTGCATACAGCCACGGGTAGGTACCTGTGAAATGTTAACGCTGTCACCGGCGTTTGAAGATTGTGTAGATTCGACAATTGGCAATGGATGCTCCCATTCCTTGTTTTTTCTACTCTCTTCCTCTCAAGATAAGAAAAGAGCCAAGTAGGAGAAGACGAAGAGCGTGCTAGTCGTCATTGCTGGAAATACTTGGTTAGCTGCCAAATGCATAACAAAGGCTCGTCATAACTCGGTAGATCTGCGGCTATGTCGATCGAGGCCAAGGGACCAAGGCCGTTGGACATGAAGTGGCTGTGCAGCATCGTTTCCCGTCAAGAGAGGCCTCTGGCTGCATTCACTGGCTGTTAGAACCCAGAAGCCCCTGTTTCGGCAGCACGCCGAGCGCTCGTGCCTGTCACAGGAGTTCGACAGCAAGACGAGCCGTGCGAACAAGTCTGGAGGACAGCATCGTCTTGGTGGTGCTGCCCGCAGCTCTCCTGCATCCAGCTTGCGATGCCTCCGCCAATAACCTCGCTAGACGGGCCACTCTCCCACGGGCCTGACCGAGGCCGTTGGCGCCCACTGCGACACTCAGGAGGGACAGCATGCAGACGCTTACGACGATTGTCGCACTGACTCGGCCTCCATGAAACCCTGCGAATCGGCAGCGCTTCTGCCTCTGTTGTTGCCTCTGCCTGTGCCTCTGCCTGTGCCTGTGCTGCTGGCGAAACTCGGCGGCGATTGGGCACAGCGCGCTGCCCGAAATGCCCGTTGGACTTGAAGACTCTGCGGAGCATTGGCAGCACAGGAGAAAAAAGAGGGCATTGCAGGCCATGGGCGTCAATGCTCGTGAGGGCGCCAAAGCAGGAGATGTCGGGCCCACACGGAGTACATATGCTGCGCCGCATGTTGCGCGTCGGCGGGTAAGTACTCCGTGCGGAACATGCGGCCCCGAACAACCGATCCATGGCTCCAGCAATTTGCGTATGCCGGTTCTTGGTACCTGACTGCAGACGAGCACGGATGTAGGTACCGAGCCATAGCATTCAGTAGCGCTCAGTACTTGCATATCTTGGTGCTTGGCGGCCACCGTTGCGGCTACCGTATTAGGTGCTATCTTACGACTACGACCTCTGTAATCGTTCGTTGTACAAGTGCGGTACTGTACAGTATATATACTAATGTCTAGAACCATCAAGGCTAATAATAGCTCGCGCTAATGTGATTTTAAACTGTCCTGACAATGAGATGTGATCACCGTCATTTGTGCAGCCGGTTTTTTTTTTGTGTTTTGCTCTTGTGAAGTTCTACTGCAAAGCAAGATACACGCATACGGTCAAAACGGTACAATGGCTTACTGTAGGTTGATTATTTCTTTCATTAGCGAGCAGGGCGCGTGACGTGACAGGCTGCCAGAGAAACAGACAAGCCTTGGCGGTGCAGAATTTTGCAGCCAAGCTTGCAGCCAAGCCCAGGAGCACCGTAGCCCGTGGCGCAATTCGCACGCACCAGCACTGATCCACAGGAGAAGATGGCGGAGGCGCAGGCCCGCTACAGCGAGCTAGGCGGCCTGCCCCGAGAGCCCCTAGTCCCGACTGGGCCGATACGACAAAGCGTCGGGTAGCTCCAAGCTCGCCGCGCACAGTGCGGTACAGTGCCGCTTTGCGGTGGGTTCCTTTTTCCGGTGCTCTGAATACGAGCCCTCGCCGTTCCTTTGTTTGTCAGACCCTGTCACCTCAAGATTAAAACACTCTCGTTTTATCCTCACTTCTCAACCGTTCTCCTTTTTCGTCCCTCGTTTTTGACGTTTTACCCTCCTCACACACGGCCTTTGAGGTCTTCCGCTTTATCCCGTATATCGGCGCCGTTCGTTCTTTCTGCCTGCAACCACATATTTGCAGCTACATCTCTCTCTTTCTTCCTCTCCTATTCAATCTATCCGCTCTCTCTGTCCTCCCTCCATCTCCTTGGTCCTTCATCGAGAGCTTTTTGACGGCGAATAAACACCGATCGTGTCCAAAAAAACCAGCACCGCACTCCATATAGCCCTGTGGCCTTGACTCGACTACCTTGTCGACGCCAAAGGCCCTCAGACGACCCCGGTCAGCAAGAGCCGAGAAATTTGCTCTATTTCGATTTTCTCTCTCTCTCTTCTCTCTCTACGTTATTTTTCGCTCAACAAAACATTCGCCATGTATGCAACACGGCTTATCCAAGTGCTGGTCGCGGTGGTGTCCATCCTGTGTGTGGTGCAGGCTACCTGGTGGGATGTCCAAAAGGTTCACCACCGGGGCTTGATTCGACGAGACGACAACCCCCTTAGTGGTATTACCGGCGGCGGCGGCGGCGGCGGCGACTCATCGAGCTCTGCAGGTGCAGATCAATCGACTCCTAGCAAAACAGCAGCTCCGGCGCAACAATCTTCGAGCGCTGCGTCGCCGCCGGCGCAGCAGTCTCAGTCCTCAGCTGATACGCCATCAAGCTCCGCCGCCTCTCCAACATCCGCCGCCCCAACCTCGGATGCGCCCTCTTCAACTCCCAGCGCAGGAGACAGCAGCAGCTCTACACCTCCGCCTACACAAGCTGGGCCCACCTCTGCCAGCTCTAGCACTCCGTCCCCAACAGCAGATTCTGGTTCCTCCACCACTCCTCCCCCGTCCCAGACCTCATCTAGCCAGGGCAGCGATGGCGACAGCAGCGCCGACAGCGGTAGCAGCAAGACTTCTGCTGGTGGCAATGGCAACAACAACGCGGCGGCTCCCACTACAACACCGCCCCCCGTTTCGACCAAGGTTGAGGTTATCGTCAAGACCGCCAGCGATGGATCCAAGACAACCGAGACTACCACAACAAGGACCACCCAGACCGCGGGCCTCAACGCAGATAACTCCAAGGCTTCTTCAGGCATGTCAGTGCAGACCCGCAACACCATCATTGGCGTTGTCGTCGGCGTTGGTGGTGCGGTCATTCTGGGCGCTCTCGCACTTGTTGCTTTCCGGGTCTGGGGCCGCAAGAAGCATGCTGAAGAGGCTGACGGCCTCATGGCTTACGACGTCGACATCAGTGCTGCAGAGAAGTCTCCCCGAGGTAGTTCATCAGGTACCGGTCCTCGGAACCCATTCCAGTCGACGTTGGAGAATTATCACCAGCCTGTAAACGCGTCGGCCAACTTTTAAGACGATTTTCTTGCGGTGAGGCTGTTCTTTTTATTACAGCTGTTGCGGCACACGAGTATGGTTCACCCTAATAAGCACGGGTTACGATGTATGTCGAGAAGATTTTGACTGGTGATGCTGCAAAAACACTTGTTTTTTTTTTAATGGAAAACAGAGTGAAGGGTTTTTTTAAAAAAAGAATTTCTTGAGCGATGCTGCTATGCGTTTATGCGAGACTGTTTTCTGCAAACTGCATGGCGAGCTCTTATTATTTTTCTGTCACTTGGCATATAGAATCGATGTTTGTTTTTTTCTGGAAAGAAAGCGAGATACCTAACTAATTACTCCAACCACTGAATATATTCCTTTTTATGTTATCCTCTCTTCTTCGTTAAGATGCTCGATGTGATGGGCTACATAAATTCTGACAAAATGATTCAGTTCTTGGCAAGGGCACCCAAAGGTGCGACATACTCCCTTGGAGCCCTGGAATGTGCAGAGAACAATGGCGAGCATCATATCCTCGTGTTTATTGTTCTTTCACATGGTGGCCGAATACCGTGTTCAGCTGTCTTCCCTTAGCCATTGTTTTCCAGAGACGTTTCACTTGGACACGCTCGTCTGGCATCCTCCCTCTCCCTTGTTGTGTTTAGGCAGCCTCTTTCTTAATCTGGGCCGCTTCACTCTTTCACGTCCCGGCCTTCTTTGTTTCTTCCCGTTCTCTTGGCCGACGGAGTTTCATAGACGGCAGACAGACGTACACGTGCATACATCACCCACACACACACACATTCATACATACATACGCTGCTACCCAACGCGCTCCCTCTATCCAATACAGCTGCCCAGGGCGAGTATAAGGGAGCCTCTGATGGAATTCTTTCTTCTTCTTCTTCCCGTCTTCCATCCTCTGTGCCGCCCTCAAAAGCTGCATGCATTATGCTGGCCACATATCCTGGCTTGAGAATGTCGTGTCTATTCATCCCCCCGTCGGCCAATGACGCGGCTCCAGCTGGACAATGCAGGACTAGCCGCTGCTGCGATGCATCGTGAGCGCGTCACTTAGCACACCAAAAACTGCCTTCTTTTCCTTCTTTTCTTCCTTCTTTGTGGTCTTTTTTGTGGGGGGGAGGGTGAGTCGAGCAAACCGGCACGCATACCTCTCGCACTTGTACAGTAACAGATATTGGTAGTAGAGTTCTCAAATATACGAGGTGGCATCATGGCTTGCTCATTCTCATTTCAGCAGACACAGGGATATTCCCAATAACTTGGGTGAACGATTGCTTGCCGCTAAAAAGCCAATCTAAAACTCTCCAGCATTTTTTTCTTTTGCTTGGGCGTGGCACAATCGCTCAACTCAAACGGTGGCTCACAGCCGCTTCGTGGCCCCGCCGGTGGCTTTTAGCTCCCGAGGCGTGAACGTGCGACCCCTGGGGCTAGAGAAAGTACAGGTACTCGACTCGACTCGAACGAGGCATGATGTCAAGTCAAGCAGTTGGCATGTCCTTCTTCTCTATGACATAAACATGGATGAATATCGAACACTACTTCTAAATATGTCACTGACTAGCACCTTTACGGCGGTCGCGGCGGCATAAAGGGTCATGAGCAGTTGAGCATTGATCTGCGCAACACGTGAATCAGAGTGTTTTTTTTCCGGCGTGACGGGTTTTAGTGGTATTTCGTGGGGGGGCGAATGACGCTCTAAAAAGCGGCCGTCGAAGGAGTACATGCGCTCGGAGTACCTGTTGTGCTTGTGCTCGCGCCCTGCCATGACGAGAAGAAGGGAGAGAAACCCTAGTTGAGGGTTTGCAGCCTGACGCAATTGTGGTGAGAATCAAAGCGACTCGAGCGCAGGCCAAAGCAGTATTCGCATCCTGTAGTTGATCTGGCTGGTGCTGGGCTGGCGACAGCTGTTCTGTATGGGGCAAGTTCCAATAGCCCTCTAGAGTCTGGTCGAGCGTTTCAACGTCGTCTCTCCGCGTTTTGGTACTTTCCCCTCAAGTAAAGGTACAACCACGCTCCAGCTTTATTGTTCCTTAGTGGCGGATCACTGGTCACAGGCACTTGAGCCTTTTACTTTTGCTATTCTTGTCTCAGCTTCTTTTTCTCTTCCATCTTTCCAAGCCACTACCAGCTCACGCTGCATGCACATGCATTGCTGCATGGGTGGTGCTACTTTGAAACCAGAAAAGCTACCTCGTCCAAGCCGTGTTTTGGCCAAGAGAGCGCTCTCTCGCCTGTGCACCGCCAAATCATGTGCGATTCAGCACCCAAGGTGTCTGAGACGGCGACTCGCCCACTTCACCGTCACTTGTGCAAGTACCGGTACCCCAAGCCTCGTACCGGCTTCGTGGCAGCCTTCTGGACCCTGGTCGCTGCCACCCGACTTTTGGGTTACTTCAGCGCGCCACCAGCCCTGGCCAGCGGAACCTCTCATTAAAAAAGGCCAGCGCCGGCGTGCAAAGCAGAGGAGGTGGTGTTGTCAATGTATAGCAGCAGCTACGGAGCGCTGATACAGGCAAAACAGGCTATATGCCTGCTTGCCGCTCTGTTGCCCACTGCCTCTGCTCTCCCACTAATTCCCCGTAGTCCCGTAGTAATGCTAGGCCCAGATGCCAGGCCAGATACAGCCCGTAGTCGCACTCGGATGGAGCAGCATCGCCCAGACGGGGCATTTGCCTGCTATTCGCAGCACTATACGGGCAGCCGTCTAGTCGCATTAGGCATGCCCGTATACTGGCCATTGGCTGGAGGCCCAACCGATGCAAAACGCAGGCCGCTGGAGCTGTTCGCTGGCAACTGGGCCACGACACTCAGTCGGAGCTGCAGCTCTCCATCCGGACCCGTCCATCTGCTCACTCCCCTCCTCTCTTCTTCTCTCTCTCGCCCTCGCCCGTCCTCTCTGCTGTGCCATCTCTCGCCGCCAGACTCAAGCCTCGCCTCTGACCCCAGACCCGCCCAGCCCGGCTCCCCAATGACTGTGGCCACTCATCGACTCTGTCCTCGTCCCGGCGCTGCTTGAGTGCTTTGCCCCGAGTTCGACTCCAGATCCGATCCAGGACGAGATACTGATACTGTACCGGCACACACTCTCTCGCAACTCACACACCCGCGCCTTTTTTTTTGGTCCCCAGTTTCCTTTCCCGCCGCCCCCCCTTTTTCTTATTTAGTTTTAATCCGTCCTTGGTGGCCTCGTCAACGCGTCGCGTATTTTCACACCCCCCGACAGCCAGACGCTGGTTGTTTGCTGGAGTCCCTGGCAGTTGACGGGACGGACGAGTAAGAATTAGAGGGACTTCCAGTAGGCGGATGTTGAGAATCAGCTGCAGGCGAACACGTTTTTCGTCTGCGCTGATCTCACCTGGTGAGCAGCATCTCCAATCCGACGCCTTGGCCGGGGCCCGCTTCCTATGCAGCAACACCGCCATGTGCTTTAAAAGTGCAGAGTAGCTAATTCTTTTTTTCCTTTTTCTCTTTTCCCCCCGTCGTATAGAACTTCGCTACAACGTCGTCTTCAGCTACGTCGACAATCCCTCTTCCTCCTGCTGCACCTGCGCAGGACGGCCTTGGAGACTCTAGCCCGGGATCCAGGACCCCGACGTCGCCCGCCTTGTCGACAGCCTCTACAGCCGACGACGAAGACGACGAGCTCGGATCGTCGCCGGCGATTCCTCTGCTTCCTGCCCCCAAGCTCTCCGAACGGGCTTCGGCAATCTTGAGGGCGCCTGCATTTGACATCCACGACTTCCAGATCGACGACGACGAGCGGGACGACAGCGACGACAACCTCGCCTCGGACGACGAGCAGTTTGGCACTGCCAGCTGGGGCTCGCCATATCTCCGGAGCGACGTCAACCTCCGCCGCCAGAGCTACGAAAGCGAGGGGTCTGACAGTGACGAGTCCGAGAGCTTTCCCATTCACTCCTTGGATATAAATACTCCTTTCCTGCGCCCGCCGCCGGTTATCCTGAGCGCACGGCCTCAAACCCCGGCGCAGTCGCTTCTACCCACGAGTGCTGCCGCTGCCGTGCTTGTGCACAGGGCCAGGCGTCGGAACAGGGGACTTACCGAGGGCTGGATCCGCACTCACACCGCCGGCGACCAGAACACCGAAGCTCGACTCTGGTTCAGCGACGGAGACAGCAGCGAGCACTCTTCACTGAGCGGCTCGGAAGCTGACTGGTATCAAAGTCGAGATCCTCGCACACCTAGGCCGTCGAGCAGATATAGGGCCAAATCTCGATCCACATCTCGACATCCTCGCGCCATCTCTAGCGTTGAGACTCTCAAGGCCGGTGATCCTCTGCAATCGGAAGCAGACGACGACATGGCAAGCTCAGTTGCCACCGAGACGGGTTCCGTCGTGGGCCTGTCCCTCCCCAACAACCACAACGACATGGCGACGCCGCCTGGGGCTGAACAACCAAACGGCAGCAAGGCGATCCCACCCATCAAAGTCTCCGACAAGCCCCTACCCAGGGAACCGTCTGTCACGCCTCGAATCAAGAAAAAGGTGCCGTGGAAGGGCAAGAACATCATAGTTACGCTACCACGGGATGATGAGCGCGGTCTCCCAGGACAACCGCCAATGCCTCTTCGACAACACGAGATTGAGCGAATGTTTGATTCATGGATGGAGCTAGGGTATAATGTAGACGGCTTCGATTTGCCGGCTGAGGATGATACGACTCAGGAATCTCAAAGCAGAGAGGCGTGGCCTAGTTTTGAGGATTTGGCGCAAGAGCGCTATGAACAAGAATATACAGTAGTCCTGCCAGACCTGAATGGTATGTTTTTTTTTTTTTTGAGAAATTGTTCCTGGACTCACAAAAAGATGCTGATGACTAACATTACTACTTCTCATAGCGTGGAAGAACTACGTCAATGAGTTGCAAGAAGCCAAGCTTAGAGCCCTTGGCGTCTCGTTCGGAGGCGATGAACCCGAAGCTGCACCCTCAATATCTTCACAACCTTCACGACTACCTTCGGCTCAGTACCCTCCACTGCCTTTCTCACCTCCAATTCCGACTTCCTCAGCGTCCAGCAACCATGCGATACCCGGTTTCCCGTTCCCATCTCCCTTCATCCCCGGCGCTGCCGCCAACCAGAGCCCGTTGGCATCGGGCGCCTCGCCAGTACCTTTCAGTGTGGCTGGCAAATTCAATGCACGACAGTCCATCTCATTCCCTGCTAACAGCTCACCTTTCCAACAGCCGCCGCAGGGATGGCCCAACCAGGCTGGTATCTTGCAGGGCATGAGTCCTCAAGATTCGCCATCCATGATGAGTTTCAATGGCATCATGTCACCTCAGTCTCCTTATGGCGTGGAATTCCACCAGACTGGCAGCCCGGCATTCAATCTACACCAGAGGCATCAGTCACTGCAATATCTACCACAGCAGTACGCTAGAGCTTCTCCCCGCCTTCAAGACGTTAGGGAAGATGAAGAAGAAGAGGAGCATGTGGGTGGCAAGAGTCCATCCAAAACCCCCGAGCCTGTACAACGCAATGCAGACCAGCTACAAGCCGAGATTGACGATGCCGAGTATCATCTGGAGGAGCAGCTACGCAATGAGCTGGAACATGAGGACTACAATCCCCAGACGAGAGCCGAAGCCGTTGCCCACCAGCCCTTTGTTGCTGCGCATGCTCATCAGCCTTCTGCTGGCGGCTTTGCGCCAGTTGAACATTTTGCCAACGAGCCTGGCAAGCCCATGGTTTTGCACCACCCGCGGCCTCACAGCCGGGGTCATTCCCTTACCCAAAATTTCTATCGGGAGGACGATCCTTCTGAAAGCGCTAGCCAGAATGTCATGCCGCAATTTGGGCCATTGAATGACATTCCGGAAACTCATCGCGTCGACGAGGCTTATGAAGAAATCCAGACAAATCCCAGCAATCTCGGCACACCTATTCAGGACATCGATTTTGTTGCTGCTTTCAACCAGCATCAAAAGAATGTATCTGCTTCGAGCAACCCATGGCAGGACTCAGTGTCTCTTAACAATGCTGGTAGCCAACATTCAGCCAACGATAGCAAGTCTTCTTTGTCCAAATTCAATGTAGAAGCACCAGAGTTCAAGTTCAATCCCACGAGCACATTTACTCCTGGCCATTTCAACTTTGACACTCCTAGCTTCCAGCCGGGTGTGTATCATGCTGGCGCACCAGATGTCATGGAGCAGACTCCTTTCGGAGTCCCGCCACAGCAGCCTCCAGCAGCCAAGATCAACGTCAATGCTCCGGCATTTGCTCCTGGACAGAAGAGCGAATTTAACTTTTCTTCATCTGGCCCCAAGTTCCGCCCTGATGCTCCCGCTTTTACACCATTCCAACCCCAAGGTGCTGCATCCAATCCTGCTGAAGGTGGCATGAAGGGTTTCCCGAGACGGACCGATTCCATCTTTAATAATATTAGGATCGAACCTAATCAACATGCCGACTCAGTTGCTCCTAAAAAGACCAGAGCCGTCCCCGTCTTAAGATCTACTAGTGAATCGCCAGTCGCTTCTGAAGGCGATATTAGAGAGCCTGATGGTCGCGTCCAGGACGACTCCAGAGCTAAGCGGGCTAAGAGCACTGCGGCTGATAGTGATGATGTGCCTCTCTTTGCTGACAGACCAGATGACTTGGTCGAAGAGGAAGAAGGAGAAGAAGCAGAAGAAGGTGAAGTTGAAGCTGAAGACATTGGCATGGCTGAATCATCAGTTAAAGAATCGCGGAGCTTTGCTGAGGAAGGCTCAGTTGATGGAGAAGCTGTGTTGCCCGCCGATACTTCCATGTCTTCGGTCGACCAGATCGATACTCAGGTCACTACTGCTGCTCCCTCTGAGACATCACCAGCGGAAGCATCTATCAAGTGGACGTCATCTTTCGAACTGACCCCTCGACATTTGTCGGCGGCTACTCCCGCATCTCTCCCAGAACTTCCAGACGAAAGCGAAGCTCGCTCAGACGGAGAAGGGTTGTCCGAATCCACGCAACCCAATGCTCAGTCTGCTCCTGAAGATCCTCAAATTGCAATTGCCAGACGCAAGCTTACTCCCAAAGGCCTTTCTGGGTCCCGATTTGCTCTACCTTTGCCGAAGCCAGCTGGTTTGGCCTCGTCTCGTTTCGCGGAGGCAACTCCCGCTGCTACCGCTGAGCAAGATGACGACGACGACGACGACGACGACGACACGATTGAGTTTCCAAAAGAAGGAACAAGCGGTTTCAATGCTACGCCTACTACGAATGGCGATAAGCGCGAACCTACCTTTGAGGAGATTGATGCGGTCATGCAGCGAATGGAGAGAGATCATTCTCAGGGCATTAACAAATCCGTTGAGACATTCAAGTGGCCTCACCCAGCTGGCGAAGCTCATGCATCGTCGGATGAGTTGCATATCCCTTCAGACCATGCGCGCGAGAAGATGAGCGTTATTCCACGCAAGTATAGCGATATTCTTGACAACACGTCTCAGCCAATGTTGAGTACTGAGTTGGAAGATCCGTTCGTGGACCCACCGCTGAGCGCCCAAGTTCTGAGACGTGGCAGCGGATTCGAAGAGGGTGAGATTGAGAGCGACCAAGTTAGTGACTGGGAAGGCGCCTTCTCAGAGGAGGAACATTCGAAGCTTGAGAATCGTGCCCAGTTTTTCGACGGTCGTGTCAACGACGTCGTCGGTACGCTCTTGGCATCCAGACTTGAACCCCTCGAGAAGGCTATCCTTACTCTCTCTCGCTCTCTGAAATCTAATGACCAACGGGCTCCTTCATCCCGACGCGATGCTCGTGGTGGCTCGACTGAGTATCAGGAAAGCGACGCTGATGACGAAGACGATGAGCCTGCTCCTCGTCGCTCCACGAGTCCCAAGAGGGACCGAAAACTGGACCACATTCGTTCAATTGTTGTCGAAGCTCTTGCTTCGCAGTCACGTAGCAATTTACCAACCGTCAATACGGAAGCTACTGGCGATGGAACTCTCCTAAGGTCTCTTGATGAGATCAAAGAGCTACTAGTTACTAGTGCCAGGCACACACCTCGCGATGACATCAACTCTGTTCATTTCGAGGGCATGTTGCAAGCCAAGTCCAATGAAGAGCTTGCTGCAAGGGTCCGCGAACTTGAGACAAAGGCAATGGATCTCGAACAGCGACATCGCCTAGACCAAGAGAGCCTTGAGAATGAAATCAATGAGCGCAGGGCTGCGGAGGATGCAGTAGCTGAGCTCAACCGAAAGCTACAGGCTACAGAGGCACAGGTAGAAGTCGAAGTTATTAACCGTAGCGTTTTCGACGGCCGTGTTGCCGAGCTTGAAGCGAGAGTCAGGCGACAAGAGGATACCAACGAGCAGGAAGTCCAAGCCAGGCGTGCAGCCGAAGATAACCTGTCCGAAGTTCAACGCTTGTTGCATAATGCCTCCGAAGAAGAGACCCGACTACGCGAAGCGGTGGAGGAGAGAAACCAGGCTATCAAGTCACTAGAGCACTCCGCAGGCAAGACTGCCCTGCAAATATCCAAGATGGAGGTTGCTCGTGATCATTGGACCCATCACCAAGCTGAGATGGTTAACAGGATCAACGTCCTCGAAACCGATCTTCGCAACGTTCGCCAAGATAACAATACTTGGAGAGCGGAGATGGAACGAGCTGATGAAGCCGCACGCCGTAGCAATGGCGAGCTTGGTCATGCTTTGAATGAAAACAAGCATCTGCATAAATCACTTGAAAGCGTCGTTTCTCAACTTGAAGAAAACGAACGGCTTCGGGAGACATGGCGGGCCAAGTTCCTTTCGCTTCAGAACGATATGGGTCAGGCCGCTCGCGAGGTAGCGGAGGAAAGTGCACGACGCATCAAGAAAGAACAGGCCATGTTGGCGCGCCAAGAAGTTTTGGAAGCGCGGCTGCAAGCTGAGTCCAAGACTCGAGAACGTCTTGAAGTTGAAATGGAAAGACTTCAGGATAACGAGCGGACTGGCATGCGTGCTGTGAATGAGTGCAATCGTCTTGACGGGCTGCTGTCTGAGCTCCGCAGCGAGAATTTCAAGCTTCAACAGGCTGCTGCTCGATACCAGCGCGAGTTTGAAGAGGCTCGTGAATCTGGGGCCAGCGAAGTCAAGAGGACTCGCATGTCTCTGCAGGCTGAGCTCGAGGATGCCAATAACCAGGTAAACGTTGTCCGAGAAGAGTACGAAGAGCAGACGGCGAAGCTGCGCGCTGAGCTTGACCATCTCAGGCTCCAGATTGATACTGCCAAGGCGCAAAACGAGATGCTTCTTGAGGAGGCACAGTCCACTAGGATCGCCGAGTTGGGCGAACTCAAACAAAAACATCAAAACGAGTTGGAGGATATCGAGGCTCGTTACGAACGACAGTTGAACAACGCAACCGAGGACGGTCAGCGAACAGAACAGCACTTGCTGGAGCGTCTCAGCTTGTCTACATCCAAGACTGAGCTTCTCCAAGACCGCGTCATTCACCTTGAAGAGAAACTTGAGATTACGAAGCAGGCCGCAGCCGCCGCAGCTCAAGCTGCGAAGTCGGCTGGCGTTGACTCTTCGGTCTTGAGCCCTGTGATGGCTAAACCAGCAGAGCGGGTTGAGATGCCTGAAAAGATCTCCCCACAAGCTCTCCGGGAATCCATCATGGTTCTCCAAGAACAGCTGCAGGCCCGTGAACAACACATTGAGGAACTCGAGCAGACTGTTGCTGACCTTGATCCCGATGCGGCAACCAAGATTTCGAAGCGCGACGACGAGATTAACTGGCTGCGCGAGCTTCTTGCTGTGAGACAGGGAGATCTTCAAGACATCATCATGGCTCTTTCTAGAGACAGGTTTGACCGCGCCGCTGTCAAGGATGCTGCCATCAGACTCAAGGCCAACTTGCAGATGGAGGAACAAGAGCGTGAGAGGGCCATGAATGGTGGCTCAGCCATTACTCTCCCTAATATCGCTCAGACAATCCAAGCTGCGACGCCACGTGTAGCGCAAACTATTGCTCCCATTGCAGCTGCTTGGGACAATTGGCGCAAGAGTGGCCAGACTGGCTTCCGAGGAATTTCAGGAGTGTTGAGTTCGCCTGCTGTCACGGGCAATTCCACCCCGACTAAAGGTAGAAATGACTCGGCAAAGCAGAATGGCGGCGGCATGGTGAGCGGGCTTCTCACCCCTCCAGCTACTGCTCTTCGCCAGCCTCCCACGCCGGACAGCCATCAACAGCCCACTGCCTTTTCCAGCATCGGAAGGCGATTCACAGGCCAGAGCGTTCATGATCGGACACGCACAAATTCCAACGTCTCTCATCGATCCGACAAGAGGCCCTTCCAAGACCTTCCCCTTCGACGTCAGGAGTTGGCAGCTGAGCCAGTGACACCTCCTCATTTAGGGCACCAGAATGTGTACGATGAGGACGCGCAGCCTGGCGACTTTGACGACCATGACTTCTTTGAAGAGGACTGAGGGACACGATGTCCTGCGTTGACGTGGAAGAAAGAAAGCCGATATATATACCTGAGCGATCCGCTCTGAGTAACCCTACAAGATTGTTATCCCCTTACCAATTTTTTTTTTGTCTCGTGCCTTTTTTCTTTAACGTTAATATCCGCTATTTTTCCCCCTTACGCCGAAAAAGAAGAGAGATTTATACAGCTATATGCATATATTTCATCAACCTTGAGGTTTAAGCCGAGTCACAATCACTCGCTACCTCTTATGAATCAACCATCAGAATGCGAAAACAACCACCCTTAGAAAGAGATACCCGTTTGGATTTTATGTGCTGCTTATTTGACCAGTCGCTCATCTTTAAAAGATTAACGCAAAAACTCTACAAAAAAAAAAAAAAAAAAAAAAAGATTCCGTCCTCGACGCTATACTAAGAAAAACAACAAGAAAAAAAAAAAAGAACATGCTCCGTTTATTTTTTTTTTTTAAAGCTGGATGGTTTTTTTTTGGTTTTCGATTTTCGATATTGATACATATTATCTTTCTCCTTCTTCTTCTCTGAGACTCAGACGGTTGGCCTTGTTTTGCTCCGTTGAGCGCTTTGTTTGGTTTTCTTCTTTTCTTCTTTTTCTTTCTTTCCTTATCTCCTTTGTACTTGTCTTTTTTTTTATATGCATGGTGGGATGGATGGATGGATGGATGGATGGATATGAACCCCAGGGTCGTCGCGCTCACTGTAGCCCGTCCTTGGTGATTAATGTGAAATTGAAAAAGGGGGCTATGATATGACAAGGATGGGAGGATGCTAGATTGAAAAGAATGGCCAAATCCGATTGCATAGTATGGACTAGTATGCAGGATTATAGTATTAATGATGAAAAAGGGAAGACCACCAAAGGAGATTGAAACTACTTCATGCGGCTATTATATTTACTATATTGTGATTGTATTTGAAGCGAAAGTTTATTAAGACAATGGGCAGAGTTGGTCAATTCTTTCAATTGGCTCCGCATATCGTTATCATATTATATATCCAAAATTACCAATGTCAAAAAAGGGGGTGTTTCATGTGCTCATTTTCTTTGTTATACAGTATTAGTTGCTGCTCAGCAGCTTTCCTACAGCCCACTTGACAGAAAAGTTCCTCAAGTCAGAGTAGTGCTGGCCAACTCCCACAAACACCACGGGCACGTTGGTCGCGTGAACCAGACTGACTAGGGTTCCTACCATGTCGCCAACAGTATCGCACTTGGAGATGATGAAACCATCCAGGGCGCGGTCCGAGCCAAAGGCCGCGTTGAAGTTGCGAGCCTGAGCGACGGAGTCTGTTCCAACAAGAGCCTGGAAAACCAAAATGTTAGTTGATTGATGAACCAATATATACACGAAGTATTAGATCCGATGCGATGAAAACGTACCTCGCCAACCATGAGAATCTTGTCGGGTTGGGCAAATTTGGCAAACTTTTCCAGCGATGACATGAGTCTTTGGTCGTTATGCCTCCGTCCAGCGGTATCGATGAGGACGACATCATAACCCTCCTGAGCCGCATGGCTAACGGCATCTTTAGCAACAGTAGCAGCATCTTTGCCATATCCCTTCTGGTACAACTCCACCTGTCCACCTTCTCGAGCCGTGAGCTCCTTGAGGTTTCGCACATGGACGGCGAGCTGCTCAACAGCTCCGGAACGGAAAGTATCACCAGCGGCGATGAGGACTTTGTACTTATTTTGCAGCAGGAAGAAGCAGATCTTGGATAGATTCGTAGACTTGCCGACACCGTTGACGCCGACGATGGAAATGACATAGGGCCGAGCCTTTCGCAGCGACGTGACGGGCGGAGAAGTGATGGAGTCAATCTCACGGAGGAGATCGAGTGATGAGGTCGGGGTGAGCATCTTGGTAAGAGAGGATTCCATTGCCGAATGGATCTTGGCGTTGATACTTTCAAAGTTTCCGGTCTTGACACCAACCAGCTCCTTTTCGACGCTTTCGCAAAGGCGAACGGCCGCTTCGCGGGCAACATTCTTGCGCAGCAAATGGTCCTCCATGCCCTTCATTGCGTTTTCAAGATCCGCCTTGGTTAAAGTCTTGCCACCTACAATGTTTCGGAAGAGACCGCTGATGGTGCTGACTCCAGACCCCAAAAGGCCCGTCTTGGACTCTGCGCGAGCAGCCTTCTCGGCCTTTTCAGCTTCTGCCGACGCCAGAATATCGTGTACTTCATCCCCCAAGTCCTTGAGGATGAATTTTCCTTTACTCCTGGATCCCCAGGTCGACGACTCGACGGCATCCAGTGCGCTGGACCGCCCAACTGCCTCAGCTTCCGACTCGCTTGCCAGATTGGGCTGGGAGTAATCCAGCTGTAGACTATCGTCTTCTTCGTCTGCAAATCCCTCTGCATTCCATTTGCGCCCCTTCTTTGTCGCCTTGGCGCCCTTCTTCTGTCGGGACGAAGTCAAAGACTCATCTCCAGAGGATACCGGCGCCGATCCACTATTTTGAGCTTTGCGAGCTCTCCTGGACATCTTGGCCACAGGGCCGGCCTTGGCAACAACCAGGTTGCCAGGGGTCGAGGGGCGCGACGCATCGGGTGTTGGGATAGGCGTAGAGTCGGTTGAAACGGTGTCGTGGGTGCCGGCTCCGCCACCGTTGATTGTGCGACCTCTGTAAGTCAGGCCGGGTGCCGATTGCTGGCCGTGAGAGGGCGCTTCCTCCTCTTCTATAGGGCTTATAGTTCCGATATTACTCGATCTGTCTAGCTCTCGAAGCTGCTGGTCGAAATATTCATCAAACGAGTGGCACTCGACGAGGGTCGTATGGGGTTTGGTGAGCTGGTCGCCGTAGAGCTGGACAAAGATGGTTTTGATATTATCCACCAGCTTATCAACCCATGAGAGGTGCAGCAGAGAGCGGTATACAACCTGATGTAAAGCAAGGCAGTTGTTAGTATAGGTAGGTACTCGGCGGAGGATGACGTCGATGGGGAAGCGCCCATACCACAAAGATTAAGCCCAATTCCTTAACAAAGGTCCATTTCAGAGTATGCTGGTCGCTCTTGTAGGCCGGATTGGTCGCGGCTGACTGCGACTCGGTGGGCGCAATGCCGCCCTTCTTCTCCTCTATGAATGTGTCGGCAATGAAGTTGTTGACGATGGAGGGGCTGACTGGCGCATACGTCCTAGACCAGACAACCACGCCAGACGTGGTGAGAACCTCGAAGGCGTCCAACATGTTGAATTTGCCGGCTGCGAAGGATCCAGGAGACTCGAGGACGGCTTGCGATCTCGGTGGGAGAAGCGAGAGGAGGAGAGAGAGGCTGAGGACCAGATCAGGGAAGAGGCGTGGTTCATACAGGTAGACGATAAGGAGTGGAAGGTGGTGGAATTGGGAGGCAAAAAAAAATCGGCTAGGGAAGTCTCGACCCTGGCAAGCCCGACAAGTATTAAAGTAGTAGCAAGTATTAAAAATGAAGAATTCACGCCGTCTTTGGAGATGAAGCAAAAAAGCGACTGCGTGTGGTTGCAGGTTGGAGTAGCGAAAGTTGGTTTGCGCCTAGGAACTGGAGATGGCAGGGCGTGCTAGAGATATCAAGGTTCAATATCTGTCTACAAGAGCGTGTACTTCAGTAGTCGGGGGCCGCTTTGGCGCCGCGCCTCCGCGCGTCAGCCATAATCAACGGTATTTGTCCTTTTCCTGATTGAATTCTACTATTTAATTCCGCCGGCGACCGAACCATCCCCGAGGCCTGCACGGCTCGCAGTTTTTGCCAATCGCCGCGTCTTGTCCTGCCGCTGCGGCTCGACTATCGTGAACGCTTCTAGCGAGGCCGATTCGCGGATGATCAAGAGCCGAATCACGTGGGAATTGGCTGTGGATGGGCTCTTGGGCTGAGTCTTGACTGCCATACCGTGGCCTCTAAGCCCCGTAGCAGAGCTGCAGCGGCGAATCCGTACCTGATGAGAGGTATCCAGAGGTAGCGGCAGGCCTTGCACGCGTGAGCAGGTACTCGCAGATACAAGCTGCCACTAACTTGAAGATTTGGAGGCCTGGTCCTACCCCCCGTCTGCAGCCCAGCTCACTGTGCCTTAGCTGGCCTATGACGCTGCTGCAGGGGCCTCTACTCTATTCACAGGCCAGGCCAAGCAAGCTATCGACCACATTTCAAAACTCGCCATCTCGAACCTCGTCGGTCGTCGACAACAGCGGCCACGACAACGATCACACCCTGGGGCCTAACCCAACTACGCGTTTATTTTCGCTCTCTCCGCCTCGAATTGACGCCAGAAGACGTCTATTCTCCTCTCTGGCCCTCGCAAAACCACCGCCAAAGTCAAACCCGCAGCCATGCATCGGGCGGCCCAGTCGCCTCCTTTGCACCATCCAGTGCCGCAACATGTCTCGACCGTCCCTCAGCTCCGATCACCGCCTCCGCCGCCGGGCTCCGCGCAGTCGCATCAGATGGGCTACGGGGGGAATCCATACCAGCAGCAGCAGGGGGGCAACATGGGCAATGCCTTTGGCGCATACGGGCAATTCATGAACGATCCTACGGCCCAGGTCGCGGCGCAGTTTGGACAGACTGCCTTCAAGCATGGCCAGGAATACGTGGAGCAGAATGTATGAGATTCTTTCTTCATTATTCTGTGTCTAGAAGTCTCGAGTTGAGACTCTTTGTCTTCTGCCTCCTTCTTACTGACTCTCCTTGCGCTTCTAGATTGGTCGCTACGTCAATGTGTCCGCGCTCAAGTACTACTTCAACGTCTCCAATTTCTACGTCATCAACAAGCTCTTTATTGTCCTCTTCCCCTGGAGGCATAAGCCTTGGTCCCGAAAGCAGGTTACCGGCGCGAACGGCCAAGACCTGCGCTACCTGCCCCCGCGAGATGACATCAACAGTCCCGACATGTACATTCCAGGTCGGTCGCGCATTGAATAACTCGTCATGGAGGACGGTGAATGGCAGCTAACATGAGACTATTGAATAGTGATGGCACTGGTCACATACATCCTCCTGTCTACTCTGGTTGCCGGCATACGGGGCAAGTTTAACCCTGAGCTTTTCGGATACACAGCAACAACCGCGCTCGGTGTGGTCATTTTCGAGATCATCGCGTTGAAGGTGGGGTGCTACCTCCTGAGCATCTCCAGCCAGTCCCAGCTACTTGACCTGATCGCCTACTCTGGATATAAATTTGTTGGTATTATTGCTACCATCGCCATTGCGGAGGTTGTCAACGGTGGCAAGGGCACTGGCGGCTGGGTCGGGTGGCTGGTCTTTATTTACACCTTCTTGGCCAACTCTCTATTCCTGGTACGTTTTGCGACCGCCTCACTTGTCTCCTTGATACCGTTATAATGCTGACTGAAACGATGTATCTAGATGCGGTCACTGAAATACGTGCTTTTGCCTGAAACATCTTCCAACTCCGGAGGCCCTATGCAGACTGACACAAGGGCGAAGCGGAACCAGCGGACACAGTTTCTTTTCTTCTACTCTTATCTCGTCCAGCTCTTCTTTATGTGGCTTCTGACCAGGTCTTGAAAGACTACTGAGTGGAAGTGAAAGGCCCCTCAAAGAACGCGAAAGACGACGATTCAAGGACTGCATATACGAGAATAGGAGAGAGAAAAAAAGGAGTGAGGTCACTATAGTTTTTCATAAAGGCGTTAGATACGGGTCAAAGAGGTCCATCTGCGGTGCCCAGAATCCTGGACACTCCGTTGTATGAAGAAGAGCCGCAGTTGGAGGTCCTGATAGATCAACAAGAGCTTCACTGCCATGCTACCGGCGTTTCGGGGGTTCCCGCTCCACTGCGGGGTTTGGTAGAGGCTATATCCCACGTTATCCCACGTTAATTTCCAACCAGACGACACACGAGGCATCTTTTGTGGGTGTAAGAGAAGGCTTGGGGACCTTTTCAGATAGAGGAAAGGATAATGCGCCAGGTGTCTTTTTACATCAGGTACATGAAACAGATACTATGCTTGCACATTTGACGATACGAAAAAGCAGACAAAAAGAGAATAAACAGCAGTATAATCACACCATAGCATCCATGATGACAAGTGTTCTTTATCCTATGGCTGGTCAGTGGTTCCTCTTACGAGCCGCATTGCGTGAGCTGTCTTTAAACAATCGGGGATTTTAGGATTTTAGGATTTTACCCACACAATCACTCACACATCTCCACGTGTTATGAAAATTAGTAGGCAGACAGCTTGTCATCAAACACTCTTCTCATTGAATAGCAAGTATTTTAGGCTACGACGGATTTCCGTAGCCTGGTGGAACGCGCACGCCACAGCACATTTTCACCGCCCTAGGATTAGTATTTGATAGCGACATCGCTTTGGCTCGGCTTGCTTTCTTCCCATCGAAATCTGATAAAACCTCCAGCCTCAGAGCCATATCCTACGCTTGCAAACGCCTGGCAAAGTCTCAAAGAGAAAAGGAGAAGAGAAGAAGAAAATAAAAAACGAAGAAAAGGGCCATCAACCGAGACCATGGCACCATCGCCCATTGTGCAGGCAACTCTGCAGTCTTCTCTCCTGGCAGCCGTGTCCAACATTTTGGCGCAGGCCATTACAGCGTACAAGAACAATGCAAGTTGACCTTTTTTTTTCTATTTGGCTTTTTCTAAAAAATCATTCTCAAATTTTCTTATTAATACAGAAGAGCTAATATGTTACTACAGGAAGCCGTGACGATAGACTGGGTGCCCGTCTTTCAGTTTGTCTTGTTTGCGGTGGTGAGCACGCCGCCAAACTTTCTCTGGTGAGCACATTACTGCCCGTTTATATCTTGATGCCTGGGATATCTCTGTTTCCTCCAGATATACATCCCATTTCACCACATTGCCCACTAACCTCGACACACAGGCAAGACTTTCTCGAATCAACATTCCCCGCACATCCCAGCCCCCCACCATCCAAATCCTCAAAATCATCTCCAGACTCCAAGGAGAAAAAGGACAAGGATACAAGCCCCCCCAAACTCTCTCTCACAAACACAATCATCAAATTCGCCCTCGACCAAACCGTCGGCGCCGCCCTCAACACGCTCCTCTTCAGCACCTTTACGCGCTCCCTCCGCCACGCCATGCTCCACGCCCCGCGCATCACAAACCTCCCCGCCGCCGCAAAGTACTGGTCCAGCCCCAACGCCGTCGACTTCAGGGTTGTTGATTTTGCCGTCGTCTGGCAAGAGGCGCAGGCCGAGTTCTGGTCGCTCATGTTTGCCGCCGCCAAGCTCTGGCCGGCCGTGTCGCTCGTCAACTTTACGCTTGTCAAGTCCGTTCAGGGGAGGAATCTGGTGGGTGCGCTGGCGGGAGTTGTGTGGGGGGTGTATGTCTCTTTGGCGATGGGAGGTTGAGCCGGTGGCTTTGTTGAGGGAGAATGCAGGTGAGATGATGATGACGATGGTGATTTGCCTTTGGGCAGGTCGGTCTTGATACTGGATAGGTACCTAGATTTAGAACGATAGACGCCGATAGAATGGAAATAGCAATCTACTCATCCTGTATCCTATTTGCTGTTTCGAATCATGGAGCACGTGGAAGAGACGAGATAGACCTTGTTGACGAGGATTGACAAGCCGAGCCGGGCCGAGGCCTTTGAATGTAGAGTCCTCTCGCGGGACTCTGGACTCGTCATACGCGTCGTCGGCCACGGGGGGTCGCAGATGCTGGTTCTCGATATCGTGGCTGGCCTGGATTCATGGATCCATCTCAATCAGTTGAATGGCGATGACATTATGATAACTACCCTCTGGGTTTGGTACTCTGGCTCAGGGCACTGAGCAGGCACAGCGTGGAAACAATGCTCCAAGCAATACATGATGCTTGTGAGTGTTGTAATGTGGGAGGAGAAGGAGAAAGCAATATACTTGCGAGGATAAAAGTGGAAGATGGGGATGGCGAAAGAGTGTAAGAGGCACTAGGAAGAAGATGTAAACTTACCTTCGCCTTAATGTCTGACATGGAACCAATTTTCTCAGTGGTAGCTTGCATGTACAAGCTTATTAAGGCCAATCCTGGCAGATTCCGTCAAGCGACGACAAATCAGGACGAAAGTACATGGGAAATCAATCACGGAGACTGGCTCCGTGCATAATTAGTGGTTTATTTTGCGAACAACACAGTCTACAACTAGCCTCCCTCTTCTTTTCGCCCTGCTTGGGCTGTCGAGGGCAGAGGTGAGGAGAAATTCGAGAGTTGCTCTTTTGACATGTGTCTCAAATCTCGTGCTCGGTCAGTGCAAGATTGAAAGATAAATCCTTGATAAATAAGCATCTATTTTGAAACAAAATACGTTGACGAAACTCAACGAATATGACTCACACTGATGGCGGAAAATGACTGGCATCTGCTCGGAAGAGTCGTGGTCAAGTCCAATTGAGGGAATGTTGGGGAGTGGCTGCTTTTGAGGACAAGACTTACGTGTCATCGCATAAAGGCTGCACAAGCAAAATCTTCGTAGCAGAGACACATATACTGCATGCCTAGTTGAAAAATTAAGAGGTTCGTAATATATATATTCATCAAGAGCGAGCTTGAGGTTCCCTTTGACTACACCAGGTAAGTGCATCGTAGAATGATAACTTTCCAACTACCACTAAGCAGTCTTTCAAGCGTGGATTCATTTATAAGAGTTCATCCGTCAAATAAGACCCGGTTCCCTTCATACTTTGATTGACAACGGATTCGACACATTCGACGTTTTTTTTTTTTTTTTTTACGGTTCAGGAGAACGTCTCAGAGGCAGGTAGTTTATAGAGACGTGCATATACAAGGAAATATGTTTATGCGGACGGCAAAAGAGAACGTTTTCTTTTTGGGGGGGTTCGGGGCGCAATACACAAAGTTCAAAGGTGAACTTGATTGGGGAGCACAGTACCTACTTGAGCAATGATTTAATAATACTACCAATAAAAAATATACAAAAATAAAACAGCAAAAACAATACAAAAAAAAAAATACAGTATTATTTTATCAATTAATTAGATTTATTTTAGCATCTTTCTTTCATTCCTGCTTCTGTAGAAAATAATTCATTACTCCGCTAAAAACAAAGATGTTAACACTGGCACACAGCTCAGTACTAGTAGTAGTAGTCGATAGATCTAGGTACTTGCATTTTCCGTGCACGCAAATACGAATTCAAAGTACCTCGGAGTGCGATCCCGGAAAAAAGAAACATCCCCGGATTTCTGTCTGGGGGGAAGCCAGAAGCGGCTCATCTAGCGCATAGTTGAAGGCCATAATTAACCGGTGTCGATGGCAAGCTACATCTCACGGCTTCTGCGTAAGATGATTGTTCATTCATCTTTTTTCTGATACAGGTTGATCGAGAAGGCGACAGGTCACCAATTGTTGCTTCTACTTCCTCGGCCAGTACCGCTTGTACATTTCGTCGGCTCTTTGTGGATTAGCAGTACATCACCAGTCCAAGTAAGCTCCTATATAAACCCCGCGGCTATCACATCATCAGAAAAAGAAAAAAAAAAGGAAGGGAAAAAGCTACCAAAAATACTGATTACTATAGTAGATGATTAAGAATTAAGAACTAAACATGTTCAATTTCTCATCTATTTTTGCCGCGTCTCGCACAAGACTGTTTGGCCCAGCTGATTCCATTCCGCGCTGAAAATCCCCCCTCAGTGACTCGAGTCGTTCTCCCGATACCAGCCGCAGCATCAAGTACCCAAACTCGGCAATTGTCCAAACCTAGGCCTAGTACTAGCAGCACCGAGGAATCCATGCTCACATCATCGTCGCTGTATTAAAAGCTGTTTAGCCTCACTCCTGCCCATCCTCTGACTTCATCTCTTCTTTTTTTTTCCTCCTGCTATACATCTCATCGCTCCTGCTCCATTTCCACTGCGTTTCGATCTTCTCTCATCCTCTAAGCTCCCCGCAGCTCGTCCACTGTGCGCCATAGCAGAAACATCAAATCCCATCAAAATGACCCAACGCGTCCACCGAGTCACCATGTTCAAGCTCCCCAAGAAGGAGGACCAGGAAAAGCTCCTAGCCCTCTACGAAACCGTCAGAGATACAAGCACAAAGGTGAAAAACCCTCACTTTCCGGTCCTTCCATCCAAGACCTCTCACACAGCCCATGAAAATGTCTCTCCAGCACAAAGCACACCACACCACACCACACCACATCACAGAGCAAACGGGCTAACTCGACCAAAACAGGATGGCAAGCCCTACATTCTCAGCATGGCCGTCGGCGCCTGTGAGCCCGACCAGCGTTCTCAGGGCTACGACTTCGCCGCCAAGTTTGAGTTTGCCAGCCTGGAGGACATGCGGTACTACGACGACGAGTGTCCCGCGCACCAGGCCCTCAAGGCGGCCGCTCGCAGCTTGGACGTCGGGGGACTGATGACAATCTACTTCAAGGAACTGCTCACGGGGGGCATCTGAGCCATTGAAAGACACCAGCAGTTACTTGGCTGCGAGACAGCTGAGGAGACGGGGCGAAAGGATAGCCAAAAGCTACTTACGGTTTCACCCACTTTATTCATGCTTGGAGCTGCATAAGCACTTGCACGGTAATATCTAGAATTTGCCCTTTTAAATTTTAGAACACAACACCTAAAAAACTAATGAAAAAAAAACTAATGAAAACTTTACATGTCAAGAGGCGGACGTCTTGATTACACCATCATTCATTGCATGATTATATTTCGGATACGTATCGATGAAGAACGCCCAAGTTATCAAATGCATGCAATACATTTTGCCAAGAAAAAATAAACAAGTTGCACTACACACATATGGAATAGAAGCACAAGGGGCAAACTGATTGCTTCTGCCACACGCCACACATCTTCGCATTACATCATCTTGACCTCCAGGTCCTACCACCGCCACGTCAAAAAGATGCCAAGGCAGAATAGCCACATGTAGCAATAGTAAATCGATAGAGGAAGTAAAAGAAGAGCAGCTTTGTCACTCTCACTCTTCTCCTCAATTATCCATTTCCAGCCAACAAATTCCACACCTCGCCATGGGCTCTCCCGACCCCTATCTCACTCCCCTCTCCAAGCTCCGCATCTCCAAACACCAGATCCCAGCTCACAACCTCATCCCCAACTCGTCCCTCCACTCAAAGCCCCTCATCATCTACCACTCCGCCTTTGTCCCTGCAGACGCCTCAGCGGACCGGATCGAATCGCACGTCTGCAAGATTGGCGTCGTCACCCCGCAATGGCGCTATACAATGTATGACACCACGCACTTCCACAGTACAACTCACGAGGTGCTGTGCGTCACGGCTGGCCGTGCGAGGCTCTGTTTTGGAGGCGAGCACAACCCTGGGCGTGTCGAGTCCGTTGTCGGCCGAGGAGACGTGATTGTAGTTCCTGCAGGCGTGGGCCACCGTCTCCTGGATGACATTGATCGCCATCCTTTTCTCATGGTTGGATGCTACCCCGATGGTGACAACTGGGACATGTGCTACGGCAGCCAAGACGAAGAGTCCAAAATAAGCAACATCAAAAATCTACCCTGGTTTAGCAAAGACCCCATCTACGGTGACCAAGGGCCTGTGTTGGATACGTGAATTATATTTGCAACACAGATCAACTGGCGTTGCCACTGAATGGTACTCAGCTTATACCAGAGAAGAGGGTGCAACTCGAAGACGCCTATTCTATATCCCTTTTATGCTCTCCAATGAGAGAGAAGTACATGGGAGAAATAAACTAAAATAAAAGACTTCATATCATACATTGACGTGACCGCTCGTCACCCAGGAAGCCAAAGCTGTAACACCAGACAACAAGCCCCAAATTGCAACCCCATGATCAAAATGTTTCGACAAAGAAGAAGAAAAAAACGAAACGAAACGAAAACAAGTAAAATAAAGTAAAAATACGCACATTGTGTAACAAGATATATCTTAAGGTAAGCAGAACGATGGGGAAGGAATTTCAGCATGTCAAGCTGATCATTCTTGCAAGGGTTGGACAGAAGAGGCAATGTGCGTCACACGAGTACGCCGCACTAACGAGATAAGCAACTGTAAATGTAGTGATCCAAATGGTTATGAGCCAGCTCATGCAGTCTGACGGGCATCGCCCATGCTAATCATTTCCGTCTCTGAGTCATTCCCACGCTTCGAAAATCGGCCTCCTTCTGATCTCGACCTTATTCTCGTTAGTGGCGCAGGGTGCCTTTCCAGGGTGAAAAAAGCGGCAATCACCATGGCTGAACAAACACAGGCCATGATTTTGATCTCCTCAGCATATGCCCCAGCATAGACGGTCTTAACTAGATCTCGCTGGTCGATGGGTAGTTGCAGTCCTGACAACGGCGATCGATGAAGGCTTTCAAGCTGTGGTTCGGTCAAGTGTCCTTCTAGATATCGGTTAACGTGAATATTAAATATGACCGTGCAGATGGAAAGCCCTATGCTGCCCCCCAACACTCGGGCCTGAGCAATGGCACCCTGTGCGGTAGCCTTCTCGCTTGACTCGGCAGTAGAGATGCTCGTCATGATGGTCGTTGCAGAAAAGCATAGGCCAACTCCTAATCCGAACAATGCCTGATACGCGTACTGAGACGGCTTTGTACTGTTTTCCCTTGACTGTGTTGTCATCAGTCCAAGCCCTAGAAGTTGGAGACAGGATGACCCAATGAGCGTGTATGAAGTGTTATTCTGCCGGTTAGATATTGCTCCGCCCAGAAAGGATCCGATCGCGCAGGCACAAAGAAGTGGGAACAGGTGAATGCCGGCTATGAGAGCATTGTCACCATTGACAATTTGGAAACGCTCCGGTATAACAATTGTGAGAGAGATGTATGAAAATCCCGTGAGAAGAGTAAGTCTGCATCACCATGTTAAGACTTGTTCAGGGGGTACACGAGAACGGGGCTCTTACATGAGACCTGAAGCATAGACCCTATTCAACATTAAGCGAATTGGAAATATCGGCTCAATATGACGATGCCTCTTCGAATCTAGAATCACCTCCCAGCATATGAATGCAATGCAGCTTAAGCCAGATATGATAAAGGCCAAGATGATGATCGGATGAGACCATGCAAATGTCTGAGAGCCAGCCTGTTGAATAGCAAACACAAGCAGAGATGAGCTACAAAGCAGAGTAGCGCCACCGAAAAAGTCTATGCTGGTAAAAGCCCCCCAGGAGAGCAGATGGGAGACCTCTTCCTGAGGCCAAAAGCTTGTAATGGCGAGGATAGATACCAGTCCAAAGGGGATGCTGCGGTAACGAACAGAAACAGCAAGTTAGCTCAGGTGAAGGTGAGTTTAAATGCTGCTGAACTCACTTGAGGTTGAAGAGCCACCTCCAGTCAGATAGCCTTGAAATCAGGCCTCCAAGAAGAGGGCCAAGAATAAAGGCAATAGCAAGCGTTGCTCCGATCAAGGCTCCGATCAGGCTAGGGCGGTGGACAGGGCCGACTTCGACAAGGGCTATTTGCGTTAAACTGTATAACCCCGATGCTCCTATGCCTTGAAATGCACGACACACGATGCTAAGAGTCTTGTGTCACTATCTCCTTTCTTTTTTTGCGGTGGAGGAAGCGCCAGTCAAGAAAATACGTACAGTGCAGTCATATCTTTAGCGTTGGCACAGCCCAAGGAAAATCCAGAGAAAATGACCCAGCAAAGAGCCAGAATGTTCTTCCGTCCATATATATCGCTCATCTTCGAAATACAGACGGCGAATCCTAATAAAGCTTGTTAGAGTGGACTGCTTTCTCTCGGCCTGGCAGCATGATTCGAACCCATATATGTCAACAGATACGCCAATATGATCCACGGCGCATTGACAAAATCGCCCAGGTCATTCGATATTGTGACCAGAGACGTAGATACGATCGACGTATCGAGAGTCGAGATCAAAAGACCGTTGAGTAGCCTGTCACCGTTAGAATTGGAGTATAGATGAGAGATGAGCCATACGTTACGACCAAGACCACCTGTTGCAAGCCCTTGACCTGCTGCGAGCCTCCATAGCCAAATTTTGAGCGAGAAGCCTCGTCATCTATAGAGTTGGATGTTTGTGATCCTGTCCCCATCTGGCCCAGAGATGGGTTCGGATAAGAGAGCGACACACGATACTCTGCTGCCATGGTTTCGAGAAGTGCCTGCTTTCTCTCGATTTCCGGCGATCGATTCCTTGCAAAGGGAGAGGGGATAAAGACAGTCAAGAATGGGGAGCTTTTACGGTTTAAAATCCTGGCCGTTGACAGCTATTCTGCAAGAGGAGAAAAGAGCCAAGCGAGATGATTTCGGTGAATTTTGGTGGTAGAGCGGCTCGGGGCTATCGCTGCACGGCTGATAAGCTGCAAGGAAGGAGCTGCCCACGCCACGATTTCAGGGTAATATGAGACAAAACGCGACTTGGCCGTGGAACTATCGATATCAAAGTTTTCTCAGCGCTAAAAACGAATCTTGGGCCGCAAACTGTCCACGGATCAGACTTCGATTTGCATTGATTACTCCCATGATAGACCACGCGCAGCCATGGCGGTCCTGGGACAGAGAAAGCCGTGGGAGCCGAAGTCAGACATAGTCGTGCTGAGACAGGTCGGCGAGTCGGGGCGATGGACGACGGCCTCTGCTGCAGAAGAGGGCTCTCAGCGAATATGTATCCGAAACATTTCTGGCCTCGGTTGCACCTGTGCGGCTCATGGAGCTCTACGCACGTTACCCGTGTCCTACGGCAGAGGCGTACCAAGATGGCTGGCATGAGGGTGTGCATACGCTGATGGATGGGATCTATTCTGGGTGCCATTGCAGCGGCTATACGCCATGCGGTTGGTTTGTTGGGATGCTTCGAGCCTTCTCGCGCTCTGCGCTCAACGAACAGCATTATACGAGCAGATGACTCTGGGAGCGGACGGGTTGACGGATACCGGGAACGGCTATTGACTTGAGTGACACCGTCGTTATGGCCCTGGGACAAATTCCTTCATCTCGGCTTTTCTGGTATATGTCGCGATGTTATACCGCTAGAGAAATGGCAAGTGCGCAGGCAGCATCGAAACTTGGCTGGTTTTTGACGCCCGGCACCGAGCCGTTCGTTTGCAATCGGGTTACACCTCATCTGCTTTCAGCCAGTCAGGCGTATGAGACGTGAGAGCACTTGGGTAAGCAAGTAGCGATCGACTACTGGATGAGTCTGTGGTACGCGGGTCGACGTTTCATCGTACGAGGATCTGGACCAGCATACGACCGCTTAAGCCGCATCGCAAGAGATCTGGCGGCTGAGAGGGACAAGATACCGCATCCAACCGATGGTATTAAGGGACAAGAGAACTTCTCGGCTCGTCAGCCAACATGTAGTCCGTTTGTTCCTCTAATCTTCCCCTGGCTCCTGGGTATTATATCAGGAGAAACCCCTCATGAAACTGGCTAACTGGCCTTGATAGAATATTGCCGCAGGGAGAGAATCAAGTGATTATCAGAAATCAACAGTGACCTACTAGAGCACCGATCCAAAGACGCCATTAGATACTCTCTCGGCTTAGCCGTTCCTGTGTCACCAGGTCACGGGAGCTAGGAAAGCAGTCGAATCACAGTATAGTCCGTGATTCTCTGGTAGATTTAACTTGGACGAGCATAGTCTTCAACCTTTCAATCCATTGGTGCACCCCCTGAATCTGACCAGGCAGCAGCGGACAATGCTGCCTCAAGTATCGGTCGAAGGGAGCAGCTTCAAGCACTGTACTCAGCAGCCGGGTAGACTACAAAGGCGCGGTTAATCGAATGCCCTCGTTTTTAAAAGACGAAAAGCCGGAATGGAAGCCGGAATGCCACATATGCAACTCTATAAGAGATGCTGTCTATATCCGATGGTGGAGCTCGCAGACGCTGAAGATACATGGTTTCTATATTCATCTGAGCAACCGGCTCCACGGCTACGGGCCCTGCAAACCATCATCTGAGGAGCACTGAACGGGGAGCTGCGCAATCGATGCTTGATTCCGTAGCTAAATCGAGCTTCGATTCAATCTTGGAGCGCTCTAGCTTCGGTGCTATTTCACGCTGACCGCCCACTACATCCTTTCATCAGTGTTCATCCGACAATACAACATCATATGCTTGACTGCGTGCCGCAAATGTTCCGCAAGGGCGTCGTATTCAACGCGCTCCTTTGAACAATCTAACTTTCTTTTTGTACTCCAGTCATATTAATACAGCCTTTCGTGGAAGCTTTTTATCTAGTTGAGGAATCAAATTTGTCACCTGGGGCGCTCATCTCGAAGTCATATCTCAGGTCGAAATATCTATTGTCGTGCGAAATTCAAAACCCGCTCTTATTTTCAGCTTTGTACTGTTGATTCAGCGCAAGCCAAGCCATCTATCCACGCTATTGTGCTCCCTGTTTCTCTTTTGCCCCTTATTGAGATGTCCCAGCGGTGGGATTTCAACTTATCACACGGCAACATTGGTCAACTAGTACGCAGGCCAAATGCCTGTACCCGAACCATCTTCTACCGTCGACTTACCAAACCTTTTGACCGCAACTTCTCTAGGCGCGTGGACGCCACCAAGCCCTAGGGTTAGCTGCACTGTTGAGCAAAGTCGGCATGGATATGGTTCGTCTCTAAGTGAAGCCAGCCATATGCGGTGTTGCGATTGAAGGTCAGGGGCTACCCAAGTCAGGTATTCCCTTTGAACTCTAAGATGCTCTCAAGTATATGATTCTTATGAATTGATCATGGCGATTAACTATTGAATTATATCCGACAGAAATTGAGAGCATCCCCGCAATTGCTTGAGACGCACCTCTTAACAAGGATGGATGGATGGTATACCAGCTGTCACTCTGAAGGGCTTTTCACAAGACTATCTGAGAAATATTCCGAGTCATTACAAATACAGCTGCTCTTTTCAGCCTTCCATGTCAAGGCAACTTTCCCTATTGGCCGATTGAATACCCCAGACGCAAACTTTCGGGATCACTTCGTTCCTTTCGGCAATTCCTGCGAGCTTCTTGCAGAAAACTTGATACTGGGCGGAGCGTGACGCATGAGCTTAATCAAAGCTGATGAGATCAGCTCTGTAGCCATTCCTTTCGTCTGTTCTTAGCGCCCCGACACTACTACCTGTTCCACATGTAGGAGCATGGGCCTGCTTCCTGCAGGATCCCAACCAACACCACCAATTGTCTCATGGGGCATCGACACCTTCACAACTCTTGTCCCTGTGACGGCCCGTTTCCAGATTAGGAGCTACGCCCCCTGGTCAAGTCGGCGGCCTGTGCAGATAAGGCTAAAGCTAACAACTCAGATGCCTCCACGCCTATTCGTCACGGCACGGTTGTTTGCCGCCATTCAATTTGCTGTTTGCAGCATGGCTCAGGGTTTTCAATCAATTCTCTGGGGGCAAACTTTACAAGCTCCTATTCTCTTTGAACAGCGTCTTTTGCAATATCACCAACGCCATCATAAAGGGAAAAGATACATAAGCTAAGATTTACATTGCGAAGTGTTGGTACTTGGCCAACACGGAACTGTGATTCAGTGACGCAAGCTTTGTAAACCAAATTTTGAGAATCTCTGCTTAGAGTATAAATTCTCTCAATGGACCCCTTATTGAATACTTCTTACCTATTGTCCGCTATAAATCCTTCAGGACTTGTTCTATTGTATAGTTTTCACTGCCAGGTGCGAAAGCAAGCTCATTTCTGCCGCTGCATCTCTTCTCAACACAATTCTCGTAAACTCTTATACACATACGCAAAAAGACGAATCAGTGTCTTGACATACGGATAGTCGATTACATACAAGCTATCCATTCCATCCACCAGCATGGATGACATTGCTATTGTTGGTCTTGCACTGCGATTCCCAGGCGATGCAACTTCCCCGCAAAGGCTGTGGGATGTGCTGGAGCGAAAGGAATCGCAGTGGTCGGAATTCCCTAAAGACCGTTTCAATATTGATGGCTTTTATCACCCAAACAGTCAGAGGTTGGGAAGTGTATGCTTCTACTTGGCTTCTTCGAGTTGTCATTGAATGCTCTACTGACCCTATGGCAGATCTCATTCAGGGGAGCGCATTTCTTAAAAGAAGATGTCAGTGCATTTGATGCTCCGGTAAGAATGCAACAATCATCCAATACTTTTAGCACCGGTCACATACTCACGGATGGAAACAAGTTCTTCTCGATCCCAACGGAAGAAGCGAACGCAGTCGACCCCCAGCAGCGGATGCTCCTTGAGATTTCCTACGAAGCTCTCGAAAATGGTGTGCATGATCCAAAGTCAAGCCCGCCACCACATGAAAAGCGAAAGCTAACATGGCTCCTGTCCTTAAGCTGGCATTCGAAAAGAAGATATTGATGGTACCAATGCTGCAGTGTACGTGGGGTCATTTGTCAAAGGTAAGCAAGCATCACACATTTCGCAATCTGAGCGGCGTTGAAGGATAATGATGTTAACGACATTGAACCATCAGACTACGAATACATCAGCCTCCGTGACCCGAATTGGACACCACGATATGCCGCAACAGGAAATGGAACTGCAATCATGTCAAATCGCATATCCTACTCCTTCAACTTACACGGCCCCAGTATGACTGTCGACACTGGCTGCAGCTCAAGTCTCGTTGCAGTTCATTTGGCTGCGCAGAGCCTTCGAACAGGAGAGGCGTCCCTAGTAAGACCGATTGCGTTTAGACACTACTGCTCCAGATCTGACTTGTATACTAGGCTCTGGCTGCTGGAGCAGGCATGATACTGACTCCTGAGACAATGCTTCCGATGACAGCGCTGAGCTTGCTAAGCCCAGACGGGAAATGTTTCACATTTGATTCTCGAGCAAATGGCTATGGCCGAGGCGAGGGCGTTGGAGTTGTAGTCATGAAGCGTCTGTCAGATGCCGTCCGTGACAACGACACCATCCATGCTGTCATGCGGGCCAGTTCTGTAAACCAAGACGGGCGCACCAAAGGTGTGTTTATAAGAGCTTATTACCACTGTCTTCTCTAAGGAAATGAAGGTATTAATGAGTTACTAGGTATTACTTTTCCCAACGGAGATGCTCAGCTTGCCAATATCCGTGCGGTCTATGCTTCAGCTGGCCTGGATTTGAATCAGACTGGCTACATCGAGTGCCACGGCACAGGAACGCAGGCAGGCGACTGTCAAGAACTCCAAGCCATCTCCAAAACTATTGCTTCTGTCCGCTCTGCTGACAATCCGATAATTGTCGGTTCGGTGAAGACGAATATCGGCCATCTTGAAGGCGCAGCCGGCATTGCGGGCTTGATCAAGGGAATATTGACTTTGGAACATGGCCGCATACCTCCAAACATCAATTTTGAAAAGGGAAATCCTAATATCGACTTTGAGAAGTGGAAAGTCAAGGTACTTACAATCTTTGCACCCAATAACATACGAATATGTTTCATTACTAAGTCAAGTCAAGGTCCCGTTAGAAATGCTCGATTGGCCTATCCCTGGCATTCGTCGTGTAAGCGTCAATTCTTTTGGCTTTGGTGGCTCCAATGCCCATGTCATCATAGATGAAGCTCCCGGCTATCTTTCGGAGAAAAGGCTAAAGGCAAACCACTCATCTATGGACATTGCATCCTTGGGGCACTATAGAGGTTCGGACAAGGAACGGCACGAAGTCCGACTGTATTGTTACTCAGCAAGTGACAAACCAGGTGTGTCTCGTGTCATGGATTCACACATCCCGGTTCTTGACTCGATCCAGCAAGACACTGAAGATTACTTGCTCAACTACTCATACACCCTCGGTTGTCGTCGATCAAGTCTTGAATGGAAGGGATACGTTGTGGCGGCATCTATGGCGGAACTTGTAAACAAGATGCGAGATTTTGATGCTACTTGTGCGACTCGTTCGTCGTTGAAGAAACAGCCTAAGCTAGGCTTTGTCTTTTGCGGCCAGGGTGCCCAGTGGGCACAGATGGGTAAAGATCTCTTGTCATTCAACACATACGCTACCAGTCTCCGGGAGGCCAGTTGCTTCTTACAGATTGCCCTCGGTTCCCGATTTGACCTTTTTAAAGAAATCTTTAGAGGGGCAGATAGCACACACATATCTGATCCTGAGATCTCACAGCCTGCAACAACAGCTCTTCAGATTGCTCTTGTTGATCTATTTCGGTCTTTTGACGTTCAGCCCAGTTATGTGTTTGGTCACTCTTCGGGCGAGATTGCCGCTGCCTATGCCTCTGGGGCTATTTCGAGATATGACGCATGGAAGATTGCCTATTACCGTGGACTTGCTGCGGCCAGCCTTCCGGTCAGAGCTCCAAAACTCATAGGAGGCATGATGGTGGTTGGAATGTCGACTGAAGAAGCATCAGCATATCTCGCCAAAGTTAATAAGTCTGCGCAAGTTGCCTGCGTTAACAGTCCCCGATCAGTCACGATTTCCGGCCAAGCTGATGCCATTGAGAGTATCGCGAGCGACTTGCGCCAGAAGAACATCTTCACCAAGGTTCTTAACGTTAAAGTTGCTTACCACTCATCTCACATGAAGCTTATCGAGCACGATTATGCTGATTTTCTTGACGACATCGTCGCTAACAAGTGTTTTGAGGGTGTCAAAATGATATCTTCTGTAACGGGCAAACAGGTTACAGGCAGTGAGCTAAATGCTCGGTACTGGGCAGACAACATGGTCTCTCCTGTTCAATACGTTGCAGCCGTTCAGTCGCTAATGAGTGTCCCAGCGGATATCCGTCCAGACATATTGATAGAGCTTAGTCCCGCTGCAGCCCTTCGATCGCCCACGGCTGATATCCTCGGAACTATTAGTGGTGCTTCGAACCTTAGCTACCACTCAGCTCTTGAACGAAAGCAAAACGGAAGAGTGACACTGCTCAGCCTCCTTGGCTCTTTGTGGTCCAGAGGATATCCTATTAACATGAAAAATGTTGTTACAAAGGGCTACCAACAGGCTTCTTTAAGATGTCTCTCAAATTTACCCTCATACTCGTGGAATCACAGCAAGAAATACTGGCATGAGGCCGAACTGAGTCTTGAGAGCCGTATGAGAGAGTACCCTCGAATGGACCTTATTGGAGCCAGGGTCATAGATTCTATTACGCCTTTTGAACCAAGGTGGCGTGGGTTCTTGCGTATCTCGGAAAATCCCTGGATTCGAGACCATCAAGTGCAAAAGACCGTTATCTACCCGGCCTCAGGCATGATTGCAATGGTCTTAGAGGGGGCAAAACAATTGGCTCAGGATACACAAAATCTTCTAGGCTACGAACTTGTAGATATGAAGATTGAGAAAGCCTTGACCGTCCCCGATACGGCCTATGGTTTGGAAGTATCTCTCAACATCAAGGACGATCCAACAAGTGTAGTCGGCAATGGCGAGATTGGCGGAAAGTCGTTTGCAATTTACTCCAGGCCTCAGGGTCGACCCTGGGACCGACACGCCAGCGGAAGTTTGCGTTTTCACTACAAGGTTGGAAACTGGCAGACTGCTTTTCAATCCTACGAGGAGCGTCAAAGTGTCATGAGTGACGTGTGCAAAGAATCGAGAATTCCACGCCAGCTTTACGAGCATCTTGACTCCATCGGAATGAACTACGGGCCTCTATTTCAAAATATTGTCGAAATTCGCAGAAACGGCAATCAGTGTGTGGCCAGGATCAAAATTCCGGATACCAAATCCAAGATGCCTTGCAAGTTTGAGTATCCACACCTCATCCATCCGACTACTTTGGACTCAATGATTCATACTCTGTTGGCAGTCCAGTCACTTCCCATGGTCCCGGTTTTCGTCAAGAGCCTTTTTGTAACAGCAAACTTGGGTGATGCGCAATCCGGCGAATGCTTCACTGGCTATTCTACAGCCAATGTGACTGGCGTTCGAAACGCAGAAGCAACTATATTCATGAAGCAGACGCAGAAAGATCAATCCTACGTCGTCATCGAAGGGCTACGCTTTGTCGCCCTGGATACCCCATCAGTTGATGAAGGAGGCTTCCTATCCACCAACCGTAATCTCTGCAGCGAGATCTTCTGGAACGAGGATGCAACTTTTGCTCGGCCCAGGTCATATGTCGAGCAAGTCTCTCTTCTAGCTCACAAATACGCAGGATTATCAATCCTTCAGATAGGCGGTGGCTATCATTTGTCGCAAGCGACTCTCAAAGCCATCAGTCCGGGGCAAGACATGGTCCCTCAGCTTTTGAGATACACGATCGTTGGGGCAGAAGGAGATGATGCTGCGTCTCAGCTGCTCGCCTCTGTTGAAGATACCCCGCTGCAGCCGTTCATTGAGAAGATATCCGATATTTCAAGCATCAGAAACGACTACCATTTGATTGTAGCCTGCGACAATACTAGGCTTGCTACCGATACCTTGAAAGCGTACCTAAAAGATGGCGGCTTGCTGTTGACGCGAGATTTTGTCATGGAAGAATCGCATGAAATGGAGACATGTGATACCAGGCGTACATTCGGCGGCAAAACAATAGAACATGACACAAGCAATGATGAATCGCTAATCCACCACAGCGGGAGCGAAGACGAGATCATCTTTAAGGTTTATAGGAGCAACAAATCACCGCCCTTAACAAGACCTGTCGTTATTCTCATTCCACGGGAGATGAGCTTGGAGGTAAAAAGCTTTACTGATTCTATCAAAGGCCTTGAAGAAGCTAATGAGCTCTCTTTCGGTGTCTCTATCACCAGTTTCAGTAAAGCATTAGAAGATCCAGCTACTCTCACAGGCAACGTGGTTATTTCGCTGCTTGAATTCTCAGGCTCTCCTCAGTCTGAAGATTATTCCGTATTCGACTGGAAACAAAAAGACTTTGACAATTTCCATTTGCTGCAGATTCATGCTAGAAGCATGCTCTGGATTACTCGGGGGGCTCAGATGAGCTGCAGGAATCCTCGCGGATCGCCCATTATCGGACTTTTCAGGACTCTCATTTCTGAGGACTCTCTGAAGTCGTTGGCTACTTTCGACTTGGCAGAGGAATCGAAGCTTGGGGATGCCGCCGTTGTGAAGAGTGTATTGCGTCTTCTTGATGTAGCCTTCGACTCCAGATCGTCATCCGTACAGGACACAGAGTTTGCCGAGAGTGACGGGAAAATCTTTATCCCTCGTCTTACTACAGTTCGGCCTATCAACCGTGTCATTGAGGATGAAATTTTATCTTCGAGATTCTCTCAAAGGCCGTTCGCCCTCGGCCCAAGACTTGAGCTTACAATTAACAATCCTAGCATTGGCGAGGATAGTTTATTTTTCGCTGAGTCTGAGCTACAAGATTTGAAACCGGATGAGGTTGAGATTGCTGTCAAAGAGATGCCCCTGACTTTCGCGGATCTCGAAATCGCTCTTGGGAGGGCCAAAGAGTCGAGTATAGGGGTAGACGTCAGGGGCCAGATTACTCGAGTTGGCAGTGAGGTCAAGGGATTGTCTCCAGGCGATAATGTAGTTGCCCTGGCTCCTGACGGCGCAATTCAGAACTTCTTGAGAGTCAAGTCGCAGTTCGTCAAATGTGTCGACGCTGATATTATCCCAAGCTTCCTTATCAGCGCCTATTTTGCCCTCGTTCATGTCGGAAGAATTAAGAGAGGCCGCAAAGTACTGATCCATGCCGGTGCCAGTGCCATTGGGCTCGTTGCAGTGGATTTAGCTGTTGCCATTGGCGCTGAAGTCTTTGCTACCACTGTTGGCCCAGACGTCGAGCGACAGCGAGAGATTTTGGAACGACATGGGGTACCGGAAGATCATGTCCTCGAAGTCAATTCTGGACTTTTCGTCACTAATCTGCTAGGGGCTACTGATGGCAATGGTGTGGACTGCGTCTTTATTCCGACCATGGAAGCGTTTGACGCACAGTTTGACTGTGTTCGAAGATGTAAGTCATGATAGTTATGCTTTACGGTTGTCTAATTAACTAACTTGATTTATAGGCGGCAGCATTGTTCGACTCGCCAACAAGTCTATGGCTCCCACTTCGAGTCGTATGCTACCAACATCAGCGACTGTTGTTAACTGGGATCTTCGTCAGTTTCTCGAGGAAGACTCAGCATTTGTGGCGGAGCTTTTTGACTTGGCGACCCAGTTCGTTAAGAGCGTTGGTTTCAAGCCTTCCTTGTCCACCGAGCTCAAGCAGCCATTTGATATTGGTGCTTTGACAGATGGTCTATTGTGTCTTCAGCAGACACCATATACTGGCTTTATTTCGCTGACTATGGCCGAAAACAACTCAAGCACCGTTTCTGTGTTGAACAAAGATGCGACAAAATCTCTCCAAGAGTCTCTCGATCCCGAAGGGACATATGTATTGGCTGGTGGTCTTGGAGGTCTTGGAAAGAGCATATCTGAGTTGCTTGTAAGCAACGGTGCGAGGCACTTGGCATTCCTTTCGAGATCCGGTGCATCGTCGGGTGCCTCAAAGGCGTTCGTCGAGAACCTTGGGCTCAAGGGAGTTGATGCGCGAGCCTATGCCGTGGATATCTGCGACGGAGCTTCTTTGAACAACTTTGTCAAAAAGACTCTTGCTTCGGAGATGCCACCTATCAAGGGTGTGTTTGTGTGCGCTGCTGTACTCAGGGATTCAGTCTTTGACAACATGACATTTGATGATTGGAATGAGGCCATCAAGCCAAAGACACACGGCTCGTGGAATCTATATCATTCAATGTCTGCTGCTGGGCACGACCCCTTTTACATCCTCCTCGCCAGCTCATCCGGCGTTATCGGCAACCGTGGCCAGGCCAACTATGCTGCGGGCAACAGTTTCCAAGACTCATTTGCAAGGTATTTACGACAGCAAGGGAAGCATGCTGTGGCCATTGACCTTGGCCCAGTCCTGGGAGCCGGGATGCTGGCCGAAAACGAAGAGATCTTGAATACCTTGCGCTCCAATGGCTTCTTTGGCATCCAGCACGAGGACTTCCTCACGGTTGTCAAGCATGCCATTACTGGAGAGATGGCGCCAGGAGTGCCTGTTCCTCCTCAGATAACTGTGGCGGTTGGCACAGGAGGTATTAATGCGCAGATTAACACCCCGGATCCTTACTGGACTCGCACAGCGCTGTATTCATATCTCAACTTGGTTGATATCCCTCCACCAAATCTACACGATGGCAACGGCGGAGCAAGCAGAGACATGAAGTCTATGCTGGCAACTGCTGCGAGCATCGAAGAAGCAGCGTTTATTATCCGCACCGGTATATCTGTCATGCTGGGCAAGGCGATGAACATGCTGCCCTCCGAGATTGATATGAATCAGTCGCTGAATGCGTATGGCGTTGACTCCCTCGTAGCCGTCACGTTTCGAAACTGGATCTTGAATAACTACGGCGTGCAGCTGTCTGTGTTTGACATTCTCGGTGAGGCGCCCATGGTGGAAATGGCGAATACGATTGCGGAAAAGGGAGGGTATGGAGGAGTCAAGACGGAGTGAAGCTGGGAAGAGATTAAGAGAAGATGAGAGAGACGCAGGATAATGATTATGAAGGTTGATGGATGTTTTTGTTGTTTAGGTTTGCTGTTAGTTAGTTGTCTCCATGAAAAGTTTCCTGGGAAGAGAATGAATCAAGTCTGATCTGAACCCGATAAATGAAACAAATTGTGCCAGTTTTATTGCAAATGACATTAATGAATGCAAGAAAAAAGAACAAAGAAAAAAAGAAATGCGCTGCGTAATCTGGGAATCGAACCCAGGGCTCCCCGACGTTGCTCGGATGGCAACGGAGAATTTTACCACTAAACCAATTACGCGTGTTTCTTGTTGAAAGATTGGAGCCTTATTGTAAAATATGAACATTTTGGAAAAACCATCTTCTTGCTTCCTGCCAATTGCCCATTGCCCATTGCCCATAATTTGCATCGTATACTTGCGCCTTGTGCCTTCAAATTGTCCAAGACCCTACTCGTCCCATACTGCCTCTATAACGCTCATTTTACAATTTTCGACTCTCAGGACACCCTATTAGCATGTTAGTGAATGATTACAACCCAAGAGAAAAAAAATTAATGTCAGAGAGGAAGAGGGGAGAAAGATTGTCACTCGACATACCTTGAAGTGAAACCTAGGGTCGGCAGCCTTGAACAGATCGCGGAATTCCTGCTCGTCTCGCTCTTGCGAGTTGAAGAGAACTCCCATAATCATATCCAGGCTTCTCAGAAGCTTATCATCCCACAAAGTCTCTGACCCCGGCTCTCGGATGCAGTAATCGTTGATGACGATGCGGGACCCTGGCTTGAGTGCAGGAATGAGGCTTTTGAGGATTTTAACAGCATACGGCGTAGAATAGTTGTGAAGAATCCAGCGGAAGTAATAGACTAACATGGTTTTTTAGCACTCTGTTAGCTTTTGCACGCGACAGAGTATCGCCCCGAGTAAATCAGGGAACAAAGGGATCGGCTTACCGTCTGCGCCTTTGACAGGCTGCTCTTTGAAGAAGTCGTGGACTTGAAAAGAGAGTCTTTCTGCCACTGATGGGTCCTCAGAGACGGGCTTTGGGGCAGAATCCACCATCTCTTGCCTGTCCTGCACTATAAAGTTGATCTTCTTCCACTTCTTTGCCAAAGCGTCCGATACAAAGCCATGACTGCCGCCAATATCCACAAATGTGCCCCCACGCGCATCAACGTCTGAAAAGTCATAATTGTCCACCAGGTGGCTGACTTCATAGCCCTCTCCGTGTGTGAAGCTTACCATGGCGCGGGCAAAGCGGTCGGATTCAATGGGCCTCTTGGCAAGAGTCGCATACATGGGCTCTTTGCCTACTGTGTCGAAAGCATAGTTGAACCCTGCATGAGTTGGCTCGGTGGCCTCAGGGTGCCCCTTCAACGCGTCTGGCACCTTGGCAGCGGCAGGGAAACAGCTGTCTGAGTTGAAGCCAACCCAGGCTTGAAGCGAAGAGTCTTGGGCCAGAACACGAGAATTGGCGGTGTGCGCAATATAGCCCGGAGATGGCTCGTGGAACATGTAGTTTGTAATAGCATAGCGTAGAGTACGAGCAAGAAAGATGGGTTCCAGTGTGGTCTTGGATTGAAGCTCTTTTAACGAAATAGGGCGGTCCAATGGGACGAGCTTAGCTATATGATGTTAGTCGTGCCTCAATACCAAGGGTGCATTGCCTTACCAAGCTGATAGCTGTTGATAAGTTGCAGACTCAAGCTGTCCAGATACTATCAAATCGAGTCAGCACAGCAAAACGCAATGGGGTGAGCAAATCTGCAACTGACACTCCATGCACCAAATCTCACACTCTCTCGAGGGCCCCTGACGAGATTCGCAAGCTCATTAGTGGCGAAAACAATCTTCTGGCGGCTCTCCTGAATTTCGTCGGGCAAGTGGGGGAAATCGAGAGGAGCGTCTACATGAAAACTCGGTTGAGCGATGCCGTTTTCTTTGAGATAAGTTTCCAGCTTTTCTGTCTCAACGCGGATAATTTCGGCGAGCACTCCCATGCGAGGCTCTTGGGAGGTTGCCGCGCTGGTTGTGTGCTGATCAGCAGCAGCCTTGGCCGAACCATTACGTTCGTTAGACGGGATGCTGAGTTTTGCCATGATAGTTGACGGTTGGAGTTACTGTGAGGAGACAGAGTTAGAGAGAAGAGATACTGAAGGAGGACTTGTATGGGCTGAAGGTAAGATGGGAAAGTTTATAGCAAGATGTGTTTTAGATAATGAGACAAATCAGGATGGCTTCAACCTGAGAGATGTGAAGGGATATTAAAGTCATATCACGCTGGTGATGGCTCCTCGTCCTTGTGTGGGCCTGTTCTAATCAACTTCGGAATTGGTGTCGTATGCTCCGATGCGCGCCTCGGAATGTGAACTTGCAACGGTCCAATACCCACTCCGATCTGCGAATTTGCGGAAGAACTGAATTTGCCGCCAAACGGGTGTAGTTTGCGGCAAATCAAGGCAGTAAGCTCTGCATTGTGCGAAGGATGGGCTGTTGACGGCCTGCTCAATGAGAAGCACGCTGTTGGTCCTCCAGTCGTCAAGATGGAGCGCCCGAAGAGGCCGAAATTCCGAACTGCGGCTCCAACGCCTATTTACTCAAAGGAGAAATTGAGAGTTTCTTACCTTGTTCTAATACTGCTTATCAAGTAATGCACGCTTCAGGTCTCATTGGTTTGTCTGGGGAGGAGTAAGCTGAGAAGTAGCGGAGTATAAGCCAGAGTCTCTAAGAGCAACGGATCATGCGTCTGCGGCAGCCTCGCAGGTTAAGAGACTGTGGCGGCATATGTGTGAAGATTGGGGGACCCTTCCAATACTGGCTGCGTCCGAGTAGTGGTACAAGAGATTGACAGCACATCACAATAACTTTTTGTGTATTGCTTCAACTGATGCTACAACACGCCGCAAACAGATCGATCCACTTCTTCCCATCCATGTCATGCATAGAGAGACCAGGATCAGGGAGCCAGACGAAGTGGCGGCCACAATTGAGCAGCATAATTGACGCAGCGGCTTTGGGGGGCTGCGTAATCCAGCAGGAAGAAAAAGATGGTGTTGCAAGGGTTGATAGAAAGACCGGCAATGGGCTTTGGAAAGATGAGAAAGCTTGTACAGTATACTTACCAGCGGTTCTGCGTTATGCTTGGAGCTGAGCGGGTTTCTTCGGCGCCAGAGTTGGAAAAAGGTCTGTCGATGCCCTGCTGTGTGAGGGGAAACAAGAGCAACTGATGTGTCGTATTTCCGCCTTTGTCGTTCTTCTGCTTTCTTCGAGCCGTGCTCCAGGAAAATGCTTTGATGTCTCTAGACAGTAAGAAATCTTGTCTTGCTAGAGTCGTTGTCTGTTCTGTTGTCACGTCAAGCAACTAAGGAGACACAACGCAACGATGGAAGACTGAGTTTTTGGTCATACACAGCCCGTATTCCAGGAAAGAAAAAAGAGAAAGACGGAGAGGAAGAGAACTGATGGCGAGAAGAAGAGAAGAAGCGAGCGAGAAAAGAGGCCAGTTGTAACCCCATCGTCCAAGACACCCAGACTCACTGCAATCAAACTAGACCAAGCCCCCGAAATGGCCTCCGCATGCTCGCCGTCTTTCTGGCCCGAGTATGTAAGCCCGGGACGATCTTAGAAGCTAAAGAGAACCCTTGTCGTGCATCCCATCCTCTCCGGCGACCCGCGGCGGGCTAAAATGGGTTCAATCTTCGGGTTTGTATACGCGGTTTACATCGAAGTAGTGGCAGTCGGAGCAGTAGCACAAGTACATGTACCCTACTTACCTTTTAGAACACCAAGAACTGTGTACAGGTACAACTTTGTACCCTATTACCATTGCCAGTAATATTAAGGCATTGGTCTCCAGCCATCTTTGGCGTATCATTCCGAATTGGTTTCCGCTCGGTTGGATCGTAACCCTTGCAAGAGGAGAGATCCACCGCTACTGACTGAATATTGGTGCACGCCTTCGGAAGCTTCCGTTTCCGTTCCGAGAAACATCAAACAGAGTCACGCTTATCAGACCATTACAAATTGCAAATCATGGCAGTTCCGATGGTAATTGGGGGTGGAGCTATTGATGTAGCAGAGGTATTCCACAAGTTGCGTTACTTGCAATTATAGTGGCAGTTTGTAATAACAAGAGGCAGCTGAAGGATTCACGTTGCCGGGATGTCTCTGTCTCTCCACAAACCGACCCATTTAGCGGCAAGCCATGGTCCCCGTAGCGGGCAGTAGTGCTGTAATCCCTAGGTCCGGACCGTAGCGCCGCCGCCGTCCTCAGACGTTTAATTTTCGCTCCCGCTATCAATCAAATAGTCTAGTTGTCTACATAGTATCTCGCACATCTATAACGAGCGCAGCTAAGCAGACCAACTACAAGTACTAGCATCACAAGAACGACTTAGAAGGAGCTCTACCGGTAAGTAGTTACATGAACTAGCACAACTGTCAATATGATAAAAGACGCCCCAACGCCGAAAAGATGGCCATGGCCATGTGGCACGGCAGAGCATCTCATCTCATGCCATCATAAGTGCTCAAAATCCCACCCGTTTTTCCAAGTTTTCAAGAGCCCCCTTGCGTCCGCATCGCCGACTACCTCTCCCAGATACCAGGAAACTCCCAGAAGACCAGACTCCTGGTATTAATATTGCCAAGAAAGGGTGCTGATCTTTTACCCATCCGTCACCCGCATGAGAGCACGTGCAAGCACCCTGTGAGACCTTTTTGTTTTTTTGTTTCTGTCAATCCCGTCGAACGGTACATAAATAATTTGTGTTACAAGTGCGTGCGCGATACGAAGTTTGAGTGTGTCAAACCCGCTCCCAAGAACCGGGTCAAGAGATTGAAATGAAACCGCTGTCCAACGGAGCCGCTAGATGATACGGCCGAGACGGGCTCGTTTTTGGCCGCATAAAAAGGCGACTTTTTTTCTGCCGAGGACATACATGTGGTCTCGGGCATGTTTCTCTCTAGTGAGGCCTATAATAAACGGCGAGAGGCGCAGGTGGAGCGCAAGCGGAGCTCTCGTTGGTCCATTCGTATAATCGAGATGTCCCTTGCAGTACGCAGGTGTTGGCTAGATCGAACGATAATCCCGTCATATCTAGAGTGATAGGCAAGCCGCTGATGCTGCCTACTCCGTATCCGCAATTCCCTTTTCCCTTTTCCTTTGACTGTTTCAAATGCCCTCATGGTCACAGTGTCTTTCGGTGGAAAGTATGGGCCTGTAGTCGAGGAGGCACCGCAGAATATCTACCACTCATTTTTCATAGACGCTCTTATTTAATTAAATATGTTTGATATAGTCAATCCGGAAGCAAAAGTATTAATTACAATGTCGAGATCCGTAAGTGTCGCCACAGATAGTATAGATAGATCGCTAATGACACCACGTTGTACAGGGCATTATGGCCTCTGCCCATAAATAACATGAAATGGCATGTACATGAGCTTGGAATCGTCAAAGTAGGCCTGCCGCACTTCCATCAGCAGTACTTCCACTTGCTCTCGGTTCCATCCCAGGCCTCGTGTCAACGGCCCCAGAGCAATAGCCTGAATCCCATCCAAGAGTATAGTCCGCCAGTAAAGGCCGACCGTCTTGAGGACTTTATTCTTGGGCCAAGTCCCGATGGGCACATGCAGCACCCGCTCCGTAACATTAGTAAAACCGGCCTCTTGCATCATGTCGGATATTCTGCCATTGGCTGCGGTATCCAGATCGATGCCAAGGGCTGCTAGCCCTTCTGATACGTGTTTCCAATAACGTGCAACAGGATGGTCTGGCGGCATCTCGCCATTTCCATCTGGCAGGGCGCTTCTGGGAGTGTGATGGATTTCTTGGAGCTCGATCCAGCCACCAATTTTGAGATGTCTAGAATACCTGTTAGCGACTGTCCTCCTGCAAAGGAGAAGACCGCAAAATAACTCACTCTATGGCCCTTCGAAATAACTTCATCCAATCTCTAACAGCCATCACTGTGTGCCGAGAATGAATGTAGTCAAAATGGCTGTTGGGATGCAACCACGGCGATTCCACATCGTCTATCATGAATCGAACGTTGGGCGGTAGCCAATCGGGCTGAATAGGAGACAAGTCGATTCCAAGTATATGAGCGCTCAGATATTTGTCTCCCACTAAGAAAAGGGCGTTAGTGATTCTCAGTCTAAAAAAAGTCAAGATATTGTACAGCATTGTTGATGACTCACTTTCAATCGGCCAAATTCCGGTCCCAGTTCCAATATCGAGGATTTCTTGCGGGTTATCGCCGATGGGGGCAAAGTGTAGCTTTTGGCTACACAGCAGCTTGACCATGGCGTGCTTCATATCCTCTCTCTCTTGCTCCACGTCATCATTGGGGAAGTTGTAGGTGCCTTCGCGATATCGATGATATCGCCGGCCATTTTCATACATGTAGTCGCGAACAGAAGACATGACGGAGGTGCTTGCCGAGCTGGCAGTATCACTATCATAGCCGGCATCAGAACCGGCATCAGAACCGATGTCGTCGCCATGAACGGAGCCGATGCTATCAGCGCTATCATCGGCAATGATGGCTTCTTCGGCTTGGTCCAGTGCTTCTCGGGATAGCTCCTGCTGTTCCGCAGCGGAAAGATCTGGAAATATGGAGACGCCATTTGGATGGGTTAAGGGAGAGCCTATCGACGATGGCCCCGTCGCGTGCTCCAGCGGTTTGAACGTTTCGGGATAACCTTTTGTTGGTTCTGTTGGTCCCGTCACTATGTCTTTCTCTGTGTCTTTCTTCAAAGCCAAAGCAGGTATAGCAAGATCGCTCTGTTCATGCCCGTATCCATTTCCATATATATTGCCATTCACATTCCCATTCCCATTCCCATTCTCAGCTGGGGTAGCTGTCGGGCTCTGCAAAAGGTCGGATATCTTCAAAGCCGGCAGCTGGTAGTCAACAGCATAAGGAGGCTGTGAGGCGGCGCCATATTGAGAAGTGGGCTCGCGATGATAATCACCGCCGTTCGCGTTGGCCGTGAAGCTGTGATCAGCCCCGGCAGAGCTGTCCGTGCGGCTTGCAGTGCTCGTCGCGCCGTTGGCGGGAGAGGGGGAGCGTGTCCTCCGAGACGAGCTCTTGAAGCCATTTTTGAGAAATCTATCCATGGCGAAAGCCAGGCGAGTAATTCGCGGGATAAAGAGAGTAGCCGATGTAGTAGAAGAAGCAAAAGGAATGTGTGGTCGTGGCTTGCCGAAAGAAGGACGCTGAAAGAAGTAAAAGGCTGTAGTAGAGTCGCTCAGAGGCCGGGCCGTGATTAAACCAAGTCGCAGACGGTACTTTGAGATGTGTATTTAGCCCTCGGGTAGCTTTCCTGCTTGGCACAGAGAGCTCTTCGGGCAAAATACATAACGCTGTCTTTGCTCGGGGACGTGGAGGCCGCAATGTCTCGGGGAATGGGATTGTGGTCGCCTGGAAGAGGAAAAAAAAAAAAGCAATGAAATGGCTATGGTAGGCAGCTCCAGTGGCCCGCCGCAGCCGGGAAGGACGAAGGATTGATTGCCAGGTTTCAGGGGTATGTGAGGACTTGCTTGGCGGCTGAGGCACGAGATCTCACATGTGAAAGCAGCCTATTCGTTCCATAGGCAAAGATCAAAAGCTAGAGTTGCCAATAGTTTGCCCTGTAGCTTTTGATCGAACGCAGATCCGACGTGGTGACGGCAATCAAAACGTTGAAGCAGGTGGGGAAGAGCTTTAAAATAAGGCCCAGCCCGATCGCGAAGCTAAAGAGCAAAACACTCGGTATTCAAATCGACGAGTCTAGAGTCAAAGAGGGCCACTAGAGATGCCAGGAGTGAGATGATAGATGATCGGGCTCCATGATATAGTCGCCGAGACCAGCTGAAGGCGCCCTTGATGATACGATTTACAGCGCTCGAGGTCGATTTAGTGGACATGCCGCCGCCTGTGGGGCTGTGCGGTTGGGGGATGTTTAACACGAACGGCGGGTACGTAATACCCCATAATACGATGCGTCACACCCAGATTGGAATCGGTGATCCGTGCTGGTTGTAAGCTGGCCAACAGCAACCGCATCTGGGGCAATTTGTCACGGACTAATGCTGCCTTTTGCCTCTCTGTTCTCTTCTGTTCCTTTCTAGTGTTGAGGTGAGTTGCTTGTTCATTTTCTTTAGCTTTTGTGTGTCCTGCGGTGAAACTAGGGCGTATGTCACCATGCGTGGCTGCGAGCGCCTTCTGTGTAGCATTCCGTATAATGCCATGTTCTCAAGCCCTCGGCAAAGGATATGCTCGACAGAAATCTTGACAGAGATCAAGGGGGCGCCCATTTCTCTCGCGAAGATGATGGCATGGTAGCATGCAAATCAAAATCACTCAATTGGTACTCCGCGTTCCATTGCTGCTTTGCTACTGGGTGATTCGTAAAACTGTGCCACGCAGAACCAACAGCCAAGAAGCACGGAGAATAGCCTTCACTATGGTTCGAACCAACGCAGCTCCATTGAGCAGAATGTAGTGGTATAGACTGATACATGGGTACCAATATGCAGTACGACAGAAGACGGACGTCATATCCACTCTGTGACTGTTGGACCAACTGCTTCGTGCGAGTAACTGCCGCCCCTTCCATTCGTCAAGCCCGACTGCAAGGAGCATGTTGACCGACGTTTCATTCGCAAATGCATGAATTAAATTGAGGCTTCTGCTATGCATCGTTGCCGCCGGCTAGCGGGGAATCTCATTGGCGGCAGATCCCTCAACCCAGCCATTTGATGTCCATGTTTCTACACGAAGTTCTCATTCATAGGTAGGCGCCGATTTTAGAGTAGTGAGCGCGCGAATGAGAGCGCTTTGTGCCCTCACCTAACCTTACCTTATCTCATCTCACTTCGCTTCGTCTAAACTCATCACATCCCACCCCATCTGATCTCATCTTATTCGTCTCATCCATCCTGCTGCCCTGCATACCGTGTTCAGGAAGAAAAGGGTATATTTCGTAAAAAATTAATAGGAGCAGTTGATTTTTCTCAGTTGACGTGACCTTCTTTAACTCCGCGTTCTCATCCTAAAAGCCCACTTTTCATCGGACCTTGCAATCGGCGATATCAACCATCATCCATATTAGCGCCTATCCACGGAACGGCACAGCAATATGTCGTACGGAACGCTCTTTATACTCGGCACAGCACAGCATTCATATCTCACGGCCCCTGCCTTCAACTCCAGATTTGGCCACGCACAGCACATCATTTACATCTTGTGCAACTCATTTTAATTAGAGAAAGCGCTCTCATTACTACCAGCCCCTCAATCTCATGTCGCGCAGCAACGCAAAGGCGCCTCGCTGCGTTGGCAGCCCGTCCTTTGCTCCAGACGAAGTAATCCAAGATGGTCCGCGGCTCAAGCAAGCCCGGGAGCTGCTGGCAGCAAATGATCTGTACAACGCCAGCCGCGTGCTGCTTAGCCTGCCTGAGAGAGATACATTTACGTATCACGCCATGACAAGTGTCAAGCTGGCTGAGGTACAGCACGTTGTCGGGTTGGGCGGCATCAATGGCCTGCACGCCTGGTATCGCGGTGAAGATGGCACGCCTGTAAGCGTTTGCTCCCTTGCCTCATCTTACTTGAAATGCTGTGAGCAATGAGCTGAATGAGAAATTTCATGCACCTAGAGAGACCCTCCACCTCTGCCAGATATCGAGGCATACATCTCCATATTCAGCCCCTCAACTGCCACGGCTTCGGCCCTGAAAAACTTTGAGACAAATGCAAAGAAGACATCCATCCGCTCAGAGATTGCGAGCCACATCGCAGGGAAACGATTCATCCACCCGGCGGTGACCACGCAACTGACCATTCCCAAATCAAAGAAGCCGCCGAGTGAGAATCCGTACCTTGACTTTTGGGCCTGGTCGTGCAGAAACTTGGAGTGGTGCGGGCCGTGCGCTTCATCGGAAAGAGTCGCAACGAGTCACCATGTGCTCCCCATTTTCATGCACCACTTTGGCTGTGCAACACCATCACACGAGAGCCTGGAGGTGTTGAGGATCCTGGCGGATGGCCGAGCCATTGCGGATATGGGCTCGGGTAATGGCTACTGGACGTTTCTGCTGAGGCGGTATGGACTCACGGTGTATCCGGTAGACAACATGCAGAGCGAGTGGAGGGTCAACTGGATCGACGATACGGCCATCATAGACGGCGTGAAATGGCTGCGGAAGAATGAAAATGGCAAAGACATGGTCCTCCTGTTGGTCTATCCCGTTGTCGGAGGGGGTGTCGGAGGAGGCGCCGAGGGCAGCTTCACGAGGGGCCTCGTCAGTGCTTTCCAAGGAGACACCATTGCGGTTGTTGGAACACAGAATTTAAACGGCTATACAGGATTCAGGGGCATGACGATGGATACTTTTATGGAGCAGGAGCACAAGGAGTGGACAAAGGTGGTGCAGATTCCACTGCCGAGCTTTGCTGGCAAGGACGAGGCGCTGTATGTCTTCCAGAGGGGAGAGATGGTGCCCAACGCATCGAGCTCGAGTTGAGGTGACGTGTCAGGAGGTGCAAGGAGCACGTGTATGCTGTGCAGGTTGAGAAATCAGGCAGAGTATATGAATGAATAGAGTGAAATAAAGTAAAATGTAAATAATGTGTACATGTACGTGGATATACGTCGTATTAAAAGTCGAAAGCTGTAAAGAAATACTAAGATGGCGATAACTTTCCCCGTATATTTTAGAAAGCAATATGCTTATCTTTATACATCTGGTGTCGTTTAATGCAATCAATGGCCTGATGGTAACTGCTAGTATCTCATATACAGGTGTCAGGCACTTATCAGAGAAACTCATGATACGATACGGATTTCAGACACGGCAACTCAGTCAGCTTACTCCTAGACACGATGGATCGGGTGTCGAGCAGTGATTAATTGCAGCAAATGAATGCTTCCCGTCACTCATAGCGTTAAATTTCGCCTTTCCATGTGACGTGCATGAGGCTCTGCAGAAGTGATGGCGCTAGCTTCGGGTCATCGCGGCCTTTGCTTACGGACGAGTGAGTAGCGTGGCCTGTACATATTGATAGTCGGTGTGAATGCCACGGAATACTAGAAATAGCAGAGATCAACATGCGGTATACGGGTGCCTGCCACGGGCCACCGAGTGCCCAGGTCTATACGGCGTAGGTGGCGGAATTGCAGACATTGAATACGGGAGTATGTGCACCAGCTCACACAATCACTTATTGAGGTACTCACCTATTTCTCATACCCACCTCGGGCTGAACAACAGGTTCGAAACTAACTGACAGGTTCCACATCCTACTTGGGGGCTGAGCACCAGCTCGCGCTGCATGTCTATTCTATGGAGCTCGCAACAATAGCGGGCTACAAGGAATAACCACAAGTGTGTCAAGTGCTCTAATAGACACAATGTAACATTTTCAGGGCGTTCAGGGACGGGGATGCGACTCTGTTCGCATGGGGGCACATGTTTGCGAGTTTACAACTCGGACTGGTGCCGTAAGCTGCAACTGTGACGAAACGACTGATCGGCCTATCCATTACGTCAAATACCTGTCTCGTATTGATATCATTGTTTCAACAGTGCAGATAGCTATGTGCCAAAAAGCCTGGCAAAGCGACATTCCTCCATCTCTCAGCGACAAGAAATAACAGCAGTCTGAAGTAGTGGGATCAGCCTCCTGCCCAGGCTTACCACCTCCCTAAACAGAGCCGCTGACACGAGCTTCGCAACTCCATCCAGGCCGGATAATGGCCGTCCATGGCCTCTGACGCGCAAAGAGAGGGGCGCCCTTCAGCTGGCTCCTCAACCGCTCTAGCGCCTGAACTGCCGCTGGCCCTGCACACCTGCAGCGGCTCTGCGCTCTAAGCACTTGTAAGGCGTAGCGCCCATGCAGGTGGCCTGTATCGCCTCCAGTTTATTGTCTGGGCTACGTGCTAGGTGCATATTCTCGCGCTGCAATGGACTGACTGGTCGTGTTTTCTCTGCCTCCAGTCCTCCGAGGCCCAGCCGTCCTTTTTCTCTTCTCCTCCATCATCACCATCGACGTCGGCATTGCTGTTGTTGCTTCTGCCGCCGTAACTCTTTGTCAAAAGATCCCACTACCACCACGGCCAAACAGCCCACTACAATCACCGGTGGCTGTCATTAGCGGAGCACGGCCGGGGCGTTTGTTCTCCAGCAGAAACAGAAACGAACCAATAATTGACACAAATTCCCTTCCCGCCAGACGCCACCCCCCGCGCGCGAAGCTCCCGCCATGGACCATCCCGGGGCGACCATTTCCCTGGCCTCAATCACCAATCCCAGGGCCAGATCGAGGTCCCGCGACGGGCGCTTCATCGAGGAGCCCAAGCCACAGCGGCCTGCGTACGGCGACTCCCGCGAGTCCAGCTATGTGTATGCTGACGATGAGCTGGATCGCAGATCTGCCCGGGGCTCCGGCGGCTACTTGCCCTACCCAGAGGACGACAAGCTGATTCACCTGCCTCAAAAGTACAGCCGCACGGAGGACTCGTTGGCTTACGGCCAGTCGCCCAGCCGAGGCCATCACAGCTCCAAATCGCAAGACTACGGCAGCGAGCTTAGGAAGCACTCTGACTCGGACCGCGAGTCCAGATCGCACCGACGCTCGCACACCTTGACCGTCGATGTTGATCCTCGCGATCGGTCCCGTTCGCGCGACCGATCACGGTCCAGAGATGGCCGAAGCGGGCGCGACAGGTCTCCCCAGCCGCCCACTGGTCGTATGTCCAGCTTGACGGTCAACACCGGGCCTCGACAGGCATCTCTTTCGCTCGCGGCCGCGCCGGCATCGCCGCTGCTGGAATCGTACCATGGGACATATCAGAATTGCTCGCCCATGCCCTCGCCTTTGTTGCTAGCATCCAGGCACCCGGGCGATCTGCCAAGAGGCGCGGAAGCCCTCTCACCGCTCTCTGACGGCGAGGGCGACACCAGGCTCAACAGGCGAGCTCGCTTCCACGATCCGCAGGACATTGCCTCTCGCCTTGCCCAGGCCCTCAAGGGCACCCACAGACCGGATGTAGCGCCGGTCATTGAGATCCTTCCCAGCCTGTCGCACGAGCAGGTCATGGAGCTCCGCGCCGAGTACAAGCAGATTGTAAAGACCGGCACGGACCGCAAGGGGGTCAACATTGCCAAGCACATCCGCGCCCGCTTCAAGGACGAGGATCCCCTCTTGATGAAGGCGTGCTATGCCGTTGCCTTGGGACAATGGGAGAGCGAGGCCTACTGGGCCAACTTCTGGTACCAGGGCGACAAGACGCGCCGAGAGCTGCTGATCGAGTCGCTCATGGGCCGGACAAACGACGAGATCCGCCGCATCAAGGACTCCTTCTCTGACAAGAAGTACGACAACAGCCTGAGCAAGTGCATGAAGACGGAGCTGAAGGAAGACAAGTTCAAAAAGGCCGTCTTGATGGTCCTGGAGGAGCGCCGCATGGAAGAGTACGACTATGAGGGCCGCAGACTGCCGCTTGACTACAAGCTCATTGATCAGGACGTCGAGGACCTGCACAAGGCCGTCAAGTCCGACAAGGGCGGAGAGACGCTGATGATTACCATTGTCGTGCAGCGCAGCGACGCCCACTTGCGCGCCGTCCTCAAGGAATATGAGCACCAATACCGCAGCAACTTTGCGCGCGACGCGCTCAAGAAGAGCAACAATCTTGTGGTATGTATCACTTTTGACAGTCCTCGAGAGAGAAAAAAAAAGAGAAAAAAGCAAAAAAAAAAAAAAAAAAAAAAAAAAAAAAAAAAAAAGAGTCAGTGCTAACAAAGGCTTTTTTAAATCTAGGGCGAACTCCTCGCACACATCCTCAACGGCGTCATCAACCGCCCCGTCCGCGACGCCCTCCTCCTGCAGCATGCCATCACCGCCTCCCGCAAGGACTCGCTGCGCCGCGAACTGCTCATCTCGCGCCTCGTGCGCTTCCACTGGGACTCGTTCCACATGCAGGACGTCAAGAAGGCCTATCGCGAGCGCTACGGCCAGGACCTGCAGGACGCCGTGCGCGGCGCCACCAGCGGCGAATGGGGCATGTTCTGCCGCGAGCTGTGCATTGCGCGGATGCCCAACGAGATACGGCGGATGGACAATGCTCGATAGATTTTATGAAAAATCTGTTTTTATATAGTATTATCCATATACAGTATACATCCATAGATATATCCATAGATACCATGTCTTGGGGTGGGTGGTTGATGCCTACTTGTATGACAAAATGTTGGATTTGATTTGGTATTATTTTTTTGGAAAAGTAACCAATATGGATTTTGAATGAAGCCTGGAAACCCGTTATTATACGCGACACGTCACCTATCGTGTGTCCTAATGAAGGAGGATGCAATAAATCTATTACCCAAGTATCCAAAACATATATATGCTTGTTTTATATTGGTACAAATCTATACGGTTGTCAAATCCATGCCTCTATTCGAGATATACACAGGCTATTTCTTTGAGCCCTTGCCTCCTCTTCCTCCCTTTCCTTGGCTTTTACCTCCACCTTTGCCCTTGCCACCACCAGAAGACCCCTTCTCCCCTCCACTCGCGCCAGCCAACATGACTCTCACCTTGCTGACCGGTATGGTGTTGACAATCTCCTCCGGCTTAAGGGCCTTGATGAGCTCAATCTCCCTCGGCCACATCTTCTCCTTGTCTCGTGCCGCCTCGTCAATGACGCCTTTCCTAGCAGAGTCGGTCTTGAGACGCTCCAGCACTTCCTTGACCGCCTTGCCCTTCTTCACAGAGCCCGGTTGCATCTTGACCTTGTACTTGAACCGAACTAGGGCGTTCCACGGCGCACAGACGGGAATGACTTCGATGATTTCATCTCCCGCCAGCGGCGTGCCAACCAACGTGTCCAAATTGGTCGCCTTCTCAGCCTCATCAGGCTCCAGCAAGTCGAGGCCTTCATTCATCATGGCGCGGCGGATTTCTTCTTGTTCTGCGACCTCTTTTTGCTTCCGCTCATGCTGGGCACGTCGGCGCTCCTTCATGGCTTCCATTTCAGCCTGCCGCTGGGCTTTCGCGGCCGCCTCTGCTTCGGCCCGCTGTCGTCCCACCGTGGCTCCTATCAAGGCTTCCGCTGTAATGCGATCCTCCTCATCCTGATCTTTGTATTTCTGAGCAATCTTTTTCGCCTTTGCTTTTTGTCCACGTTTTTGGCTTCCTTTCTTGGTTGCCTCTGAGGTTTTTGTTGAATGTGAGGAGATTCTGCTAGGCGCCTCGGACACTTCCGTGGCAGGTTCAGAAGGCGCTACCTCGTCTCCTTCGCTAGCATGCTCTTCTTCGTCTGCATCTGCCTCGTCGTCTCCCTCTATTTGCTTGGCCTCACCGGCATCCACTGATGAAGGATCAGCCTCGGCGTTTGCAGGCCGATCCCTGATATCCACTGTTGAGAGCTTGTCAGCCGTGTCATCTATGGCCTCATCTTCATTTCCAGAGCCTTGAAGAGGATTTGCTCGTTTCTCATGGCTAGATGGGTTTTCGGAAAACTCGTCGTCTGAGATATCTGATTCATCAACCACTTCTGTATTTTGCGGCTCATCGTCATCAGCGGTTGCACCGCCTGCCGATATTGATGAGCTTTCGTCTTGTACTCGGTGCTTCAAATGCGAGCCTTTGCTCTGCTCACTAATTCTGAATGCAAATCCTAAACCGAGCAGGAGCTGAGTGGGGGGCAGATAATTCTTCTTTCCCTCAATAATGAAGTTTCCAGCAGGCATGATTTCTCCTGTCGAAGCTGATTTGGATACTTGGTCTGTGTTGACCCACCAAGCACCCATGCCCGCCTTGGAATCCCAAGCCTCGGAAGAGCAGACTGACAGCGACCCTGCTTGGGAAAGAGTCGCAGGAGGAATAGGGGCATCTGGCGTGTTTGGGTTGTTTTTAATCACAATATTTGCCGCGCCACGTATATCAGCATGGCAGTAAATGTCACCTTTCCTCAGATATCTCCTGTAGAGTATTTCGCTCTGCTGAGGGTCTTTGCCCCCAAGGACTAAATACCCATCAGAGGAGATGAACCAAAGAAACTTTTCAAACCACAACTGCTTCCGAATGGGCTGAAGAAGGGCTTTTTCCTGCTTCAGACCTTTTTTCAGATCTTCAGCAATCTTGTGCTCCGTACTTTTCAAGGCCTTGGTTGCCTGCTGCTGGGTCTTCTCTTCTTTGATAGCAGCTGATCTTCGCTGCTCATAATACTCTCTGGCATTGCTCCAGGGGCTAACATTGAGGACAATGTCAACTGTGAGAAGCTTCGCTGGTTTCGTATCTTTCGTTGCATTAGCTTCACTCAGCCCTTCTTCCGAGTCGCTCTCATCAGTCTCGTATGGATTGGCCTCTTGTGCCTCGTCCTCATCCTCGTCAAACTCTTCCTCTGCGAGAAGGAGAGTAATCGTGTTTTCAGACAGTTTGAGAGGAAGATTGATGGTTTCGGCAACGGGATTCTGTCGCTTCTTCTCTCGCTCAATAAGCTTCCCAATGTCTATCCAGTCCATGCCCTGTGCAATAAGGCCATTCACTGCGTCCATGGCCTCTTGCACGCGCTCCACATTTGCTTCAATAGCAGCTGCTTTGCGGAGATTCATCGCCTGAGCATCTTGTAGACCTTGGATCCTCTTGCCCTGTTCATGCCTAGCATCTTCAAGTTTCTTCTTGGCAGCTTCTTCCCTTCCGGTAAGTCGAGATTCTAACTTTTGGCCTTCCAAGGATGAGAAAAATTCGTCGACTGTTCTGTTATAGCCTTCGAATTCCAGTATCTCAAATGACGAGTCCTTCTTGAATTTATGCGGAATGAAAGGATGGAAATCGTCGTAAAGTAGCCCTTCGCGCTTTTGAGATGCATTTCCCTCGACTAATCCACTAGAAGATGTCGCCTTTTTCTTGGCGAAGATGTAGCCCGTGCAGGTGGCAGATGCGGTGATGTTCTCGACGATATCACGAGCCTCAGATAGATATCTGACCAGTGCATCCAGCAATGACTCATTATCAATCACATCAGCCAGTTTAGCGGTGACGTCAAAGCTATTCGCTTGTAGGATATTCTCGACCAAAGTAGGGGGCAGCTCTGTGATGGAGACTGCCAAGGCCTTTCGCAAATCGCCACCGGATTTACCTTTGGCTTTCTTTCCAGAGAAAGTATTGGCCCCCTCGTTTGCTTCGGCCTTCTCTGCAGCAGTCTTGAGAGCATCCCTTATCCTTTCTTTTGTCAAGGCGGGAATACCGCCATAGTTCTGTCTATTCTCGAGAGAATATTGCAGTCCAACTTGCTGCGCTTCTTGCCCCTCTCCCTCGCCAACATTGCGAGAAATGGCCAGGATTTTTAGATCCGCATCGGTAAGAATAATGTTTCCGCTCTACCTAATGTTAGCCTCCCGCCACTTAATGTTGCATGTTGAAGAAGAAGAAGGCGTCGCAGCTTCCCGGTCGCTTAACATACCGCAAAGAACTCCAAGAACATTCGATATTGGCCATCGCTAAACTGGAATTCTAGGATTCTGTCGGTTCCCACTTGTGTTACTGCCGTCAGTCGTCGGGTCTTGAGATATTTGCGAAGCCGAGCCACAAAGGCAGATGGAGCGGCGGCAGTCGTTCGGGCAAAGTCGGTCAAGTGGCAGCGGAATCCATTTTCTATCAGCAGTTGCTGCTTATTATCTGGCTTGGCGAACTTGAGGAGCAGAATCTTGGAGGACAGGTCGTAGACGTTTGCGAGTCGCAGAGTCACGAGGCTCGCCTGGAGCTCGTGCGCAATGACCTGGAGCAAGGAAGGGGAGTCAGCGGGCAGTTTCAGAAACAGACCTACTCGAAGGGGGGACAGCAAAGTACCTTGACATCCAATGACGAGAATCTCTGCTTCATCCTGGCATTTGCGTTTTGCGCAGGCTCAACCCTGTATCTGTGTATAGCAAGAATTGTATTTGTGTATAGCAAGCTTGATGCGAAACTCTATCGGTTACCGTGGGGCACGCATTTGGTTGGCCGCGGGGCAAGCTCTCAAGCTGTAATGACGTAAGCAAAGGCATTATTACGGGGCATCGCGTATAAAGATCGAGCCAGAGCCATGTAGCCTACTGTGTGCTATATAAGGCAGCGCAGAGCATCCTGGTCGCTGTCGCTGGGATTCTGGGGCAGAAACACGATTGGCGATTTCAGAAAAAGGAGGGTCCAATCAACATCATACATGGCGTCTACTGGGTGCGTGTTGAAATTTGACAGCTGCTGCACGCATTAGTGTGAGAAAAGTCATCCAGCAGCCCATTTCTGTTATCCAGCTAGACTGGGCTATTACTACTGGTCCTGCTGCCACTATTGTTACTGCTGCTAACTTGAATTATATATAATAACCAGTAGTACCAAGGGAAATATTCACATGTGGATAAACTACATTTACTTTGTAGAGCTACAGTCGGGGTGCTGGATACCTTTTCTCATTAGTATAGGTTAGGTAGGACGCTGCAGCTTCTCCCAGTACGCTCAACTCCGCTAGCAATTGCAAGTTGTAGTGCGCTCGCTGAGCACGTGCAAATAAAGCAGGATGAAATCTGACAGCAGGGTTTGGAAGCAAGCACTAATTGATTGCCCTGCCGATTGCAGAAGTTGGTGCGAATCCTGGCTTACGAGCGAGCAAGTCGTATTCACTAATAAAGCCTGCAGCAAGAAATTAGCCTGCAAAGGGGTGAGACGCTCATCATTCTGATACGAGTGGCGGACGCTGCACATTACCCAACGTGGACATAACAGTAAAAAAAGGGCGCCTAGGGTTATTGGCGGCAGGAGCATCCCTTGTGCCAGCTGTCGTCCCCCTACAGCACGCGCAGCTCATCTTGTCACCACAGACAACAACGCGATGGCCTCGTTGACCAACACAATCGCAAAAAGCTGGTGCAAAGCGCAAAAAATCGACCACGCCAGGAGTCGAACCTGGAATCTCTAGAGATGATGATGAACCGAAATCTAGCGCCTTAGCCATTAGGCCACGCGGCCTTAGTCAGGCGTTGAAGTTGGATTGACGGGTGCTCCAATGCAATCAACAAGGCTTCGCTTTTCGGACAAACCTCTGGGGAAATCAGCAGCTGAAGCCATTCGACCGAGGCACATGCGGCTGCGAGTGGCCCCGCCGCATCCAATCTCAGTGATCCAATCGAACGCGCAACTCAGCTTCATCCTCGGTCCACCCCCCAAAGCATCGCGATTCGACGCGTCGTGGTGTAGCAGGCAGCCAGCACGGACCTCTTCCCTGCCACCTTGTTGGATGTCTAATATTGAAACACAAGCGGCATATCCTTGTCCCCCCCTCCAAGAAGAAGACATTGGCGATGGCGATGCTCAATCGTCCCAGCAACCGAGATGAGTGAGGTGGAGATGAGGCGGGAGGCAATCCAGGTCCCCAGCATTCTGGGTATGCACGAGAGGCCGATGTCCACCAGATCCATGCGGATGTTCAGGACACATGTCCAGGGCCGTCTTGACAGAGGGAGCTTAAAGACACAGATCTGCCATGGATTGGGAACCGGGCGCCGTCATGGCCGACTGAAGGGAAATGAGCTGCCCGAAAAGCGGACCGTGGCCTGGCCCGCGACTGGACGACTAGCGACCAGCCATCTCTATCTGAGCTCGGTGCTAGCAGCAATGGCCCCTCTTGGCTGGAGCGATCCGACGAGGTCTGGCTTCTGCCCAGCACCCAGCCACGAAATATCGGGTACTACAGCGTCGATTGCAGCGCTCGCACCACGCCGCTACCATTCTGCAATTATCCTGCTGCATTAGCACCGAAACAGCGCCAGCCCAATGGCGGCATTACACGATATCAGGACGGGCGGCAGGGAGGGAGCACCTTTACGTGCAGCGAGCCGTACAGAGTGGTCTCAGGCGGGCGGCTCGCCCAGGCTGGCCAATGGCGGGCCAGTCCATGCAGCTTTCAGAGAGCGGCGATCGTCTTGTCCGGCGAGCAATAGCCCAGAGCGCGAAGACTGAGCCCCCAGCCATCTCTGTTTTCATTGCGCTGCTGCAGCTAAGACGGCATGTGCATCACAAAAGTGGGCGCTTCACAGTCCTCATACAGCCGGCGTGGGCGTCGCAGGAATAGGCGATGGGCGAGATGCAGCATCAGCTCGGACGCAGCCTGCCCTCCATGATAAGCCAAAAAGCTTTTCCGGTGGCGCCATGTCTGTCGATTACAGTACCAGTGCTGTACGACGTACGGGCAGCAGGTAGCAGTACCAGTAACGGCTCAAGCTACTACTCTCGGGTACGAGTTGCTGCTCAGCAGGCATAGCACGGGCTACGTGTACCTGACCACGGCATTACAGTATACGAGTATTACTAGGTACTACCGCTGCTCCTAGCTTCTCTCTCCATCTGTGTGTACAGTATGTGTGTGTACCTCTGTCTCGCAACATGCTCGCTCGGTACGAGTAAGCCGATGAGGCTGGATCTGGGGCTATTGGGAGAATAAGGAAGGCCATTTAGGCCAGGAACCAGTCGCGCGCCAAAGGCTGCCCCGAAAAGCAACAGAGCAGAGGCACACACTCACGCTTAAAAATGGGCCGTCCTTGTATAGCTGACCACGCTATGGGGGAGCTACCACTCCTACGGAGTACCGCTACTGCTGCTGCTACCAGATTACATTACCGGTATATTGCTTGCTACCGCTAGTGGCACAGTAGCCATGAACATCAATCGCCGAGCCTGACTGGTCAATCGGCGGCCGATTCAGGGGGACGCAAGGGAAGCAAGGAAAGCAAGGTGGCTGGGGAGCTCTTGGTTGCCTTTGGGGCCCCATCACGCTTACCGCTGGGTTGCAGCATCATATCCGACGAGTCCACTGGCGACTGGAGACTCTAGTACGCCTGAGACGCAGCCTCGAGAGGCCAGTGGACGAGATGCCTGCTGAGCTCGTTGGGCTTGCAGGGGAGTTGGATGAGGTTGGCTGAGTGTGGAGTTGATGGCGGAGACGAGAGGCCAGGATACGACAAGACTAATCCTGTTGTGATGAGAATCAACAATAACATGCCCAGACTTGGTGGCAGGTAAACATGGAGGCCCGATAGGCTTACCCTCCTTGGCAACGCAACACAACGAGCACGCCCACAATCGCAGGCGTGGCCCCCGACCTCAAAAAGCCCTTCGAGCGACGTTGGTTCTGATCCGCCATTCCTTTCCTCCAATTATCTGAATCTCCAGCCAAGAAGCAAGGACAATTGAAAAGAAAAGACTCTCAGAGGTATCATATCCCTCTCTCTTTTCTTCCCTTTTCGAACTTTTGTTTCCAGGAACAGAAGCTTGAGATCCTTCTTATCTTCCTTTCGTGCTACGGAAGGTTGTATGAGAAGATTCTCTCGCGCCAGCGCAAGCCGCCAACCTGGATTTTGAAGCTCGAGTCCCCGTGCCTTTTAGCATCTTCCCGTCCACTTACAAGGACAACGAAGCAGGCCGCCCTCAACCTCAAACCCAAACCACAACCCACGAGGAGGTTCAAATCACCCTCCCTCAACACAAGCCAGCCGGACGGGAGGGTCAATTCTCTTCTCCCCCCCCAAGTGCCGATCTAGTTCCTCACCGTGGTGAACACCGCGTCGAAGAAGAGATCCGTATTACGCGCGAGGAAGAACGCCACCGCCGTCCCGGTTCACGCCACTCTGAACGCTTCGTAAAGGAAGAGTTCAAGTAAGTTGTCATCTTTTTCTTATCTGTTTTCTCACGCCCCTTGACTCTCTGTCTCTCCCGGACCTCATTTGCGTGTGAGCCATTGGAGCGAGGGAGGCGAGGGAAGGGGGGACAGGAGAAATAGCCGTGGGGAGAGGGAACCCGCCTGCCACCGGCAGCGCTGAAATTGCTCTTCGTATTCTTACAGTCTCGTTTTGCCGCGGCTTCTAGAACGCGTCAATTGGGAGTGGAGATGCGAATTGAGCACGGAGGGCGGCGGAGCTCACTATGGGGGAGCTGACAGCCGGGGGTGAGGTTCAGCTAGGGTTCCCAGCCATGCTATTTTATCCCGGCTCAGGGGGTCTAGTCCCGGCCCACAAGTGTTGGCCCAGAGACCAAGGCCAAGGAAGCTCAAGCACAAAAGGGAATCCCTCCAACTAACTCGAGTACTTTTAGATCTATTCCACCTCCTCCTCGCGACTACACTGAGACTCAGGTCAAGGTTGACACTTCTCGCCGCCACTCAAACCCCATTGACGCTGCCGAGCGTGAATACCGAGAACGTTTCCGTCCTCAACCTCAACCCCAAAGCTCTACCAGTCTTGAACTAGTTCAAGTCCGCAAGCCTCGACACTCTCACCACCACCACCACCACTCCGAGAAATCTAAGGGTACCGACTTCACCGTTGAAGAACGTACCACTGTTTCTCGTCCCAACTTCCGTGAGGAAATCAAGATCACTGAGGAAATTCGCGAGTCTTCTCCTGAACAATCAGCCAAGATGGGTTACTACGATGATGAGGGTAAGCTTCAACTAACTTTTCTTTCTGTTGTCTGCCAGACGCGTGCAAGCGTACGCTAACGCGTGTCGCCGGTAGGCTCCTACCACTCTGTCCGCCAAGGCGTGGCCAAGGCCGTAGACAAGCTCCTCCCCCATCACCATCATCACCACCACCACCATCACAACAATAACAAAAATAATAACACCACTACTGTCACAGAGCAAATTGATATTGTTGATGTCCACCACGATGCTAATACGTCTCACCGTCCAGCCGCCCCTGCCGCCGAGCAGCAGCCTAACACTGTCTCCATCCCCTGCCACCACATCCGCCTGGGTGACTTCTTGATGCTGCAGGGCCGTCCTTGCCAGGTCATCCGCATCTCGACCTCGTCTGCCACTGGCCAGTACCGCTACCTCGGTGTTGACCTCTTCACCAAGCAGCTGCACGAGGAGTCTTCCTTCATTGCCAACCCTGCTCCCAGCGTTGTTGTCCAGACCATGCTCGGCCCCGTCTTCAAGCAGTACCGTGTCCTCGACATGGCTGACGGCTACGTCACCGCCATGACCGAGACTGGTGATGTCAAGCAGGGCCTGACCGTCATTGACCAGTCCAACCTGTGGTCTCGTCTCCAGCAGGCTTTCGAGTCTGGCCGCGGCAGCGTCCGTGTCCTCGTTCTCAACGATGGCGGCCGTGAGCTCGCTGTTGAGATGAGAGTCATCCACGGCTCCCGCTTGTAAGAACGCCATCTCTTGTCTCTGACGGGAAGGCTGTTCTATCCATCCTGTGGATATTCCAGGCTCGCTTTCTGGTCTGAATAATGTGAAAAATACCCCATGGGCTTGGAAAGTGAGAGGGTGTTGTTGGGAACGACGGCTTTGCTAATTTTACTTGGATTGGGTTGGGATGTTCTTTGGATATGAGGCAGAGTGCCCAGTAGATAGGATCTACCCTATGTGTTGCACTGTAATTAAGATGGATTTCGTATAAATCTCTTGGTGTTGTGCTGAGTGAAATGTGTGATTAATCCCGCATGCGCTGTGAAATTGCGTCCGTCCAATCTGCCATGTCGCGTTGCGAGCAGCTTCCAAGCGCGTCCAAGTAACATTAAAATTGCCCAGCTGAAAAGCGCCACTAACATGGGGGAGACTCCACAAGTGGCTCTTGGGATTTTGTGAGTATTGATAGCGTCGGGGAGCTATTGCCCAGCCCCGCTGTATGCCGTCCTGCTTGATGCTGCTAATCGTATTACTAAGTGCAGTAGTTGAAGACGTCGAGTGTGTTTGAGGGTACAGTGATGGATGACGACGACTTCTGTCTGTATACAAGAGCGCAGTTTGATGGCGCCAAAGCGAAGAGAAGAGATCTTCCGGGCTGAGACAAGCGGGCAACGCGGGACCGCTGGAAAAAAGCGATAGCGCTGCAAAAAAAAGAGCCAGTAGGAATATAGCCGGCGGACAGTAGCACGAGCACAGTAGAACTCGTGATTACGGCCTGCTTATACGCCCGAAGGGAGGGGAAAGGCGTGAGGGGAAAGCGGCAGATAAGAAAGAACCTAGGGAGCGTATAACGCCATATCAGCGATTCACGGCACCCTGATGGCCTTGGTTTAGTGATACTGTTTGGCCTATCTTGATACGAGTAAACCAGTAAATTCATCTTCTTTCAAAGAAAAGGCAGTATTATTCAGTAGGAAACATTAAAGGATTACATTCAAGAGACTTTTCAGAATGGGTGGCCAGCCGTCTAAGCTCATCACTGCAGCGGAGAGTGAGAAGCTCATACTGGAGCGCCTTCGAAGCTTTAAACTAGAAGAACGAGAAGGGGATCGTGTCGAGACCAGTAGCGATGCTGAGAAGACAGAGGAGCATCATGGACAGCAACTCGTCCGAGAGCCTGAAGGTCTGCCGGTGGCGTCGCTCGAGGTGTGGATCGATTCTGTGGTGAAGGATCCCAAGAATAGGTGAGCAACGAGGTCTGACTGAGATTATGAGCGAAAATATCACCATCCCATAAGACAGCATCATCAAAATGTATGCTAACCGTGAGATTGTAAAACATCCAGGCTGGCACACGCTGCCTTGAGCTCGTCTGACCCAAAGCAAACCCTCACCTCACGCGCAACCAAGATTGCCAACCAGCACGTCTTCAACGTCCAGATCCCCTTTGAAGGCGATCCCATCACCAACCAGCGCTCCAGCGGCCGCTGCTGGCTCTTCGCCTCGACAAACGTCTTCCGCGTCGCGCTCATGAAGCGCCACAACCTGGCCTCGTTTGAGCTGTCCCAGGCCTACCTCTTCTACTGGGACAAGCTGGAAAAGGCCAACTGGTTCCTCGAGCAGGTTGTCGAGACGGCAAAGGACGACATTGAGAGCCGCGTCGTGCAGAGGCTGCTGGGCGATCTCGTCTCGGACGGGGGCCAGTGGGACATGGTGTACAACTTGGTTGAGAAGTACGGGCTTGTTCCGCAGGCGCTGTATCCGGATAGCTGGAATGCCATGAACTCGAGCACGCTGAACAGCATTGTCAAGACGAAGCTTCGTGAGTTTGCGCTGAAGCTGCGAGAAGCGGCCAATGGGGATTCCGTCTCTGCTTCGGTCATTAGCGGGCTCAAGATCCATATGATGAAGGAGATTGCGCTCATCATGACTCTCCTGCTTGGCCAGCCTCCCAAGCCGACCGAGGAGTTTTCATGGCAGTTCGTCGACAAGGACGGCAAAGCGCAGCAAGTCAAGACCACTCCAAGAGCCTTTGCCAAGGACATCTACAGCTCCGAATTCCGCGTCACGTCCGACGCCATCCAGAGCATGGTCTCGCTCGTCCACGACCCGCGCCACGAGCCGCTCCGTAAGCTCACAGTTTCCCGGCTGGGCAACATCGTCGGCGGCCGCGACATCACATACGTCAACGTCGAGATGGACACGCTCAAGTCGACGTGCGTCAAGCTGCTCAAGGCGGGCGTGCCCGTCTTCTTCGGCTGCGACGTGGGCAAGTTCAGCGATCGCACGGCGGGCATCATGGACCTGGAGCTGTTTGACTACGAGGCGGGCATCAACACCAGCCTCTTGGGCATGAGCAAGGCGCAGAGGCTGATGACGGGCGAGAGCGCCATGACGCATGCAATGGTGCTGACGGCGGTGCATCTGGATGAAAAGTCCGGCAAGCCTGTGAGGTGGAGGGTGCAGAACAGCTGGGGCACGGCGGTTGGTGAGAAGGGGTGGTTTGTCATGAGCGATGCGTGGATGGATGAGTTTGTGTATCAGGCGGTGGTGGACCCGAGATATCTGGGCAAGGAGGTGAGGGATGTGTTGAAGCAGGAGCCGATTGTGCTTCCGCTGTGGGATCCGATGGGCTCGTTGGCTTAGAATGAATGAATGATGACATTGAAGTCTTGCGAACATGAACTTTGGCTTGAAGTTTTCTTTGCCTTTCCCTCTTTTACTTCAAATCACAATCTCTAGATGCTCCATATTGATGTACGTCAATGTATTTCTTTTGGATATACAAAATATTCAGATAACAGCGTTTGAGCGCGTCAACAAGCTCCACCACATGTTTGATATGATATGTTCCGGCGTTGAAACGAGGAGAAAAACTCTAGATAGCCACAGAGTACATGCATGCTTGCTAAATCACACTTCAGCCAATCTACTGCCTGAGTCTGCCTCAATCATTTTCTTCTCCTTGTTTCATATTCCCTCAAAGAAAGTCTATTTACGTGTAGATGTAAACAGTTTCCAATGAAAGAGCTATACTCATGGCACACAAGAGAATCATTGAAAATAAGTCAGTTCTCATAATGGCTCACAACTCGGCGATTGGCCCCAATACGGCTCCAACGCAACCGTGACGGCTCAGCGTTTCACGCTTCTGGAATAACATGCAGCTATCACTCCTCCCCCCCTGTCGTATATGCCCAACACAACGCTTGTTCTTAGCCGGGAAATATAGTAGTAGTAGCCTGGTGGTAGCTACATTGGGCTTCGAGGGACTGGAGCCAGGGATCCGGCATGTGGGACTCACCGAGTGGGCTTTTCGAAGTCGATGCTACCAAAGCTCTGGAAATTTTCTCAGAGACCAACTGTCCTTTTTACCTGCGGAGTGATGCTGTAGAAACAAGAAGCGCAGTGCCCATGCCGGTTTTTCTTCATCGGTTCCACACGCCAACACCCGGCTGGCTGCTGCTCCGTATTCGATGTCAGGATTCGAAGCCTAGCTTGTATGTACAAGCATGCAGCGGGAATGCAAGCACTCTTCTCTGCGTGCGTATGGAGTAGGAAGGATTAATACTCGTACATACGGGTGTGCGTACTACGGCGATGAGCATGTATTTCTTGCCTATGCATGGCATATGTCATATTCCTAGTATCTGTATGCACGTGTCAGACGGGAAGAACTCAATGTCGAGTGCCGGTCTTGACGCTGCATAGCACTGATGATATAAACATACATGTGTACTCCGTACATGCTATGGAGGCATATACAGCACCAGCACGATATCAGGCGGATACATTGGCACATTGGCCCCCATTGTTACATCTGTAAGAGCCATTGTAAGCTAAAATTCAGTCATCCGCCGTTTCCAGCTATGGAAACTTGAATTATGCTGATTCAAGCTCGAAAGGGCGACCATCACTCGACGATACAAGGGATTCGCTGTCTTCACGCGGCTGCAACCTGGGGTCAAGCAGAGCATGGAAGCTCTCCCCGTAGAGATCGACCGAGGTCTGCTCAGCCCCTGGTCAGATTGGGCACGAGAGCATAGCAGCCCAATCCCGGGATTGAGTCTCCAAGCACAGATCCACTCAAAGGTTAGCTCTCGAGAATGGAATAGCACGGCCAGGGAAAGGCCCCCAAGGTGCAACCAATCCATCAATCAGACGGCGAGTCTCTGCTTTCAAGTCAGAAATGAGGCTTTCAGAAGAAGCCCCGGTGAAATTTTACTTCCATACGTCGGTGGAGCAAGGTTTGCTAGTTGTTTGAAAGCAAAGAGCCGTAGCAGCCGCTTGGATGTGTCATCTCTCGGGATCAATGGAAGTAGATCTGCCGCATGTCGTCTCGTTACGGATTTGCAAATCTGGCACGGCGACATCGGCTTGGCTGAACAGACGAGATGGAATGTTGAATGCTGGACACATGTAGTGACAGCTTTAGTGCATCCAGCTGTTCCTGGCTAACTGTCAAGCGAGCATCTACGGCAACATGCCTCATCAACTAACAAGCGGCCAGCTCCATCCAACAGAAAAACCGGAGACTCAACCACACTCAGCTCAAACTCTGCTCAACGAGATTAGAACAGCCGTGCACAGGCCCTCGGTAAGGCACCAAGCGGATCTCAGGTAAAAGAGAGACTGTGAGAAAAAGAGCGAAAAAATAAAAAAGGCAACTAGAGGCGTGTGGCCGGCTGCTAGTTCTGACAATGGCGTGGTGGCGATAACGAATCGCGACGTCATTATCGTATTTTCTTCCCAAGATTCCAAGCGAGGCTATTCCAGCGTGCCAGCTTAGTTCTGCGCCCAAGGATTCGATGGATGCCCAGAACCCCCAATTAGACGTCCCCAGAGCAGCAGGAGGATTACGAAGCACAGCAGAATTTCTCTGCTAGCTGAGAAAGAAAAAAGAAAAAAGAAAAAAGAAAATGGCCAAGGGAAATTAGAAACATTCATGCCCAAGGAGACTTGGAACTGGGTCCGTTCCGTTGGTTTCCACTTTCTGGACAACGGTTTGAGTCGCAACAGCGATCCGAACGTCCGGGGCCTGAGTTTCAATAGCTCAGACGACTTGGTTAGCCTCCGTCAACCATCCAGTCGTCACCAGCGCCGTAGTTCGCCATCGCGCCGTGGCTGTCCGGGAACGCATCGAACTTTGATGCCACAAGGAACCAGACGGCAGCGGGAAGCCCAGCATCAGCTCCAGCAGCAGCTCTCATCAGCTGAAGCCACCGCGACGGGCGCTGGCGGGCAACTACCGGACGGCCACTAGAGCGCCCTGCGCCGCTAAGAATAGGAACCAGCACGACGTTTGAACGGGCATCTTGCAGTGATTTACACGAGCATTCAGCATCGGCAGCCCGCCGTCTTACAGCTCTGCAGCTCTCCCCAGTGGTTGCTGGAAGCTCCTAGCGCCAACTCTACGGGGGGCTCATCCACTAACTGTTCGTTGAAAATCGTACCCCTGGCCGCTGCTCCCCAAGTCGTCATGACCCCAGACCGTTTTTAACCTCATTAACCGTTTGTCCCCTCCCTTGCGGCCAACCAAGTCTTTTCCCACGAAGCAAACCCTTCTTTTTCTGGACCCTGCGCTGCATGGTTCGGGTCTTTGCACACCAGGTAAATTTTTTTCTTTCCCTCTCTTCCCTGCTCCCGGCGTGTACTGTATGTACCTCTCATATATGTAACGTCGAACCCCGGCTGATGGGACAGTCTGTCAAGGAGCGGCCGAGAAGCTCATTATTAGGCTGACTAGGAACCCCGCGATCATATTCTCTTATATACCTATATTTCTCCCGCCGTAATCATTATCTGACGACTTCGACGACGACCCCTCATTCTCTGCAAGCCCGGTCTGTCCATTGCTCGGCTGACTGCGAAAACCAGACTTTGGCCTCCTGTGACGCAGCCCAAACGGCGTGCATTTTGCTGCTCAGGTCTATCCAGGCTTGCGCTTTTCCACATCTCTGGATATCTCCCCATCTAGCATTAGCATAGACGACGACGACTTCTTGCTTCTCAGTCGCCTCCCGTGCTGGCACCATGACTGACCGATCCTATCGTTATCCTGCGGCTGGCCGGTCCGCCACATTCAACAACCCGGCGCGCATCTCTCTGCCCTCGGTGGGTGGCTATGGAGCCTTATATGCCAACGATCCGGACTACGTCGCTTCGCCCACGAGATACGCTGCTGCCGCCGCCACCCCCAGAGGCTACACAACAGCTGCAGCTCCCGCAGGCGCTGTCGTGCCGCCGCCGCGATCATATTCCACCGTGAACCCAGAGCCGCGCGCCCCCAGGCCGCCGCCCCCTCGTGAACAGAGCCGCAACCGACGCTCGAATACCGTCGATGCGTCTGCCCGACCACCCATCATCGTCACGACGATGCAAGACCACCGTCCGCACACTTCTTCTGCCCTCACTACCGACGCTCTCGCCCACGCAGCAAGCCCCGTCCGAGATGCGTACCGGGCAAGCGAAGGGAGACTCTATTCGCAGCCAGCGTCGTCCATCAGATCCAGGAGCACCGCCCGCCCATACCATACCTCCACGAACAGTGACGACTTTGGCCGTTCTCGAGAGCAGGGCGAAATTGTGTTGGCCAGCCGTGATGCCGATGCCTACCGCAGCTCCCGACCTCATGTGGTGTATCCAAGCAACTCTCGGCACAGCAATGCCGCCATAGACTACGGGGACGAGGGATATCAGTACACAAACGCCGGTGAGCTGGTTCGATATGATTTGGACCACGGCGTCGCCCCTGCTCCCCGCCATTCACGCAGGCATGAAAGCTTCGACAGGGGATATTCTCGGCCCAATATCAACTACAACGCGGATCAGAGAAGCTTCAACGTCAACACGACAATGGATCCAAGCCGCACAAGCCGACCATATGACAGCCGAGGTGGCCCTCCACCCTCAGTCCGTGGATTTGACAAGATCAACCGAGCATATGACATTCCGCCACTTGCTCCAGCTCCTCCCAACTCCAGCTCGTCTGGGCAGCTGGATATGGCTGCGGGATCTACTGATCGTCGTACTGTCGGACGACCACGTCCTGTTTCGCTCATCCAAGAGCCAGGATCTCGTCCCGAGGACTACTATAGAGGTTATGAGGATGATGAGTATGACCCGCGGCGATTCTACGACGAGAGTGTCGCTGCTCGGGGCTTTGGTCTCCGACCAGCTCAAACAGACGACCTTCAAGACCACCACGACCGCTACTGGGATCCAAGAGACGATCAAGGAAGGGAAGGCTCGGCTAGGAGAGATCACTCCAGGAGGATAGAAGCTCCCCCCAAGGAAGGACAGAGGTCTCACTCCGATGAAGAGAGAGTATCTGACCGTGAAAGGGAAGACTATTATCGAGGCTATAAAGACAACCTCCGCGAGAGACTAGATGGACGAAGGGATGGGGATTCAGAAGACAATGACCGATCTCGAGCCCGAGACAAGGTTGCCGCTGGACTTGGGGCAGGAGCTGCGGCTACTGCTGCTGTAGCTGGCGCCATCGCGTCAAGCAACAAGAAGGAAGAGAAGCCCGAGCCAAGTGAGTCGCGCAGACGCCGAGGCTCTGACGAGGCTGAGGAGCGCGACCGTGAGCGCGACCGTGAGCGGGAGCGGGAGAGAGAAAGGGAGCGGGAGAGAGAGAGGGAGCGAGAGCGAGAGCGAGAGCAAAAGCAAAAGCGCGATGAGGACAAGGAGCGTCCAGTCGCCAAGGCTGATGATGCAAAGGCCGATGCAAAGGCCGACGCGGAGACTAAAGATCGAAGCAAACGAGACGCTGAAGCCAAGTCTAATGGCGATTCGGCAGCGATTGTGTCTTCTGATTCTGATGAAGGAAGAACAAAGTCGGCTCGCAGACATCGCCCTTCTCACAGCTTTAATCCCTACGACACTGGAGATTTGCGTCAAATCCGGGAGCAGCTTGCTGATAGTGAGAAGGACAAGGCTGAACCCAATGGTAAAGGCCGGTCATCTCCTCCTGCGAAGGAGGATCGACGCTCTGAGTCGCCCTCTGGGGAGGACAATCGCGGCCGCGACCTTGTTGTCGTCCGTTCTCCAGAGGAAAAGCAAGTTCGCGTTGTCTCGCCACCACATGAGAAGAAAGAGGACAAGCCCCTCAAAGGCATCCTCAAGCAGCCAAGCGCCAAGTTCCCGGAGGAGCCCAACCCAATCCGCGAAGGCGTAGCACCGCACAAGGAAGATAAGAAGCTGAAAGAAGTCCCGTCGGGTGCTCGATGGACCAAGATCAACCGCAAGATTGTCAACCCAGAGGCTCTGGACATTGGCAAGGAGAGATATGAAATCCGCGATGACTTTGTTATTGTGCTCCGAGTCTTGAGTAAGGAGGAGATTCAGACTTATGCGAATGCCACGCAAGTCTTGAGAGGTAAGACGACCCAATACGATGCCACCATCATGGCATCCCCTCGTGGCGCCGTAAATCTTGACTAACACAGGAAACAGAGCGGCGGCGAAACAAGGACTATACCGGCGAATATGAAGACAGCGACCGCGATCGAAGTGACCGTGATCGAGATCACCATGGTCGAGAGTACGATCGTGAGTATGATGAAAAAGAAATTGATAGAGACTACGGTCGAGAATATGACCGCGAGTACGAACGTGAGTATGAAGACGATAGGGGGCGGCGAGGAAGCCATCGCCACCGCCGTCATAGAGATGATGCGGATGGCGCGGATGTTCGTGAGCGTGATCAGGACCACGACCGTGACCGCGAGAGGCGGCGTCGACACAGGCGCGACGAAGAAGAAGAATACGACTCCAGGCCAAGAGACGTGGAGCACCATCATCACCACAGGGCTCACCGAGAGATTTAGAGATGGTACGACGAAGTCCGACAAAGCATTCACAGCCTGCGCGTTTTTACCCTTTGCCTTTCCTTCCTTTCTTCTGTCCTTTGCTAATTCATTTCGACTGGGTGTGTGCGCGTGTATGATGGGCCATGGCCTTGCAAAGATGTTTCTTGAGCTTCCTCTTTTTTTTTCCTTCTCCTCTCCTCTTTCCTCGTACTTGTCCTAGCTGAAGAGACTTGACGTTATCTATGGGATTCTTTTCTTCCATTTTTTTTTTTTTTTCCACTTTGGCGTCTACTGTATCGTTGCTTTTCTCTTTTACTTGCTGGCGAAGTTGAACTGGATATTTTGGACGAATGTACAATGGCGATTTGGTGGAGGGTATGTGTCAATGAATGAATGATGGCAAAGCGAGATCTACTTCACCCTTTTTACTTTTTCTTCTTTTTTTCTCTTGCTCCCTTTTTCATACCGAATTGGGATTATCAAAACGCTTGGGTGACATTTCTGTTTTCATATATTTTGGGGACGTATCGGAATAAAAGCTTGGCTGGTTTTTCCTTTGCGTTTCATTTCCAGATTTGAATCCTCGGTGACTCTTGTTGAGATGTTCAGGAGTTTGCTATGGACAAACTGCTCTGTTGATGCAGTGAAGAGTATGCCATTGTCATGTCATTCAAGTATAATCTCATCTATCCACATCCATCTGAAGGAATGTTTATGACTCTCGGTACCACTTGGATACAACTTCTAGGAGTATTTCTCACTCGATCTGTAATACATGTTGCTCGCCATCTACATCTATCCGCAATCATTCCGAACCCCGTTTTTAAAGTCTTGTGGCAGTTGACAATTTACCCAACAATCGATGACTATGTCTCGCTACGTTGTCGCCTTGGCCGAAATCCAAGTTCATTCCCACATATTCCTATTTCATACCCTCATTAAGTATTTAAACACGTGAATAGAGAGACTGGTCGGCGAACTTGAGGAGCAACAAGGATCATCAATTTCGGGTAGCTCTCGACAGATTGTATACATGTACTCATTACCTTTTGGTGCTTTGCGAATACTTTGCATAGCAGCAGCTTCGGAGCGCAGGTAATGGAAAATGTAACGACATTTCCACCTTTTTGTCTACAGGCTATTACGGATATCTTCCTGCTTGAGGGTAGTATTTCTCTTGTAGCACCTTGTACATACATGAACCCCCATCCTTCCTACCACACAACCATCTTCCCCATCTCCCCCCCCCTTCGCCATGTGTAGCCCTTGCAGAAAGATTTGTGAGATTGTCGCCCCCCCTGGGCCCTGCGTTGGAGATGGTTTGTGTTGCAATGGTGATTTTTGCTTTCAACAAGGTCTTGATGCTTGTGCTTGTCGTTGTGTTACCGCCCCTTTCGTTTACAATCCTGGAGAATTGAGGCCAGGGGTGGGTTGGAAAGGAGGATGGATACTCGTACAGGTGCTTCGTTAAGGGCTGCGCTTCGTGTATCTCAGATTAACGAGCATGTAGATTTTTTTTTTTCTCTTTCATTTTACGGGCCGGGTAGACTATTTACTTGATGCTGGATATATGGCTATAGTGACGTCTGGGTGCAGAGAACCATCTGCATGTTGTATCCGAGTTTGAGATGTCGTACATGCTTTAGGGTAGGATGTGAAATGACTGCCTTTACATGACTGACTAGATGGGTGAAACGGATCAATCACATCTTTTCGGTGCGTGTGGAATAGCAATGTGCTCTGTCCTCTGCATGCTCCCCACGTTTTTCTTCTTCTCCAAATGCTACAGGTTTCGCTGGTTGGCTGCAAATCACTTTTTTTCTTTTTTTTTTCTTGTTTTTTTATGACCTATAACCACCCTTTTAGCATCCACTGGGTTGCTACCATCAAACTCAACCATCACACCACGCCCCCTCCACCAGAATTTCCCTGCTGTTGGCTGCAGCATAGCCCGGGACATGTATTATATTTCTCATTTTTTTGTTTTCTTTTTTTGTTTTTGCAGCGCCAAACTCTAACACGAAGGTGACGCCCTTGCAAAGCAAAAAAAAAAAAAAAAAAAGCAACGCACAGAAAAGCCAAAATATCCCTGGCCGATGCCGCTCCAAATAGGTATAACTATTACAGCTACTAATCATTAATCGTTTTGTTACAATTGCAGTAATAGAGTCGTCCTTTAGCTCGCAACAAACTTGACTTGTCCGGATATGTAAAACATGCGTAAGCAGTACCTAATGGCTTTGGATTGAATTGGATTTGCTTGTACTGTATCGCAGCAGCACATCCCTTCTACTCTGGGACTTGCTTGAATCACCTGATTTGTGCATCTCAAAAAGTACCGCGTGCTACGGCGCGAGGTTTGCTCAGCTGCCCTTGGTACAGGACTTGGTAGACGCTGTAGCAGTACATACGGCTATATGTCGCTCTCTGTAAGCGGACCTACCACAACCGGTCTCACTAGACAAATATCGAAAACTCCAGCTGATGTAGGGCGTTCAGTCCAGCCTCTCATGTACAGGTAGGTACTCGAAACGTTCCCTCGCCATGACCAAACAAGGCAGTAGTACCTTGTAGTACCTAGTAGCTAGTGTCTTTCATTGTTTCCCTGAGCATGCCATAATATCTGACATTACTGCTCGATACTGTATATAGCGCCGAAAGAGCTGCTGCTGGCCAGGAAAACCCTCCGACTGCCAAATGTCCGAGGCGGCATCAGCTGGGATATGCTGCATCCAGGTACTGTACTTGGGTTTTCTGTACTGCCAAGCGGTATATAGGACGACACAGAGTAGGTACCTGGCTCAAGCATGTTGGCTGTTGGCAGTACATCCAACATAATGCTTCATGTATGCAGACTTACAGCACCGTCATGATATCATCCGGGATCCCCAAGGCGCGCATCGCTGCCAGACTCGTCCACCGCAGCGAGAGCAGCATCGCATCAATCCCCTCTTCAGCTCGTGTAGCCACTACCAGACACCGCATGTCACCGCTAGTGGCCCGTTACGGGGTCTGCAAGCTCCGCCTTTCACAGAGCTACTGGAAATGGCTCTACCATGGCGTCCTTTTCTCGTTGCCTTTACTTTTTCTGTATCAACCGCGTTTATCCTCTAACCGAGTACGTCTGAGTGACCTCTCGGGGTTTCTTTTCCTTTTTCCTTTCCTTCTTTTCTTTTCCGCCGGTCTTTGCTTTCCCAGCCCCCAAATTTTCTTGACTCTTCTCTTTCTCTCCCTCTCCCTCTTCCTCTCTCTTTGCACCCCCCTCCGTCGGAATGTCACCACTGACCCAATCCATCGCTTCGACATCTCTTTTGGCAGCATCAGAAACCTCAAACATCTAGCTGTAGCTGTAAGCTGCCGCGGCAAGGCACCCTGGATTGCTCTGCTCTCGAGATCCCAGCTGTCAAGCAGGTACCGAGTACTAGGACTGGCACGACGCCTGCACACCCCACGTCGCCCATGGTCGGTTTTCCACGTCGGGACAAGTATCTCATACCTCGCTGGAGTCCACTTTAGACGCTGTGCCTCCGCCGTTTGCTCCGAAGCCGTGAGGGGACTCCAGCTCGTATGATTGTAGAGGGTACTTGCGACGCCCGGCCAGGCCCTTGGCCCTCCCAAACACCAACCCCCCTATTCCTTGTCCTCAACCCCCTACCCCCTAATCCAAGTCCAAAAAATCCTTCCAGGCCCCCCGCGCCCCTTTTCCTGTCTTCGCTTCTCCACCCGCCAGCCCACCCACACCCCCTTAATATGGGCAGTTCATTCAGCGTACTGGTACTTGTACATGTCGCCCTTGTGTCTGCTCGGCTTCTTGTTTCTTGTCTGCGCGCTCCCGGGGGCGCGTCGTGGCGGTTTGCTTTGCTACCAGCACTAGGAGTGCCTCTGCGCTGCTCCCCGGCACTAGCTCCCAGCATTCCCACCCCTGACTTTCCGTGATTGGCAGTCTAATAATATGCACATCTGCTAACCCTCACCCGTTAGCATCGACCCACGCTTTTACTGCCTAGCTTGGCAGTAGAAGGCAAGTAAAGAACAGATCTAGAATAGCCAGAGCATGCGGACGAAAACAGCACCACTCAACGGAGCATGTCGGCGTTGGATACGTATGGAATAGGGTGATGCGGCTTACACCAGGCAGCACCATACTTGTACTACTCCGTCCTTAGCACATGGAATTCCGTAACTCTCACATGATACTCTTGCGAGTATACGTGCGAGTACGAGTGCTAGTGTATACTACTGTACTGTCAGTACTGTAAGCCATAGAAAGGCAGCACTACAGTACAGCAGGACAAGGAGTCCCCTGATTGCCTGTCTAGGTAAATGCGTTGCTCGGCAGCAGAGAGACAGAGGCAGAGACCAAGCGCTGTCCCCGGAACACGCCGGCCCTTCCCCTGCCCTGTGTCTATCCCGGCCTGTCGTTGCTTCCATGTCAGCCTCGAGGTATCGCCAGCCGAAAGGTACCTACATATCAGTTCCAGTCTGAGCCGCTTCTTTTCCTCATAGCACCTAGATATCCTACAAGGCGTATTGGCAACTCGATAATGTTAGCACAGAGGCGTCAGAGAATTCAAGGCAATCCGCTTCCCTACCTCGTTCTCCGTACTTGTATACCAGCCCCTCTTTCAAAAGGTCCTCCCTCTGCTAGAATTACCAATCACGCGAGTTATCAACTCCAAACCTTAAACAATTCCTGTTGTGCCTGCGGGTTTTTTTCCTGCCATCGCGCTCATATCAAATTTCCCCATGGACAACCGGGCATAACAGCCCCCACCCCCTTCATTCACATCTCACTTTGTGAGAGAAGAACCGGACCAATGAACCTCGCAGCACATTGGCGCGAAACCTGTTCAAGTTACCTTTGTGGAACGCATTCTTTAGAAGAGGGGGAGATTGAGAGCCTTTTGAGTTTGATATTGCTGCTAGTGAGTAGGCGGTACTTAGTGTAAGCCATTTCATAACGCCAAAATCTTTCGCAATGCTCTAGACTCCAAATGTCATGTGTACTCGAGCATGAGTAATGGTGATCGGCGGGCCGTTGCGTTTGCTTGTCCATGCATAGCAATTAACGCATTCACAGCACTATGTGGTTATTAGTCCTTGAGCTATCGAATGCCGCTAAAGAAAAAAAAAAAAAAAAGAGAGAAGAAAAGGGTCTGAACGTACACTAGATTAGTCTTTTTACCCACTCACTTAGACGCCCATGACACTTGTGCAGTAGGTATTTCTTTCTTTTACTTGTAGTTGACTTTTCACCACTTGAGTTGTAAGTCCTGTCTTGGTGAATGTAGTCCCAGCTATCGCTTCCTAACTTGTATCCTTGTACGGAATATGCACAGCTGTACAAGTACTCTATTTTACCAGAATTGAAAGCACGAGTACTTGGGTCTCGGTAACGGAGCGAAGTCGACCCCGCTACTGTAGTCTTGGAAAACGTATTCTTCGTCCGTACAAGTAGCTCGTGCCACCAGCAGGCTAACTTGTTAGGGCGAGAGCGCATGCTTCTCTCCCCACTGTACCGTGGCGAATGATGCCCTGGTCACGATGACCTACACGCGGCTGCAGCCGTGTTGGCCGTCTTACCTCCCCACGAAGATTAGCAGGGAGTTTCGGATGCAAGAAGGGATGTCTTTGATGGGTTGCAGTGGGCGTGTTGCAGAGGATGTAACCCGATGTGTCCAGGCCGTTTGCTGTCCGACAGGGGATGCAGATTTACCAGGAATATGGCTGGAAGGGGATTCCATACCCATAGCAATCTGCCTAAGGTGGCCCCCCCCCCCCCTGTTGGCTCTGACAGACCCCTTGGATAGGGGCTGGTTATTGGGGCACAAGTGGAAGATCTCCTCTCCACTTGTGTCCACCCCAACCCTTTCTGTCTACTCCGTACAGTACTTGAGCACCTCTTCGTGGAGCTTGTAGTTAGGAGTGCCCCATACCGATTATTTTCTTTTCCTGTAAATTGATGTGAGCAAAATGCTTGTCTTTCCAGCAGAGTAGGTTATACAGACACTCCGTACTGTACTCCATACCGAGAAACTCCATCTACCTATTTCGTTGTTAGATGAACTGGTGGAGCGCATTATAGCCGTACACGTTTACTGTACGTACGAGCGGGAACCGCGCAGTAAAAGCAGCTGCAGCGACAGATTGTATCAAATACTAGCTCGAAACGGTAGTTATTAAACTGTGTATAGATAGTTATTAACGCCACCAACTCATATCTTTGAAGACATTACCTAATCATATTGACCAGAGCCGTCGTTGAAACTGCCAGCTTACTGTACATACTGCGTATGGGTTCTAGAGTAGGTATCACGTCGTATGCAGTTCGCTTCTGGAAGCTCACCGACTCACCGCTATCTAGGGACAAATAGCTGAAGCGGGGCGTGTCAGGCCATTGTCGCATTCGGTACCATTTGACGTGTGCTTTACGCTTTAGTATAGAGGCCTGTACGAGTATCAGTACTTGTGAGGCGAGAATGACCTATCATGTAAACGCAGCTGGTCAACTAACGCCTCTTCCTAGACTATAACTGTATGCATATACATGTACTACTTGTAGATAAATGGCCAAAAAAAAAGGGGGGGAGTTGCTGTTGGGAATGCGAATACCGCTGTCAAGGTTCGATGGGAAGAAGCCAGCTCCTCTTTATTGCAGAACTTACAGCTGTTGTTTTGCCCCAGGCACAGGTATAGACAGATACTGTAGATATCTCAAGTCGACAACCCCCACGAGTCTCAGTCGCCGCGGAGCAAGCGTGCGTCGAGCATGAACATGGGTGTGCATAACGACCTCCCATCTCGGCTTGAATCCGTCTAGGCAGTATCGGAAATAGATTGCGCGCCACACAGTGGGCAGTGTTGTTGTTTAGAAAGTTACCCGACGTCAAAGGAAGGATTGGTACACAGCTGCGCGTACTCGCGTCAATAGACAATCATCTCAGCTGTACTGGGCAGCAGTAGCAACTCATAGCGGAGCATGTCAATACCTCTTCGGCGGGATTTTGTCAGTCCTAGCCTCTTAACAGCGTGAGCCAGACCGCCATATGCAATGCATGCGCTGATGACACGAAGCGCGTCGAAGTTCTCAGAAAGATACAAGTATGGAGTACATGATCCAGAGTACTACCTATTCTGGCTGATATGCAGTATACTGCACGGACATATACAAGTAGTAAGTACGAGTACCTACACTTGCGCGTTAATCGTGTACATGCTTCAAATGCCCTGCTTCTTTCTTCCCTGCAAGCAGAGACCGGAGAGCCGGAAGGCCAGCCTAGCTCCCATCTCCCGCATGCAGCTAATACAGTAGATCCAATGTTGCTGTCGCAGTATCCAAACAGGATTGGATGATACTGAGACTCGCAGGCTCGCTAGCCAGACAGTGTTGCAACGGCGATTCTCATGTACAGATGTGGAAGTGGCTCAGAGTCAGGTACCGCAGGAAGTACTGTACCGCCAGTACAAGTACATTCTGAAAAAACAAGAGAGAACGAGAGGCGAGGAAGAGGGAGGGGGTGGCCATAATAACGTGCAGGCGGCGAACTTGCGAGCGATGGCCGTTTCTTGGGGGCCGTTTCTGCAGCGTTGGAGCGACAAAGTTTCCGGTCTTGTGACGGCTCTTTGCGTTTTGTCAATGCTGATTGTCTTGACCGACATGCTACGACCCAGTAATGACGATCGGCTAATTTGTCTCTCTTCCCCGGGGTGTGAAGCCCAGTCGGTAGCCTCGTTTTGTCCGGCCATAGTCATCGGCAATTGATGCAAAGATTCGAATGTACTGTTACTACTCGGCGATCAGCGCAGGAAGACGGCGAATCCAGTCTGTAGAGTAATGTACTTACTTAGATACGTAGCATTCGAGCTATATTCATTACGATAAGCATTGTGTTTGCCTGGGCATACTCGTACGAGTATGCCAAACTGGTAGTAGCAATAGTGCGAATCGCGCTGTAACCCTACCTGTAGCCTGTCAATACGCATCCATATATTTGTCACGCAGCGTATCATACCACGTACAAGTAGCCAAGTCTTGTCCAACAGCTCGGACCTGTAGCCTGCAGTAGCCCAAAGCTTTGCTTTCTATAAAGCGCGTGAGAGTAGAGATGTGCTTGTAACGACGTCTTGCTCGTAGCTGACGAGACATGACACCACAACTAACGAATTGTACTGGCAAGACCGCATCGCGTCTACAGAATACGTACAGTACCAGTCTGTCCGCCAATCGAAATCCAATTTGTCAGGGACATCTGCTCCGTCAGACTTGGCGGGATCGGGCATCGCGTGGTGGAGCGAGTTGACAAGTGAGATGAAGTGTCAGCCATCGTGTTGCGGCGTTTTGCTGAAAGACCTCTCGTGTTTAAAATTAGCCCACTAGCCTTGGAGCCTTGGAGCCTCGGAGCAGAGCGCTCGGATTTACTCCGTACCGCGCTCCGCAGACAAAGTAACGTTTGATATTGGCACAAGTACTTGCTCAGACACCTTACCTCTAGAGTAAGGGCCGTAGTATGCAAGCATACTTGTCAGCTCATGTATTTTCCTCAAAGGTACTTTGGTGTACCTTGAGTGTGATTTATCATGCAAGAACGGACACATGGCACATTGCGCCAAAGGAAGCGTAATTTAACCTGATTCTGAAGAAAATCCCTCTTTCAAATGCCCTTCGCAAGACTTTACGATTGACTGACAGTAAACGGAAGAATAAGAGTGTAACCCTGCGCTTGTTTAGCCAGAACTAATCTTGGCCATCATAATTTAATATTGATCATGCGTCTCCTGGATGTCTATACGCTCTTAGCAACTAACCGAGTGCGATGACGAGTAATTCGGGTTAGCTCACGAGGCTGGACTCTTTAATCAAGGAAGAGTTTTGGTCGGCGATAATATTTACAAGCTAGCAGTACGGGTACTTGGCTGTAATACCGTTTCGAATGAGCGGTAAACGGTGTAGCATGCATGAAGCGTCTGACATACGTAGCAAGATGATGGCTTGCAATTGCTGCTTGCGTTATAATCGTACAGTAAGCATAAGAATACCCTGCGGTTTGATACATACCTAGTATTATATCACTTCTGTCTATCCGCTGAATCGGTCGATTCATCTGTGCGTTGATGCGGCCAAACGGCTACTGGGCGCCTATTGTCTCAGCTAAACAAGCTCTCTTGTCCACCAGGCCTTCTCCAGGACTAAAGAAGGCGGCCACGCCACGTTCGAGCTACGGCCACTGGCCCGGTGGACTGGTCTCTTCCGTGGAGCCGGAAAGCCCTTGCCGGAAACCATGTCGCCACGAATCTTCTACCGAAGCACACCCACAGCGGCTCGGAACCCCTGTCAACGCCATTCCTTTGTCTCCCCTACCTGACGGCTCATACTGAAGGTGTCTGCTTGTAGGTACCAGTGAGATACAGCTGTGGAGACGAGATGATACGCTGGATCATGTGGCGGTTTGGAAAAGAAAGTACTACTGTACAGTACAGTAGTAGAGTCGAGTATGAGGGCAGTGAAGCAGTCGATGTGAAGGGCTACGGCTCGTTGATGGATGTTCCAGCATGATGCATACAAGCACGCACAAGGCATGCTAGCCAGCATAATATGGATAGATATGGACCCTAGGCGCAGAGCTACGAGATGCGAACCAATGCTGGTTTACCCCATACCTCTCTACCGGGACACCTATACTGCTCCTTGCATCGCCATCCACAAGCACTGCAAAGGACAGCTGAGAGTTGCCAGCAGCTGCCGGCAGGCGCCTAAGCGCAGATGGATCATTCAGGCAGAGCCGCCATGTACCTATTACTGTACTGTACGAGCAAAGGTTCTCGGAGTTTCCTTTTACATGCCTTGTACGCAGTCAGACTGGATGGAAACGGTCCGGCGACTATCCCCAGCTGCCCATCTGCGTGTACACAGGGTCGAGCCAGGGGGCGGTCGTAGCGGCGTCGATGCGCCCACGATGAGCAACATCTGCCGTTCCAGGATTACTGCTCCTCCATTGACCCAACCCCCGTGGGAGAGCAGTAGCATCAATGCTTACCGCCATGGCAAGGTACGCGAGGCCAGGAAACATTACTAGCTGCAGACGTACCTATGGCAACAGGCACGTCCTGCTGGTCGCATTCTAGAATGTCTCCGTAATGGAGCTCAGCTTGGATCTGGATATTTTGACACTTTGCTACAGAGGGGTTATAGTCCAATATACCTACACTTGGTGAAGCATTTCTTTAATACAGAGCTGGTCACGCTGAGCCTCTGAGTGTAGGGTACATGTAGACTATGATGTTACCTACAGACGTGTACTGTACAGTAGTAGTATTCCGTGCACGTCCTGCCACCGCAATTAAATGATCGCGTCAGACCTGGATCATCTCACTCCCCTCCCTAAACAAGATCTCACGTCGGATGAATTGAAATCGACGATTGCCGGCAGAAATATCAGCATACTAGCGCCGCGACTGAGCCTCAGCCAGAGCGGTCATTTGGCCGAACCTACAAGAGTGTCCGGAGCAGAGCTCCATACTTGCTGTCGGAGCCAAGATTGCCTCTCCGCTTACAAAATGGAGATCCCAGTGGTGGCTAGTCGAGGAGATGCTACCTATTCAGCCTGAAGAGGAGTGAATCGAGGGAATATCATTTGCTTAGCGCGTCTGCCGTACGGCGCACACACTGCCATTGCCCCTTAACATCGGAGGCGGTCACTAAGCTGCTGTGAGCAATACAGTCCTGCCAATATCTATTTCCCGTTTGAGATCTGCGAATGTCACGCTTGCAGTCGGCATCTCCGGACATGACCGTCCCAGTGCGACCATGATTTCACCGGCGCCGGCATCGTATGTAACCTCAGCAATTGGATGAGCACCTATGCCTATCTACCTACTTGCTAGACATACCAGCCACCACCACCTAGGTACTAAGTAGTAGCAGTAAGAATATCCTTTCCTTCTCTAGTCAAGTCTCCAGTATGCGACTTGACGGTGAAAGCCAGTAGCATACGTGTGTTGCCGCACAAGTAGGCATATTCGTCCAGCAGCGCTGTCTTGGCGCTGACGAATTGTCCCAAAGCCCTTTTGACAGCTCAGAACAAGTCTTTGCCAACGTACGCAGCATCGGGGAGATAGCGGTCGCATTCCATGCTCCATATTCGGCAACTCCATCGCTTAAGATACCAAGGGTCTGTGATGAACACAGATCGCTGAGTTTCTAGAAGCATGCTTTATTGCAGTACTAGTACCTAACCGAGATCCTTCGCTTGGGCATCGAAGAAAATACTACCTGTAATATGCGGCACCGGCTTGTCCGTAGCATAGAGTATCTTGGACTTTGGCTTTGGCATCGCACGAAGCAGAGCGCAAGGTACAAGTACTCGTGGCTGTCCACGGCGTGTCCTGGAGGCCACGCTGCTGAGGGGCGATGGGAAGGAGGGATGCTCGCATCTTCTCCACGCTACCAGAGGGCAGTAGCGGCCACGAACCCTCAGAGCAAGCCCCAAGCTCCAAGCTCCAAGATTCCTGGCCAAGGCACGAGCAGGGATTTTGCTCTCTGCATCGACCGCTCAATATCCATCCTTGTTTGCCGCCTCCGCTGCATATCCGCCAAGTTCCGACCGTTACCTCCGCATCCCTGCACAAGGCGTGGATTGCACCGTTTTCTGTACTCCGTCTATAACTCTAAACGTTTTCCGAGCATCAAATCACGAGTACGGCGGCAAAGTATACGACGGCAGACGAGCCACCACGGCACTTTGCTTCAAGGATACTCGGTACAAATTAACAGGCCATCGCTACCGGCAGCGACCGCTTCGGCCCTTCACCTGTCAACCTGCTACAAGCAGTTACGCTTAGCAGTGACATGCTTTCAACAGGCGAGTCGCCTTATAGGCGGGAAAAGCTTTTAGGATGTTGTGGGCATTGCGGCAAATTACTGCCATGCGGGTTTCGCCTTGAAAGGAATTGTCGCGGCCTCTCCTCATCGGACCACTCCGCTTAATGGACAAAAAAGTAAACTCCGTATGTGACTGTACGGATCGGATTTCTTGCGAGTACTGACTGGTAGTAGTGATACCTGTGTGAAAACCGTGTGTGAAGAACCCAAACAGGCCATCCATCTACCCACCCACGGCCCCTCGCTGTCACATTCGAGAAGATATGCGGTTGCTACCGCAGCTGAGATACACACCGAAGGAAGAAGGCTGGATCTCAAGACGATCTCATGAAGCCTGGTGCGAGCCAGCATGTCTATCTGGAGGGGGACTGCCTGTCAATGATCCTGGACTGCGCCAACGCTCCCTGGACCCATGATTTTAGCGGTATTCCATGTTTCCACGTGTATTTCTTGTGGGAGCATCCTCTCACCCTGCGACCGCCAGGAACCTTTGGTGCCCTCTCCAAGCGAAGGACAGCACCACCACTCATTGCTCGAGCGAGCAATTGGGTGCCCGCAATCTTTGCTGGACCCTTTGAAGCTTATGGAGTAATGCTCGGGCCGTGCGGTCATCGCACCAGTGGATGAAGAATTTTTTTTTCCACCGCTCTCTCTTTGCCTTGCATCACGTATTCAAAAGGAAATTAAAAAATGTGTCATTCTGCCTTAGTGGCATTTCGACGTGCTAAGGTAGGTGGGTAGCAGCGACGCTAGTTGGATTCATGCGGCTATGCGCAAGTCCTCCGTGTCTTCGCCAAATTGAGGCGGTAGAACTAAATCCAGGCCCCATCTCGTGCCACTTCATCATGAGAGTTTTACTCAGCATGAGAAAGATGAACCTAGTGGAACACCACAATTTCCTCATACATTCATTCGCGCCTTGGCATTCGCTCTCAAGTTGGGTGATCGCCACACACCCACCAGTCTAAGCGGCGTTTCGGACTTTGGCTGCTGTTAATTAAAAGAAATCAATTACAGAGTACGTTCTACCACGTATTACTTCATACTGCCGCCTGTCTCAGCAGCTCAGTAAGGCCTCTCTCGGTTACGATTCAGAACCTACGGTTGACAAATCTCTGCTTTATAAAACCAACGACGCAAGGGACGACACTTGCTGTTGATGTCGTCGGTAATGCCGTATGCTATCCTCATTACGAAGTATACCTACATGCGCGCATGCCGTATAAAAATCTTTAGCCTCAGGCGGCTGGTCCGGCCCGTTTTGTACGTGTGGATATTCTTGAAAGGGACCGAACCGCGACTAAGCTGTGCGAGGTTCTCCGCACCTATGACAGAAAGGGTAATTGGCAAGAGGCAAGCACGTTGGTTCTGTGAATGTTCCTATACTTTGTTGGCAGTATGACGCCTATGATAGTATAGGTACTCTGTCCGACACACAGCCGCCAGACAAGAGGACTGCCTTGGGGAGGGCACAGAGCAGCACCAGCAATTATTGCCCTAATGATGTCGCATCTCCGGCAGTGTCACCTACTCTGGATTGGTACGTATGAGGTGTTTAAAATAAGCTAAACCAAGGGATAAGCGAGGCAATACTCCTCAGGTCTCATGTACTTGCGTTGACAATTCCCTCCGCTCACTGTATGGACCAAAACATACAGTAAGTACTACTGTTCCGTGCTTTCAAGCCACTTGCAATAATAAAGCAACAGTATCCCACCTTGGGATTGGGCATGAATAACAATGCTAACGAAAATAGGCAGTCATCTGATTGAGACGCCAAGCCAGGCTCAATATCTACACTCACCAGCAAGGTCTATATTCAATTACAAATGCTGCTCAAGCTTTCTCGTCACCACAACCCAGAGATACCTGATCTAGGTTAATGAAAGACCAAGGGCCGTGTTTATTCTTGCGGCATGAGGCCTTTGGTTTCTATGTTTAATGTTAGTTTATGGGATTTGAGCATTTGACCTGCCTAACGTCTCTCAGTGACTGGCATATTGACAAGCTACTGTAGTACTACTTCGTACCCTCCTCATCTACCATCGCCATTGCGCAACGCCAAACCGTATGGTAGGTACTACGGTAGAACCGTTATTGTGCAGTAGCATCTCTGACCTGCAAGCATCTTGCCGCGCCTTGACCAGGATTTAGTGCTGACCGAATCCGCTAACCATCTGGCAGTCTTTCTCTTGGATCGGTTCCACCGTCGCTCAACTAGCCTAGCCAAAAGAGAGTCCCGGTCACATTAGCCATGAGAGCAAGATTCGGCCTAGCAGGATGGAGCACTGGTACGTCTTGTCGCTGTGCACGCCGGGGTCTTTCAGAGAACATGAAGTCGGTAAAGTATTTCCATTTTTTTTTGTCTTGTTCCCTTCCCGCCTTGACGCAAAGATCTTGACGCAAATATCACTTCCGCATATCTGTAGCCGCCTGTATAGGTAGCATAAGGGGCCTCCTAAGATTCATTTACAAGCTGCATGCGCCGTTAAAGCCCCTTTCTTGCATGCGAACACCATCATCTCGTAAACCATTGCTTCTTGCTAGTAGTTCTTCGATACTACTGCTCTACATGTATAGGTACTAATTGTGGTACAGTACGGCTAGTAGTGGCATGAGGAGCATCCCTGTTCGCCATGTCAACGCGTCTGAGCCGAAGCTTGAGTGCCGGTGCCTCGGAATCGCCCGTCTACCAGGGTAAAAGGGGCCAGCGCTTGAGCACCCATGCCTCGTTCTTTTCCTATTCGTACCTGCTTGTATGTTCCGTACCTACCTCCCAGTACCTACAGTATGGAGAGCTACAGTACATGTAGCGGTACTTCGTATATATTCTCATATAATTAGCATTATTCGTTATCTCCCTACCTTTTACGAATCATGTCGTGTGCATAGGCTGATCATCTTTGAATCTCTTTGCAGACGAGCTTATCCTAATTTTGCTTCTCTCTTTCACATCCTCTTCATTTGCTTATTTACTCGACTGGTTCCAAGCTGAACCATTTGCAACTTTCCTTGAAACTTTTCATGAGACCGACCTATTCATCTTCAAGAATACAGCCTAGTACGAGCACCTGTGCTGTAGTGATATCCGTCCAGCCTTTTTCTTCTCTGCTCTAGTTTGTACGCAATGCCACGAGCCTCGCTGATGGGACGCCGGTATATCCTTGGACTTGCATGAACTAATGTAACTGTTCGAGTAGTACCTACCGCAGAACCCAGCACCTGAGCAAAACTCCTGCATGAGGCTTGCTGTTTAGGTAGTCGAAGCATTTTCTCTGCCAGCCAATTGCCACGACACAGCTGTGCCGCCACATTTCCAATACTGGTGGCCGAGATACCATAGGCCATCTTTGACGGCTGTACCTTTGCATCCACTGCCTGTGTTCCCTCCAAGCTACGCGGCGGACAAGTATCATACCTAGCAACGCTACGAAAGCTCTGCCACTTGGGCCTGAGCCTCACAGCTAGATAGCTTGGCTGGAAATTACTGAGAATCTCTAAAGTAAGTACGCTTTATGTATTCCTCTCTTCAAATTCGGTCATGATCTCACTCAAAGCCCTCTACCTCAAACGCATCATCACTGGAGGGGGGTCGATTCTATCTATGCCTTGCTGTACAACCAACCTCATCCTGTCACCTTAAGCTGAGCTAGGAGTATAATCCTGTCGTCAAAGTACACATCTGAGCACAAGGAAACTTGCCCATGAGGAATTGAGAGTGCTCTTGAGCACTTCCGAGCTCTCACTTCCAACCTTTTCACATTCCAATTCAAGCTTCACTGGCTAACACTACTTAGTATCTCCACGGTCAAAACTTCTAGTTCCGACTGCAATGATGGCGACTCTCGGCCAAACCCGAGCGTATTTCCAAGATCATACTACCGAATTAGTAAGTTGCATTTCTCGACTTTGTCAATGTTGCCCCTTTTTTATACATATTCAACATCTATCGGTGCAAGAAGTTTCCCGCAGATTCCTTCTAGAGGCATAGCACGCACCAAGCGGTGTCAGCAAGCCCGTAAAGATTTCTGTCGACATTCAAGCTGGGGGGTGATCTGTGGCCACGAAGCTCGCTAGCGTGCTGTGTCGCAAGGTTGACCAGGCCGGGACTCACTGTGTGGGCACGACGAGCAGCTCCTGTTTCACCAGCGGCCAGGGCGCGCCACCTACGACAGGGCCGAGTGGACCCAAATGGCAACGGGTCTCAGTGTCAGTCGGCGATATTTGAGCAGCAGCTAGGCGAGAAATAGGGCCCTGAGAAGAAGTGACCCAGTGGTCTGGAAGCAGAGCAAGCTGCAGCAAAAGACTTTGATGCGCTGCATAACCAGAGCCAACAGCCATGTTGAAGTGATCGGAGCTTCAAGCAGGGAGTATCGACTGGAAGCTACCTGGCATGGCTGTGTCGAATTACGCAACACTCCACAATCTTTATTTTTGAGCAAAGTTGCGTCAAGGGCAAGGGGTCAGCCACCTGGCACCCAGTAGCGTCTCATTTGACAACTGGGTTCTCGCCGAGCCGCGCTTATTCTTCGTTCCAAGATTGTATACGGAGTACCTGGTGAATCTGGTGAATACGCCACTACCTGTCTCGGGTACACGTTAGAGCAAGGCTACTCATACACTGGATGCAAGCGCAACGCCCATGGAGCGCCGTATAGACCGGTGGAGATTAAGCAGCATTTGAGGGATACACAGAAGCTGTGTTCTACGGGTCTAATACGACCCAATCGTCAAGCTCTCGGTGGGGGCTGCGCCACCACGTCTGCTCGCGAGCTGCTAATGTCTGCTCCTATCCCGAGACTGGGCTCAGCTGCTTGGAGGCGTGGTGTGGCGCGGCGCTATGCCACGGTTGATGGATGGACAGCACTTGGCCGTGTTAGCCAGACGAGAATAGCAGCAGATTGCTCGCAAACGCTCGCTCGTCCCATCTCTGCACGCAGCGGTAGAGGGCTGGACAAGGCCACAGGGAAGAACATATCAGAGCAGGAGGATGAATGGCCGTGACCAGGCTGGCGCTCATGGTGGGCTCGGTGTCCGCCGCGCCGGTAGCCGAAACCGGGGAACCTTCATCTGGTCTACTCTGAATACGTCTGTGCCTGCCCAGGCCTCCCGTTTGTTCGAGCATGGCTAGCACAGACAGGTGTACCTACGTGTACCAAGCACGAGCAACTGATCTCGGCTTCTGTACAAGTAGGTATGTGCATACTTGGTCGCAAGGCGACGACAGATGACGATGGCGATGATGCTGCTGCTGCTGCTGCTGCTGCTGCCGCTCCTCCTCCTCATGCCGGCGTCTCTGTTCACGCTCTCGCTGTGCGCTGCAGGACGTGCTAGTGCCGTCCGCCACAGTGCTGGGTCAATCCATTTCCCTTTCTTCTCTCTCATCCACCCACACACACCGCCTGTGGGCTAAGAGAAGATGGTGATGGCAATCCCGGCACAACCCTTGTCCACTGGCTAGGCCCGGCTCTGCAGTGCCTGATTGGGCAGCTGGTCCTGGTCATGTCGCCCCTGGCTGGACTTACCAACGCTATTACTGGCTGTGTAATCAAAGCTCTGCGCCCCTGTCGCGTCTCCCATGCGCTGGCTAGCCCCGGTTCTGACCCATCCTTGCTCCCCGTCGCTCTCAAGCTGCCTCCCGACCAGACACCCCCTCCCCTGCTAGTACGACTCAGAAAAGTATTTGGGACTTGGGGTCACCTAGCTCCTTTACTTTTGGCTATCCCTCTTGGAAATTTTTTCTCTATTTCTCGGGAGAGAAACCAGAGGAAAAAAAAAAGCAAAAAAAAAAAAGAGAGAGACCTTCATTCTCCTTTCTTGTTGAGCGCGCGCGTTGCACATCTGCGTTCGTTGTTTTCTTTTCTGCACTGCAAATTTCCCACGCGTCTTCCTTTCCACAGGGGGGTTCAGCAAAGCTCCTTCTTACTTGTATTTCAAGGAAGCAGCTTGACCGTCCCGATTCTGCATCTCCGTTCTGTACGGTACGGCGGTAAGCATCAGTCCCGTACTTTGCATACCACCTCAGATCCCTACGCGAATTCCCTGGTCCTTGGGCCAAACATAATTTTCTTCCCTCGTCCACCCCTCCTTGCCGCTCCGCCAGGTATCTTTTCTCCCCCTGGCTTGTCCTCTTTGTGCCTGTTGCATGGCCGCCCCGACGGCGCAAGAAACCGCCCTGCTCGTTTTCCTGCCTCCCGTTGTTCGCAAGCCATTCCCCCCGGTCTCCCGCTCATCCCTCGCTCTCCCAGTTCATAATCTGGAGCTAGGCGGTACGACGTCCCCACGTTGCGCCCACTGTGCCTCTACCCCAAAGCCCTCTGCCTCCGGTACGCGAGTCCAAGATTGCTTCTACCGGCGTTGTCTTTTCAGGCCTAGCACGCCTCACCCGTGTCATCCCGGTCGCGGCCAGGGGACTGGCCCACCCCACCACGACTTGGTAGACCATCAGTCTGTCAAGGGGGCAGATAAAACATCAACGCGTCCTATCTCGAACTGTTTTTCTTTACCAGCTTAATGAGTTTTTCGACGTTGAAGCCTTACTGATGCGTGTTCTCCCTATGCAGCATCAAGCCCACCACCAGCAACAGGGTCACCCGCCTTCGCAACCGCTTCAGCATTCGCGTCCCCCAAGCATTGTTCACCAGCAACACCACCCTCATTCGCAGCACCCGCCGCCGCAGCATCACCAAGGCGCATACTCGTCGCAACACACTCTCCCGCAGGCGTACCAGGCCGGCAACCAGGCGACCAGCACGCCAGAGACCTTGAACTACTACAACCACCCGAGCCCGTACAGCACTCCAGGTGCCACGAGCGGATACACGTCCGCCGGTAAGCCTCTCTGCGCGCAGCAAGCGCAGCCACGCACGCGATTCGATTTTGCCTTGTTCAGGATGCTAACGCACAAGTCTCTTGCAGATACCTCCGACATGATGGCCGCCGCTCAAATGCCTAGACCTCCCTACCCTCCAATGTCATATCATACACCACAGTCCAATTCGCCCGCATCAGTAGCGTCACCATCGCAGCATGACCAGCACAGAAACTTGTACGGCCAGCCGCAGTCTCAGCATTTGCAGCAGTCCATGTACTACCAGCCTCAGCCTCAATACCAGTCCATGCCCCATCAGGCGGCTCCCTCTCCCTACGCGCAGCATGCCCATCACCAACAACATTCAATGGCCTCGCAGCCCAATATGATGATGTCGCATGCAGCACAGCAGAACCAGATGCCGCCGCACGCGGCGCAGCACGCACAGCATGCGCAGGCCGGCATGACAGGTAGCCCGCGACCCAAGATCGAGCCCCAAGTTCCCCTGCAGCTGCAGAAACAGCAGCCCTCTCCCATGTCGCAGCCCCACCATCAACAGGGTCCGCCACAACTTCAAAGTCCTGCCAACCCAACTCCTGCGGTCAACCCCAATGCTGCTCCGGGCCCTATCCCGGCAACGACGCCTCTCGTCGTAAGGCAAGACGGCAATGGCGTTCAGTGGATTGCCTTTGAATATTCCCGGGACCGGGTCAAGATGGAGTACACCATTCGCTGCGATGTCGAGTCAGTAAACATCGAGGAGCTCTCCCCAGAGTTCAAGCAGGAGAACTGCGTCTACCCAAGGGCATGCTGCCCCAAGGACCAGTACCGCGGAAACCGGTTGATTTACGAGACTGAGTGCAACAGAGTCGGATGGGCTCTGGCACAGCTCAACGTGCCACTGCGAGGCAAGCGAGGCTTGATTCAGCGCGCAGTGGACAGCTGGCGCAACAGCAACCAAGATCCTCGACTCCGAAGCCGACGCGTTCGCCGCATGGCCAAGATGAACAGTCGCAAGCAGCAGCAACAAGTCCAGGGCGCTCCGCATCCTGGTGCCCATATGTCAGGTCCCGGTGGGCCAGGAGGGCATCCAGGCGCTCCCGCACCCATGCCCACAGCTCATGCGCCCAACATGGGCAAGCCAACGATAGGCGGCATGGGGCAACCTATGCACCATCACCATGCCGGGGGCCACCCTGACGGCGGCGCACCGGGTGGAGAAGAAGTCGGTATGTTTCACCAGATGTAATTTTTTGAAATGATTGCATCTGCTGTACACTTGCATCACCTTTTTTTTGCCTTTGCAACCCTCATTAGAGACAGTTTTTACGCCGTCAAAACGTTGTGTTGATTTAATGATACCAACTCATTTTTTTTTTTTACCTCCTATGCAAAAAAGCACTCTACACTTATATTTGGCAAGGCAAACTCTATATTTGTTTTTTTTTTCCACCCGAGTGGCCTTTGTCTTTTTTGCTATTTCCTTTTCTACTATTGGTTTTTCCTCTTTTTTTTTTTTTCCTTTTCCCTCTTCGGCTGTATGACACTTTAGGAATTGGGGATCTGTAACAATTTGTGTTATTTCACGTCCGTTTTTTTGTTAAATAGCAATGGGCCGGCATCGCTTGTCTTACCGCGCATTATTATTACCTATTTTATACAGCATGCCTTAATGGCAAGAGGTCGATAGTCGATCCCTCGGTTGGCACACATCCTGTATATTATCATAAAAAGTCGCATCGGCTGCCGCTGCTGTTCAAGTTTGTCTGCTTTTGCTGCTGGTTTTCGCGCGACTCTTAGATGAGTTCAAAATACGCCTTGAGGCTATAAAAAGTTTCCCCCCTTTTCTCTCACTGGCTTGCTGGCAGCTAAACTTTGCTACGTTAATTAGGAGAACATTTCTTCAATGACGCATAGCAGAGAAAGTGGCTTGCCTTTCTGCTTTGGCCCCCTTTTTTTAAAAGATGTTTCTTCTGTCTCCTCCTTCTACAGTACTTGGTTACTTCGTTTTCCCCGTCATTCGCGTTTGCTCGCCGAGTAGTAATTATGGAGAGTAAAAGCTAACGCGTATGTGGAGGTGAAGGAAATAATTCCTACGAGGATAATCACCACCACCATCAACCGCCAACGGCTCAGATGCCCCCTGCTGGCAACGAAGATGTGAGACAAGCACACGTCTTTGCGGGATACGCGGGCCCGGGTTCATATCCCGTCGGTCCTCAAGGCGGGTCGATGTCTCATATAGCTCCTCGAACCAACGGTGCCATACCAGCGAGGAGCCATAGCCGTGTCGATGACGCCAATGACGACCTGTTCCCCGATATCCCTGAAGCAAAGAGACGCAAATTCATCTTGGTTGAAGACAATGTACGGGCCTCGCGCCTTCGTGTGCGTGTCACCTTGGACGGCGTAGACACGAATGAGATCCCAGACAGCTTCCGCAAGGGAGCCAGTGTATTTCCCAGAAGCTTCTTCCCTCGTGAGATGCAAAGCCCACCCCCCAGTGCCACGGGCTCGCAATTCTTCGTCGACGACGTTTCCGATGACGGAACGCAGGAGACCGAGGGTCGCGAAGCTTCCCGTCGCGGCGCCGAAAAATCCAGGGGTGAGGTAGTGAAGATTACCATGGCAGAAGGCCAAGAGAGGGAGGCGACTATTCCCAGGATGAGAAAAACAGGTCGTGTGAACGAGGTGCGGCTGAACGATCTTGGCTACCGGATGGCTTGGCTTCAGAGCAGAGTCTTTTCTGGCCGAACCGTGTTCCTCCAACGAGCCCGTAAGTATCTATGGGCCACACACACACAGAGAGAGAGAGATTTGCGATATTAACAGAGTGAATATAGTTGACTGCTATCGGAACAAAACGCGCGCAGCAATCGAGGGTGCTATGGTTGACGTCCAGTCTGTAGCACCACACTTTGAAACCAGGCCCGGGAAACGGCGATGGGCTAATCGGATGAAACGCGGAGCGAAAAACAATGACGATTAAAAGCATTTTTGAATACAGCCTCTCTCTGCCTTGATACATTTTCCTCACCTTAAAAAAAAAGAAAAGCGTTGTGTGTGTAAGTATTTTGATCTTTGGGATTGAACGCTGGTTCGTCCCTGATGTTCTTTTTCTATTTTCTTTCGGAAGGGAAGGGCTATGATAATTACGGTTCTTTTTAGTCTTTTGCTAGTTTTTGCGTGTTATATGTTGATGGAATTGGATGCATCTTGGTCGAGCGGTTTTCACAAACTGTACTAGGATAGGGAACTAATGGGCTTTGCAAGCGGGCTGGATGGACTACTCGGAAATATATGGGTTGGGTTGGGCTTTTATCGACGCCCTAGGATGAATTCAACTGACGACATACTTCGTTTCTCTTTTTTTTTTTTTCAAGCCATGAGTTGGCTTCTTTCCTTGTTTTCTGTAGTGAGCTTTGTCGTTGTCGTTTGCTTTCTGCTTTCCATGGCTTACATATATGTATGGCTACCTGTATAAGTGTTTAGCGATTGTAGCGACTGTGAGACATCATGTCTTAATAAGAAGAATGAGGTAGTCTACGATTTACACCGCTTTGAAAACATGGTGTCTGTCAATGCTGACGGCATGTGGCCTAGCCAAGCCGTCTGTCTGGATGGTATGGCATTCGACATCAGAGCTGTCACCTTTTCTCTGGCAAGGGTTTACGATCTATGTATGTATCTTGGAGGTAATGCAAGGGGCAGATTCTGGAAGACGCAGCGAATGTACGGTACCTGCAGAGTACATCCGTCTTGCGGGAGCAGATGTTAGTAGCCATACGGCTTGCCAATAAGAAGGGGCAGAACCAAAGATTGAAGTGTCCAGGCGGGAAGTGGATTCGGCGGGCGCGCACATGGCAGCTCCCTGCCTTTCTCTCGCACAGCATTCTTACTTGTAGAAAAATAAAAAACACCCGGTCCTTTCCCCCCCCTGGCGCAGATCACGGCCCTGCATGCCCTGTAAGGCTTTCGGAGAAACATGTGGAGAGAGAAGGGAGAGAGGAGAGGCCATCCTTGTCCTGCCCATCGAGGGGCCAAGAGGCGAAGATTCTTGACGAGGGCGATGAAAACTAGGCCACGTCCCGTATGCAGCGCCGAGCTTAGCAGGGTGCGTTCCATGTTAGGTATATCTACAAGTATGGGCGACAGTACGAGTACACGCCTTGCATGAAGCTTGGCCACCCACAGGCATGTTCACAGGCACCGGGTTCAGGCTCATGGGAGTTTATTTTTTCTTATTTCAAGGTTACTTTTGTTGTTTTTGGCTCCCGCTCTCGCTCCCTGGAGCTGTCAAGGCAAATGTTCGCCAAGGCCTGCCTGCCTGCCTGCCTTCCTTTCTTCTCTTTCCTTGCTACGTGTAACATTCTAGCAAGCAAAGGACTCTAGTGCTGGCACGATTCAAGGCGGCCCCTGCCGGTGGTTTCAAACCGTTTTTATTGCAAGAGGCGGGCGTGGCATGTGGACATCCAAATCGCAGGACCAGGCGTTTCCGTCTTTTTGCTCACACGCCATGTGGCAGCATCTACTTGTCCCTCGTGCAGTGGCAGCTGGCTTGCGTACTTTGGCGTGGCTGACTCGGCCCGCTTTTGGGGGCTTGGCTGTGTGGCTTATGTTCCTTTTTGTCTTCCATAGTCCATAGCTGTAACTACTTTATACTGACTGCCGTGGAACTTATACACCATCAAACCAACTACATGCGAGCGCGGGTCTAATTGCGGCGACGGACGAAAGACACTCTTTGTTTGGGAGGACTTTGATTAAGGGGAAGTGAAAGGATATTGGGGGATCAATACGGGTTTCAACGGCCACGGTAGCCTGTTGGAGCAGCTTTTGCTTTTCTGGCATTCGTTTGCGACCGCGACCCCCAGCTCGATACGACGATCGACAGACGAAGGCGAAGGCGCAGCAGTAAATACGCACGTCTGTGATACGAAACATATAAACCGCGATATGAACGGGCGAGGTCTGAAATTCTGTTTATAAGAAAAAGAGAAAGAGGGAAAGAAAGAAAGAAAAGGCCGCCGCCGCGTGTCATCTTACATGTAACCCGCAGCCATGGCGCATCATCACCAATACCCTCCTCCGTCGCAGTTCGCCGGCGGGGAGGTTTTCGAGATGCCCGCCGACTCGGTGGCGCCAAAGACGGAGCCGCTGCCGCAGGCGAATCCATGGCCGTTTTATCTGGACCAAGACGTGCGGACGGAGGCGCGAGTTGACAAAGAGGAGGAAGGGGAGGGGGAGAAGGGCGCTGGGAGAAATGCAAAAGTCGCTGAGCAGCCGTTGGCGAACCCGTGGGCGTATTTTGGGCCGATGACGCCGGATGAAGAGAAGGGCGAGGGAGAAGACGCCGCTGGGCGTGAGACTGCAGTGGGAGGGACTGTTGCCAAACAGAGTGTTGGTGGATTGGGGATCAAGATGGAGGAGCTCACGGTGGAGGAACAAGAAGAATCCAAGGCGCAGGGCGAGAATGTGGAGGATGCTTCACTACGGCCACTACCGCTGCATCTCGGCGGCTATGGCAAACAAGACGGAGATGACGAAGCTCCTCCTCATGATGCGCCTCCTCCTGTACCAACAGCATCACCGCCGCCGCCGCCGCCGGGGACAGACTACGTAGCGCCTCTACGATTATCGAGAAAGCAGGTCCCAGCATTCACAGTCGCGCCGGCCTTTAAGCCGTATCTGCCGCCAGAAGAGAGCAACAATGCGACAATTGCGCCGCTCAAGGTGACACACCAGAGGGCGTCGTCGGCGGGCCCCGAAGGCAATTCGGACGCGCTGCCGTATCGGCCATATCGTCCTCCGGGATATGTCACGCCGCCTGTATTGAACGCAGACAATGGGGCCGATGTAGCGGGACCTGCTGTGATGCCAGTTCCCAGGCCTGCGTCAACATCGTCATCGACACCAGCTTCGGCGCCGCCTCCGCTGCCGCTGAATGCTCACGACTCTCTGGCCACTGGATCCGTTGCTGCTCAGGTAGCGCCGCCTCTGAAAACACCGTCGCCGTTAGCATCACCGAATCCTGCGCCGCCGCCGCCGCAGGTTGTTGAGCCGTTCCGTTCGACGGAGACTCCTTTGGATGGAGCGGCGGCACCACATCGCCTTTATTCGCCATCTGTAACGGCTGGTCCTCATCCTCCCCCTGCTCCCACTCAAGCTCCTCCTCCTGCTCCAGCTGCTTCACCTCCTGCTGTTGCTCCTACTGTTGCTCCTACTGTTGCTCCTACTGTTGCTCCTACTGCCCCTCCACCTCCTCCAGCTCCAGCTCCAGCTCCTCCTATCCCAACGGTAGCGGTAGCGACCGCAGAACCTTCAGCGGCTGCCGCTTCAACTCTGTATCATGCTCCTCCTCCTCTCCCTCCTCCCGTGTCTCAGACGACGACTGCTCCTCCGTATCACCGTTCACCAAGTCCATCAGCTTCGAGTCCTGGTCTTGGCCCACCTTCAAGCTCAAGTCCTGCCCTGGGCTACTCTCTAAACTCGAGTCCAACACCAGGATACCAAGCATATATGACGCCTCATTCTGCGCCCACTTCAGCTATGCCCAGCCCAAACATGACTACGTACCCATTCCAACCTATCGGCCAGAGTCAGCCGCAAAATATGTACACTTCCTCATCACCTCCTCCACCGACAGGATCTCCTGGCCAACCGGCTTCGATGTATTACCCACCTGCCCAGCAGTATACTCCTCCGCCGCCACCTTCAAGTTACGATATCCCACAACGTACTTATGCGTCATCAGCCGATATTCCACCGCCGCAACCACCACGGCCGCCGCAGTACCAACAACAGCCATCGCCGGTGGCATATCAGCCCCAAGCGTCGCCACAGTCACCTTCACCATATGCATTCCCTGACGCACAAAGGCCAGGCACGCAGCCTCCTTATGCGCAGTCATCCATGTACAACCTGCCATACGGGCCAGCGGTAGCTCCTCACCAGCATCAATATCCAACCCAGCCAACCTACGCAACCCCCAATAGCGAAGGCCCATCTTCTCCAAACCCCCAGGACCTCTATGCCGCGCCGCCTCTGCCGCCTCGCCCGGCAACGGCAACTGGCTGGGGCAATCAGCCGCAAGTGGTCACGGGATTCACACCGCACGTCGTAGCGTATCCTCCGCCGCCGAAGAGAGTGTTTGATCCGCCGCCTGCGGCTCCGGCTGGCCCGCCGAGGAAATCATCGGGTGGGATGGGGATGGGGATGGGCAGTGGTAAGCTGTTTAGCAGCTCTTCGGCCTTGAAGTGGATCGATAAGAGGGGGAAGGGGTTGGAGAATAGGCTTGATTCTGTGCTTGGTTCGCAGAGCGCGTCTAAGCCGCCGCCTCAGCCGCCTCGTCCGACATGAGAGTCGAATGAAGACGGTTTTCTTTCTTTCTTCCTTTCCTTATATACACAAGTACTCGAATTTGATGAGCGAATTTTTTTTTGGATTGGTAGCAGCGATTAGCATTTGGAATGGCTATAAAGTAGATGGAAGAAAGGCAGCGAAGAGATGGTGTTTGGATATGTTTACTGTAGCTGGTATGTTTTGATGTATCATCTCTGTTTTCTGTACACCTTTGTTGGATGCATAGATAGCTACTTATGTTATATAATATGATGTACCAATTTATCGAATTATTTACGGACCAAGCCTGCTTTTACCTTGTCCTTAGCATCGTATTCGCATCATGGTTGTGTACTTGTATGACGGTATGTTATACACGACGCTGCTACAGGCACTCAGCTAAAAGCTTGAGTTACAGCGGCTTCTAGAAAAACTCGGAGAGCGTTGCATTCACGTTTGCCCATTCATGGCTCCGTTATTGCTGTGGGAAAAAAAGTATATGCAGTGGGACCATTCCTCTAGCAGGCATTTGCCCAGGCAAAATTCCTTTGCGATTAAGAGGTTTAATGTACCTGCAAAAGCAAAAAAAAAAAAGGGTTTGCTGGATTGAAGCAGGAGGCTCACACACAAGAATATATGCAAAGCCTTCTGCAAGCCAGAGACGTAGCCACTGTGAGTTGGCAAATTCAACAAAACAATGGCTCCGGTCGTCTGATGCACATGACGGCATCGAGAGGAGAGAGAAAGAAGCTACTTTCACCAGCAGGAACTACAAAAGCTTCATCGTCTTCTCCTTTCTGTTGTAACAAGCAATTTGCCGCCCTTGCTCGGGGAGAACAACATTATTTCGATCGCCAACGGGGGGAGTATTACCACCGAGATGAAGACGATGCAGTGTAGCCAGCCGTACTCCGAACACCCAGTCACTCTTTTTTTGCTCTTCGCCACTTTCCCCAAGTTTTGGGGAGCTATGGGCGAACTTTCAGCAAATGACCCTCCTGCATATGTGTATCTGTGCGTTTGATGTCTTGTGATGCGTACATCCTTTGAGCATTTCTACTGTATCTCTGCACTGTGGGTATGAACAACCTTTGGTACATATGAAAGACGACGAGCTTTTTAGTTCAAAGGACTTAGGTGACCCGTGTGGAGATGGACTCTATTTTCGGTCACTGCGGAGAACGGTCTAGCCACTAAGTAGCCGCTGGTGCTGGCGGCCCGACGGTTTGCGACTCCAATATTTGATAGATCAGAATGCAAAGAGGGGGAGGTTGATAAAGGGACGGGAAGAGGACAATAATGAGGGGGAAGCTGAAATGACAATCTAAGTAGTGTACGGAGTACATGAATGGTAACTTGCCTCTCAGTGAATACAAGAGACAGCGTGGGAACCTCGGCATTAACACTTGGTGATACGCACTGGCAGTATAAGGAATCGAATATGCCGCATGGACCTAATTCTGGAGACTTTTTCTTCCTCCCCAAGTCACTTGCTAATGCCGAAGCTTGATCAAGGGTCGCCTCAACGGACGACATGGCTCAGAGTGGGAGGGCTAACATCCCTGAATCGTGCTACTACAAGCAGCTTAGCAGCTAATATGCAGAATCGCCCGAGCCGCTTGTCTCTAGACCATTGCTCATTTCTCTTGGTTTGGCGATTGAGCTGAGTGCTCAAAAGGGCGTTAGAAAGCACATCCATCATTAGTCCATTGCAATCTACGTGCATATACACCAGCCGGGAGCTTAAGCGGCTATAGTATGCGGCCTCACAAAGACAACGTTTCAGTTTGGAGTTGGCGAGCTTTGGCAAAAGGCGGACATGCAAAAAACAAATTTTTTTTTTTCACTTGCTTCGTTGAGCTGAGAGAAAAGGCTCAGATTGCCGGCCGGTCACACCGACTTTGGTATGACAAAGGGCGCAGTTGGAGGGAATTTTACTGAGTGATGGGCGCTCGGGACCTGTCTGGGCTACCCCAGGAATTTGGCCAGCCGCCGATCTGGCTTCGCATGTCAAAGGTGGTCAGGTGAGGAACGCATGGGTGGCGTTTTCCTGAGGGAATTTGCAGGTTGGTGAGCGAGGCTCTAGGGCTTTTGCATCAGGCAGGATTTTCTTATTCCTAGTTTCATTTGCTGGGTTTGCCTCGCTACGGAACGGAGTAACGGGGAGATGCCCTAAGCGAAGTGGTAAGCAAGCGCTGAGTGAGCAGAGCAGCATCTGTGAAGCTTTGGCTTTTGACTTTGGCATGGGGTTGGATTATTGCCAGCAGCGTTTCAAGGGTGTGCGCTGTGGTACTGTGCAATATTACCATGCATAGATGTTTGATTTGGCACCATTGCTCGTGAGATATGGCCAAAAGCATGCGTCCGGTACACGGGAAAAGCAACAGTCATTGGAATGGCAATAGCACTGGTAATCACGGCGATATCCGATCGTCCGTAGAATGCACGAATTGTACCTTTTCGGCCAGCATTCTCGTATCCCGAGATGAGGTTGCAATCCAGCGCAGGCTCCCACGGCTTGCCACATTTCGAGGCATAATTGCCAGTTCATTGCCAGCGCACGTCAGCGCTGCATCCTCTGGCACGCTGTCGCCCAGTGGTCCATATGCAGGGCGGTAAATGAGGCATCTCGGTGAGCCGCACCCTGGTCTGGCCTGGCCTGGCCCGGCCCTTGTGGCCCGTCACGCAGTCGAGAGCCCTGATCAATGGTCGGCCCAGCTTGGTGCGGCTGAGGGCGCCTTTCGCATGGATTGTACGGTCACAGCATGCTGAAAGCCTCTTTCTGCTCCCTTTGTTGGCTTGTTTGTTTCAATCTCGATGCAATGGCCCCAGAGCATCGCGGCTTCTAGCGCCGTTGTGCTTTCACCCGGCCTTGGCTGTATCTCCCACCATCGTCCATCTGGGCTCGAGGGATTCCGGCTGGATCAACACCCATCTGCTGCTCCGTGCTGTGCTTTTCAATTAGCGCCGCCTCCTCAGTTGCGTGCTGTTTGCTTCCCAAATCCCGACGCGGCTCACTGCAACTGCACCTAAGCGACTGCGCAGCTCCACACTTGGGTTGAACTGGGCTGCAACGACGGGGGGGAAGAGGGAAGAGGGGCTTCAAGGACGAGCAGCGGTTGGAACACGAAAATCAATCCGATACGTGGTTTGCGTATTGACCCAGTTTTAGGTGAGAAATAAAAAAACAAAGAGGAAGCGAGGGCAGCGTGCTGTGCGGCTCGCAGCAAACCGTAGTCTGTAGATATTGGTGCAATGTAGACGTGCTGTGCTCGTATCAAGTTGGCGCACCTTGGATTGGCGGTAGTGCCTCGTGCTCAACTGCACTCAGCCGCTGCAGCAGGCAGTACCAAAGCCATGGAGTGCTTTGTCGGTACGTACCGCGCAGCCGCACCGCAGTGCAAATCCGCCCAGCGTTGAACCTTGAGACATCAAATGCCTCCCCGTAGATCTTTATGAAATGGAGGAGACCAGTGCCACCTTGTGTATATAGCAGCATCTATTTGATACCTACTTGCGGCAATCTGCCAAAGCAATCCTGCCTCGCCCTGCGATATGCTTGCCTGCCTGGCACGGCCTTCCATCTACGGAGCGGCATGGGGCCAATTGGATTAGTGGTCGGTAGCACCCGACGCAATGCTACTCGCTCACTGCGCTCTGCTCGCTCTGCCCACTACCCACAGGCCCAGTCGAGTGCCGCCCAGCGCCAAGCGCCCAGCTACAGCGCCCAGACAGCGGCGCGCGCGCCACAGCACAGGTCTGCCACGCACAGCTCAGGCGCCCTTGAAAAAGTGCCTTTGCTCACGCAGCTCCCCTTTCTTCTTCCTCCCTCCGCTTTTTTTCCCTCTTCCTTTCTTTCTCTCCACGACATCCTTCGCCTCCCGCCCGACGAGAGCTTCGCGCCTTAATCGGCCCATCAACGCATCTCTGCTTTCCAGCATCGTCGCATTTCTCGATTCGTCCATCGCCTCGGCCCCGCCGCAGCAGTTTCGATTTGCAATAATATCTCGGGGTTTTTGTTTTCTCTTTCTGTCTTTCTTGCACCTTCAGTTGGGCATCCCTTCGCGCTACTTCGTCACCGACATCTCGAACCGGGAATTTCCCACCACGCCCTATCAAACCCTCGCTACGAACTCGTCTCTGCAGGTTAGTTGGATACTAAAAATCAAAACCACACAGCCTCTGATCCATGTCACTTGTCTTGCTGCTCTGTTTCCCCATACTTCCCAGTGCCTGGCTTGTCGTCTACCGTTGTTCTCCTATCTGGGAGCAAACCTTTTAGGCTCTTTGTCATGCTTCGGCCTAGTACCGGATTTCGCTGGTGGCGGCGTAGCCACCGCCCTTCAACATGCCCCTAGGCCCACTCCCTTTGCTAACCATTTCATCACCCGTTCAACATTTTCTCCTTCTCTCTTCACACTTTTATCCATCACAACACAACCCTGTCGTCATTCATCTGCATAATATTCACCACAGCAGCCTGTTATTGACGCATCAACAGAATTTGCAGATCTACCGGTTCCGATACTTCATAAATCGACGAAATTGCTTCCTTCCCGCGCGGAAAGAAGCATCTAATCAATCTTCACCATGACGACCATGGTAAGCATCCTTTTGTTTCCTCCATATTCTTTTCTGTCACTCTTTTCCTCTCCCACGATGTTGTTGCATCTTGGGGCACGGTTCTATCCCGAGAACCACTGGCCAGTGCACTGGTCGGTTATCCCGATCAAATTACACCGCTGCACAGCTGAGCTCTCTTGGGAATGGAGCAGCACCCAGTCCCATACACAACATGGCTCGTTGTCTTCTTTCAGATCAGTCAAAGGCTAACCCATCATTGTGCTACTCAGGATCTTCGCGTCGGTAATAAATACCGGATTGGCCGCAAGATCGGCTCCGGTTCCTTTGGCGACATCTACCTCGGAACAAACATCATTTCTGGAGAGGAGATTGCCATCAAGCTTGAGTCTGTCAAGGCCAAGCACCCCCAGCTTGAATATGAGGCCCGCGTCTACAAGTCACTCGCCGGTGGCGTTGGCATTCCCTTTGTCCGCTGGTTTGGTACCGAGTGTGACTACAACGCCATGGTTCTCGATCTTCTTGGCCCCAGCTTGGAAGATCTCTTCAACTTCTGCAACCGCAAATTCTCCCTAAAGACCGTCCTTCTCCTTGCTGATCAGCTCATTTCTCGTATTGAGTACATTCACGCCAAATCCTTCATTCACCGAGATATCAAGCCCGACAACTTCCTCATGGGCATCGGCAAGCGCGGAAACCAGGTCAATGTTATCGATTTTGGTCTTGCCAAGAAGTACCGTGATCCCAAGACCCACTTCCACATCCCCTACAGAGAGAACAAGAACTTGACTGGCACTGCTCGCTATGCCTCCATCAACACCCATCTTGGTGTCGAGCAGTCTCGCCGTGACGACATGGAGTCGCTGGGCTACGTTATGCTCTACTTCTGCCGCGGCTCTCTTCCTTGGCAGGGCCTTAAGGCTGCCACTAAGAAGCAGAAGTACGATCGTATTATGGAGAAGAAGATGACTACCCCTACCGAGGTCCTTTGCCGCGGATTCCCCAACGAGTTCGCCATCTATCTCAACTACACTCGATCTCTGCGCTTCGACGACAAGCCCGACTACAGCTATCTCCGCAAGATCTTCCGTGATCTCTTTGTCCGCGAGGGCTTCCAATATGATTACGTCTTTGACTGGACTGTTTACAAGTACCAGAAGAATGCTCAGGCTATTGCTCAGGCTGCTGGCCAGGCCAACCCTGAGGATGATGAAAAGGCTCGTGCTTCCCGCATGAACCCTGCTGTTGCCGGACCTTCTGCTACCGCCAAGCCTGGCGCCGTCCCTAGCTCTCGACGCAAGATGCTTGAGCGGGGTTCTGGCGCTGGCGTTGATACTCCTGATACTAGCCGAGCTATCGGTGGAAGCGATAGGATGTGAGTTTTGTTTTCCCTAGTTCGGTACAGCCCGTAAGGAGTCCTTCTCCCTCTGCGTGAATTGTATTTTTTATAGCACTAGCCAAAGGGAATTTTGCTGACAATTATTGCTGACTCAGTGGACGCTAAACAGGCTTCGCTCTGCGTCAAAGGGAGCGGGATATGCCTCTGGTAGCTATCGGCCAAATTGAAGATAGTGTCCCTGGCCTTTTTTTCGTTTCTTGATCAACTCTCTTGTGGTGGGATTTGAGCAAAAGGGGTGGCGGGCTGCTGCGAAAAGAACCTCTCCAATCGACATTTCTAGACACGCAACAAGCCCACATTGGTCGTTCAGTGGTGACCTCAGTTGGGCAAAGCATGTCGTCGATCGTTGTAGCTCTCAGTTCCTCCCCATGCATTTCCCTCCTTTTTTTGTGTTCCCCATTTTCATTTTGCCCCATACGCATCGCTTTATCTTGTTCTTCGACGCATCTTATATTCACGACTTGACGCTTGGCTTGGATTACTTCAAGTTGCGGGATAGTACTTTCTGGCTAGAGCTCCTCGGTGCTCTACCCAAAATGCTACCTGTGGTTTGGAGGTTAATCTGAACGGCACGTCCGATTGCATTCGATTATTGGACTCTTTCTTTTTTAAAGCAATCTTTACATCCAATTGGCAGTGGTCTTTCATGGCTCACCAAAGGGGTTAGGGATTGGCCGTACAAGCCTTGGCTAGTTTGAGAGCTTAGGATGCAGAACTTGGACCCATGGTTCTTGGCAAATTATTTCTACCAATGGTCCTCAAAGTTCAGTTGTTGCGGTACAGCTGCGTCTCAGTCACCGGGCTTTCTCCTATCTTTCTTTGGTCATTAATATTGCGCACCCTACTTTTCAGCTTCTTGGTTCCCAATTTTGTTTTCTATTTTTAGGCCGATGTATCGAAGGGCAGCTTCTGGGGAAGTCGATGGGATTGGACGTGGAAGAGACCAGTCGCTTGGTACAGTGAAACCGACATTTGCCGTTTTGGCAGTGGAGGCTATCTGTGAAGTTTGCATTTTCGGCACACAGGGGCTTGGATGGCAGTGGCAGCAGGCTTGATACGACACTTGGAATTGGCTATCACTATCAGCAAGACAATCACCATGAGTGACATGGCCTACAGTCAAAAGAGTTGTGTCAGGAGGAAACACTACTATGGCTCAACTATGTGGTAGTGCGGACCAACGCCACGGCATCTGACCCAGCCCTTTGGCTGTCTCTGCATTAGTACCTGGCATCTGTCGGCTTGTCGCATCTAGGCAAGACATCTGATATGCGCAAGTGGCGGGTACATGTTCAAGGTTCCACCATTGCAGGACCAAAGGGTTCCAAGGTCGTCAGAAACAACTCAATCAGTAGGTCAAATAGTTTGCAATCAAATTTGATTTTTGTCTTTTTTCCTTACAACAAAGATGCACTTTCAACCCTTTTATTCATGCCGTGTCATCGTGTCATTATTCCATCGTAGCACGGAGCATCGAGCTCTGCAGTCGCGTGCGTGAGCCAACCTAAGAGGAGTCAGTCGCACGAGACCAGCATGATCACATGTTCCCCTGCCTGACTGAGCCCCATGGAGTGCTACTTAGTACTACTAGTTCAAGTACCGGAGCGATAGTGGCGTCGCACCTGCACAGCCCGCAGCTGACCGGAACATCGCTGGAAGCAGGATTAGCTGGCCGTTGATTCACACCTAGGTACACTTTGCCGCGTAGAACCCTGGCGATGGCTGCATGACCGGCTGTTGGGCCATGTACCGGCCCCTCAGCCACGCCAGAGTGCCTGCTGCTAGACAAGCAGCGGTTGGAGTTATTCATCCACTGTTCAGGTGAGAGGCAGGTAAGAGAGGTGAGATCCATGTAGACGGGCAGACATGAACATACCTACACGAGGCCGGAAAAATCAGATGTCAGGTACTATATATGGAGGCTGTGTCTGCATCTCGCAGGAGCTCGCAGCTTGCAAAGTCCAATCGCATCTGCTCTCCTCGCTCCTGCAGTATTTTGTGGATAAGCTGAGGTTCCCGCGCCAAAAAAACACGCTACGGCGGCCAATAATAACCATCGACGACATTTCTTTAGCTGAAACCTGCATTTTGCAGCCCTCCAATCACTCATTCTCAACTCCAATCACTTGTACACCATTCGTTTTTTTTTTTTTTCCTTTGCCGTTGCTGCTGCCGTCTCTCGTTTGCCCCCGGGGGGTAAAAATCGGACAATTATCCCCTTTTCTTTTTCTTTATAAGGTGGGGGAGAAATTATAATGGCTGGCGGCAGGGCAACGACGGCAGCCGCTGACCAGTCAAGCGACGACGACGGAGTTCTGGTGCACAAGCAGACGATGAAGACAGGCTCGGCGCTGGATCTGCTGGTGCTGTCGTTTAACTGCGCGGCGACGCTCATTGACGTGCCGGTGTTTGCTGGTCATTTGCGGAATGCGCTGGCGCGGAATGCCTCGGAGCTGCCCGAGGTGGTTGTTCTGTAAGTTGTACAGATCTTTGCCTCTTTATCTGGTTATTTTGCAATCCATAATTACGCTTATATATGCTGCATTCATGTGCTTACACTGATTTCTTTCTTTCCACGAAGCTCGTTACAAGAGATTGCTCCTCTAAGCTATGCCTTCATTGGCGGGGATTACTTTCTGAAGCCGTATGTGGACCGCTTTGAACAGGCGGTAAACCTTGCGGCTTCAACACACTTGAGCAATGAACGAGGCAGTGATGACGTCTTGGATTCTTCCTCCTCCTCCTCTCCTAATGCGTTACCTTCGCCACCGTCAAATCGCACAGACAAGCCCTTTACGCTAATCAGGTCTCTCAATGTGGGATACACCGCCATTATGCTATTTGCCCAAGATGCCACCCGCCTCAAGGACATTCAAGAGGCCGAGGTAGGATTCGGTGCTGCTGAGATGGGCAACAAGGGAGCGGTTGGTCTTCGAGCGCTCTATGAGGTCGATGGGGAGTCGACGGAGCTGACGTTTGTGGCGACGCATCTGGCTGCCATGGAGTGGAATCTGCCGCGGAGGAACGCCAACTGGGGGGCCATTATGCGCGGCTTGACGTTTGAGAACCCGGAGGAGGTGCTGAGCCAGATGAGGCGAGATGCTGAGTCGAGAGGCGAGAGCACTTCGTCCGAGGAGGGGGATGCCTCTGAGCACTCTCGTCTGCTTCGGGAGGAGCAGCACCAGCAGGATCTTCGATTGCAGAGGCAGTTCCACGATCTTTCCGTCTTTAAACCATCTTCTCATCTGTTTGTTGCGGGAGATCTCAACTACCGCATTTCGACCACCTCACCGACTCCTAAATCTGCGTTTCCTAATATGACCCCGGCATCAGAAAATCATTATACCCACTTCTTGCACCTGGATCAGCTGACGAGGGAAAGACTCGCCGGCCGGACTCTCCATGGCTTGTCAGAGCACGAGATCAACTTCCCACCGACATACAAGTATGTCGTCGACTCCAAGACGAGGCCTTCCCGCGAGGCCGGCAACCCCATCGACGAAGTGAAGTGGGAGTTTGCTCCGCACCGATATCCCGGCTGGACGGACCGCATCCTCTTCCTCGAGCTTCCGTCCTGGATTGGCGGCAACATGAATGTTCGCGCGTACGACGCTCTACCCGTGATCCGCACGAGCGACCACCGCCCTGTATTTCTCAGAGTTGACGTGCCCCTCGTGGCACCTGCCGATCTCGCCCCTCCGGCGGCGGTGCTGGAGTCTGCCTCCGCCGAGTCTGGATCCCCCGGTGGCGCCGGCGCGTGGGATCCCAGAGTCCGCCTGCCCGTGGAGATTGATCCGGAGGCCTGGGAGCGGCGGGTGGCTGCACGGCGGCGGGAAATTGCGGCCGGGTGGACAATGTTTCTCTGGAGCACGAGACAGGGGGCGTATATCCTGTCGACTGTGCTGGTGGCGAGCGTGGGCGGGTACTGGCTCTACCGTTCAGCATAGGGCGATAGCGGTAGAAACGGCCACCTGAAGTTATACCCGGGCTTTTATATTGTATTCTCTCTACTTGTGCTGCTTATCATGGGATACCTAGAGGTGGAAGTTGTATTCTTATAGTATGGAAGAGCTGGCGTTGTTTGTTGCTTTGTGTGCGATGGATGATTATTTGAGAGGCTTGTTAGAAACATAGGTATGGGTTGGTAAGAGATGTCAAGTGTGTATGTTTGTATGTATGTATGAGTGTTTTTGCTATCATTATTCGTTGTGGCTACCTACTGCATTAATTATGAACAACAACTACTACTACCTAATACACCTTTGAGAAGAGAACGAAATCGTCTCGGTCATGACACGTCAAGGTGCATGTAGCAATTAAATATACCTCGATGCCGTGGAAAATGGGTTGATAAACACAGGCTTTCCAAAACAGAAAGAAAAACAACCAGCCCTTCGTCCCTTTTCCTTATTCCCCCCTCCCCCCTTTCCTCTGACGACCATGTACATGCATAAGAAAACCCAAAGCCCCCCATTCGTTATATGATCCAAGGTGCTGAAAACAAAAGACTTTGCGCAAAATGCGATTCGTCACTGGTCGATGAATAATAACAAGAAAACAAAACCACAAAAAAAAAAAAAAGTATTACCTACAGCATTCCTCTCTCTCGCCAAGTAGACCTAACAAAACTTTCAAAAACAGACGCACAAATATCTTTCTCTTTCATACACTCTCATACACTTCTCATACACAGACAGGTAAAAAGACATTAACGCTCTCTTCTCCTTTTCCCGTCTTTAAAAAATATTAGGCATAAGCCAAAAAAAAAAGGTATATATAGCTTATTAGTGTCTTTCTGTTAAAAATCTTCAAAATATTGGTCGTATTTGTTGGCCAACTCGGCCGTGTAAACATCGCCCTTGCCGTCGTCCTCGGGGTACATGTCGAAACACTGAGCGTCGCCGGGATATCGAATGGGAGGGATAATCGGGCCGGGCTGGCGGCGGCTGAGGAGATCCTCCCAGTTGACTCCGTGGAAAAAGGGGTGGGCTTTGACGCGGCCGGCCCCGCCGCTGATATTGCCGAGGCGTCTGGAGCGGTCGATTGTACAAAACGACTTGATTATGTCTTTGGCCTCGTCTGAGATTTGTGGTTCTTGGGGAAAGACGACGGGTTTCTCAACAATCCTGGTTGGTTGTGGTATTAGCAACTGGTTGGCGCACCAACGCATCAAGAAATGATGCCCGAAAATCGTTCAACTTACTGCTTGTAAATCTCAATAGGATTTTGGTGCCAGAAAGGAGGGTAGCCCGTCAAGAATTCGTATATCAGGATGCCTAGCGCCCACCAGTCCACTGCTGTCGTGTGGCCCTTGTTATGAATGACCTCAGGCGCAAGATATTCGGGCGTCCCACATAACGTGTATGTTTCGACGGGTCTATCATCTTTGTAGCCTAGCCTTTTTGCAAAGCCAAAATCGGCCAGTTTGATGTGCCCGTCCTTGTCCAACAGCAAGTTTTCCGGCTTGAGGTCTCGGTAAGCGACGCCGCCCTGCTTCTCGTGCAAATACTCCAGCACGAGAACAATCTCGGCGGCGTAGAAACGGGCAACCTGCTCATCGAACCGGCGGTATTTGCGCAGATAACTGAAAATCTCGCCGCCCGGGACATAGTCGAGAACCAGGTACAAACGATCTCTGTCGGAAAAAGAAGCTTGTAAATTGGTGATGAAGGGATGGCCTGCCACATCTGCAAGAACTGCCCTTTCGTGACGCACGTGGTCGATTTGTTTCAGCTTGATGACCTCTGTCTTTTTGAGGATTTTGAGAGCATAGACTTCTGCGTTCTTGTCCTCTTCCAGAGGCACAGTGGCGCTGGCAGGGCGGACGAGGCACACTCGAGCAAATGTCCCTACAAGGAAGAAGAAGAAGTATATTTTTAGTAAAAAAAATTCTTTAACCAGGGTCGATTTGTGTTTTGCTTGCTGCTAGAGAATAGGGCGATTCAAGGATGCACGAGGTGAAACGAACCTGTTCCCAGAGTCCGCACCCGCGTGAAATCGGAGGGTTTGAACGTGCGAGTCGGCGGCAGAGGCTTGGGAGCGCTGCCGGGCTGGTGGAGCTGGTGAGACGAGGCCATGCCGGCTGATAACGCAGGAGTGGCCGGCTGCGTTTCAGCAACTGTCACGGCCATTTGCGACGCCTGGAGATGCGAGAAAAAAAGGGTGATGGTAGTGAAGCCAGCCGTACGCGTTGTTGGCGTTGGATTGATGAGTTTGTCGGCGGATTCAAAGTCAGGGGAGGTCCATGGCCTCGTAGAGTGTAGGTATATAGAGAGAAAAGACGATCAGAGAGGGAAAAAAAGTTTCAAAGAGAGATGGAGGAGCGAAGCGAGAGATGCGCGCGCGCGCACTGGTCGGCCGGGCGCTTTATTTGTGAAAGGCGACACAAAGGAAAAAGCGCGAGGGAGATGTCGGCTATTGGTTCAGTCGAAGCATGGCGAGAGCAGAGGCGGAGAGATCCGGCGAGAGGAATCCGGGAGGATGCTGGCGGGAAGAGGATAGGATGGGATGCTTGACTCGGCGCGCTGATGAAGGAGATGCCCTTTTTTATACAGGAAGAGAGCCTTTCTTTTGTTTTTGCGACGATCCTCTTGCGACGGGCGAAGAGAAGGAAGCCAGAGACAGAGCCAGGCCGTCGGCGTTGATTTGTATTACTCAATTGCTTCTTGGCGGTTCAGCTATTGGACGAGTCCAAGTGGGAAAAAAAGAGCCAGGCCAGGCGATAAGAGGCAAGCTGAGGCTGATATCGTTCTTGTACTACCACCGCAGGTGGTTCGTGGAGAGCCGGAGGGGCGCTTATGACGCAACAGGCGAGCAGCGACTGGGCAGTTTGACCAGTTGGACCAGTTGGACCAGTGAGACCCTAGCAGGTGCTGGAGATGCTCCAAGGGGCACGCTAGCATCGCAAGAGGGAGTCCGTTCGGAAGGCGAGGAACCGGTGCTGAGGCCTTGGTTTGTCTGGAGTTGATGGCTTTGCGGGCTTTGCGGCTCCGGTTGGATGGATTCGGCTGTCAATGGCGTGCCGTGATCAATTGAATGCAGTACAGCTTCGTCGTGGCTGTTGTTCATGGATAGTAGGCTCTTTTCATCCCGCGGTCTTGGCACTTACACGCACTTACACGAGAGGCACTTGGTATATGCAGGCCGGTACATGACATCAGGGCGGTGGTGATAGATGATGGGATAAATTCCAGGATTCAAGGGCACGCATGACACCACTGGCGATTGTTGAATCTTCAAGACCAGCTCCGATATAAATATGTTACCTTGTACATCAGGCTAATTCATGATTCTCTCTTGTCATAGCAAGTAGGTACTTACATCGTGTACCTTAGGTAGGTACTGGGTATTGCCATTCCCAGAGATGTCATGCAGGCTGCATGTAAGTCATCGGCTTTTGACAGCTTCGGCGGGCACTGAGATTTAGGGATGCAACGGCACACTCTGCGCGCATTAGCCCGCAGCCAATAAAAGGCCATGCATTATGGGGATGTCCACGGGGCCTGCGGCATCTGATAGACAAGTAGATACCTTGGTACATGTAAGAGATGGAATAGATGACTGTTACTACTAGTAGTCTCCCTTGCCATCACCCATGCGCCAGGTCTTGCGGATGATACATTTATTGATTATTATTATTATTATTTTTTTTTTCCTTTTCCTTTCGGCCAGCTGTGAATTTTGAATTTCCAACATGCATTCTGCTATTTCGATGTTGTCTTTTCAATTCCTTCTTCTCGCTGGCCTAGCGCATTGATCTTTCTTCACATGAGATGGTCACGGGTTTGTCAAACAGGGGCAACTTTGGCATATAAAACGGCCTAATACTTCTCAGACACGTACTCGGCGGGCGGGTGCCCCGTACCGTACCTCTCAGGCGTCAGACCAATCCAGGTACATGCGCTGCTAGGAAGCCTTGTGGACGGCGTCTTGATCTCACCGGCCCTGCCCCTTGCCCTTGCTGACCAGGCGCTGCTATTACTAGCAGGTACATGTAGTCTGGTACTGTAGCCCTGGAGGTCAACACAATCTCGAACTTTAGAGCACGAGCAGTGCGCCCAGGTGCCGAGATGGGCATGACGACTGCCCCTGTACGTGCCGGATCAGCGGACCTGCCAGGCGTCATGGGCTCCGCGGCGCTGGTTGGCTGGTGGAATGCAGCCCTGCAGCTAAGGCAGACTCGCTGGTTGGCGGGCTGAACCAGCACCCGTAGGCTGTAGCTCTCGTAAGGGCGAGCCCCGCGAACGCCAGCGCTGCCACGGCCGCTAGCCCCAACGGCAGCCTGGACACTTGCCGTCACTGACTGCTGGACTCCGTCTTCACCACCAGACCTCGAAGCTCACCCAGTGTCTTGACATCGCCAGCATCGTCCGCAGTATCTGGCGCTCTTCACGGCGTCCGCAGCATTCTACCCGCCCGCCCGGCTCTTCGCGAGCTTCGCCACCGTCCTCCACGACTCTCTCCCGCCTCCTTCCCCCCTTCGCGACGGCCCAATCCCGGCAGCCCGACGACAGCAAACAGCCAGCTCATCAGCGGCTCTTCTAGCCATCCGACGGCCGGCCTCTCTGCTGTCGCCTGGGTTGCAGTCATTGCCATCATAACACCGTCATGCGCCCTTGAATCTCGTCGAAACCATGTTCTCCAACTTGACCAACATCGTCCAGAGAGCTCAGCAGCTCATCGATCCCACCCAGGGACTGAACCTCTCCAACTCGGATCGGAATCCTTCCAAAGCCTCCCTGTTCCAGAGCCAGTTCCGACTGCCCTCCTCACAAACACCTCTATACGAGATCAATGCGGAGCTGACCATCCCGCCCTCAAATTCCGTGCGCGGCGATCCGGACCATGATAGGGGATGGCACTATGCTGGAAAGCTACATCTTTCAGAGGCCTACATGTGCTTCTCGACGACGCCGACGAGCTTCACGCAGTCAGCGAGTACCTCGACTTCTTCCGCTTTTACCGGCCAGACCAATGGCAGCGGCCCGAGTGGAAGCGGCTTCACGTTCCCGCTCTGTGCTATTAGGCGAGTGGAGAGATTGAATAGCCAAAACTTTCAAGTATGTCGTATCCAGTATTCTAACAACGTGATATGCGAAATGACTAACAGGCATAAACCACCACCAGTTTGCACTTGCAATTACTACTTGGAACGGCTTACTAGCGGACACCTCAAAGCCCGGCAACGGCAACAACAACAAGAATGTTCGAGAACAGCGGATTACCATCCACTTGGCGGGCACTCGGCAGGCTTGTGAAAGGTTCTGCGACGGCTTGAAGCGAGGTCTCAGAGCCGGAGTTGGCAACGTAGGCAAGCTGCGCAAAGTGGTGGCCGAATGCTACTCTGAGCATCTCTTGCGGACAGATGACAAGGCAAACGTGTCACCGCCGGATGCAGGACTGGGCATGGCTTTCCGATACCCCGGAGATCCAAAGAAGCTCCGCGACAGGGCCAAGATGAGACTATGGGCTGAATACCTCCGGGATAATGGCCGGAATATGATGCTGATCCGTCAACCCACTTTCCACAAGCTTATCCGTGTTGGTCTCCCAAACAGACTTCGGGGCGAGATATGGGAGGTGACCTCCGGCTCTCTGTATCTCCGACTGGAAAACCCGACGCTGTACTCCGACACGCTGGCCAAGTACGAGGGCCAGGAATCGCTTGCCATCGATGAGATTGAAAAGGATCTCAATCGCAGTCTGCCCGAGTATCCTGGTTTCCAGAGCGAGGAAGGCATTGGCAGGCTTCGCCGTGTTCTCACGGCCTACAGCTGGGTCAATGCTGATGTGGGCTACTGTCAGGCTATGAATATTGTTGTGGCTGCGCTGCTCATCTACATGTCGGAGTCGCAGGCCTTTTTCCTTCTCTCGGCCCTGTGCGATCGCCTAGTCCCAGGGTACTACTCTACGACCATGTATGGCACCCTTTTGGATCAAAAAGTTTTTGAATCTCTGGTTGAAAAGACCATGCCCATTCTGTGGGATCATCTTGTAAAGAGCGATGTTCAGCTATCAGTCGTTTCGCTTCCCTGGTTCCTTTCTCTGTATATTAATTCTATGCCCCTGGTTTTTGCTTTCCGCGTTTTGGATGTCTTCTTCGTCGAGGGCCCCAAGGTGCTGTTCCAGGTTGGCCTTGCAATCCTGCGCATCAATGGCGAGGAATTGCTGGACGCACCTGATGACGGCGCTTTCATATCTGTCCTCAAGTCATATTTTGCCAGACTCGATGAATCAGCTCATCCAAAGTCAGAAAACCCCAAGCTGAGGGCGGTCACGAGATTTCAGGAGCTCATGGTTGTGGCCTTCAAGGAGTTCTCTGGAGTCACTCACAGCAGCATCACAGAGCTTCGGCTTAAGAACAAGGACTCTGTCCTGAACAATATCGAGAGTTTTGCCAAGAGGACGGCGATTCGCAACCTAGGGCCCGACAGCAAGCTGCTAAGCCCAGACGAGCTCGGTTCCCTGTACGATCGGTTCTATAACGTCTTGTACGAGCGGCAACAACGGGATCTGACGATCCAGGAAGAACTGAAGCGCCAAGCAAAGAGTAGCAGACTGCGGGCTTCGGAAATCCTCGCCACGACTGCTCCCAACGAAGTGGAAAAGGGTCGTGTCGGACTTGGCCCAAGCACCAGTCTCATGGATTACGATGCCTTCCGTGAGTTTTTGGCTGCCATGTCTAAATGGGCCATCTCGGATTCCAAGGCGAGTGGGGGAGACGGCAAATATTACGGTGCCAAAAAGGTTCCCGATTCCATGTCGCCTTGGGGTAACGGACCCGAGCCCGCAGAACATGAGTTTCTGCGACGCGTTTTCAACAAGTGGGATGTGGACGGATCATCAGCGTTGACCCTGCAAAATGTGGTGACGGGCATAGCCAGAATCAAAGGCAAGAAAGACATCATGGGCACAATCACGTATTTCTTCGAGCTCTACGACGATGACAACGACGGAAAAGTGGACCGAGAGGGCATCTTGCGAATATCCGAGGCTTTGCTCTTCTTGTCTCGACGCGGACTAGAAGGCACGCTGAGCCCAGGGGCTTCGAGCATTGGACTGAATGGCGATGTTAGCGCCAGCGACTCTCAGAGCAGCTTACCCCCCGAGATATCGACCAACGAGCGATTCCTGGGCAGCATCAGTGCATTTATCAGGCGATGTTTCGAGTATGCCGATCCTGACCACCCAAAAAATCAAGATGGGCAGGATTTTGGAACCTCGACATTGGACGAAGACCTCATGGTTGATCCGAATGCTTTCGCAATCGGAGATGATGAGGACGAAGAAGAGGAGGAGGAGGAGGAGGAAGAAGATCTCTTGGCGCTTGAAAAATCACCACCTGGCACTCCTACGAAAGCTAAAAAGACTGCGGACTTACTGAGCCCGAACAAGGAGAGTTTTGACGGCGCCAGCGTCGATAATGAGTCTCGTCGGCGCGTATCAAAAGCCAAGGCCGAAGCAGCTAACGCAGCGCTCGACCCGGCTCATCCCCTCCATATCACGCTACCCACCTTCCGGATGGTTGTGCTGGCAGATGAGATTCTCGAACAGTTCTTTGAATCGTCTTTCCCGACCTCGCTTCACATCATCGAAGGCCTCCAAGCCCCCAGCAGCTCCTATTACGGCCCATCACTCACCACATTCTCCAATCTAGGCTTTAGCGCCAGATCACAGGCCCAGGCGCAATCCGGACCCATGGGAGGCGGCCGCGGCTTGCGCGGTGTTTTGGATAACATTGTTACGGACGGAATGCGGGTGGCGACCGAGGTGCGGAGGAGGATGGAAGAGGCTCAGAGGGAGCTGGAAAAGAATGCTCTGCCCAGCCAGCGGACAGAGGACGATGAAGAAGATGATGACGATGTTGGCGTGGCAATTGGTGTGAGAAAGGGCGCTAGCACGGATATTGAGCGCCGGTCAGTCATGAGCACTGACCGCGACCTTTTAGACGGAGCAGATGCACAAGCAGGGTCCGGGGCGGCTTCAAAGGGACCAGGGCATGATCATAACTTGTTAGAGGTTGACACGGCGGCTGGACGGCGCCGAGCCAACAGCGCGTCGACGACAGGGGGGTCGGCTGTACTAGAATTTGAAGGGTAATAGGAGGAAGGCTGAAGAGGATCGTGTACCATCTCTTTTTGTCGGGTAGTCTTGATCTTCTTCAATTGGGAAATGAAAGTACAAGATTCCTTTTTTTGTCTCCTTGTTCATACTGTGTGTGCTCTCAGCTCTTTCAACTGAGGTTCAATGTGGACAAGTGTGTTATAAACTAACAGCAGAGGAATACAGTGAGGGAGGCAATGGGGGTAAACAAGATGCTGCAGTGTGTTGAATGTTTCCTTTTCCTATGTCTGGCGAATATAGATATGTCTGGTCTAGTTTGTGGTTCTCTTTGGCTTGGATTCAAGATCAATGCTAGATAAAATCATACTACCGGTTCTTTTCTTTCTGCTTTCGCTTTCTATCTTGGATGAGAGGTCGTCGGGAGCAGCCATCTGAATGTCACGTGCTTCATTTATCAAGATATACAAGATCTTGGAGCTTATTATTAGGATTGTTACAGATAGAGCACGAAATCTTAAACCCCAGCCAAGACCAAGACCCTTGGAATGCAACTGTAGTTGCTCTGGCAGAAGAAACGGTATATTGCTGCCGGATTAGGTGCCTTGCTGGGTATCCAAGAACGGCAAGTAATAGTAGCGGCATTGCCACTGGGCATTTAATTTAGGAATTTATCAAGCAAAACAAGACGATTTGATCCTTTGCAATATACGAGAAGGGGAAGGTCCTCGGCTAGACTCCCGAGCCGGGCTCTGATCCGGTAGTGTTTCTTCTTATTTCTTCAAATGGGCTACTTGTTAGTACCTAGGTAGTAGTACTACTCCGTACTAGCAGGTAATTAGAATAACATGAAGAACCAATGCTAGGAGCGTGATCCGTGCGAATGACAAATGGCATGATGCCACTCGCTTGCTCATGGCAACGCTGTTTCGGAAGAGAGCCTGTCATTGCTTTCCCTCTGTCCATCTAGATACGGCCATTTATCCAGGGTTTAAGCGCGTATTAAGTGGCCTTTTGCCCCTCTCGGATCGCCCGTAGGAAACATGGACCCCTTGTTTCCTTGGCCTGCAGTTTGTTTGGCTGTGGTTTGTCTACGGTATTTTATTCATCAAATCTCCCTTGTATCCGTAAGGATATTTTTGTTGAAGAAAGAAAAAGCGGATCCAGGGCATTGATCTTTCATTTCCCCCCACTGATGAGATTTTTTTTTTTTTTTCGAAAAGAGAGAGGGAGATCAATTGAGATTTAGTATTGCTCTTTTTTTCCCTGGCGAATCAATCTGTTTTGGAGGGGGGTTGCATTATGCTTTGATGATGAGAGGAGAGGAGGGAGGGGGGGCGAGAGCATGTGAGATTGTGGCACACACCACAAAAGTGCTTGTGCTTGTGAGAGCTATACTTGGATTTTTGAGCTTGATACGTGTTAGAGATACGAGGTGCGCAAGCTTTTATTGTTTTATCAATATCCCGATGTGGGTAGCGCAGCAATGCGAGATTTGGAATCCAATGGCTATTGCGACAAAACAGAGCTGAGATGGTTGCTTTGATAAAGAGAATCAAGATTCAATGTTTAGTTGCCCTCTGAGCAACCAACTACATGCCTGATTCAGCATGTGCGAGGCTCAGTCCTCATATCGCCGACGCTCAGACTCCATGGACTGGTACTCCGTATTGGACCCTGGAATTTACACTGGGGCTTCCGGGTTCAGTGTTAGTGGCTCTTGGGCCTGCATGCACTTTACTCGTACGGAGGTTCCTGTACGGGGGGAGAGGAGCGGAACATGAAGCCATTTGCTCTCCTGTGCCCTGTGATACGCGCATGTTTCAGGTAGCAGCCGGCCTCCACCGCGCGGATACCAAGTACTAGCACCAGATCACTCAGCGCCTGTGCGCCTGTGCATTGTTACTGTAGGAGGTACCTCCGGTCGCTACCTGTGCTACCACCTCCTGGTTTCGCCTCCTCTGTGTTCGTCTTCAAAACATTCCTGGGTGCGGGCAGTTGGCATTCCCTGTCTCGCACTGTGGAATTCCTCTGGACTACAGTACTAGCAGCGATCGCCGATGCTAGCACGAAGCAGTTGCTCATTTTATATTCACAGATTTTAGCTAATGGAATACATCTGTCTGCGAATAAAACCCGACCGCCTCACATTGGTAGCAAGCAATTATTAGGAGGTGCAATAGTAGCAGTACTAGCGGTACCTAGAAGCTCTTAGTGGGCTGGCCGCTCCCACTTAGCGCTAATCTGCAGGTCAACTCTCGCACTGGTGCCCCCCGCCACGGGACCTTACTGCTTCGGGGAGCTTTTTGAGGGGGGGGGGGGTTCACGGCTCAGGGCCAATCCACTCCTCAAACGGCATTACAGCACTTCATCTCGAGTAAGTAAAACTGGAAAGTAAAAGGGGGCGAAAGACGCTTGGAGCTGGCGGGCATGAGATTGGTTGTTTTCCTGCTCTTTTATTTTACAAGCACCGGTCGATAGCTACCCCAAGCGAAGGAATAGATACCCTCGGCTTTGTTCTTCGTAGTCGGGCAATCTTGGGTCACTGCTAGCCAGTCGGGGCCGCTGATCGCTATTCGCAGCCAGCCCAGCGCGAGTTTCTTCCCTTCCCGTCCGCCCAAGCGCGGGCAGCCACCCCCCTTTTCTGGATCTGGAGAAGGGGAACAGCAGTGGCACAGTGTGGAGGGGCGTACTCTGCGCGACCTGGTGCCCATCACCAAATGGTTCCATCAATCAATCAATTGGTGCTGCATGCATGCACTCGTCATTCATTCACTCGCTCGCTGCTTCAACTTGTCCCGCAACCTGTGAACATCTATGTGACTGCCAACTACTGAAACACAACTGCTTCTGCTGCTGCCATCCCGGTTTTGTTTTTGGCATTGATCCTCGAGGTTGGCTGTCCCAGTCTCTGCCGGGTGCGTTTGCCAGCTGCAAAGGGGACCCCCCTTGTGCTGTAACCAGCCCCGGTCGACTCTGTCTGCAGTGCTCTCAGCGCATTCAGCATTGCTCGCCCAGGGCCTTCTCTAGCGCTACTGCAGCAGTGGCTGCCCTCTAGAAGGCCGCGGTGCCTGGGGCCTGGTTGCTAGCCGGTAGCGCCCATCTTTGTTTGGCGGCTGGCCATGACGCTAAGCCCAGCCTTGCAGGTCCAAGGAATTTAACTGCCATAGTCCCCTGTGTCGCGAGTCAACCTCTCAAGACCCTTTGGACATCCCATACATAGCATTTTGACATTGAAGCAATTGTATCGCCATCATGTCCGCCAACGGTTACTTTGGTAAGCGCCCTCTCCGCCCCCAATTGCGTCGTGATTTGGTTTCTTTGATGCCTTGAATCCATTCATTTGAGCTTCGACCACGTTGCTTGCTCCTGGTGCCGTCATGCCGACCGTTCGCTGGCGCTGGTGCCGTCCTGCGACACCACGGCGGCAAGACGCGCAAAGGGGGCATCATCAAAAAAAGGCGAATCAATGAGATTATCGCATGACGCCTGCGGTCGAAACCAATCAAGGGGGCTCAAGCCCACCTGGCGGGCGCATTCAGGCCTATCCTCTCCTCTGATCGACCCTCCTCCTGCTGTATCATGTTGACGACACGGGCTGCCGTCCTGTTTCATGTTCTGCCCATCATTCGCCTATCTGGCCTGCCGCCGTCCGTCGCTTCATGCTGATGCTGATGCTGATTGCCGTCTCCTATAGGGCAGCAACCCGCCGCGCAGCCGCCCAGGCTGTCGTTCAACGGCGACCTCAATGATAATAACAGCGATAGCCTCGCCTCCAACAATCCCTTCCGCAACATGCGCACTGCTTCTCCGTCCTTCCCCACGACGCCTACATCGCCCTTTGACGACCCGATGCCGTCCCAACGCCCTCTATCGCGGAATCCTTTCCTGGACCAGCCTCTGGCACCGCGGCCGGCTGACAACCTGGCTGCTCCTGCCGGTCCCGACAAGACTCAGTCTCTCACTGCCGAAGACATCTTTGTACGTTTCCATCTCTCTCCATCTCTCCACGATATGACGACATGGTCGCGCGTGCCAAACTGCTCCCTCTCCTGGCTGTCTGGAGCCAACAAAATCAACCAGTGCTAACCAAGGTATTCACATCAATATAGGGGTCCCTGACGCTCGACGACTCTCCCGCCTTTTCAGTAAAGCAGCAGCCCAGCGACTCGCAGCCCAAGAAGCGTCCCACAGACCGGCCGGCGCCTGCTCGTCGTGAAAGCGAAAGCCAGGCATCCAGCAAGCATCGCCCTACTCGCTCCCAAGAAGAGGCACTGAGAGCCCGCAAGCCAGCGCCAAAGAACGCGGCGTCGAGCACTACCCGCCCCAGCCTTTTGGACGACTCGCCGCCCCGTAAGCCGGTGCAGCGACGCCCAAGACGCAACTCTGACTCGTCAGCCATGGATTTCGATTCGAAATCTCTCACTGCTGAGGAGAGGAGGATGATTGAGGCCAAGCGTCGGGAAAAGAGCAAGGCCAAGCAGCGCCCCAGCCGCAAAATGGACATTATTGATCAGCTGGACGCCACCAGCATTTATGGAACAGGCTGTATGTATAACCAACTTTGCAAAAGTCTCCTCGTTTCGATATCCTAGGATGTGTGTTTCTAACTCGATTCTTTCCCCTTTTAGTATTCCACCATGATGGGCCTTTTGATGCCCTCAACCCTCACCGAAATCGTCAGAACAGCAAGAAGTTGTCTCCGATGCAAGCCTTCCCGGAGGGCTCTCTGAACAACACACTTGGCGGCTCTGGCCCACTCAACGCCTCGGCTGACCATTCCAACTTTATGGGTCACGGATCTGGCGAAGCCTTCCATGACTACGCCGCCAGCGGCAAGGGCAAGAATCGAGAACCCGTCATCTTTGACTCAGCGGCTCGTGCCAGTCTGGTGCACGGAGATGAGTCTCATGGACTGGGCACTTCGACCTTCCTCGAGGGAACGCCGGCTGCACGATCGGCCATTGTCCGCCGAAATGAAGAGCAGGCTCAGGAGATTGCCGAAGGTGGCTTGCAGCGGAAGAAGTCTGTAGCACAGAGAATCAGAAACAGGGTGCGACCAGACTACAGCAACAGACCCATGCCAGGCCACGGCCGGTATGAATCCGACGACTTTGGCGAGTTTGGCGGCCGTGAAGAGGCCAGAGCCCCGAGACCACCTCCTCGTGAGCGTGAGCGCGAGCGCGACGGCAGGCCTTCGCCGCCATTGAAGCCACGACAAAACTCAGCAGCAGGTGCGCTGGAGGGACGATCCTCGGAAGCACTGCCATCTCCATCTGAGGAGATGCCCGCCAAGCCATCAGGCCTCTTGGGCCGGATGAAGAGTTTGAAGGGCGGCAGGCGACCAACCAGGAATGCCGAGGCACCGGGGATGGCTACCTAAAGCACATTGCATTGAGATTTGGCAAGGCGTGAAATTGTGAAAGCAGCAGCTGGACGATACGAATGTGTTCGGTTCCCCATGGTCTATAAAAATGATATCCGCATGACATTTTTTTTCGGAGAAAGAGAGAGAGAGAGATGGGAAAGGTCGAGAAGGATGAAACAGAAGGGGAGTTTTTTTTTTTTTTTTTTTTTTTTTTAATACTCCCTAGAGGAGTAATTTGGGGCATAAGGGAGAGATGCCTGCCCATTTAAAGAATTGAGCCTTTGGTTATTCGTCAAAGCCCGCATATGAGAGAACTTGTTTTGTTTTCTGTTTTTTTTATCCATTGTTTTTTTTTTTTACACTTTTTTCTTATTCCAGCGGGCTGTGTACTTAATATATGAAATTGTTTTCACTCTGTGTTGTTTCAAAGATAAAATAAGACAAAATAGATCGTGAACTGTTCTTTCCGTTCCGTTTGCTACACAAGAGCTTCAAGTGTGTGAGGATATATCTATTTTCCCTGCCGCCAGAAAAGGCTCTCAAAAACTGATTTTGATGGCTGAATGAGAAATTAGAGGATATTTTTTCTCGTCGCTATGCTAAATTTTAGCAGCGTATGATATCGAGCTGCTGTCTGCGATATAGGAATCCTGAAACTAAATTGTTACGTCGCGATTCAAGACTGTTGGGAAGGATGTAGCTGAAGCTTTTTCTAGCTGGACTGAGAACTCAAACAGTATTTTATTATCTGCTCATGTCGTAAAATACATATAATACAATCTTGGAGTAGGACTTGACTTATCTACTTTATTTATGTGTTACCAAGACTCTTCTTAAGATGATGAACTTGGCGGCTTCTTTACCAGCGCCCGCTCTCACCTTTGATGGCGGCTCCACAATGACGCTCTTCTCTCAACATCCATCATACACGCCGGTATGGCAGAATCATCAATCATGATCTCTTGAGCGTCAAGATTCAATTTCGTACTGCTGGACGGCGTCTTTTTCTGTGTAGCATCCAATAGGTATACAATTCTAAAGAGAGTGGGCGACGACAATTGCTAAGCATGCCTCACAGAGCCATAAGACGAGCGTCATCTTTGGGATAAATCAGCTTTATAGCTTATTACTTCAGACGCCCCACGTCAAAGTATTTCTCAAGAACTATACTATTAGCAACGTCTATTGTATAATAAGAACAGCATGGCGGCAGCCTCACATCGTCATCGCACCTTCACCCCGCCAGCTCATCAACGAGACCCCAATTCACGGCCCAGACCTGTGTCAGCCTCAGCCCTTGCGAGCATTGAGAAGCAGCGTCGAGATTTTGTGAGGGATCTGGGGCCGTGCCGGAGTGGATGCGAGGATCTGGACAGTTATGTCCTTCTTGCGGGCGGGTTTGAGCGGGGGAGCGTTGTTGGGATAAGCGCGGAGGATGAAGATGGAGTGGGCGTGATGGTGAGTTTTTGCTGACTATATATAAATACGAGTGCTTTTGATTTGTACTCATTCTCAGATTCTCTGCCCGCTTCTTACAAAGCATGTGATAGCTAATGACTCGTCATCACAGCTAGGTCTCCAAGTGCTGGCATGCTCTCTCCTGGACAGCGCCGCTCAAAAAGTCCAAGTCATCACGCCGAAGCCGCCCAGCACCATTGTCGTGCTGCTGAAAAACGCCATGACAGCTGAGCTCAAAGCAAGAGGCGTCTCAGGCTCTGATGAAATTGCGGCCCGGAGGAGAGACTGTCTGGATCGAATCATGCTTTCACGAGTCTTTGATATGGATGGGCTGGATGAGGTTTTGGCGGATCTGGACGCCACGGCTGCTGCTGCTGCTCCTAGAGGTGGTAAGGAGGAAGAGGAGACTATCGAGATACAATCAGCCGAAGAAATAGCTGTTATGGGAGCGCAGCCTAATCCGACTCCCGCTAATGTTGATGGCGATTGTAATGGTGCTGTCTTAAGCAAAGAAGAGACGCCAGGGGAAGCATCTGTCGTCGCCGAGATCCAAGACAGCCAAGATGAAGATGAGACGCCATCCCCTCCATCATCTCCAATATCAAAACCTCAACCCCCCCATCCTCAGCCCAACACCAATCTTAAAGATACAACAGCAACAACAGAGCCGGATAATCACAGCCTTCCGAATAGACAAGTCGACAACAAAAACAACGGCAAGTCCACCACCACAACAGCTTCTTCAACCCCCGACATCGTCCTCATCACCCACTTCTCCTCCCTCCTCACCAGCTTCTTTACCCAGCGCGACAAATCAGCCGCTCACGTCGCCCTCCGCCTCCTCGCCACCCGTCTCCGCCATCTTTCCAGAACGCTCCCTTCAAACCCGCTCATCCTCCTCCTCAACTCTACAGACTCCGGTGCCCACGCCTCGGAGTCTCACAGCCATGAGAATAATCTAAACATGAATTCGATTCCACTGCCGCTGCCAGATCAGCAGTCATCATCCACTGCCTACAAATCGGCTTCTTCCTCCACCGACCCAACTCTACGATCCGTCTTCAACCCAGCCCACCACGCCAGCACTTCATACAAGGCGAACAAACCAACCTTTGGCCTCGTCTTCACTCAGCTGCTTGACCTTCATCTCCTTTGCACGCGAGCTCCGCGCCACAGCAGAGCGGCGACTTCTTCGCTCCGTGCCGTGACGGTCGTGGAGGTGCTGTTGGATGAAATAGGCTTGTGGGAAGGGGAAAGGGGGCAGAGGAAGAGGAGAGAACAGCGATGGACTATTATGGCTTCTCGCAATGGCCGTATGGTTAGTGTCCCCGGCAGTGGGAGAAAAAAAGAAACCCAGAGTGATGATTAGGGAATTACTATGGATGATTCATTTACATCATAGTCGCTTCATCCGTCTTTTTTCTTCGCTGTCTCTCGTCTCACTGCTGTCGCTGTAAAAGCGGACAGACTTAGAATATTGAGACAAGTCGAGTGTATCATAAGTAAATATTGCCTAGAACCTCTTTGAATCAATCACTCGTTACATGAAATCTCAAACAGATATGCCAAAAGCTGCGAGCTGCCACGTCTACTACAGGTATTTGTGTGTAAATGAATCTACCTCCAATTATAAGCGTCCTCTTAGAAAAGTTCCGGGTTTCAAGTCCTATGCCCCTAAGTTACAAAGCTTCCCACTCTCATCTACGTACAACGTCTCCCTTCATTTTGATACTCAAATTCCATCCCCTCTCCTCGGATGGCTCTAGGTGAGCTCATCCACTTGCTTGCTGCTCCTACACTCGCCTAGCTCACTCTCGCCGCTCACATACGACCAAAAGCAGAAAACAAGAACCAATAAAGAGAAATGACGGAAATGAGAAATGGAAAAAAAAAAAAAAAAGGCAGAATGACATTAAAACAGACCTCTGTGGGCGCTAAAAGCGTTTGCAAGGATGCCTCTGATTCTTTCTACGCTCATATCAAGCGTAGATGCCCCATCTCGCACCGACTGGAGTCGTAGTGCTTGATGCGGTGTATGTAAAAGGTTTTTAAAAAAAAAATAAAAAGAAGAGAAATAGCAAAGAAGAAAAAGAAACAGAGTTTAAGAGAAAAAAACTGGTTTCTCAAATAAATTGCTCTCGGGATTGAGGCAACTGTATCTTTGCGATTTCGTGGAATCCAAGAAGAATTTCCTGGAAATTAAAGAATTCTAATATGTTGTTGAACGAAGGCTACCATTATCGCTGTTGGGTAGTTTGTGCGGGCGGTTGTGCGCCAAACACGTCCGATCGCCTGCTGCTCTTCCAAAAATCAATGGATTCCACTACATCCTCTCCTCGTTCATCTACATAAGCGAATATAATCTATCGTGAATCAGTCAGTAAAGGGAACAGCACAAAATGTGTTAACTGATATTGGGTGAAAAGGGCATACCTCGTGAGTGCTGCTGTGGAGCATCCTGATGTTCTTGTGAGGGACAATATGCACAGCACCATTCTCAATATTGCGCAACTCAACAAAGTTCGGCTCAAATGCAAGAATCCAGGGGTAGCTAAGCGCGAAGTTCTGAGGTGAACCTTCCCAATCAATTCTCCACTCTGGTCGAGCTCTCCAACCATTTCGGTTGACAAAGAAGGAAAATTCTGAGTAGTTGAGCAGAAATTCTCCGTTGAGACGTTCAATATGGATGGGCTTGGCTCCTTCTTTGCGGGCCACGAAATCCAAAGAGGTATCTGCCTGGTCAAGCAACGACTGCGTTTCAAGTGTTTCGAGCGAGACGACTTCAAAGCCTCTGGCACATGCCACGCACAGTTTCGACTTGAGGAAATGCACAGAAGACGATTCGGTTGGGATGTAAAACTCCTTGAAAGGTCTCAGCTCATCAAAACCACCACCCATGAGCTTTCCGAGACCCTTCTGCTTCTTTCCTTTGGTCATAGCGTCATTAGGTTCAAACACTTTAATGGTAGTAGATAGTGTTGACGATTTGACACAGCACACGAGATGTCGACCCATACAGATGCCAGACTTGAAGAAACTACAGTGGTTTTGAATCTTCTTAGGTCTCTTAGCCAGAGCAGGATCGTCAGACGTCAGGGCAGAAAGCGAGTAAGAGAGTAGCGTCTTGTTGGAAAGAACAAGGAGAAGCTGGTATTCTTCAAGAATATCAATCTGGGTGACACTGGTCGTTTCAAGGACACGTCGAGGAACTGCTTCTGTGTTCTTGCGATCTGAAATATAGACGCCGTTATCAGTACCATAAAGGAGCTTGCGGCCTCCGTCTGTTCACTAGTTAGCTCTCAGAATTCTCGGGGGGGAAGGGGGGTAAGGTGGGAAGTAAGGAAACTATAAGACGTACCAAATGGCGAGACACAGTTAACTTGGTTCGTTCCCACAAAGAAGTTGCTGGAGATGATATTGGTTGTGAAGAAGTCGGCTCGCGCTCGGAGCCGTTGTTGTGAGGCGTCAATGTGCTCAAGCCACTTTTTCCGCGCTGCCTGGTTGGCGGCATAGACCGTGAGCTCATATCCCGCCTTGCCAAGATGCCTAAAGGTAATGGGCCAGCCTTCTCCTTTTTTGGCGTCCCCTGCATTGGCCCGTATGGCCGGTAACAAGCTAGATGCCGACCGCTTGACGCCGCCGTCAGACGGGATCACCTCTTCCATTTCCCGAATGGCAAGCAGCTCCAGGGGAATAGGCCGTCGATAAGCCTTGACTTCTTCGGCCTTGCCATTCTGCTTTATGCGAACAAGCAAAACCGCATGATCGAAGAGGAAACCAGTCAACTCAGCCGATTCAGTAGGCGACTTCTTGAACTGACTCTTGAACACAAGTTCGCGGCCATCTTCAGTAAGTTTCAGGTCGACGCGCTCATTGGGTCGGAACCGGAGCTGTTCCTGAAGCCTTCGCAAGTTGAAGCGGTTCTCGGCTTTGCCAGACTCTGCATTCACTCTTCCTAGAAGATCTCGGATCATGGTGAGAACCTTTGGAATATCTTCCTTGTCGGCGCTGCCATCTTCCGAGTATTTCAGCACATTCTCCAGCAGCAGAGGGTATCTGGCCAAACGCGTGGTTGGCTTGGTAAGATAACCGTTAAGCTCCAGCTTTCTTGATTCCTTTCGCCGCTCAATCTCGTCGACGAGCTTGGAGAAGAAGGGGTTGATGGAACGCTCGTTTTCGAACTCAAATTTGGCTTCCAGCTGTCTAGAACCGTAAAAGATGAAGGGCTCAAATTGCGGCACAAACTCCAGGAAAATATCACCAATATTCTGCACGATAGGATCCTTCTGCTGCCGGGTAGTCAGAGAGCTTGCAAAACGTGAGCTGACGCTATGGACACTTGGGTGATCAATGATGTTGCTGAAGATATTCTTGACCACTCTCTCTCTACGCTGGAGGGGTATTGGCGACGCCTTGGACCGCAGAGGAATAATCCAGAAATCACGTAGGTACTCAAGATCCTTGACGAAGTCTCGTTCGGTATAGCAGATTTCGGATATAACCTCCTGTCGCTTCTTTTCTCGCTCGCTGACTGCGTCAGCAACCTCCTTTGGCACCGAGTTGATCCAGAGCTTCTGTTCATCAGTCTTATCAACCTCGTCATCGTTGACATTGGCAGAGTCTTCCTTGCGCAGCCCAGAGGTAATCTTCAGGTTCAATCTAGAAACCTGTTCTAGTCTTCTAGGGCAGGCAATAGAATAGCAAAGCTGGTCTCTCGTGCAAGTAGGCGAATAACACTCTGATAGCAGCACAAAGACGCCGTTCACGGGCGTATCCTCAGGTTCATCCATCAGACTCTCTCGAAATTGGTACATTTCGGATTGTGAATCTCGCAGCCGATGTTCGTACGTGACATCGTGAAAGTATTTCTGAGCATCCAGAGAGCGACCCAGTAACAGAGCCAAGTTTCGATCAGTCGTTCTAATGATGTAAGATAGTACATCGACTGCCTCTGAACCAGAAAAAGCATTCTTATACGTCAGCTCGTTCTTCGTTCTGTCGCCCACGATAATCTTCTGCCTAAAGCATTCGGCCACTCGTGAAAGAAGGGCCGGGTATACAAGCGGGGCTCGGATCTTCGTCGTCGCAGTGGTCGGGCGCTCGCTGTCGATGGATCTGCTTCTTCCTGGTCTTTGGACGAGCGTGCCTGCGTCAGACTCGCTAGGCGGGGTTATCGTGGAGGCTGTAGACATCATGGAAGCCATAGAGAAAGTTCTTCCATGGTCCACAGTGCTACTTGTAGAGGTCATGGTTTGTGTCCGCGTCTGCGTCCCTGGCATAGGGGCATAGTGGGCGGTTTGGGCTGAGTACCCTGAGCCTGGGTTGGCATCGTTCGGCGCTCGCCGGTTGGGAATAACTCGCCCACTCATGGTTTGTGTGCCATCTCGATCTTGAGGATGGTAAACACCAGTTAATGACATTGAACGGTCATCATGGCGGTCCGGGACTACCCTACCTTGAGCAGTTGTCCTAGAGAGAGCATGCTGATTGTTATAGGGCGCTTGCCGAAACTGATTTGCAGACGACTGATTATAGTTAGTTTGCCCAGGATACATCTGTGGGCGGGGCATGGAGGCTAGGGATTGCGATCGATATGCGTCGCTATTCAAAGCAGGAGGCTGTCCTCCTTGATATGGCCTCTGGACTGGGCCTCTCGGGCCCCCAGATGGTAGCGGCGGGCCGCGAGAGTCGAATCGAGGAGGCCCTGTACCCGGAGGTCCTGGGTAAGGACGCCTGGCCTGCTGTTGCTGCTGCTGCAGGTATTGTGCTTGAGAAGAAGGAACTTGAGGCCCTGAAGCGGAGCGCTGGCCCGGATAGTTGCCATTCGCCATGTGATCGACCGGCCGAGGTCTCGGGGCTTGTTCACGATCGTTGTAATACCCCTGGCCAGGACGAGGAGGCGGTTGGCGATGCATGCCAGAGGCAGATGATATTGTGTGTGTCCTTCCTTGGTCGAGCATTGGCGGGACGGATGCCGATGTCATGGTCTGGGACCTTCCCCCCGGGGGGGCAGCACCAAAGATATTTGAAAACGCGGCATCCCGTTGATAATTGCCATTCTGGTCGGGATAGCCCCGCGGCGGCTGGCGTTGGCCAGGAGGTGCCCGGGGATTGTATTGGTAGTCGGCCATGTTTCCTGCGCTGCAGACAGCGAGCGAGAGCAGTCAGATCGTGTGCTCTCGGCAGACTCAAGGGGAGAAGGGGGACAAACGAGCTGAGAGTGGTGCGTAGGGCCAGCCGCTAGAGCGGTCAGACTCTATACGATTCTAGCCAGCCAGATGTCCCGGTCGGCCGCGTTGCTTCGCGTGTCGTCGTAGCCTGGCGTAGTGAGGATATCGATATTTGGAGCCTTGCGTGGGAAAGCGCTTCCCCTTTGGAATGGATTCTCGGCCGTGGCAGAAAGGGGACCAGTGGTGGAGCGCTCGTCTCCCTTTCTCAAAGCCGTTCAGAGGAACTGACCAAGGTCAATAAAAGCCCCAGTGTTCAACGCTTCTGGCAATGCCGCTGCCTTGTAGTCTTGGGGTACGGACGCTGTGTCGTGTCAAGAAGGGTGCATCAGGGGAGTAGGCGCAAGATTTGCCTGCGGCGTGGGTGACGATGGCTGGTCGCGTTTCGAACCCAGACAAGCCGTTCTTCTCCAACCCAGCGGACGCCTCACGATGCAGAGCAGCCGTCAAGCCAAACAGGAACCCGGAGGGAGTCAGTCCTTCGCAGCTGGACTGGCAGATATGGCTGGTTGGCGACCGACCGACCTACCTTGTGGCTAGCAAGTGGTTTGGCTGTCCGATAAACTGCTAGGCTGGGAAATAGGAAGTACGTAAAGTGGTCGCCGCGTATTACGGAGTGCTCAGGGATAGTGGGATTGAGTCGGCGTGCTGTTGGCACCGCCGCACCGCCTACAGGGGAGTCAACCTACCCGCAAGACATCCATGGAAGGCAGCGCCAAGCCTAGCGCACCTCTTTCAGAGCTATGGGGCATTCAAAATGGCCTACCTCTGCAGAGGGCCTGCTAAAGCATGTTGATGATGCTGTTACGTGCCTTTGTTCTCCGTATCGGCAGCCCCAGTATTAAACAACAAGTATCTAGCCTAGTAATAGCATTATCCAAGCCCAAAGATTAATCTTTCAGAGTCATTAGCAACTTGGAACTTGAAACGTGGAAGGCGAGAGAATCTGTTGGCCGCCGAGTTTGCGTAGACTAGCGCAGTTAACAGCGCAATACATCCCGTCAAGTACCGCCTATTGAAGTACAGTAAACCTCAATTCAATCACATACCGTCCGCCCCGACAAGGCACAGTTTCTACATATCGTATCATAAGAGTAAACTTGCGATGGGCGCTATTTTCCTACATACTAAAGAGAAAAATTCACTTGTTGCCTGATCAATCTCACGTGAATCAGAGAGCTCCGTATATACACGTAGGTGGCATCCGGTCAGAGCTACCTCATTTATGGAACTAAGAGAGCTTCCACTGCGCTTTTTAAGAGCTTCAAGCAATTCTAAGAGCTTCGGGCAATCAGTCCAGCCGCTACAGATGAGGTAATACCTCATATAGACGCCTACAGCTGCCAATCAGCTGCTAATCGCAGTCGTACCTCCACGGAGCATTAGTCTGTACTCCGACGCTGCTTCAGGGATGCGAATAGCCAGACCAGCCAATGAGAGAATTCAGTCACTCACAATCACGTGATGTTTAGTTGCTACCATTGGCTGCCATGACGCCAGCTTCAACACCGGACGCCGAAGCCATTCTTCTCCCATCTGGTCGCGCCTAGCTCTGTGTCGACCTCCGCCATTACCTCTGTCCTCTCTATACCAGTGGCTACATCATAATCATGGAGTCAGAACTTGCTCCCAAGTTTGCGCCCTTCATCGGGATGGTAAGCGATCGCCGCTCAATAAAAGGAGACCCTGACAGTAGCTGACTGACACGCTTAATCTAGGGCGGCATTGCTGCTGCAATGATATTTGGATGTACGACTTCCTCTTCGCCGAATTAACTCCCAATCCTCCGATTTCTTCGACTTTGCTAAATATTATATGTCCTATTAGCTATCGGTGCTGCCTATGGGACAGCTAAATCAGGCATCGGTATTGCCGGCGTTGGCACCTTTCGACCGGATCTTATCATGAAGGTGGGCGCCTGAAGTATCATGAAATTTAAAACCATAGACTCATTAACCATATCTTAGTGTCTGATTCCAGTCATCATGTCTGGTATCTTAGCAGTTTACTCTCTTGTCATTGCAGTCCTCATTGCAGAAGATCTCGCCGCCCCCTCAGCAAAGAGCTACAGTCTTTTCACGTTCGTCGAGTCGATCAACCCGGAGCTTACCTTGAAACATCTGCTAACATACCTTAGAGGCTTCATGCACCTCGGATGTGGCATATCTGTAGGAATGACCGGGCTGGCAGCTGGGTACTGCATCGGCATCGTTGGCGATACCGGAGTCCGTGCCTTCATGGCACAGTCTAGGATATTCGTCGGCATGGTTCTAATTCTTATTTTTGGCGAAGTACTGGGCCTTTACGGGTACGCAATCGACTCTGTTCATACTGTTTTATCTATGCTAATCTTCCGTCCTTACAGGCTCATCGTTGCTCTTTTGCTCAACACGAAGAGCTGAATTCGATTTTTCCGAGACGAGTGCGTTTCACAGTTTAACGGATGTTTACAACTAAATGGCTCCGATCAGCGTGTTCCATATTCATTGGGTGTTCTCTAGACGTCGGATGTGTAAAGGGGGTGTCTTTTTTATTGTTTTTGCTACGAGCTGTGTAACATGGCGAAACACGTAAATACTGTGTTTAGATTCTGGTTTTCGATTCAGGCCATGGTAATGTATAACAAATCTTTCATCCACTCCTGAGGACTGTTAAGGGTGGCTTCTTTCTTCATAAAGCAATAGTAATGCAAAGATTAAAATCAAAACCGCTAGCAGGCAAATATCACTGTTTCCATTTCTCCGTACACTATATACGAGGTATCTAGCCATATATAAGTCAGGGAGGAACGCCAACGTATGAGACGGTTTACAAAGCAAACGATATACAAGACAGGTAGCAATGTACTACTGTTAGGATGAGCAAACGAGGGTGGTGGTGCTTGTTATCGTGGTAACCGTCCACCGATCCGGCCGAATAACGTTCTCTGCCGATTTTGAGCTGCCTCTTGTCGAACCCGAGTCGAAGGTCTATCTCTTTCTTCCCGTGTCTTCATCTGGGCCAGCATCCAGTCCCATTGCTTATCTTCTTCTCTCAACATGCTCTCATTAACCTCGCTGGCAATCCTTCGCCGGCGGGCTTCAGCAGCGGCTTGCTCACCGACCAAGTATGGATCTTCTAATGGGCGAAGAGGGGCCTCTCTACTGTTATTTTGTCGATTGATCGCAGAGTCCCGCATGCCAACAATCAATTCCGCAGCTGCGGCCTGGAGCCATCTGTCCGTAGCCCGCCTCTCTGCTACATTGCGGTAGTGACGGGCCGCCGGTGCGTTGTTGGCCGACCACGTAGGGATCCGGTAATTGTGAGTGTTCAAGGCACTTGTTGAAGCGAGCGGCGGAAGTGGCGGTAGTCCAATAGTCTGCGTCCCGGGCAAAGAGTTCTGTGCTCTGGAGGCGTCTCTCCGCGATGCCGTTCCTGCTACTGCGGCCGCATATGATGGAAGGGCTTCGCTATGCGTCGTCCTAGAGCGGTATGAAGGCACCTCTGAGACTGCTCTCGGCGTTAGTGATTTAAACACTCCATATTCCGAGGCGCTCACCGCCATTGGACGTTGCCAGCTACAAAACGGAATCACTATGTAGCTTCACATACCATAAGAGGGAGCTGCAGAGTGAACTGAGGCTGCATCAAAGTCGTCTGTGCTATACCGGGGTAGAGAGGCTAATCCTGTCATGATGGCGGTGACGCAGTAACCAAACAGTACAAAATACTATGGATCAAATCAAGGCGATTCCAGGTCAAAGTATATCGAGGCTCTCAGCTAGATTTGCACGAAGCTGCTTCCCGTGCAAACGCCGCTAGATAGTTGGTGAATACTATATAGTGGCAATAGAGGCAATACTATACACCAAAGCGAAGACAGATGTGATATGAGGCTGCTATGACAACACACTAGCGAGGAAGCTCAAAGGCGAAGCAAGATGGGATTATTTGCCAAAAGCTTCAATAGCCAACATCTTTGAGATACCACTGACATAGATACAAGATGACAAGAATCAAAGGCGCCTCCATGGCCTAGCCAAAGGGGCAGATGTGCTACTTATGTTCCCATGCATTCCGAACTCTCAGAGACGAGCCGCAAGCGACGGGAATCGGCACGCGACTGGCTCTCCGCAGAGGATTATTGGGGCGGGGAGCATGACTATGGGCGGAGCAAATCTTGGCATTTTCCATAGAGCCGAGAACCTACATGATGACAGCGCGAGGCTCCGCCTTTTTGGGCTTTCTACAGGCCCTCTTTGCTCTATCGAAGGACAGAGCGGCTTAGACTGCAAGTAACTTCGCCGATGAGGTGCAGCCATCAGCCTCTTAGGCTAGGTATTTCGGAGCGGCCCTTTCTCAGCAAGTCCAGATGCTCGACAATAATCTTACCCGGATATAGCGGAATCAGAGCTTTAGGATCTTTAGTAGAATAGTATTGGGAACTCTACCCTATAGATGGGGCGAGAATCAGCCTCATCTAGCAGCACCTTGTGTTTTTGCAGGCGGCCCATTTGTAATATGGAAAGTTCTAAATAATGAGAATTGCTCTTTTACAACCAGAGAGAATGAATGGACTGGCATGTGCTTCATAAGGTGGGGGGGCGCTGCGGGCAAAGGAGCTATTGCTGGAGGGGTTGCCCTTGTATTGGCCATTGGCTTGGTATACATATTTGGTCGCCTACCTTTTTACAAGCTTCTGAATTAGAACTTGATGACAGCAGCTAAACAGTATTGAGTTTATAGCAGCAGTAGGAATGCGGAGCACTGTTTGGCTCTAATCCTGAGACCGTTGCAGACTTATTTAGGTACCTATAGTAGTAATGGGGCCAAAGCCACTACCTACCTTCCGCAGGCCATTAACACGCTCTACCGCGTAAAGAGTCTCGGAAAGCGCGTTCTGCCCCGTCACTTCTGATTTCTGGGCACCTATTGTTTTCTTGCGAGCACAGAATTCTCTAAACTGCCAAATAGACAAGGAGCTCCTGTCGTCACCAGACTCTCAATCATGCTGCAGTCATGAAAGATATTCTTTAACTGCCATCTAATCACGATTATGACAATTTCCATCTGTCGCCATGTCAACTCGGCGTGCCGATTCTCCAGATACCGAGTCTGATGGCTCGCGCCAGTCACGACATCAACCGCTACGGCGAGAGAGCTTAGTTATGAGGCAGAGAGAAGGTCCGCAGGTGCAGTCAAGCACCAAGCGTAAGCGAAATCCCCAACGAGCAACAGACGACGGCGACAATGAGCACGATAGCGACTCCGACGATGTTTACGACCCAGATCAACCACTAGAAGAAAGAAGAAAGGTTCAGCAGGGATTTCGCGACCTTCTTCGAAACATCACAGAAAACAGCGAAGAATATCTACAAGGCGACTCTCATGGTCTGCATGAGACCATTTTGCGGGCCAACGAGCTCTCCAAGCAAGTACGACAGACGACTGAAGCCACGATTGATTCACGGCTGCTTGTCAGCACAACCGACCTTTCGTACCGCAAGACCCTGAGGCTCACACAAGGCAGCCTGTCACAAGGAATCGACGGGGACGATTTTATTTCCAAGTGCATCGCGTATATGCGAAATGGTGGGGGAATTGCCAATGACCAATCCCTAGAACTTTCGAGCACCCAGAGGCAACGACGGCGAACGGTACATGATCGAGCACATGAGGATGATGGCGGGGATGTAGGAGATGAAGGAGACATGATGAACTGGGCTCATCTCGGCCATTTCGCGTGCTTGCCATATGTCAGGCGGCCTGCGCTGCCTGGCTTTCTTCTTGGTCCATTATCGGTCGAAAAGAAGGCGCGCAAGGCGGCAAAGCGGAGTGCCCCGTTTCGTCCAAATAGCCTGACGGAGACAAGACCCGAAATCCTCAATGTCGATGATCTCGCTAAGAAGGAGAATGATCTGACTGTTATTTGCGGCAAAATTCTTCAGCAACTCTACAAGATCCAGGCCAATGCCCAAGAAACAGTCGCAGACCTGATCACAGATGATATGGAAGAGGATGAAAAAACCCGGCTTATGCACGAGCATGGATTACGGAGCACCGGTGGTATCGACTTGATGAGATTTGTGGTCAATCCCAAGTCATTCGGACAAACTATCGAGAATCTTTTCTACGTGAGCTTTCTTATCCGAGATGGAAGAGTGGAGATTGATTTCGACGAAGATGGTCTCCCTGCATTAGGTAAGTATCACAGTGATGCAAATTGCAACGGTAGTTCATTCTGGTCATTCATCTCGATACTGACACCATGTTTAGCACCGGTAGATCGAGAGGGTGATGATGTTGGAGCTATTCGCCAGTCAACTTCTAAGCATCAGGCTATTCTATCTATGGACATGGAAACCTGGCAAGACATCATTGATACCCTGGGCTTTGAAGAACCCATGATCGAACATCGTCAGGAGTTGTCCGCTACCGGCCCCGGGGCCAGAGGCTGGTACGGCTAGACAGCCATTGTACCTCAAAATAGCTGAAAGGAGGCTTTGACTATTCATTGAAGAAAATTTTCTACTGCATCTAAATTTAGAAAGGGGGAGCCCGATATCTTGACCAGACAAAGACTAAGTCTGTTGTATACGCATATCACGAACTATGTCTTTCATCCCTATACCCTGTTGTGTAGGCCAATCTGGTTGGCTGTGTGATCAAAGAAGGAGAGGCGCTCTTTTGACCTTTGACAGAGCTGCATAGCGTAGAAAATCTGATGTGGAGAATACCTTGTGAGCAACAAAGAAATAATGGGAAATCCTTTTGATTCAGACTTCTTCATTGAGAAATGCGGTTTCATCCTTGGCATCTGCTGACCTTGAAAATGAATCAATTTCCACCTTCCTATGGGGCTGAGTGTTGGATTTGATAGATGCTATAAAGTCAGTTTTAACGCCCGCAGTACATGTCTCACGGCCTGGACCTTTATTCTGTTTACTTTCTCAACAACAGAAGCGTTTGATTTACCCTTGGTTCTCTCTGTCCCCATATCTCTTTATTTGTCTATCATCTCTCCCAGCTGACCATTTTGATCGAAATCGGATTGCTACTTGGGAACATTCTTTTTTTTTTTTTTTTTCCCTATACCAGTCATTGGATCATAACTATGTCGAAGCGTGCGCCCCCTCCTCCGTTGGACATTCCGGCATCAGAACCATGGAAAAATAATGCGCCTAAGGTGTTTGCCAACAAGATTGTAATACCTTCTCTACCTACCAAACCTAGAAAAAAATCGACACCAGGGGCTGCAGTCGAATGGGACAAACAGGTCAGCCCTGTAGCAGCAAAGAAACCTGTTTTGGAAGCTATTGGTGACGATGAGATCACTTCGCCAGCACAGGCATCTACAATGGAAATACCCGAATTTATAGACGAAAACGAATCACCAATGGAGAGCGCCGCTTTTACGATCGATGAGCAAAGTCCTGGGATTGAAGACAAGGATAGATCTCCATGTTTGTCGGATCTTGGTGCAGAGGCATTAGTCCACGGCGAGCATCGCTCAGCCGCTGATGAACTTGCAGATGACATGTTCGACAGTGATAGCGACTCCGGGAGTGAACGCAACACGGCTTTCTGTAGAAACGACGCGGAAGCTGAAGCAGTGTACACGAACAAGTCTATGGCGAGTGATTCTGACGATGATTTGGCGGGTGATAGTGCATGCGATATTGCGAATCATAGGGTTGAATCTACCTTTGAAAGCAAGAAAAGCCAATATCAGAACCAGGAGCCAAGTATTTCGCACGAAGATTATCAGAAATACATAAAAATAAAGGAGGAGATTGTCCAAGAACGCCTACACATGGAAAAACAAACGGCTCAGCACATACTCATGAAAGAACAAGTCGATCAGGAACGCAGACAGATGGAAGATAGAATGGCTCAACAACGCAAGCAAATCGATCAAGAGCGTGTACAATTGCAAGAGCAAGCGGCTCAAAGAGGCAAGGAAATGGAAGAGCTTGATCAAGAACGCAAGCGAATTGCTCAAGACCGCAAACAATTGGAAGAGGAAACGGCTCAAAAGTGCAAGCAACTGGAAGATCAAATCCATCAAGACCGTATACGATTGGAAGAGCAAACGGCTCAGAAATGCGAACAACTGGAAGAGCAAGTCGATCAAGAACGCATCCGCTTGGAAAAGGAAATCGCTCAAGAACGCATCCGCTTGGAAAAGGAAATCGCCCAAGAACGCAAACAAATTGATCAAGACCGCATACAATTGGAAGAGCAAACGACTAAAAAATGCAAGGAAATGGAAGAGCTCGATCAAGAACGCAAGCAAATCGCTCAAGACCGTACACAATTGGTAGAGCAAACGGCTCATAATTGCAGACAAATGGAAGAGCAAGCAGCTCAAAGATGTTCACAGTTGGAAGCGCAAACGGCTCAAAAATGCAAGCTAATGGAAGACCACGCTGATCAAGAACGCATCCGCTTGGAAAAGGAAATCGCTCAAGAACGCATCCGCTTGGAAAAGGAAATCGCCCAAGAACGCAAACAAATCAATGAAGACCGCATACAATTGGAAGAGCAAACGACTACAAAATGCAAGGAAATGGAAGAGCAAGCGGCTCAACGATGCACAAAAATGAAAGAGCAAATCGATCAAGAACGCAGGAAAGCTAATCAGGAACGCAAGCAAATGGAAGAGAAAATCGATCAAGACCGCAAAGTAATGGAGGCCCAAGTCGATCAAGAACGCATACGCATGGAAAAGCAAATCGTCCAAGACCGCATACGATTAGAAGCGCAATCGGCTCAAAAATGCAAAGAAGACGAAGTGCAAGCGGCTCAGAAGTGCAAGCAAATGGAAGAGCAGGCGGCCCAAAGATGTACAAAGATTGAAGAGCAAATGGCTCAAAAGCGCAAGCAGATAGATGAGCAATTCGAACAAGATCGCAAACAATTCGAACAAGATCGCAATCAAGTTGATCAAGACCGCAATCAAGTTGATCAAGATCGCAATCAAGTTGATCAAGATCGCGAGCAGATTGACCAAGAACGCATACAAATGGGGCAAGCCGCTCAAGAGTGTAAGCAAATGAAAGAGCAGATCGATCAAGAACGCAAGGAAATGGAGCAAACGGCTCAAAAATGCAAGCAAATGGAAGAGCAAGTCGGTCAAGAACGTGAACAAAATGATCAAGAACGCAAGCAGATTGATCAAGAACGTAAGCAATTTGACCAGGAACGCATACAAATGGAGCAAGCGGCTCAAGCGTGCAAGCAAACGAAAGGTAAAATCGATGAAGAACGCAAGCAAGTTGATCAAGAACGCAGGGAAATGGAAAAGCAAACGACTCAAAAGCGAAAGGAAATGGAAGAGCTCGACCAACAACGCAGGCAAATGGAAGGGCAAGCGGCTCACAAATGCAAACAAATGGAGGAGCGAATTGATCAAGAACGCAGAATAATGGAAGCGCAGACGGCTTCACTTCAAGAGACGATTGCAAAACTGGAGGCCCAGAGCAGCCCGTTCACGGATAAAACAGCAACGCGTGTCGATGCTAGCATGGACACCGAAACGCCTAATGGGCAAGAAGCCAACGTACAAAGCTGTATACCACAGCCATCGTCATCGCCATCCCAGTTGAGGCTGTCATCAGCAACTTCCCATCCCGCGCAGACGCCCATAGCTGAAATCCGTGGGGCGTGCCTTGACTTCTTTGACGAATGTCAGTCGGCATCGTCAATGGAGATACCGTACCTGTTCATAAAGCTCATAAGGTGTATTTTCCCCCGCATAGCAACTCCGCTGTGTTGTTTCATAAATCTTTTCTTATTAGTGCAAACGCACATGGAAAAGGAGATATGGATATCGGCCAACTCTACAACTCGAAAGCATCTGCTAGAGCATCCGGTCGCAGAATTACCATTATGGGAGCTACTGGTTGTAATAGGGACCTTGACAGTCACATCTTGAACGAAGACAAACGGTATTGGCGGTAGGATACCTTGCAGAGATTTTTCAGGCGCAATTAGTTCGTAGTGTTACTCAGTTTCAGTTCTCATGTTATAAAACTTTTGCATAAATGAAGAATTCTGTGATCAATGCTCTATTGTTTGGCATTTGAGTACTAAATTGGCGAGAGAGTTGGCACCTTGGGAAGACGGCGAAAAGAGAAGTCGTGCGTATGTATGAGTACATGGACAGAAAATAGAGTGCGCCGGGCTCCTCATCAGATCAAGCGGGCGGAGTAGTGTATACCACAGCTTAGTATGCATTAAGTAGGTAGTATCAAGTATCCGAGACTGCGCCTTCTCTTTCTGCACCCCGCGACCTTCGGCTGCTAGGTACAGGATACTTGGAGCATGGGTATACGGTCAGAACGGAAGGTTTCGATGTTTTGGCATTATTGAACATCATTGAATGCATCTCGTCTTGAACCAGGCAAGAACAAGCTGACAGAATTGAAGTCATGGACGATCAAAAACAGATGTGAGATTTTTCTCTTCTTTTATTGGCTTTACAAATATCAAATTGGAAAGGATTGCCTGGTCTCAGTAATTGAGTGTGAAGGGCGCTGCAGAATCATGTCTTAAACCCGCGTCGAGGACAAGTGCATCAAAGCAAGAACCAAAAAAGGACGTAGAGCCCTGCTAGCCGGAAAGACACGGAGGCAACAGTAGTCTTCACCTAGTCTGCGACTTTAGCTGGAAATCTCTCAGTCTCTTGGGTGGGTGAACGGATCGATGGGGAATGGGGTCCGTCCAAGGCCGAAAGGCCAATCCTAGCGACTGCACGTGACCCGGAAGAAAGCTCTGACTGGAGTAGTCGCTGTCCCGACCAAAACTGCTCATTTTGAAAACTTCTCCCGGCCTTAACCAACTCATTTGCATATCCATCGCTGATTGCTCTCTGTCATCTGCCAAGATGTTCAAGAGGTGAGTAAAGATGCCTCAATTTGGTGTTTTCAGCTTTTCCACTCCCACCCATATGCGAATTGGAGCCTTTTCTAACAGCGTTGCCCCCCCACAGCGGCATTTCGTCCCTCGCCAGGGCTGCCCGCCCATCCTTTGCCGCTCGACGAGCTCTCCGACCAGCCTCTCTCCGATTCCCCTCTGCCATCAGACTCGCCAGCACCCAGAGCGTCGGAGATGGAAAGATCCACCAGGTAGGCCGAGCTTACAAGAAAGACTCAATGGTGGGATTTGCGGCTAACAGCAGTTCTAGGTTATTGGTGCCGTCGTCGACGGTTAGTGAAAATCCCTGCGCCTTTTTTTTTATATTCGCTCGCGGAACGCCATATAGCGGTATTGGGCAGACAACTGATTATGCCACAGTCAAGTTCGACACTGCCAAGCTGCCTCCTATCCTGAACGCCCTGGAGACCACCAACAACAACCAGAAGCTGGTTCTCGAGGTTGCTGTAAGTAGACGATGCGGGACGCCCCAAAAGTAACTCATCTGACGTCTTGTCTAGCAACACTTGGGTGAAAATGTTGTTCGTTGCATTGCTATGGATGGTAAGGAGCCCTGATGATCATTCGTCACAAACGATCTGAAATACTCATTCATTCGACAGGTACCGAGGGTCTCGTCCGTGGCGCCAAGGCCTCTGACACTGGTGCTCCCATTACCATCCCCGTCGGCCCTGCCACTCTTGGTCGTATCCTGAACGTCACTGGTGACCCCATTGACGAGCGAGGACCTGTCAAGACTGACAAGTTCCTGCCCATTCACGCCGATCCCCCCTCTTTCACTGACCAGTCCACCTCTGCCGAGATTCTGGTCACTGGTATCAAGGTCGTCGATCTGCTCGCTCCCTACGCCCGTGGTGGAAAGATTGGTCTCTTCGGTGGTGCCGGTGTCGGCAAGACCGTCTTCATTCAGGAGCTGATCAACAACATCGCCAAGGCTCACGGTGGTTACTCCGTCTTCACCGGTGTCGGCGAGCGTACTCGTGAGGGTAACGATCTGTACCACGAAATGCAGGAGACCTCCGTCATTCAGCTTGATGGCGAGTCCAAGGTCGCTCTGGTTTTCGGTCAGATGAACGAGCCCCCGGGAGCCCGTGCCCGTGTTGCTCTGACTGGTTTGACCATTGCCGAGTACTTCCGTGACCAGGAAGGCCAGGATGGTAAGTCTTTTGCGATAGTTTATTCTCATTTTGATAGTAATTTTTTTTTTTTTTTGCTAACATCTCATTCACAGTCCTGCTCTTCATTGACAACATTTTCCGATTCACCCAGGCCGGTTCTGAGGTGTCTGCTCTGCTGGGTCGTATTCCCTCTGCCGTCGGTTACCAGCCCACCCTCGCCGTCGACATGGGTGGTATGCAGGAGCGAATTACCACCACCAAGAAGGGTTCCATTACCTCCGTCCAGGCTGTCTACGTCCCTGCTGACGATTTGACTGATCCTGCCCCCGCCACCACCTTCGCTCACTTGGACGCCACCACTGTCTTGTCCCGTGGTATCTCCGAGTTGGGTATCTACCCCGCTGTCGACCCTCTTGACTCAACATCCCGTATGCTTGACCCCCGTATCGTTGGCCAGGAGCACTACAACACCGCCACCCGTGTCCAGCAGATTCTCCAGGAGTACAAGGGTCTCCAGGATATCATTGCCATTCTGGGTATGGACGAACTTTCTGAGGCCGACAAGCTTACCGTCGAGCGTGCCCGAAAGATCCAGCGTTTCCTCAGCCAGCCTTTCACCGTCGCCCAGGTCTTCACTGGTATCGAGGGTGCTCTCGTTGACCTCAAGGACACCATTGCCTCCTTCAAGGCCATCCTCAACGGTGAGGGTGACAGCCTGCCCGAGGCTGCCTTCTACATGGTTGGTGACCTTGCCTCAGCCAAGGCTAAGGGTGAGAAGATTCTGGCGGAGTTGGAGAAGAACTAAAAAGGCTTTAGCTAGCTTGTCCCAAGAGCTGGGGAATAGTAAGCCTGTGTATAGACTAGTATAGTAGTAAACAGCTATCTGATAGTAAGATTTTCTTCAAACATGCTATCCGCGGGCTATATGTACAATAGCTGGGACATTTACAACTATTAATATATATAAAAAAAAATCGTATTAACGTCATCTTGAGTTAATGTGTCATGAGCGTCTTTTAAACTTTATTGAAGCTATAGCTAGTATCTATATAATTGAGACAAGTAGTCTCTGTCATCACAGCAGTAGATCAGTTCCCTGTTGTAAATCCTGGGTCAGCTTAGCTGCAGAGCATAGTCTATGAGATTCTTTTGAGGCCAAACGCTCTCCATGTCTCCGAGTATGACTCTAGCCAGCTGTATGCTGTCGTTTGTATGAAGAGCTGTGAAAGGGACTCGCATATAATCATACCATTCCAGGGTAATGTACTTGCAAATGTCCCGTATTGTGCGGTCTCCAATGCCTTCTACCCACCATACTTCTGACTGAACTAGCTTGAAGAAGGCTGCAAAATAAGCAAGAATCACTAAAGCACGCGGCTGTAAGCTGCGAGCGATATCAATGAACTCTCTAGGAACAAAGGTAAATATCGTTATGACTCTCAGACACATTAGATTAGAAGGGCCTTCTGCCAAGTCCAGGTACAGACTGCCCATGTATTTCAACGTCTGGTCATATGCGTCCTTGAAAGGGTAGTCGAGATCGCCTGGCTGGATGGCGGAGACCATGGTGAGAAGCTTCTCGGGGATGAAGGAGGTGGATTTCTCAATATCTATACGAGGCCGGAAGAATAGAGACCACATGCCGGATTCAAGAATAGTAGACTTGGAAACGAGGTTGATTACGAGGACGATGCCTTTCCAAACAACGAGCCAGTCGAGGATATATAGGTCTTTGCCATCAGGCTCTCTGAAATTCTGGGATGATAACGCAGTTATAAGTAGAGAGTTTGCCAGCAGGGCAGGGAAGTCTACTGGATTGGCTTCCTCGATTGCCTTGCGATATCCCGCCAGGGACCTGACTCGATATGTCAGGGCACGCTGCGCATCGAATTGCTCGTTCAGCTGCATCATGTGCAAGCTGGAGAGGGCGAAGATGGTGTCCATCAGAAAAGGCGACTCGGATCCGTAGCGGACCAGCAGGCTTCGCATGATTGACCGGTGCCCTTGATTGCCCATTGTAGAGAAGGAGCCGCATGTCTGGGTCGCATAGAACCAGAGGGCTTTCATATCCGACATGTCGATCCCGGTCGGGAGGAAAAGTAATTCCATGGGCATCGGCGGAGTCTGGCCATTGTATTTGTCCGCATATGCGAGGATGGGCGCCGAAAACAAGACGGACGACGTCGAGGCTATGTCGGAGATGCCAGTCGCGGAAGCGGTTGCAGACTTGAGCTGCTGTGCGGGTGATGATTGCTGCGATGAAGAAGAAGAAGTCGCTTCAATGGACTGCTGCGTCTTCTGAGGGTACAGGTAGACGCAATCAGCCTGTCTCAGCTTACAGGACCGACAGGTCGGCCTTGCTTCGTCGCATTTAACCTTGCGCGCCTTGCAGTTCTGGCAGCCAGACCGGGACTTTTTGTGAGGGCGCTTGGCATGGTAGGGTTTCGGCGGTGATGTGTCGTCTTTCACTTCGGGAGCGGGAGCTGGAGCTGGAGCTGGAGCCGAACTGTTATTGAGCGGTGTCTCAGCCATAATGCCCGGCGAAGAAGCGCCCTGTTCGACATTGCATGTGAGATTGTTATGCACGAGCAACAATGAGTGCGTGCCGCTGTGAGGGAGAGAGAGGCTGCTGTGATGACGGCGTTGGATTAGCCTGGCCTGGCGCAAGATGCCTACAGCAGGATGCGATACCCGCTGTTGATTCGTCGCAGCAGCTACACGAATGTACCTTTTGGATGTACCCGGACCACCCTAGCACGCATCTCGCGAATTTTGATTTTTTTTTTTTGCGCTGTTATTAGCGCAATATGCGACAATCAAAGTCTATGCAATCTAAGAAGTTAAGACAGCACAAAAAGAGTGCGTGAGAAGAGAGTTTCAAGAGAGGCATAATATTGAAGATTGTCACAATATGTAATGGTACTATAATAGATTGAACATTAATAGCGACCATCAAGTGCACTGATGTAGGTATTTGAATCAAAATGGTTCCCATTTTTCGGCACTGCGTAGAAACCAAGGCATGCTAATAATCTTCCGGCCATTGGCTGTCTTAGACTCGCTTTACATAATATAGCTGCTTAGAGTCAAGATTTTTGCACTAATCGCTCCATACTCCAAACAGCTTAAACTCGAGTCGTATGATTTTCTAGCCAAAAGGCCGTACGGAGCACGGCAATTAAATCCCCTCGCTGCTGCACCACCTTACCGAACAACCACCGGCAAACGAACGACGCTGCCACGTCCTCCCAATTGAACCTCCGCCGAAGCTGCTCGAATCGCCATCGTCCAAAATGCTTCGCTCCATGGTCCTGCGAGGCAATGCCTTGACGCAGAGCACCCGGCTGGCGTCCCGAGCCATGTCCACCCAGGCCCTGTCCAACCCGACCCTCAGCAACATCGAGAAGCGATGGGAGGGAATGCCTCTCCAGGAGCAGGCCGATCTGTGGATGGCCCTGCGCGACCGCATGAAGGGCAGCTGGAAGGAGTTGACCCTGCAGGAGAAGAAGGCCGGTAGGTGACGCTGCTGCTGTTGAAAGTTTTTTGTGTCGAAATTCCCTCCGGAGGCACGAAAAGAGCTTTGCCGAGCTGCCCTCCCATGTCCGGAATGGCAGCACTTGGGAGGCTATGGATCTACATTGGCTTGCGAACAAAGGATTGATTGGAAAGCTTTTGCTCTGGATTGCGGTGGAAATCGAGCATCAATCGAAAGGAGCTGAGCTGTTTGCTGTCAATTCTTTGATCCGGCGAAGTGGGGTTCATTCATGATCCTTGAAAAGAGCTGCCGTCAACATGGCATATCATGCACAATTCACATCACATTTCTTTGTTGTTGTCTTGTTGGTGTCTTTCTTTGCTCAAGCAGCTGCTAACTCAGAGTCGTTTCATGCAGCATACTGGATTGCTTTCGGCCCTCACGGTCCCCGTACCGCTGACCCTCCCGGAACTGGTGCCCGCGTTGCCTGGGGCGTTGTCATCGGCCTGGCTTCCAGTCTCGCTCTCTTCTCCGGTATCCGAATGGCCGCTAAGCCTGCTCCTCACACCATGAACAAGGAGTGGCAGGAGGCTACCAACGAGTACCTCAAGGTAAATATTTGCCTCCAAACGTCTTCTTTGACGTTGCTTCGATCTTGGGATATCGGACATGACTAACTCGTTGGAATAGACTCAAGCCGCCGATCCTCTCACTGGTATCTCCTCTCCCGGATATACCGGCAAGGGTGTTGTTCAGTCTCCTCCCAAATCACAGTAAAAGAAAAACACGATACTGTCGCTCATTGCTTCGCACTATTGGAGCGGGCACGGGGGGGCTTTGTCAATTGATATTTGTACATGTATAGCTTAGTCTTAGAGAGTATGCAAGATAGGGTTCTCGCATGGCGTTGATTGCTCAAGTGACGAGTCTAAAAATGTTGGTACATCAGAAGCCAGTGCTGTTTTCATTTATTGCACCCCTTTCTTTGTTGCCCAGTGGAGATGGTGTCATCAATTCTGAAAGAAGATGATTGCCTCGGGAGTCTTTCAAACCATTGTTACAAAGTATTTGCTATTTCAGAAAGCTACGTCTCCACGTGCTTGCCTGGTTTCACCCTCTGCCTTCATCTGCTTGCTCCAGTCTTTCCGGTGAGTGTTGTGGGTTGTATGAGTCGAGCTGCTCTTCTTGTAGTCGATCAATGAGCTCATGGCGACCGTCTTTACCCCAGTAAGCCGCTTTTTCAAATCCTTTGACGCAGGCTTCGGTGATGAGGACATATGGTGTTGGAGCATCAAACATTGGCTCGGCTAGAACGCGTTCCATCTCCATCTTCAGTCCTCGCGCGCCCGTTTCAGCTGCGAGAGCACGCTCTGCAATTGCAGTCAATGCTTTTCCAGTGAAATATAGCTGGGATGGATATGTTTCAAAAAGGGCAGTATACTGGGCTACCAGACTGTTGCGCGGCTCCGTTAAAATTCGAAAAAGATCTTCTTTGGACAGAGGACTGAGAGCACAGATGTTATGTAACCGGCCTATAATCTCAGGAATGAAACCAAACCGTTGCAGATCATCAGATGTTACCAGATCTATCGGCGTAAAGGAGAATGCCGATTGTGGGCTATAATGTGCCAAATGAGAGTATATTTCGGGAGGCAAAACATGGGCATTTCCAGGTCCAGCATGGCGACTTTGAAGGTCTCCTCCGAATCCCATTGCTGGTTTCGTAACTCTCTGCAGGATGATCTTGTCCAGTCCAACAAAAGCGCCGCAGACCACGAAGAGAATGTTGGTGGTGTCAATGGTGTATTGGTCCACCTTACCTGGAGGGCTGTTAACTGGTAGTGTGGGAGTTGGAGCTCCAGATGCATTGTAATTTGTAGGGATTTGCGTGGTCGTACGCGATGAGCGATTGTCCTTAACATTGATGGTGACCTTTGTGCCTTCGATGAGCTTGAGTAAAGCCTGCTGGACACCTTCACCGCTCACGTCTCGACCCGTCGTCGTTTCTCTCCTCGCCAGCTTGTCAAATTCGTCAAGAACAACTATTCCATGTTCTGTGGCCTTCACATCATAATTGGCTTCTATGAGAAGCCTTTCAATGCAGGATTCCACGTCTTGTCCTATATAACCCGCTTGAGTTAGGGAGTTACAGTCGCAGATAGTGAGCGGCACCTGGATCTTTTTGCTTAGAGTTCTGATATTGATCATCAGCCAGATGTAAATGCCTGAGTCGTTGGGACATTTGCTTCTTACTCTAGGATATATGTCTTGCCCACACCCGTCGGCCCAATCACGATAATGTTGCTCTTGTCGATTTTGATATGCTCAGGAATCCCCGGTTCATCTGGTTTGAAGATGGGAGCAGCTGAATTCGCCTCGGGCATGCATAGCTCAGGTATCTGACGGGCCGCGGAACTCTGTGGAATATTTTCTTCTTGATAGACGGTGTTACTGATAGAGACTTTGATATCTGGGAGTGGCCAACTCACCTTCAACAGGGAGACTATCCCAGCGCCTCTGAGATAGCTCCCTCTCACGTGCGAAACGCTGACGCATCATTTTCTCATGCTTCTCTTTGTCTTCCTGTTCGTGCTGGCGCCGCCTCCTCAAGTTCTGGTAGTGGTTGAAGATGGCAGAGCATATTGTCTTTTTAGCACGGTCCTGGCCCACGACATAATCGTCCACACGTCTCTTCAAATCACGAGGATAGAACTGCGGCACTCCGAAATTTACTTTTCTAAACATTGGGCCACGGCCAGCCTCCACCGTGGGGTCATAGCTCCTGGTGAAGCCCGAAGTGAAGTCTGGCGTCTGTTTAGACCGAAGAGATGTGTACACTGAGAGATACCGGCATTGGCGTCCTGCTTGAGCGGTGACATCCCGGTGCTTCTGAATGGAAGAGATCCAATGAGGGAGAGAACGCCGCCGGCACAGTGACAACATTGTGAAAATGAGGCACACGATAGGGGATGTCTTGGGGATGGGAATAGCCGCTGCGGAAGTCCAGGCGGAGTATGATAAATTTATGGGCGTTGCAGCTCAGTCAGATCATCGCATAGGGGGGGTCAGATGTATCAAGAATAAGGCAAAGGCGGTCTGCAGATTCCACGTTACTGAGTGTTCAAGGCCTGTTGACGGTAATCGAATATCCTCTAGATAAGATGTCTCAAGCACAGCATAGGGGTCAGTTGGTTTTATTGAAGCAGTATGGATGAATATCAGATGAGATTGAGCCAAAGGGCGCTGACGAGGAATAAGCATTTCCCCCGGAGCTTTAGATCAGCAGGCCACGCAGCCAATCAGACCAGCTTGTAGTTCTTGCTTGTACGGCACTGTCCTCCGCGAACGGCACCTCTAAGTTCATGCGCCACCGGTAGCTACATGTGCTTGTATTAGATGGTTTATCGGGGACTTTCGTTTATCCAGCACGGAGATCGGACATCCTGAGATAAGACATTCAATAAAGTACTTGTACATACTTGCTCCATTTCAGACGGGTGTGAGATGTTGTGTCACAGCATATGAATGGGCATTATTCTAGTTAAGCCGAAGCGGCCATTCTTCTATTCTATACCCAAGGAGCGCCAAAATAGAAAACAAAAAAAGGAAAAGGAAAAGGAAAAACAAGAAGAATGGAAACAACAGGTGCTGGGGCTCATAATTTATGTAGGTACAGGCTGCCTTTGCATGATGTCAGAAGCCAAGTCCTCCGTGGAAACTCCGCGGAAAATTTCTCAACCTTGAGCCATCCCCCAGTGCCCATGGACCTGGACTGCAGCTGCGACCTTATTCCATGGACTCTCCTGTAGTAAAATTGTTGGATTAACCAACCGAAGGATACTCTAAGATGGGTCGGCAACCGAGACAACGTCCAATTTCGTGCCACCTGTGTAGGGTACGAAAGTTACGCTGCAGTCGCCAGTTTCCGTGCTCCAACTGCACGTCTCGCGGCGTCGTTTGCCAGCATGAAGGCGTTGCGGTCACGGCAGCTGCGGCAGGGACCCAGCAGCAGGTAAAATCGCCTGTCCTGAAAGACATGTCCACGATGGACCTCTTGGCCCGGCTGGAACGCCTCGAGAGCATCGTTGCGGCCCAGGGCAGGGAGAGGACGGAGCCCCCGAGCCAGAGAGAAACGCCCAGGAACGAGTCTGAGAGATCAACGCATCCAAGTCCTGCCACAGTCTCGCGCCCTGTGCCTCCCAGGCTTCAGCGTCTGACAGCAGATGCTCTGCAGCTTGAGCGGACTTGTTCAGATCAAGTATTGACGGTGAGCTCGTGAAACCCTTCCCTTGGGGGCTGTCTCCCGCGCCGTAATAAGTGATATGTGAGGCTGAGACGTCCAGCAGGACTCGTTGATATCTGAACCTATTGTTTTCCGCACCTGTCCCATCCGGTTGGCCCCTGGTCAACCGTCGTACACTTTTCAGAATAACACTTTTCAAAATAACAGTGCTCCCTCAATGGTAGGACCAATGGACGTTGTGAAGTGCATCTGGCTGCCGCAGCGAGACGAGATGCGCGTTATACTCCAGAAGTATATAGCTGATATTTCCTTTTTCTACCACATTGTCCATGTCCCCGCACTCCAGAGCCTCCTTGAAGATATATACGCTGGCTTGGAAGCAAACGTACGCGTTGATGTTGGCGGCGTGCTATTGCTTCTGAGCATATGTGCGAGCACAACGTATGCATGGTCGACCCCCGACGATATCAGATGTATATTCGCAAATCCAGCCGAAGCGAACGGTCAGTCGACATTTTGGATTAAGCAAGCTCTGGATGTCATCAGCCATTCGCAAAAAACTGCGCATGCATCGCTGGAGTGTATCCAGGGCCTCATCATCCTCTTTTTTGCCTTTTGTAATCACGAGAGCGTCTCATTCCGTGCCCGTAATGTCTTCATGTACGCCAACTCAATGGCCACGGAGCTGCTATTGCATCGCATCGATGACCCTACGGCCAGCTCAATGCCGATGCTTGTTCGAATGAGTGAGGCAAAAAAGGAAATCGCCAGGAGAGTTTGGTGGTTCATGGTTGCAACTGACTGGTAAGTGTGTGGATATGCAAGAGTCCCAACACCTATCCTTCTACAGGAAGTGTATGCTAATTGGCTCACAGGACGCTTGCTCAATTCAGCTGTCCACAAGAAGGGGTTTGCCTCATCCACAAAAACCAAATGGCAGTAAACAAACCGCGGAATACAAACGACGAAGACATTATCGAGGGAGGAGAAATCATCGACAGACCAGAATCCGAGGCGACTTGTATGTCGTACTTTATCCATCGCATCCGCTTATCAGAGATCTGTCGAAATTTGCTTGACGGCACGCCTGTGGGCACCCAGACTTCCGAGTCTATAGCATACCAGGACATACTAGATGCCGACGCAAAGCTTAACCAGTTCATCCAGAACGCCCCGAGCTTCTTTTCGATTGACTGTCCTGGCTTAGATGACCTTCCTGCCACAGATGTTAAACGCTCATTTTTCATCACTACACAGCGCTATACGTTGAATCTGCTAGTTCACCGGCAGCTGTGTAAGATTCACCTCCCGTATCTGGCTCAGGGGACCATCGATCCGGCGTATGCGTATTCACGCGACGCTTGCCTGAGGTCAGCCAGAATCATTTTCGAGCTCGATCATCAGCTACAAAACGAAAATATACCCTTTTCCAAATCTCGTTTGAGACTATCGATGGTGCTGCGGAGTGTGTTCTTGGCCAGCATTGCGCTCATGCTGAATGCCTGTCTCAAAGGTGATGCTGAGGACAATGCAGAGGGAGAAGATGAGGTGGCCGGGGCATGGAAGATTCTGCACGAAGTACAAGACCAGTTTCCTCCGGCAGCGAAATTGCTGGAGCTTTCTATCAAGATTCTTCGGAAGTACAAGATTAAGCACCGCGCTCTGGATCTATTGCAGCAACAAGTCTCGAGGATATCTCCGTATAGCGACTCATTTCCCATGACGCCAGAATCGGCGAATCAAGATATCCGAATGAGTTGCATGCAACAGAATGTCGGCACAGAAACCGAGAACATACTACTGGAGCAGCATTGGCAGATGCTGGAAGGGAAGATGGACTTGAATGCAATAGATTGGGATAAGCTGTTTTGGGGTATCGACGCACCGTTTATTTAATACAAGACTACATATACATAATTGAAATTTAATGATGAACAACGAAGCTTGCTGCACATAGTAAATGCGACACTCCTCATAAAATATCATCAATGTCTTGGCTTTACTAGTGTCGACTATGATGCAGCCATGAATGATGTTTACTTCTTCACTTTAAAAGTAATGTATCGCAACTCGCACCAAAATTATCCCTTCTTGTCTATTAATCTTAGAACTACCGTTAAATTGCTCTCTTTAAAATGTACATGCGCCATTATTTGTGCTTCTGAGCCCCCCCAGCTGCTATCTCTTCGTTGAGTCTATACACATGCAAGCTTATTAACTACAATTCTCCGAGGACTTCTTTTACAACTCTTACCTGGTGCATTTTCTTCAGCCGGTATCTCTTTAGGAGCAAAAACAGGTTTGAATGTGTAAAAGCCTTGCAGCCAATCAACATCGTGTCAAATATAGAGGAGTTTAGATACTCGATGTCTACTAACCGCTCAAAACGCCGCAGAATATTGTAAGGCCGATTGGCAGTGCTCTTTGGAAGCCGCCGGCCATTATGTAGAAGAAGTGATGGTCGCCTATATAGAAGAAATAAATAAAAAATGAGAAATATGGGATTTTAAAAACAAAGTTCTGCTGAGGCGATATGCCGCTGAAGTTCTGAATCTGAACAACTGCGATATAGTACCAACACTCAGTATGAAGAAGTCAAAAATCCTTTTTGAACAGAACGTGGTCTGTGCTTGCAGAATTTCCTTACGCTTACACCCTCTGTTTCTTCAAACCACACCAGTCTGTGGCGCCAGCCGCTACAGCTGGTCCTGTTAACAAGGAGATCGCAGCGGATAGGTAGGTATGACGCTACAAGTAGCATAAGCTATATAAAGAATATGGCTCCCAAGTTCATGTAGAGTTCAAAGTGTTTACACTGAGCTGAGGCCTTGCATGCAGCGTTCAAAACAGGGTCATCCATGATTGCATGGTTTTGACTACCGACATGTCATACCTAGCCTGCTACGAGTACCTGTGAGTACTGCGCACTGTACAGTATCAGGGCGTATCACAGCCAAGGTTTAGGCGTGGAACCAGCTCTCACGCAACTCTATTTGACTCACATAAATAATCCAGACGGCTCTTGCTAATTATGTTGCGGTGTCAAGAGTATTTTGATTTGAGAGCAAAATCAAAGAAACAGTCCATTCCCGCTTCTCTCATCAGCTTGCAAAGTAGCTCTCCTAAGATTACTTTTAATTGAGTTCCCCATTTTAGTGCCGTCTTCCTTGCTTGTTGGGTGGCGACTCGGCTGCGCCCAATAGGATCTCGCTTGTTGCATCACCGTCTCTCTCATCTCATCAGGCGACCGTTCAAGGAGCTGATCATCGAAAGTCTGCTTGTGCGGCCAATCCAATAGACCTACCTGGCGGGCACAGTACGGTGCAACGGCTTGGTACAGCTTGCTCGCGACATTGGCAATTCGCTACTTGACCTCTACAAAGCATCGTCCCGCCTGCGCTGTCGCACGAGCCTTGTTCTGCGGTTATCTCTCGCGCCCCTCCCCCGCTGTCTCGTTATAAGACTCGCAACCAGCCTCCTACTTACTTCTTGCGCGCAAGACCCTGTGCCTCGTTAGATACTTCGCCCACTTCCCAAACTTTCATTTCTCCAGCCCATACATAGTACCGAGCGGTAGGACGGCGCGCGCTCACTTGATTCATTTGCTGCTGTTTTATGTGCGGAGACCAAGCCTTCTACTTCGGGTAGCTAGCCTGGTGCGCCTTTGACGCTGTCTCTGCTGCCGGCCTGCCAGCTTCCCAAAACGCTAGTCGCGGAGCGCTTGTGACTTCACAGGGCGACGACACCGACTCGGACTCGAGCGCTGGGTGAGGTAGGCCCTTGACGCTTCCAAGACAAAATGCCAGTGCCGCTCCTCCATCCGCTCACCATCTTGCACTGAAGCCCCGGTTGCCGAATCCAGCAATGGCGACAATTGCCGTCCCGAGACCCGCTCTGTCTCCAAAGAGCTCGTCGCAGCGCGGAAGCACTCCAGTCAACGCAGTCTCTCCACTCCAAACGCTCGGGTTGGCGTCATCCCCACAATTCGCTGCGTCCGTCTCGCTCAGCAACCCTGTCTCGCTGTATGCTGCTGGCCAGCCGGTGCTGGACGACACGGACGACTCCGGCTCGTACGAGTATACGCTCTCCTCCTCCCCGAGCCCTGCTCCCGAGCTGCGACAAGCCTCCCTCCTCTGCTCTCCCGATCGCTATGTGCGAGTCGACAGCGAGGATGCTTCTCTATACGAGATAGATGCTGCGAGCGTGGCAGAGGCACTGGATTATGCATCCAAGCAGCAGCTCCCTCCCCCTTCACAGGTCTTTCCTTGGCTTCATGGCTTGCATCCCGAAAACCAAACCCAAAGGTCCTACTTTGATGGACATCAGTGCCTGACTGGGGGCACGCCCAGCTGTCTTCGAACAATTACTCTTGTCAAGGCAGATGGCAATCTCAGCCTCGCACGATTGAAAGGCGCCATTGCTCCGGGCGAGTTCATGCGGCCTGGAGCGACGCCTGAGTTCATCGATGCAGACCCCTTGAGTGGGTTGTCTGTCCGTAACTTCCACATCCAGCCTGCCAAGGTTGCCGCAACCTCCGATATCATCGTATATGGCCTGGATCCTGATGAGACTCGAGGAGTTGCGTGGAAAATTGCCGTTGCTCAGAGACGATGGCGGGAAAAGCAGCATGCAGAGGCCAAGAACCTGCCCACGTATAACACTTTTGTCTGCACAAGCCCATTCTCTGCTTTTGAAACAACCCATAGGAATTTGGTATCCATCGATGCGTCTGGCAAATCGACAGGTCAAGTGTTGGACTTGATACAGCAAGAGCGTCAAGAGATGCGAAACATGACGGAAGCCTCTGAAATATGCCACAACGTCTACCTGGGCCCTAGCCTCGAGCCTGGTGGCGTTGAGGAGCATCACTTTGATGTTCTCATCGAATGCAGCGATACGGGTCGGCTGGACCCAAGCGCCCTGCAATTTATTGCTGAGCACCCTCACTCGTCTGTGTCCCTGCCATCTTCCGTTTGCTTTCCATCTTCCGGGAGTATAATGCCCCCAACCTGGTCTCAGAGAGAGGCCGACGGAATCATCGAAACCTGTAAATGGATATATCACATTGCCCATAACATTGTGCCCGAATCCAGCGATGCACAACAAAATGCCACGTCCCAGGAGGAGTCTGCTGCTGCAGGCGCTCGGAAAGTACTTATTCACTGTCCCGACGGATATACAGAATCCACATTGCTTGCCATCGCCTATTTCAGCTATAGCACTGGTTCCTCCATACCTGATGCTTGGCTGGAACTTCACACGACCAAACGTCGCAATTTCTTTGCTTATCCCTCGGATGTATCTCTCCTATCGGCCATAGGGCCTCGCTTGTTGTGTGAATCTCCGGTGTCTTCAGGGAAAAGTCTAGAAGACATTGCGAGTTACATCAAAGCTGAACCGCAGTGGTTTTCAGAACTGGATGGCTCGCTCCCTAGCAGAGTCCTGGATTATCTGTACCTGGGTAATCTTATTCATGCCAACAATCCAGATCTCTTGAAGTGCCTCAATATTCGCCAAATACTTAGCATTGGAGAATCGGCTTCGTGGACAGATGAAGATCGAGCAAACTGGGGCTCGGAAAATATGTGCTTCGTTGAAGGGATTCAAGACAATGGTATCGATCCATTGACTAAGGAGTTTGGGCGATGCCTTGAATTTATTGGTAAGATTCACCAACCTCTCTTTGTTTCCTTTCCGTTTAATTTCCATGCCGAAAAAAGTAATTCACATGAGCTGACTGATGATACAGCTCAAGGAATACAGAAAGGCACGGCGACATTAGTCCATTGCCGTGTCGGAGTTTCCAGGAGTGCCACCATCTGCATAGCGGAAGTCATGCGGTCTCTCAATCTCTCCTTTCCGCGCGCTTATTGTTTTGTCAGGGCTCGCCGTCTCAACGTCATCATTCAGCCTCATTTACTCTTTGCATACGAGCTTTTACGCTGGGAGGAATTTCTTCGACAGGAAGGTGGCTCCAAAGAACCGTACAAGAGGGAAATGGAGTGGGGAGAGATTGCCAGAGAAATCGCTCTTATGAACCGTCCTTATTCCAGATAATGGTATTTGCTTTACTGTTTTGAGAAGGCTGTTTTGTTTTACCACAAGGTATGGATTTTTCTGTACGGAGCGAACTTTTTGGCTTATGTTTGGAGCTTTGCGCACACGGAACTTGCTTGTCTCTACTTCTGCCCCAAGCCCTCAACGTGAGTGTTTTCTTGAGTGTGTCCGAGTTTGGTTCATATAGCGTAGTTTTATCACCTATAATTATAATGGGAATTGCTTGAGCTTTACTATTTTCTTCTTCTTCTTCTTCTTTTCAAGCAACAAACAAAAGAAACTGAAATTGGTCTAAGCATTGGCGTATTTGTGACGTCTGAAGTCCTATTAAAGGAATGATGATATTCCAGGGGAGCACCGAAGCTGGCGCTGGAGACAGGGGTGTTACATTAGTACATAAATGAAATAAAAGGTAACAAGTTGAGGCCTCCGCCCGAGATACTGGTAACGCTGGTCTCGAATTGAGGCGTCTCACGATTAGGGTATTTGCTATGTTATGCCAGTGTATTAGCCTGTGTAGGCTGAAGGATCACTCTTACTATCCCCTTCAAGGACCCTGTATTGTAAGAGAGGAAAAGCAAGTTAGCAGCTGTCTATATGCAAATCGAGACTCAAGGGAGAGAGGTTTCTCACGAAAATTGTTTAACCAGATAACCTTCTCCACCATGCTCCATATCGATATTGTAGACGTAAAAGCCTCCGTCACTTGTCACCACCATTACCTGGGGGCTGCTGCTGCTCATTGCAACTACACTGCGAAGTGGATTAGAGCCTTGACCAGGCGGACGAGCTCCAGCACCGAGTCCAGTAGATTTAGGGATTTTGATATAAGCGAAATCTCGCAGCGGTTCCCACATCTCAGTAACTGATTGTGGAAGGTATGAGCCAACAACGCCAGCAACACCTCGACCCATAATTTGAGATGAGCGTCGCAGCATACTGCTGAAAGAGCCGCTTTGCTTGCGATTAACCGGCTGAGAACTGGAATCCGGAGCAGTGCCATTACCTGCGAGCTCTGCTGTTTCACTCTTTGGGGATTCTGTTGCACTGTTATTACTAGGCGAGTCCGCACCATCGTGACTTCGTCCTCGAGACCACCGATCCTGCCTTGGAGAACCTAAAGACTCTATCGGGGCACCAGCTGGGGTAGTATGACCTGGAGGAGCGCTGAGACGAAATATGTGTACAGTGTCTGACGCAGAGGAAACGCATAAGAGCGTCGAACTGAGATTAAACGACATGCTATAAATGGTGGACGGATATGTCCCACGTCGGAACTGATAGAGCTTCTGGCCCCGAGGTACTGAAAATATTCGAATGATAGTACCGGTTTCGCTTGCAGTTGCTAGCATCGTTCCTTCGCTGTTGAGACTGATACAGGATAAGGGGGAGCGATGGGCTTCCACGACATTCACAGCCTTGAGTGTCAATGTGTCAAACATGAGAACTTCTCCCGATGTGGGAGCGACGTATGCGGACTGCGGCGGCGCGTGGGAGGGTCGCCTATTATCTGACTCTTCTCTCGGTTTGGGGAGCGGATATGCGATGTAGCAATTCTCGGAGGACGCTGATAGGGCGCATATGGCAGACGGGTTCGGCGAGGTAGGGATGGTGTAGAGGAGGCTCATGTTGCTTATGTCGTATAAATAAATCTCTTCTTCGAGCACGACGGCTAGTCGCTTGCGGTTCAGTCGGACGGCCAAGACGGCGGATGGGAAGGTCAGTTCGCAAATGACCGAAGCTCTCTGCAGTTGCAGCGATGAGCAACAAGTCAATGTGGTTAGTTACTGCCAGGCACCCACCTTGGTGTTTTGTATAATCAGATGGCGGGGAGAAAGAATCAGGGCGACCAAAGAGGTCGAAAACAGCATTTCGATAATCGCAATGTTCCCGTCATCGCTGCTGAATATTCGGGAGAACGGGTCCGTGTGGTAGATGCCGAAGCCTTTGGAGGTGCCTAGAGACAAGAACAGATGGGAGAGTATGTCAGTCTCTGTACACCAGAAGGAAGAGGGCAGCACTCGGCAGGCCGCTGGGTCACATTATTTACCAACAGCAAGGCAGCTATGATCTTGGTTGAACGTGATGAAGTTGAGCGTTGGAGTTGCCATGGTTATCGCCAGGCGGGAGGTCTGAAGCTGAGGTCACTCAATATAGGCCTCTCGCGCTGGATGATATGACGTCGATGGAGCTCCGAAACGTCGCGCCAGTAGAAACAAAGTGGGAATATGCGCATAGACAGAGCCGTAGGGGACGGATAGTCAAACGTGACGGCAATGCGGAGGGCGACGGCGTGTGAATAGTGGGCAGGGATATGATGTTGATATCCAAGATGCGACACGGAATGAAGCACGTCGAAACTGACTGCAGAAGAGGAGGAGCAGGCCGTATCGAGCTGGACGCCTTGTCTCCAGCCCACTGCGGGCACTACTGGGGATGGCAGGTACGTACCGCCTGTAGACAGCCGCCAACAAGGGTTGCTACGAAGAGTATTAGGCGGGGTGGCAGAAAATAGGGACCGTCAAAGGAATAAGTGCGTACAAAGCTGTAGCATGAGCACCTATGACACTAATAACCTGTTGATGGCGTATGTGCGTAATCTTAGAGTATGCGTTCAAATTTCTTCTATTCCCTACCTATTTTCTTCCCTATTCCCCCCTCCCCCTTTGAACACTGCGTATCGAAAAGAAACAGCCCCAAAGGGCGATTTCTTTGGCGAAAGAAAAGAATAGACATTATTTTGATTTATCCAGCTAAATATTGTTCTACAGCGTTAGTGAAGTTGATTGCATGTGTATTCAGCTAACATGAGCACTTATAGAGCCAGCTAAAAAGGCGGCAAATTCACAGCTAGCACTTACCTAGGTAGGCAGTCTACATACTGGTACGAAGTGCGTAAAGCACCAGACGGAATAATGAAGCCCTTTACATACCTATGTATGTAGGTAGGTGTGACACCAAACCCGAAATACTACTCCGGACTGTGTATGCCGATAGATGGGTACTTGTAAGTGTCTTAACACATGTATAGGGATCCAGGATATGGTATAAGCAAGCAATACTGGGGTAAATCGGTCCTTAGTTTAGAGTTCTGATTCGATTGAATCTCTTTTCCTTTACTTACGTTGCTTTTCGCTTCTCCTATTTGTTTATAAAAAACAAACACCTGTCCAGTGACTCAACGGCTTGTTTTATGCGCTGCACGAGGACATGTCCGTTACCTAATATAGCCGTGCCGGGCTACTTGCCGTGGGCTTTCTATTGGAAGAGCCGCTGAAATGGAGGGGCAGGTGCAGCGCAAAGTCCAAGCTGCTCGCATTAGGGGCGCTGGCTCCGGAACGCCCGACCCCCTTGTGGCTCCCTCCCTGGCAGGCTGAAAGTCCCGGTAACCCGCCCTATTCTCGTGTAACCTAGGCTATCAGCTGGGTAAAGAGCGGTATTATTTTGCCAAGTCCCGCTGCCGTCATAGTTTTTTTTTAACAGAGGGCATGACCTCGCTGCGACAGCCCGGAATCCCCAATCCATTTCTCCTTCTCCAAGCAAAATCTGCTGTCGCCCAGCATCTCGACTTACTCCGCCGCTCATTTTGCGACCGCCCGTCCAATTGGGTCTGATGCCTGCCCAAAGATAGTCCTTTTTTTTGTTCTTCTTTGGACTCCGACGACTCATAGCTGTTCGCCATGTGGAGAAATTCTCTGCTGAGGGGTGTTCAGAGCGCCCGCCTGGCATCGAGGACGACGAGGCTTGCTGCTGTCCGCAAGCCTCTGCCCTTGATCACCAGGCGCCTGTACGCCGCGACCACCGCCCCCAATGCCACCTCTTCGGCCCCCGACCCGAGTGACAACTTCCTGTCCGGAAGCACTGCCAACTACATTGATGAGATGTACATGCAGTGGAAGCAGGATCCCAAGAGCGTCCACGTATCATGGCAGGTCTACTTCAAGAACATGGAGAGCGGCGACATGCCCATCTCCCAGGCCTTCCAGCCGCCCCCGAACCTCGTACCCAACATGACCGGCGGCGTCCCTCGCCTGTCCGGCGGCCTTACCCTTGAGGATGGCTCCGATGTCACAAACCACCTCAAGGTCCAGCTGTTGGTGCGCGCATTTCAAGCTCGTGGCCACCACAAGGCCAATATCGATCCCCTTGGCATCCGCAACACTTCTGCCGGCTTTGGTAACATCAAGCCCAAGGAATTGACGCTCGAACACTATGGCTTCACCGAAAAGGATCTCGACACCGAATACACTCTTGGCCCTGGCATCCTGCCCCGATTCAAACGGGACGGCCGTGATAAGATGACTCTCCGCGAGATCATCGCCGCCTGCGAAAAGATCTACTCCGGCTCCTATGGCGTTGAATTCATCCACATCCCCGATCGCGAGAAGTGTGACTGGCTGCGCGAGCGCCTCGAGGTCCCCCAGCCATTCAAGTACTCCATCGATGAGAAGCGCCGCGTCCTGGATCGATTGATTTGGAGCTCCAGCTTTGAATCTTTCCTCGCCACTAAATACCCCAACGACAAGCGATTTGGTCTTGAGGGCTGCGAGACCCTTGTTCCCGGTATGAAGGCTCTCATCGATCGTAGCGTCGACTACGGTGTTAAGGATATTGTCATCGGCATGCCTCACCGTGGTAGACTTAACGTTCTGAGCAACGTCGTCCGAAAGCCGAACGAGTCAATCTTCAGCGAGTTTGCTGGAACTCTGACTGCTGGAGATGAAGGCTCTGGCGATGTCAAGTACCATCTGGGTATGAACTTTGAGCGACCCACGCCTTCTGGCAAGCGTGTGCAGCTCTCACTTGTCGCCAACCCCTCCCACTTGGAAGCCGAAGATCCTGTCGTTCTGGGCAAGACCCGTGCCATTCAGCACTACAATAATGATGAGAAGGACCACAAAACCGCCATGGGCGTCTTGCTGCACGGAGATGCTGCTTTTGCCGCTCAAGGCGTTGTGTACGAATGTCTTGGATTCCATTCGCTGCCCGCCTTTTCCACC